TATACCTTCCAAATCCTTCATAAGTGTCTCCATGACATCAGAAGTCTACAATTCGGAAGTATCGATAATGATATTCAAAATATTAGCATACCGGTTCAACATTGATTGCTGGCAAGCGGCGGCTGCTGACACTACTGGTTCTTCCATGAATTTGAGGTTGTTCAATCTTAAAACAACATTTTTATTAGAAAAATATCTTTTCCAAGACCTTACATCCGTTTTCAAAGTTTCCTTTGTTGGTTCTCTCTTATCCAAAGTTTTAGTGACGTAGCTCATTAGGCGTTGAGCTAAAATTATACTGATAAGATTCGTGCTTTCTTTTGTGCTGGCAACTCACAGAAGCGTCTTTTACTCAGTGTTGTTTGCGTTTCCGACTCGTCGTCACTATCGTAGTCAAAATTAGGCGAACTTCTGACGATCGAACGACGAGTTCGCTGAAAAAACGTTGTTTTGCTACGTCAACCTCCAGACAAAAAGTTCACCTGGTCAAACGTAGAATTACGTCGTTGTTCGTGGAATGTACACCATATTTTGAGCAAACACAGAATGAGCCCGGTAGTTAGTGATGCGAAGAAAATGAGAATCACAAGGAAGACTACAAGACCGTATATAGAGTGATCCGTGGTGTCAGCGAGTTCAGTAGTCGTTTCCATCTGAAAAATCAAGAAAAAACATGATTTCTAAAGATCTGATTTGTTGACCAGATTCGAATTCTAATGTTAATCTCAACAGAATCTAGAGAAACCACAGAGCTTTTAGATTAATTTAATGAGGAAGTTGTAGGAATGAGATGCAGTTTTTAAGATTAAAACCTAAGCAGAAATCTGCGAGAAAATCAAATGTTCGCCGTCGAACGGAGGATGAAATCGAAAAAAAACAGAGATTAGAAGATAGAATAAAAGCGTTTTGGAAAGGATCAAGTTCCAGGAAAGCATTAACAACATGGAAATATTCATATGCCTATATCTACAAACAGATGCAAAAATAATCCAAATGTAAAATTGAAAAGAAAGGAGTCTTCATGAAAAATGTAGTGGTTTTCAGTCTGACTCACGGATAGAGTACATGATCTCTTACACTGAATTTTAGATAGAGTGTGTGGAATGGTTTCTGAGATGGGATGATGTTAGAATACGCCGGTTTATGAGGAGAGCTAACAAATCTTGCTGAGTGGTCCTAGAAATAAGTCAAGCTAAGAAAAAATAAAGCGAAGAAGGATGACGTATCGACAAGGATACCTCCAGCAGTATTCCACTTTTCACTTGAATTTCGAATTCAATTATCTCGATTTCTGTTAAAGATACAAAAAGGCTGCCAACAGTCAAAATGTTGATGGTATTACGACAAACATATTATAAGTTGGAAGATTTTAGCAAAAATTGAAATCATTAGGCTCGAAGTGCAAATAAATAAATAGTGTCATTTTATAGAGCATTTACGGCAGGAAATATATTGAGTTTTTTCTACTTTTGAAATTATAGAATTTGGGTAATCTTCTAAAATATAAGTGTTCCAGAGAGCACAGTTATCTACTGTCATTTTTACAAACAATTTCAAAATTTTCAAAGCTACAAAGAAATTAGCTTATTGAGTACATTTTTTGAAACTTGAGTAGGGGTCATGCTAAACTTGAAGTACCGTTTTTTCCCGAAGTATACGTTTTTTCCCGGAAAATTCTAACTTTTTAGCTTAATAATTCATGGTTACTAGTAGTTCCAGAAAAGTTGGATGAACTTGTGATACATTTTTTCTGAGAACTTAGGTCCTGAAGTTTTCGAATGTTTTGAAAACACTTTCAAAGCATCACATGTGATAAACAAGTTCGGATAGAATTTCCAATGAGGAATTCGAAAACAATGATAACTTGAAACTCACTTCGACAACAAATTTGTTACATGGACTATCAACGGGTATCATGCCATTCCATGCCGGTTAAGAAGGATGCTGAAACAAGAAGTCATGCGTTTGTAATTAATAAAAAAAGATGGACAACAAGAAATATGAACCCAACTCATCTTTCCTAATGAGATCTAAAACTAGAAAAAGTTGGAAACATCGAGGGTGGGCGGAGTGTATGGCACAGTGTCAAAAGTTTTGGAGAAATGAACAAGAGGATGAAAAGGAGGAAGCGTCAGAGATGATGACGACAACAAATGTATTTTTGTGGCGGGTCCCCCGTCCAGATTGAACCAATTCGGAGAGAAGAAAAGGGTACACTGACTTATTTCCCATGGCCCTCTCTACTCGTTTGTCGCGTATTCACTCGGGGACTTTCTAGTTTATTTGTAGACTTCTGTGACATCAATCCGTCATGGAATGTTTGGAAAGATGAGCGATGAGAAAAAGTGAGAAGAAGAGTCAAAGAAGATGAACGAAAATGGATAAGGAACCCGAGAAAATTCATCGCACACACAGGCTGTATGCATCTGACAAGATTGCTTTCAGAGAAAAAATGCCAAAAAAAGTTAGCCAGAAATTTTAGTTCCTTGAAGTATTCCAAAAATCAAAAAACCCCTACTCACAAAAAAAAGAATAAACAAGGGAATCGCATGACGCCTAACGAATTCTCAAAATCTCATTAGCAGTGAATTTCGAAAAGAAAACCAAAATTCACTATCGATGGAAATCTGATTCGGAAATTGAGATTTTGAAAATTTGTCGACCGCGTGGTCTCCGGAAGCAATCAAGTTCTCAAGCCGAAAATGATCATCAAAACAATGAAACTTTGAGTCATTCACTCATGTGAGCATTTTACGAATTTGAACTTTACAAATTTTGAAGGATATGAGAAGAATACATTGTGAGAAAATAATTTTCAAGAAATTTTCAGACGATAAAAGCAAAGTATATACTACTACTACGGAAAGATCTGCACAGCCGACAAACTTTGATTGGATTATAAATCTTTATTTCATATAGTTATGTAATTTTTTGATGCCTCAAGCTTCTTGATGTTTTGAAAGAAAACATTGCAATAATTCTGGAATAAAGATAAAACTAAAATTTATGATATTTTTTGTTTATTGCTCGAACTCAAGTTTCGTATTTAATTTTTCTTCAACAAAATTTTTTTGAAAAAAGTTGTTTTCCACTTTGAAAATACTTTAAAAATACAAAACGTTTGAGTTAACTATTGCAGCATAAAATACGAATGTCGAGCATCTTGCTCCGTTGCAGCACTTGACACGTTATCTCATAATTTCCTTTTTATCATTGTATTATTTTAGCTTTTTTCTCTGAAAATCCTGAAAAGGTAAATCTGTGTATGATTATAGCGGTCCGAGAAGAAAATAGCAATCCTAACGGAAATCATTCACAAATCATGTTTCTCATCAATCTTTGGCACTTGGTCTCTTTATTTCACTCTGAACCAATGAAAAGTATTTCTTAATTGTTGTTCACATTTTTTCATTCCATACACGATGTTAAATTCTTCCTAAAACTCCCGATTTTCATTCTTGTTAATGGGATTATTCAGCTAGGTAAAAAACCTTGTTTGCTAGGTAAAATACCAGCTTTTTTACATGGCTGAATAACCCCATAAAATGAATTTAGATCAAGAACTCCCCCAAACTAGCGCTGAGAAAAAAGAATACAAGGAAAACTGTGCGGTGTGCTTTTGCAACTTTACCGAAATCACGTCAGAAAAGGGGGCGTGGCATAGTTATTATGAAACAATTCGATTGTTTACGCGTTCATCTGCGTGATTTTTTTTGATTTGACAATAGTGAGTCATTCATGGAAGCGAATAATAATTTTCTTGAGTCGTCATTCCTAAACACTCAGTGTCAGCTTTCATTCCGGACTGTTATATTCTCCTCCGTCTGTTTTTTCTTCTCGAACCGTTATTTTCATCTTGGTCCGCTTTGATCATGTAGAGCCAACCAAAGTATAAAGTCTCAATTTTTCCACAATTTCAAAATATACTGGATCAAATTACACTGTTAGCATTGTGTATGGTATCCTTTTTGTATGGATTTCAGCAGTAGATCCAAAAAATAGATCCCTTTTATGTTTCATACAATTCGATATTTTGAGAATAATTGAAAGATACTGTAAATTTTTTCAGGACTTTAATGTAGACTTTTTTCTAAGAAAACTCAAAAAAAAATATCTGTTCGACCCATACTATAGGCTTCCTTCTTTTCTAAAATTTCACCTCCTCTATCAACTTTCAGTAAACCATCCTCCTACTTTTATGCGTTTCCAGCGAAATAGTTTTATTTTATCATCGATTAACTTTTCCGAGAACCATTGTTTTCTCCGATTATCTTTACTCTTCTCATTTTGGTTATCCAATTTTTCCGCATTCCAGTTTGCAGCCAAAAAGTCTCCGGAATGTTTGTCATGCGCAAGGAACAGCAATTGGCAGAGCATTTGCTCAACATGCCACTCTGCATCTTCTGCAACTGTTCCCACAAATCCGAAGATTGCCCAACTGTGGTGGATACGGTGAAAAGAATCGAAATTCTGTTGAAGAAGGAGTTGTGTCTCGTCTGCATGAGTCACAATAGAATCCTCTCGTGTCCAAGGGAATCGGTGATCTGCAGAATGTGCAACAAGATGAATCACCACGTCGCAATCTGCTATCTCAAAGATTTGAAGGTCCGAAAAGAGAAGTAATTGTTGTCCAAACCTTCGAATGCATATTCAATTTTGTTTGATTCGGTTATTTTGGCAAATTAAATTGAAAAATTGAGTTAAACAGAATTTTTTTTTTGAAATAAAGGGAAAAAGTAAATATCCACAATTTGACCAAAAAAGTATTTAAAAAACAAAGCTATGTGAGAAAAGAAAAAACGGTATTCCATGCTAGCAAGGTCTAGTCATAGCTTATTTCAGAATCAATACTCCTCTCATTCTGTTCTGTATGAAATTTCCTATTTCTTCTATTCAAGTCTCACAAGTGAAAGTCAGCAGAAACCACTCGCATAGCTCCTAAGAGCATGGTCAAAAGCCTATGAATCCGTTTTCAAAGTCTGTTTACAAGACCTTTGAAGTGCTGAAATTTCAGCTTCAGTACCAAAAATCCCATTTTCAGTGTAAAATCGACAATTTTCAAGTTTGATTTTTCTCCACTCCAAGGAGGTTTTTGGAGTTGAAACTTTTTGTATTATACTTATTGTCGGATTAAAAAAAGTGACACCTGAAAATCTCGGAGACAGCGCTCATGTCGATTTACGAGGGGGCGGAGCGAAAACGGATACTGTAGATAACAAATTTATTCATGTGAATCTAGTGGGATTTTCTGAACGAAATGTTGATTTCTTGATATAAAAACGATCGTTAGCATCTCTAGAATCTATTTTTATGCAAAAAACTAAAATTAAACGCGAAAGTAGATCGAACGAGCCGAAATTCTGAAATAATACGTTTTTGCCGCACTTTTTCGTAGATCAAAAAAGCTAAAGTTTTCAAATTCTCAGGTGTCACTTTTTTTAATTCGACAATAAAATTATGTGGAATTTCATATTTCAGACATTTTCTGAAAAAAGTATTTTTGGAAAAGTTTTGGGAAGTTTCAAAAATTGCCTAGATTTTCGGTGGGATCAAGACCATGCTCTTTTCCGAGTTTGAAAATGTTTTTTTCAGAAAATGTCTGAAATAAAAAATTCCACATAATTTTAAGTATAATACAAAAAATTTCAACTCCTAAACCTCCTTGGAGTGGTAAAAAATCGAACTTGAAAACTGCCGAATTTACACTAAAAATGGGTTTTTTTTTGGTACTGAAGCTGAAATTTCAGCACTTCAAAGGTCTTGTAAACAGACTTTGAAAACGGATTCATAGGCTCTTGACCATGCTCTTGCGATCTATGCAAGTGATTTCGGATGTCTGCTACCTTCACTTAAAAGGTTTTCTTGTCTAGTCAAAATCTTTTTCATCAGATGTTGTTTTCTAGTTGGATTGTTTCTATGTTATTTCCGTACTTTCGCCTGTTTTCTTGATGAATGGCGTATAAACAAAGCTTCGAATCAAGAAACGCTTGCCTCATCCACAAAATCCACATCTTATTTTTATCCACAAAGCAACTTTCACTGACTCAAGTGACCAACTCAACAGCTGTTCCTACTTTTAATTAGTTAGAATTTCTGGTAAACAAGTATGGAATCTATCTGAACTTCAAATTGTAACATTCGAATTGTTATTTCTAATTTCGCCTTCGTAAAAAATAAAAGTATTTTGTTGAAAAACGCACTCGAATAGTCATGATTCTTTTATTTTATTCTGTTCCGTTGCTGGGGTTTCTTTCAGCCGAAACTACAATAATTCAGTCGCCACGTACAACCAATTGGGGCGATTGGAAAAACTGGGAAGATTGCCCGGACGGAACATACGCTTATGCGGCCAAACACAAGGTGGAAGATCCTCAAGGAAAAGGAGACGACACTGGACTAAATGCAGTGGCGCTTTTTTGCAATCCGTTGAATTGGGGTGAGACACATTTTGATCACTTGTGTTTAGGTTTTTTGAAAAATAAGTTATTACCCTTTACAAAACAAAACTAGTTTTTCAGCTACATACAGCACAGAACGGGAGATATTGAGTGGAGAGGGAGATTGGGGAGATTGGAAGGCTGTCCAATATTGTCCAGAAGGCTTAGTGATGATTGGTTTTGCACTTCGCTCTGAAATTACCAGACGTGGACAAGATGACGTGGCAGCTGACAATTTTCGTGGATACTGTGGAACACCCGACGGGCCAAGAGACCACAGCCATTCATTTTCCGGTGACACTCCCGGATGGGGTCGTTGGACCGAGGATAAATTCTGCCCTCTGGAATTTGCTGTTTGCGGGATTAATAGTCAAATTGAAGGCGCTCAGCGTCGTGGTGACGATACAGCCCTGAACAACATTGACCTTCGATGCTGTCGGGTGCCACCTGTCAACCTTTCTTGCACCCCTAGCTACACATTGCAACAACTCGCTGAATACGACAATCGCCTTGGCGCTGGCACTATCCAATTTCAGTATCAGAAGAAAATCTCGTTCAGCAAAACTACCGGATCTACTCACACCGTCGGTCGAGAAGAGAAAGAAGCAGTTCTATCGAGTAGGAATTTTTAAAACGTGCTGTTGTTTTACATCAAGTTCAAAACTTACTAGTTCTATCAGTCTGTTAGCAAAAGGAATCATGATCTCGTGCAAGTCCGTTTCTTGAAAGTGTGAAAATTTCAGAAGAGACAAAGCAACTGTTCCACAGAAATATGAAATTGTTTCAGAAGTGACGACCGGGGTGGAAATCTCAACAGAAGGAATAACAAGTGGGCTGACTGTATCAAAAACATCTTCAGTGAACACTGAGCACAGTCATGGTCATGAAACCATTTCAACCGACAGAATAAGAACAATTCTAGAAACAGTGATGTCAAACGAAGAGACTGTGAGTGGTGTGTGGTCGTCATGGAAAGAGATTTCATTTTCCCAGATCACTGAAACGTACAACGTTCCCGCCCACAAAGGAGTAATTATTCAACAATTGTTCATGACCTGCGGTATCATCAAAGTGGGATTACCAAAAGTTGTCATCAAAAGCAGTTAGAGTTTGAACACCTAATGATTGATAGTCCGCTAATTTACTTTTTTTCCGTACCTGTAGTTTTAAAAAAAGTGTTTAGATTTTTCCTTCTTCTTCGTCTTTAAGACATAATCTCTGAGAAACTCGAAATCACCATGGCAATGGAAAATTACAAAATGGTCCTAGGAGTCTGATATTGTATGTGGTGAGTATAGAGACTACTCTAAGACTTTTGACCATAGTACCCGTACGCCACGCCCCTCCTGGGGGCGATGACATACTGTAACCCTGAAAAATACTATAGCGCCATAAAAAATTTGGGGTGTCTCAAAAAGGTTATTTTCGAAACCAACCTTGGTCAAAAAATGAAAATGAAGATAATGATTTGATTTAATTTGGATTGGATTACTCTTGCTATTTTGAGCATTATTTGTATCGGAACAAAAACTTCAACTCGTTTCTTTTCAGGTGAAAATTTCGACTTTTCATTAGATTTTGAAAAAAAAATCACTGAAAATCGATCGTCGTGAAAATTATAAAATTTGTGGGAAAAAGATAATGTCAGATTCAAAACCAGCGTAAAAATTAACACCAAAAAATTTTTGTTAAAATTGGCATATCCTGAGAACAAGGTGAGTTTTAGTCGAAAAAGTGCGAAAACACCATATGGCTACTAAAAGTCGCCCAAAATCGACCATCTCCAATTTTGACCTAATTTATACCAGATTTAATATTCTTGATGAATAGTATTCTGGCGAAGTTTCAGGATCTGTTCTCATCGTCTTCATACATTTATAGAAGCACCAAAAAATCTTCAAAAATTGCTTGCAAGTCCATTTTGAGTGAAAAACTAAACGTTGCAAAAAAAGCATGAAGACGATGAGAACGAATTCTGAAACTTTGCCAGAATATTATACACTAAAAGTACTACACCTGGTACAAATTTCATCAAAATTGGAGATGGTCGATTTTGGGCGAATTTTACTAGGCATGTACTCCTCCACATGGTGTTTTCGCACTTTTTCGACTAAAACTCATCTTGTTCTCAAGATATGCCAATTTAAACAAACATCTCCTAAAGTTAATTTTTACGCTGGTTTTAAATATGACATTATCTTTCCCCTTCTGGTTTTATAATTTTCACGACGATCGATTTTCCGTGATTTTTTTTTAATCTAAGGAAAAATCAAAATTTTCACCTGAAAAGAAACGAGTTAAAGTTTTTGTTCCAAAACAAAAAATGCTTAAAATAGCAAAATTAACTTAATCCAAGTAAAATCAAATTATTATCTTCATTTTCATTTTTTGACAAAAGTTGGTTTCGAAAGTAACCCTTTTGAGACACCCCTAATTTTTTATGGCATTATAGTATTATAGTGTAAGTAAATCCAAAGTTTTGAATAATCGGTGTTTCGTTTGGTAACCAATGAAAAATTTTTGAGAAACTTCCAAAAAAGTGAAAAAAAAATTCAAAAAAGTGAAATTTTCTTTACTTCAGGATTACTGTAGAAAATCGGTCCCAACACAAAAAATAGTCATAATAGTACCAGAAACTCAAATCTTAAACGTTTGAGTCATTACCATTATTTTGAACAAAAAATTTTTTTCGGTGTTACGGTATTATATCGCGGCCAGGAGGGGACGTGGCCTAAGGGTATTATAGTCAAAAATGTTAGAGTAGCCCCTATACCCACATACAGTATCAGACTCCTAGGACCATTTTGAAATTTTCCATTGCCATCGCCTTTTGACCCGATCTCAATTCTCTCAGAGAATGTGTCTTAACCCCTTTTTTGTACTTTAACTTGAAAACAAACATTAATTTAAAAAACCTTACTAGAACTAATAGTTCAATTTGTTATATTTCTTCATGCTACATTGGGAATCGAAAGTTGAGGAAAATAATTGATTGTTCACTGGATTTGATTTTTGCAGTTTTTGATGTCAAACTTCGAACAATTTTTTGTCACCCTAAAATCGTTTTCAAGGTAAACTTGTTTACTATCCTTTTCTCCATCCGATTTTTTTTATTTACTCATAGTAAATCAGAAACAGTTGGCTCTTTCTTCGAAATCATTGGTTCATGTCACAAACAAGCGGAATCATGCTCGGGGTCAAGCGTAACAATATCTTTTTTTCTTCTCCACAGTGTAACATTTACACACCCGTTCTCACTGTTTCTACTACGTATAAACATTGAGAGGTTTAGTTTGAAACATCAGTTGAAAAAATCAGAAATGATCCTCTTCCTTCTCTTTTTCTTCATAGTACAACTACTTCAATATTCATCAGCAAAACCGACGCTAAATGAGTTGAAAGGAAAAAATGAGTTCGGCGAATGGAAAAGCTGGAAAAAATGTCCCACGTTTATGTATGCCTATGCTGTTAGATATGAAATGGATCAAGAACAGAAAGGAAGAGTGAAGTCTATTGCATTCTTATGCAAACCTCTCAGTTGGAGTGAGTCTGCTGCTTTTTGTTTTTTTTTTCAAGAACACTTTATCTTAAAATGTTGGAAACAGTGAAATTTCAGAAACTCACACTTTACCAAATGAGCTCGCTAGAGGAGATCCCATTCGGGGGAATTGGAAAGGCATTACGTTTTGTACGGAAGGCCATTTTCTGACTGGTCTCTCTTTTCGTTCGGATCCAGAAAAAAGTGGAAATAATAGCGAAGCAATTGACACTATTGACACTCTCAAGATATCCTGTGGAATTTCCAACGACCAAAAGAACAGAACGGACTCAACGGAGGACGATTATCTTGGATTGGACCATTGGAACAAGGGTAACTTCTGTCTCGCAGGGCATGCAATTTGTGGGATCAGGCTCCGAAGGGATGAAGTTAGTGCTAAAGAGACGGTCATCAACATTGTGAAGGTTCTTTGTTGCCGGTTGCCACGGGTCAATCTGTTTTGCGTTCCCGAGAATACTTTCGAAAGACTCGCAGAATATGATAATCGAGAAGGGACGGATACAATTCCTATTCAATACGAGAAACAAACACGTTTCATCAAAACTACCGGATCTAATTCAACTGTTGCTCTGGAGGAAAAAGAGGCAATTCAGAACAGTAAGATTTCAGAAATTTTTAATTTTACAACAACCTCAGCTTTCATTTGAAACGCGAAAACAATATCGCTGTTTTCAGGGTTACCATATGGAGTAGAAGTGATTGTCGAAAAACCTGGAAATGCATCAACTGTATCCGTGACAAACCATGGATATCAAATGATTTCGAACATTGAAGTTCAAATAATGGTGGGCAACGTAATATCAAAAGAAGAAACTGTGAGTGTTGAAAAAATATTTTTGTAAACAGCCTGAATGATTTTATATAGCGCCAGCCTGCATTTGTACGTTCATTCATCTCAATTTCCATTCGAGATATAAAACATCTGTCAACTGGTAAAACGATTTTCATCACATTACCACCACTTCTATAGTTCGCAAATTTCGATATCTTTTCCTCAAGTTGAGATAATTGAGCGTCAATTAAAAGTGTTGGGTAACATTTTGATAGAGAATTTCGTTTTACAGACGACGGAGACCTATAATGTGCCCGCCAAAAAAGGAATCATCATTGAACAATTGTTCATAAAATGTGATAATATATTGGTGGGACTTCCAAGAATTGTCATAAGAAGCATGGAAAACGTGAAAGCCGAGACTATTGCTTCTTAACCGAACAAGCGTCAAAATGAATGTAATTTTTAGTAAAAAACACTTTTTTTATTTTTGTTTCTCAGCATAATCAACAATAATAACGCTTTCCTAGCACTCTGAAGTTTTTATTCTTGTGTTTTCCTCATTTATTAATTATAAAACAGTTTTTTTTATCACCCTGACAGAACCTTTGAAAAATGCAATTTGAAATCTGAATGAGTAGATCAAAAATAGTATTGCGGAAAATGAAAAAGTATCCCAGGCACAAATTAAAATTGGAGATCAAACTAAGTTTCCAAGGCTTCTTGTCGAAACATTTGGCAAAAAATTCGGGGGGTACAATGATTCGGGGGTACAAGGGGGTACAACTGATTTAGGGGTACAAAATTGATGATTCGGGGGTACAAAATTCGTGGTTACAAAAATTCGGGGGTACAACGATTCAGGGGTACAAACTATCAATGATTCTGGGGTACAACCCATTTCATTTAGTGGTACAACGTTAGTGATTCGGGGGTACAATTTTTTTTTGACGAAGTTTCTGAATTCCTTTTCAAGCTCTGAAATTCAGGAATTCAGAAACTTCGTCAAAAAAAAGTGTACCCCAGAATCACAAACATTGTACCCCTAAATGAAATGGGTTGTACCCCAGAATCATTGATAGTTTGTACCCCCGAATCGTTGTACCCCCAATTTTTGGCCAACCATTTACCAACTTCATTCATGCGTTTTCCTTTTTCCGATATATTCCAAACCGTCTTCTTTTGTTCCTAAATTGTGGATTTTGTATTTTATCATCTCCGCTTAAAAGAAAATAGAAACAATCACTAAAGTTTGTCCTTCTCACACCTTACAACATAAAATTGTTTTCTACTTTTCAATCCGTATTTTTTGTCTTTTTTCTGTATCAGTGTATCTTTCTAGTAAACAAAGTATTAGAATCAAGTTATTTACGTTGGATATCTTTTTTCCTTTCGACATTGAATTGCAACATTTTCTGGTGATTTATTTGAAGTGAATCAGCAACAGTTGCTCTTTTTTTGAATTGTTGGTCCATCTGGTAAACAGAATGAAAACCAAGCTACACACACCATGGAGTCCCCGCCTTTTTCACTTCAGCTAAATACCCGAGGGGTTGATTGAAGAGTGCAGACGAAGCTAGCCATGATTCTCTTTAAACTTCTCCCATTACTAGGATTCCTTTTTGCTGAGACTATAGAAATTCGCTCTCCACGTAGAACAGATTATGGCGATTGGCAAGGCTGGAAAAATTGCCCGGATGGAACATATGCGTACGCGGTCAAGCACAAAGTTGAAGGAGACCAGAGAGGAGGAGACGACACCGGATTGAATGCTGTAGCGCTGTTTTGCAATCCTCTACATTGGAGTGAGTTCCATTTTGATTATTCGAATTTGAATGATTTGAAAAAAAATCAAATAATTTTCAATACAAATATGAAATATTTTTTTCAGGTACTTACAACACGAACCGCGAAATACTGAGTGGAGAAGGGGGTTGGGGAGGTTGGAAGGGTGTCAAATATTGTCCAGAAGGCTTAGTAATGATTGGTTTCGCACTTCGCTCGGAAGCTGATCAACGCGGAAAAGATGATGTAGCAGCTGACAATTTTTGTGGATACTGTGGAACACCCGATGGGCCGAGAGATCAAAGCAATTGGATTTCGGGTGATACGCCCGGATGGGGTGATTGGACCCAGGATCAATTTTGCCCCCAAGGATTCGCTGTTTGCGGTATCAACACTCAAATTGAAGGCGACCAGGGCGGTGGTGACGATACAGCATTGAACAATGTGGACCTCCGATGCTGTCGAGTTCCACCTGTCAGTCTTTCTTGTACCCCTAGCTACACACTGGAGCGGCTGACTGAGTACGACAATCGACTTGGGGCCGGAACTATTCAGATCGAATACCAGAAGAAAATCTCGTTCAGCAGAACTACCGGAAGCACTAAGACGGTCGGTCGCGAGGAGAAAGAGGCAGTTTTATCAAGTAACAAATTTTAAAAATTTTGTTTCGGATTCAAAATTTTTACAGTTATGTTTTATAGATACATTTTCATTCAGAATTTGAAATTCCTTCAGAAAATCGTCAATTATTGATATTTCCAGAAGTGACTACCGGAGTAGAACTCTCAGCCGAAGGGATGTACAAGGGCGTAACACTAACCGGAAAAACATCAGTCAACTATGAGCACAGAAATAGTCGTGAAACGATTTCAAGTCATCAAATTCAAACAATGGTCCAGGAAGTGATGTCGAATGAAAAAACTGTGAGTGATGTAAGTCGTCTTGAAATAATATTCCATTTTAAGATCACCGAAACATACAACGTTCCCGCCCACAAAGGAGTAGTTATTGAACAACTATTTATGACATGTGGTAACATCAAAGTGGGATTGCCAAAAATTGTCACCAGAAGCAGTTAAAGTTTGAACGTCTAATGATTAATAATTCAATAATTTCTTTTCTGAGCCCGTTTTAATTATAATTTTCAATTACGCAGTATGAATACCTGTAATTCAGAGAAAATGAGTTTCTCAAGTTCTTATAAAGTCTTTCTTTTTATATTCACAATTTTCTTGTACTTTTGATTAAAACTACATAGAGGTATATCAATAAAAAAGTTGAGAAGATTCGACAGTTCAGCCGGTTCTTTCTCTAACAATGGGAATCGAGAGTTGAGGAATTCAAACTGGATACCAGAGCTTCTCTGCATTTGATTGTTGCAGTTTTTCTGATCTAACTTCAAATGATATTTTTATCACCCGAGAACTAGGTTCATTATAAACTTTCTTACTATCTCTTTCTCTTTACTATTTTTTGGCATTCATTCATAGTAACTTAGATACATTTTTTATTTTCACAATTTCCAATCGTCATAAACATCCTGAGGATTAGTTCAAAAGATGAATTGAAAAACCAGAGAATATTTTTAAAATGTTTTCCAGATACTATTAGTTTCTCATCATATTTTATTCTGAGCAGATCAACGATAGTTATATTAGGGTGTTCCATAAATTATGTCGTTTTTTTTCGAGGGCAGTTTTCTCTGTCATGACTCGTTCTAATGTCAAATTGATTTTTGTTTGTCACACACCTAATCGAGTCGTCGAAAATCATTATCTAACATGTGTCATAATGCTCTCAGTTATTCGAGGAGAAATTATGGAAAAAGTGTACTTTTTCGCTTATTTTCTATACGAATCCATGCTCGGCAGAAATGCAACCGAGACAACCGAAAATATCAACCGTGTTTCCGCAGAAAGAAGTGCTAACTGAAAAACAGTACATCGATGGTTCACAAAATTCACATGTGGAGATGCATCCCTGGAAGAGAAAAAGGTGGTGGAAAGAATACTGAAGTATGGTGGAAGGGGTATCCGAGATCGACCGTCAGGGAACTTTTGGCAGTGCTTGGAGTCTCTGCCAGAACAATATTGAGACGTGAATAAGAAAAAAAGTCATTTTTTTGGATCGAGTTGTGGTGTATAAGAAAAAATGGACTTTATACTACAATGAAATGCGATCAGCGCCATATCTGGTCAAAAGCCAGAAGGTGCAACATCTTACAAAGCCGGAAATTTGCCAAAAAGAGATTATGGTGACTGATAGGTGTCCGGCTTTCGGTTTTATTCCTTATGACGCCCTGAAAAGATATAAAACTAACACTGCGGTTTTTAATTGTCAAAATAGTGAAAATTTGTTATCCAAAATGCCAGCACTAGTCAAAAAATTGGCATAATCCTACTCGACGACAACTCCATGTCACATGTTGCAATCGTGGAGGCTCAAAAAATGGAATACGTACGGTTACAGAATTATCGGTCAATCATCATACTTGCCGACATATCCTACCATTTTTTCAAGCATCTTGAAAACCTTCCCAAAAAGAACCAGTTCATTAAAAAGCGACTATGCAAAAAGGCTTTCCAATGTTTCGTCACTTCCTGGGCTTCTGGTTTCTGTCATGATGGAATTTTCAAATCAGTATATTGTAGACAAAACGTACTGATTCGAATGATACATAGTTTGTTTGATGAACATGAGTTTCACTGAAGTTATCTTTGTTTGAAGAGTGGTACCAAAAAACGACATTATTTATGGAACACCCTAATAATTTTGAAGCACTTTAAATTTTGGATGTTTTATACGCTGATAATTATGATCAGTTTTGTTTTGCGACCCTAAGAGTTTTTTTTTTTTAAATTAAAGTTTTGAACATTTATTTCAATACAATCGAAGAAGAAAGAAAATGGAAGAAGAAAAAAAAATAGAAGAAGAAAAAAAATGAAAAAATTCAAACCTATAAAAAGCCAAACGAGAAATGCGAAAAAACCTTAGCCGAGAAAAAAATTTGAAAAACAAATTGTGAAACCAAGTAGATTTCTTCAAACAGAAGAAACCAAGTTATGTAGAGCTTAGATCCGCCAATATTTTCTTGCAAATGGGATAAGCTCTAGATTTTCCCGAGTCAATCTTTTCATTCTTCCATCATTCGATCGTTGAAGGAACTGTTCACAGCGCTCACCAAAGTTGTGAGTGACAAGTAGATGGAAGTCGTCAAAATAGTGTGATACTCCGGAAGGATTGTGTCGATTTCTTTCAGAACTTAGAATCCTGAAATTCAGAATGTGTTTTAACAAAAATTTTAAAAACTGGATTTAAGTAAATAGACTCACTCGTACAATGACGGAAGCAGTGAAGTTTCTGTCGTTGGCTGAATCGGTTTGAGCATCCAAAGGCTTCCAAAAAAGCAGAAATGCAACTTCGCTCGACTCATGACAGCATGAATGAAACGGAAATCATTCATGATCCCAAGTTCTCCTGAAAAAGAGAGTTATCGAAAGTTCAGTAATATGAACAAGTCTCACTCATTGGGTTGTTTCTAACGAGGCTGAACAGTACGACATCGAATTCTTTCCCTTGAACATCGTACGGAAGGCCAACAATGGTTCTTTTTGAATTGATCCAATAGAGGTTGTAGCTTGGGAGAAGGTCAAGTTTTTTTCGAATCTCTGCTTTCTGTAAAAAGGTAATAAATCAGCGATATAAGCCTATGAATTATTCTTACTTGTGCGTCAGTAGTCACAAGAATGGCAATTTGAGCAGGATCGATTCCATTATGTACCAAGCTCTCATAATAGCCAATACAGAGATCAATTTCATCTGTAAGATAGTCTTCGTTATTATACTTTTTAGAAATAATTCAACCTACAATTATTGATATAGTCTCCGTTGATGCATTTCTCAAACCCTTTCCCATCTTCCATACTTGTATCAAATGCAGCAATGTTCTGTTCAGTCGCTCTGTTTCGTTGTAATCTTGCTGGGTTATTAACATCAGGAGTACACCTGTGAAATTTCATTCTCAAATAAAACAACTATGTCTGGACTTACGAAAGCTCACCCTTTGTACAAAGTGAGAAATTAATGTCATCATCGGGATATAGTTGGTTGACTGCGAATCCCATAATGTTCCTGTTTCGGTGATAAATAGTATCCAAACGGAATCGGCTGAAATTTGGTTTGACCTCCAGCCAGCACACAATATTTACTATGGATTCATCACAATGTTGTCTGAAATTGCAATCGTTTCTTGAGTATATAAAATTTACCATACCGCTCGATGGGATCTGTTTGTGGGTAAAGGTGAGGGTCGCTCGCTATGACAAACCTCGCTTCCCTGATTGCTTCTGGAACTTCCTGCCTGGTCATCACTTGCAATGCATCGTCTGAATAAATATTTTTTGTACTAGGAAGTTGACTTAAAGCTCACCAATGATAACAAGGTTTGGCTTGAAAAACCTTATAAAAAAAGGAAGGAATGGCGAGCCAGATAACGCGAAAAATGTTTGCAGTGGTTCCATAACTTCCTGCAAAACATTATCCGTCAGTTTTATAATGCAAATCAACTTACGTAAATTTTATTCAAAGGGTCCGTGACAAAATTGCTCATTAATGCTCTTGTGAGACTTTCGAGCTTGTCCCTTGAGATTATTTCTTTGTAATTCATATCCTCCCACATTTCCTAAAAACGTTAAAAGATTTTACTGATAGTTTACAACTTCTTACTATAACTTTGAGAAGCATTTTGGCTTCAGGAACTCTATGAAATTGGTCGAAAATATCCATTTCTGAGCAAACACCTGAAAATAATCTCTTTAAAGAAAATGTCTTTGTTTCTTAAGCGCTTACAATTTGGCTTGACATATCCAATGTTTCTTATTGCTCCACGTTGAAGCCATTCTTTTCCGCCGTCTCGGAAGCTCTTATACTGCTCGTAAATGGCATCCAAGGAACTTTTTTTTGGTGCAAGTACTAATGTATTACTTATCCATAGTTTTGCTTCCAAAACTGAGAGATACGCCAAACAACGGGTTTTTCTGGTCCCAGGAGGTCCTTCAAGGAAAATCAACTCTCTACTCGAATTGCTTCCCATTTCCAAGGCATGTATTTAAGAATCATCAAACGGGAGATTTTCATTAATTTCGGGATCTGGTGACAATCCATTCTCATCTCGTTGACGGAGTTCTTGCAAAATTCTTGCTATGGTAGTCATTGGAGGATGATCCTCCACACGACGATTAGGTGCTTTGAGACTATAAATGTCATCAGTATTGAAGCGATGATATTTATCGCTCTCATGAGATAGCACAACGAGGAATATCTGAAAAAAAAACTTATCACACAAAATAAGGAAAACTCCATTTTACATTTGGGTCACTTCTGGAAACTTCTGGAAGTATGGTTCCGAACAAATGGGTTCTAAATTCTAAAAGCATTTGAACTCTTCTACCTGAAACAAATTGCATAATTTACAAAAGGCATAAGTTAAAACTCACCATAATCGCCTTCATCAAACTCTCCTAAATTTTTGTCGCATAATCGTTCGAAAATGATAATGCCACCTTCGAATTGGGATAAGTCGTATACTCGGAAACGTCCGAGATCTTTCATGTCTCTGTCAAGATCCTGAAGAATGTTTTTAAATAAGGGTTAATTTGAAATCGAAAGTTCTGTACCATTCTGTCTGGCAAATGTTGATATCAGCAATTGCTTTGATGTTTCAGAGGATGAGTTATTGAATGATAAATTCTAAAACCAATTATATGATCAGACTCTAAACATAAGAAACCTTTTAAAAAATTTCAGTCAAAATACTATATATTTAACAGGTAGGAACAAGATTGTCATTAGAGGTAAAAACATTGAAATCGAGAACTATGATAGGAAACGGTATAGCTTCATTTTTCTGCAAAAACCATAAAATATAAAAACACTACGAAGCGTTTTATGATTCAAATACTACGAAGCGTTTTATGATTCAAAGTCAAAAAGGGGAAATGAGATGAGAATGAAAAAATTCGCTTTTTGAACCAGAACATCTGTGAAGCACTTTACGATAATTCCGTTAAAAAGTCGATAAACGAAAAACAATTACCAAGCCGAAAAGTGCCATCTGCTGATGCACGAGATAATCCAATAAACTTGCGAGCGCAGATGCAGTGGTTTTTCAATTTTTCAATTCATTGTTACATTTTGAGGTGATTTCGCAGCTTTTTGTGGGCAACTGAAAACCAGTGGGTTGGAAGTTTTTTCGTGTATATTCCAAATTTATGAAACACAAGATTCCAAGTTTCAAGAGGAATCGAGTTATAGACAAAATATATGATTTTGAGTGAAAAGCGAATTACTTTGTAAGAAAGTTGTTCGTGTTCTCACGTGTACCACAAAATTGCATTCGACCATGGGAACAATGTATTCTAAGAACTACATTGGTGTGACCGTGGCTACTTGGCCGAAATTTCACCCAAGCGTAATACAAAAAATTCTAGTTCACCAATTTTCTTTTTTTTACTGACATGGAATGACACCCAAGTATTACCTTCAAAAAAAATCGAGACCTATATGGTTGAATAGAGGGTAAAAAGTTATCTTAGAATCCAAGAGGAATATATGATAAAAAGATGTTATAAGGAGTTATGGACCAAAACGTACCAAAAAATGGCACAACATTCAAAAATTTATAACTTTGTCAGTCTATGTCTGTTTGTTGAAATTCAAAAAACATTAGATAGACAATCAACTGAACTTTTGAAAAAAAAATTGCTTTTTTCCTATTGATTGGATTATTGATTTTTTGAAAAAACCAAAAATTTTTGCTTCACAATTGAGATAATTAATCTAGATGTAATAATTTGCAACTAGAAAAAACCATTGTGATTTTTTGGAAGTAGATTTTCATTTTGTGAGATTTTGGGAGGGAAAGGCGTTTTTACGGGACATAAAATTTCAGATCCCTGTCAAAAAAACGTATAAAAGCGAAGAATCATAACGAGTTTCCTAAAGGCGGAAATTTAAATCTGAATCATCAGAGCTGGAATAAGTATAAGTTGATCTAACAATCGATATGATACATTTCTTATAATAAAGTACCGTATTTATGAAACTTGTTTTTGAAAATTAATTTTGTTACCAAAAATTGACTGAAAAGCGCAAAAATTAAATCTTCTCATTTTCATGGAACAATGATGCTAAGTTTGTTCCATGCTTACGCTCAATTTGCATTTAATTTCCTGCCTACACTCAGTTTGCTGATGTCAATCTCAAAAAGGAAGTTAATTGATACAAATAGTACGAATGGTTATTCAAAAAAAAATCTCGGTGTCACTATATAGGAAGTGTGCAAATCGAATTATTGTAAAAAAAGCAAGCGGGGGTGGTGGGAAAGAAAAGAGTGCTGTATTTGCATTTTTTTTCTGTTTTTTTCCCATCCAAGTTTAGCTGTGAATCAAAAAATCAAACAAAAATCCAAAGATCATTACAGTAATAAAGGGGTTAAGTGTTTTTGAAGTTCAGAGGTCTTTGAAATATAGCTAAAAAGCGTCAATATTGAAAGATAATCGTTTTCTTTCTGGAAAATTCTCACATTTCCATTGAATAGTAATGCTAATTATGAAAATAATAGAAACAACGTTCGGTAAATTTCCCCGGTCCCATTTTCGTTTTAGAAAAAAAAATCAGTTTTCTAGAGAGAAAACAACTTTAGAGAGAAGATTTTCATGGAAATGGCTTCAGGCAACCGACTCGGAACAATAGTACGATGTGAAAAATGCGAAGAACTGAGAAGACAAGGATAAAGCTTTCTGACACTTGGTTGAGCTTCATCTCTTTTTTTTCTGGACCTTTGCAGTGCTGAGTAGACATCTTATCGTTCATCGACACTTTTTCAGTATTTTGTGAGAGATAGAGCAGAAGAAGTTCTTTGAAAAATGTTCAACTAGTGATTTCGTGCTTTCGAAGTAAACAAATAATTGTGAAGAGCCACAGATTTAAAAGAGAGTTGAAATATATGTTCCCTCGCGTAAACGTTTTGAAGAAAGTTTACTAGTGGGAAAAAGATCTCTCACATGTGTGCGAGAAATGTTTTTTTTTCATTTCTGGGACAGCGGGCGAAGCATCGTGATAATTTATTTCACTGAGTAAACTCAGTTCAGTTTTCCAATCTGATTCATTTTTACACAAATGATCTATTTTTTTGGAAACTCGCAGAGGTTCGCGTCAAAAATAAAACAGAAAAAAACTTCAAAAGAACATTTAGTTACAAAAGCAGGGTCTTCAAATTATGGGTCTCATCCCATTTTTTGAAAATTCCTTTCAGAATTATTCTTCAATTCAAAATTCTGGTGTCCCGTGCTTCACAATTGAGATAATTAATCTAGATGTAATAATTTGCAACTAGGAAAAACCAACAAGTTTGCTGGATCGATGTCAATTTAATCTTCTCAAAAAATGAATGCATGCTGTTCTTTAAAAATGAAAATCGAACAGGGTAGCGCACCAAAATAAATGGTCAGGATAGTAGGATTTTTCACAAAAATGGATATGAACAAGGTTTCGTTTATTGTGATTTTTTGGGAGTAGATTTTCATTTTGTGAGATTTTGAGATGGAAAGGCAGCATCCGGGTAGAAAAAACATCACTTATTTCTTCGATGAAGCAGCATCGTCTGTAATTAAGAGAAAAGGAAAAGCAGCATCAATCTTGGCTTCAACCAAAATGGTGAGACGCTCGGCTCTCTACTCTCATCTTCTGGTTCAAAGTTAAAGGGGCTTAGCATCTTCGTCATTGCTTTCGACAAAAGGTGCCCAAATGTGCCTGTGGAAAAGACACTGGCCAGATTTCGGTCGTAATTTGAACACTGATAGACTGAATGGAGGTGTTCAACTTCCACCAAAAGCTACTTTTCCGAACTATATTTTTTTGTCGATTTCTTTAAAAACCTTTGTTTTCGATTTTACGGCCAAGCAGTTTGGTTACTTGGCTTTGGTTGTTCAACTAGTTATTATGAATTTCCTGTTTTTTTTCAGGGCTTGTGGAATTGCATAACTCTGGAAATAGGAGACAAGATTCGCACGCCAATTTTTTATTGATACAAATACATCGGGAGTGGGGTCTGAATACAAAAGAATACATTCTTGAAAACGTAGTGTCCAGAAATGAAGATCCCAAAATATTCAGAAATACATGACATTCGGCGAACGAAAAAGCATATGAATAGAATATTGCAATGACTTTGCGAGAAACAGTTATACCGAGACAGAGAAAAAAGCAGAACATTTGTAAACGGACCGCAGGAAGAGAAAAAAGAAAAGGAAACATAGACCAACGGTTGTACTCGTGGGAAGAGAGAACTAAAAAATTTGGGGGGGAGGGGGATTGCGACAAAAGTATGTGATAGAGACATGTGAAGTTAAGGAAATTTGACTGGTTGGGAAACATTCCACGGGGACAGAAATGAAGCATTTGAGAAGACAGAAAAAAAGAGTGAAGCTGACAAATGACCAATTATGAATTTTCGGATTTTTTTGGACTTTTGAATATTCCACTTTTTTTTGGGATTTTGTATTATTTCTTAGGGGGAAATTTTTGATTCTAAAGTTGATCATAGAAAATATCACAACTTTAAAAGAACAATAAATTACAGAAACTTAGACAGATTGCAAGCAGAAACGGCTAAAAACAAAACCGAAGGAAACTATAAAATGTGTCCGTTGGTGTCTGAAAAGTTTAAGTACCAGTTGACTTAGTAGCGCTAGTGGAATGGGGCGAATGACTGGAAAATCAAACAACCATCACAGGAGAAAAATAAGATGACGAGAAGGAGCAGAAAAATTAGGGCGAAGCGTGCAGACAAAAAAAATAAAAAAGCGAAAGAAAAGTGATTATATTACAAATGTGGTGTGCAAGATGAAAGGAAGCGGGGGGATGAGGAAAAATCTCATCAAACTAGAAAATTTTCTAAAATGAAAATGTAGCGGTGTGCTGGAAAACCTTCCAGTCAAAATATTGATTTTTAGACTTCAAAATGGATTGTTAAAAAATAATAAAAGAAAAAGAATGAAGCAATGAAGTGATTAGTTATTAAAAGCTCTTGGAATATTAGGTGGATCCAAAAATGGGTTTGGGAGAAGGCCAGCGACAGTTTTTGGATCGAAAAGTTGGGACATCGGGTAAAGGTTGACATTTGGAAGAGCGGCGGTATCAAAAGTGGTAGCTGGGATGAAGTTTTCCTCTGTTTTGAAAAGGTTTCCAAAATTCAGTGGGTCCGGTCTAATTGGATTGACAGCTCCAGTGCGAGTAGAACTTCCACTGTTGCTTGTGCTACAAATAATTCTATCAACCAATGGTCCTTCACCCTCTAGTCCTCACCTTGGACCATTGCTATCCTCATCGCTGGACAGGGTGATGACAGAAATCGCCGGTGAGTCTTTCTTCTCTTCTTGTGATCCTGATTCAGCTGGTTTTGGCTTTGGAGCTGTATTGATGACTGGTTGAATGCGAGGTTGTTGGTTTTGTGCTGCTGGTAGATTTTGTTGCAATAAATTTGGCTGAAGCAGATTTTGTCCTAATCCCCAGCTGGAGTTATCGTCAGGGAACGGGATTGTAGGCGGATTAAACGCAGTGTTCGGCATGGGTTGAGCCAAGAACGGTGGAAGCCCGAAAGGTTGTGGATTGTTCCCGAACACCTGATTCAGGGTGTTGATCTGCGGCAGTGCGGGTTGCGGTGCTCGCATCATATCATTTGCGAGTACGGCGAATTGTTGCGCGGTGCCTGGTGGCCACTGTCCCTGAAGCATTGATGGATCCATTATGGGTACCGGCACAAACTGTGGAACCATATGACTCGGGGTGGCCAGGGATAAAAAATGCGGTGGTCGGGGGACGAAAGGGTGATCTGCAAGATGTCGAGGTTAAAGAATTCGAACTGGCAGTTTTGAAACAAAAACTTACGGAGCTGCGCATACTGGAAGAGTGGTCCAGTTTGTATGGGTTGGTAGAAGAATTGTCCATTTCCATTTGCTGTAGCCATTTGTTGTGTGTAATGATGCAACATATTCGAGAGGTCCGGCTGAGCTGGGGGGATACTAGAATTTGGGAGACCGCTCATCTGTGGCGGAAGCATGGCAATTATTGGTTGCTGAAGCTTCTGTGGGATCACTTTCTCGGCTGGAGTGATTGGAGTTGGCACGTTTGGAACACGATACTGAGTTGGTAGACTGTTCTTTCGGCAGATCTCCATTCTCTTGTGAGCTTCGTGGATGTAGTTAGAGAAAGCATAAGGGGTCAGGTGGGTCATGTTGACGAACTTGGATTCCAATCCCTCTGATGGCATCATACGGAAGTCTGGGTTCAAGACGAGCATCTTCTTGAGAACCTCAACGAACTCTTGGCGATCGAGCCTATCACAGATTTGCTCGACTGGATCCGATTCGAAGGTGTAGCTGACACGGGTGATGTCCTCGAGCACGTTGAAAATATACTTTCTTGTTTCTTTGGACTTGGCGGTGGCAGAGGACGCTTCATACTCTTCGACAGTCTTCAAGCGGTAGTAGCTTCCGTGAATGTTAGTGTGGTTTGGGCTTCCAGACTTGACCTCCTTGAAGAATCGATGAAGCTTCGATGCGTTTTCCAGCATTGTGGTTGGTGGAAGTCCTTGAGTTTGGATGATGAATCTGAAAGCTGTTCCTGCTAAAACGTCCCTCAAGACCAATTATTACCTAATCTGATCATACTCCGAACTTCCCGGGTATAATGGCCAGCCGAGGAAGAGTTCAGCGATCACGCAACCCAATGACCACATGTCAATTGACTCGTTGAATGGAAGACCGAGGATGATTTCGGGCGCGCTGAAAGAACCATTTTTCTGGTTGTACATAAAAGAAAACTAATTACTTACCGATAGTATCTACTTTGTAGATAGGTATTAGTTACAACCTTGTGCCTTTGAGAAGCACTTCCGAAGTCAATGACCTTCACTCGGTATGGTTGCTGTTGCGGGTCGACCAGCATGATGTTTTCAGGTTTCAGATCAGCATGAATCAAACCGAGCGACTTCAATTTGTTGAGTGCAGTAAGCACTTGGAACAGAATCGGGCGAATGGCATTGAGTGGAAGCGGCATGAACTTGTTTTGCTTCAAGAAGTCATAGAGGTTCTGTTCGAGCATCTCGAAGACAAGACATGTGTGGCTTTTGTGGTTGAAGCACTCGAAAGCACGAACGAAGTTGAACTCTTCCGAATTTTCATTGCTCAGCCTGGAGAGAATCGACACTTCGATTTGTCCCTGTCGTGCGTAGCTGGGGTGCTTTTTGAGGATCTTGATTGCCACGATTTCACTGGTTCCTTTCTTCCACGCCTTCACAACTTGACCGAATGTTCCTTTGCCCAGGAACTCGAGTACTTCGTAGTGATTTCCGTAGGGAGAGCAGAGCACCTCATTTTTGATGAGCTGAAAAATAAGATGATTGTCAAAACTATTATAACTATTACTCTCGTCCGAAATCATTGCACGTTGCGGCCGAAAATTTACTCAAAATCGCATCGTCGGTCGCACAGCGAAAAAACAAATTGATGCATGCGCTTTTAAATACCGTACCTCGGACGTTTTTTATTTTGGGCACTAATTGGCTGTTTTTTTCTGTTTTATAAGAAAAATAAATTAAAGATTTATAAGAATTACACAAAATTAGACAGAAACGTGCATTGATTTCGGACAAGAGTAATATTGTTATTGTTATTAGAGATCTAATTGCTGGATATCTGGAAGACAAGGTACGGGTTTCTCACCGTCTTCTTCTCTTTACACGCACAATGGATTTTGAGGTGAAGACCGACAAACCATTGTGAAAATGATGGTGGGAAGAAGACCTACATGTAATCCCGAAGGTTCCTGACAAACCAACAATTAAGTTATGGGTGAAAGTGCTATTCCCACTATGTTGCTAATCACGTCCCAGAAGAGAATACGAGAAAAATGTGAAGTCGAAAACTCAGATAAGAAAATGTGCTCTATTGAACTGCCTCAAATTTTTCTTTTCTACAGCAACTATAAGACTAGCGTTTTTTTCAAGATACTCCCTTCATTTTCGGTTACCATACCTGATATTCTCCCTCTCCGGAGCTCTTTCCACGTGTCGACATTGCTGTATTCTTTGCTGTACTCGTCACGATCAGTGGTGCCATCTTCGATGTTGCTGTAGCAGTGGCAAGAGTTGGAGCAATGACAGCGGCCGGAATAACAGCTCTGCCAAGTCCAGTTGAGTTTAACAAGTTTTTCGCAACAGCGTCTCTCTGAAAAGCAAATTAATTAGAGACGTGGATTCAGCTATAAATATATACCTCTTCATCCGCTCGGCGCTTTGCGGCGCGTTGCTCGTTGTCCGTTGCTGTTGGCTGAAAAAAATCGATATTTAGAGTTAAAATAGAATTTTTGAAGATTTCAAAGTTTAAAGGCAATAATAAAGATGTCTTCTCACTGAGTCATGAGGTTGATGAATAAAGTGCCAAATTGGTAGCTCTGTTTGGACACGACATCCAGAACCTAATCATTCTCGCTGAATAATAAATATCTCGAGAATGAGAGAGCCAAGAAAGGGCAAACGCTTTCGAATAATGAGAAGAAGAACATTCAACGGACCAACAAGACAATTGTGTGGACAAGAAGAGTCCCAAAGAATGAAACACACAAGAAGGCAGTCGTTGTGTGCGCACGCACCGTGAGGACCCTCTCCTTCCCAGAGACTAAGAATCTATTAAGGACAGTCGACGGGACCTGAGTCAGGGTAACCAAACAAATCCAACCGCGCAGGTTTTCGGGGCCTATAAAATTTATTAGAGTGGAAAGGAAACACCGACGGATTATGTTGAGGATGCGTAATCCTTTTCGAAATATGTTTGTTTTCGAGAGAATCGAAAAATATTATTGCATTTTTCGGGTTGGGGAAAAATTACGCTGAGAAATTTGGAAAACTGATTTTTCCTATCGATTATCGCAAAGTCCTAAAGAAAACCCTTCATGGGAAACTAGGATTGCGTGTGACGAAAAAGAAGAAGATGAAGTGAGAAACGAAAAATGGCAGGACGCAAAAAAGAAGTAAGTAGGAGAAAAGAAATAAATGAGGATAATTTCTGTTGATAGAAAAAAAAACGTCAGATGGGGAGGGGAAAATGAGCATCCCTCCATCGCAGCTAAGTCGAGATAGCAGACACATAGAAACACACAGATAAAAATGATGATAACGATGGGAAATTGACGTTGGAGACGCTTGAATGAGTTCTAAAAATGAGTCAGGATGACTCTAATGTCTCACATGCCGTTCCACTTGGTTTTAGAAATCCTGACATACTTTAGCGTAGACATCTATCCTTGTGGCTACTCTGTCTGCTCAGACTTTGAAAAAACTGAGAGAAGGCCCAGAGTGTCAAAGAGTGTAATGAGAGACCGGGCGACTTTTCAATCAGCTAAAATGAATCTGCAGCACACCGAAAGTAAAAGAAGAACATTTTTACAACCTCAGTGAGGGAAAAGTTCATTGTCGAGTCAAATCAGAGGCACAAGGACGTTGACTGTCTGCGAAACAAAACCCAGTGCCAGCATCGGCGGGTTTTTATTCTGCCCCGCTATTATGGGGCTGGTGATCAAGTTTCTCGTTTTTGGAATTTGAGAACCTATCTTCAAAAAAATGGAGGCAGAAAAGCACGTAAGAGGAGCGAGGAAGAGAAAAAAGTAGGCGGCGTTCAACTGTCGACCTTCCCTCTCTAATATTGATCAAATGTTATGATAAACTTTCGAGAGAAAATGAAAACTAGGCGTCGGGTTGCGCGGTTCGTCTCAAAAGACAACACAACCGACTACGTAATTGTGTATGTCAGTGTTTGGAAGAATAAGATACCCGAACTGTATTCACTGAGAAACGGCGCCCGAACGAAATGCCGAAAAAAAAACCTGTCAACACGTTTACCTCAACCACATTTTTTATCAGTCAATCAACTATTGTGAAAAATTGAACAGGTTAACGCGAAAACTACCGAGTTGATTTCAAATAATTCAGTAACGCCACCCTCTGCAAAAGCGCCGCGCAGTTTTTCTAGCGTTTTTAAGGGTTATATTTTCAAGTTTCCAGACAACTTTTAAGGCTCGGCATTTGAAAAAATAGTTTATTTTTCTTCACAAATTATTCTTTCTTCCCAATTGAACAAAATTCGCTGAAAAAAAACCTCGAGAAACTGTGCATCTTTTAGCTGAAGGGATTGTTTACTTATTTGAAATCTAATCATTAGCTTATGCGTTCGTTCATGGAATTGTTTTGAATTGACAATATCGATTGTCCTGTGATACGTTAAGTCAGCTTATTGGACATTGATTGGTGAAAAGAACGGGGTTTTCTGAGTCACAAACATGTTGCTCCAATCTGTGAGGTGCCAGCGCAAGTGTTTTAACAACATGATGTGATCCTTGAGACGTTTTTTTTCTCGTCTTGTGCTCTCACTCCCAAACCGATGGGCCGTTCTCAAAACAAAATATTAGAAGACTCATTCTCCCTCCTTAAATATGATGCGGGTGCTTGGGAATGGAGAACCAGCAAAAAGATGTAGAAGTAGTGATGATGCAAATATCTTGCATTATAACCACTTTCACAGAAGAACTCGATAATGTGAGCAGACGGGCAAAAGTAATAAATTTTCCGTTGGTTCCTCCATACTGTCATTGTAACCGATCCACAGCGCCATTGGTTTGAGCATAAATTAGAAGTGGCAAGTGTACCTAAACCCAATAGGTATCTCTTTACTACCGTACCCTCCTGTTTGGTCAGAACGAAGTTCAACTAATCAGACCAGAACCGGTTTTCAAAAAAAAAAAGATAGAATGACTTTGGTCAAGAAGACTCACCTGACTCAGTAATAGGTTCTCGGGCAGAATCCGCGCAGTGAATGCAGACGCTGGATTCAGATTCTTGAAAATGTCGTTGAAGTCGGTTAGATTAGTCGCTTTCCGGGTCTCATCCGATTGTCCGGAATTCTTTCGCTTTGGCATCACGATCAGAAGCAATGAGGAGAAGGCGGTTGGCTGATTAGTGAGCTCGGCGAAGTAACTTGCTGCTGCTCACACTCCCAGATGCTGTTCTCGCCGTCGTGGCCGACCTCCGCGCCGATTGGAAACTGTTGGAACTCCGAATTTTCAACTGTTGGGGCAATGTACGGATTGGGGTGACAATGTACAATGATGAAAACGCTCGAAAGCTCTGCTAGAAGCAGAGATTGTTCCGACCCGTCTCCTGAAATGACGATTGGTTTGAAGATATGAGAAGCAATGAGAAAGGAAGAAGGAAGATGAGACAGAACGGAAGATTACATAAAGAATGTATAATCTTTAATATGGAAATTTCTCAGAGAAGGAACGAATGATGGGAATGCGATGAAAGAAAAAAAAGAGAAGAACGAGAAGAATAAAACGAGGAATGAAGAAAAAACGAAAGAGAGAAACGAGAGACAATGTTTATGACGTGGAAAATTGCGATGTGCCCAGAAGCGATGGGCTGAAAGGAACGATGACAAAAACAGGGTCACTTCAAACCAACTGACTCATTTACCCTTACAAAAAAAAAACGATTTTCAAAGCGGCAAAGTTAAGAAGAAAAAACTGGACAACACAAAACCCAAAGAGAAACTTAGAAAGAGAGGTAAGTGACCAAAAAGCGCGTTTTTTTCTGGATGTCTCACCCTGAAATATCTTCCTTCCTACGCGAAGCACGTCACCTTAAACAGAATGGGATAATCTTCAGGTGAAATTTTGAATGACGTTCGTATTCTTCTTCTGACACGATGAAATTTGAATTTTATCAGATGTTCAATATTTCAAAAATTTGTTGTTATGGTTGTCTGAAAGAAAAAAGTGGAGAACGGATAACTTGTGAAATTTTTTTTAAGGCGCAAGTGCAATCTGCCGTATTTTCTTAGCCTAATTTTCGTATTGTTCAAACATTTTCTCTATTTTTCGACTATTGTCATCGTTTTTTCGATGTGAATCAATTAAAATTATTGAAAATTGGGAAGGAATGAAATAATATTTAAAACTGACTCAAAGATTACAGTAGTTCGAAATTGTAGGAAATTTTAACAAGAAATCCGCTGTCAACATTATTTCTCAGCCGACGATAATAACATGTCTAATTTCTAAAATGTATAAATGACTTTGGTAATCAATACTCCAACGCATCAATGAAATTTGATAGTTTTCCTGAAGTATCATACGTGAAATTATGAATGACTTCTGGCTCTTCTGGCTCGATCAGAAGGTCATGTTTATCAATATTCTCCACATCATCGACTAGAATATTTTTTCGCTGTTTTTCTGCCTCTTCCGATCTGCGGTGTGTGCCGTGACTGACAACGGCGAAAAGTATTTTTCACACTTTTTCTCTCCCTCTAGAAGATGTGTGGTGAGGTCTCCTCTTTTTTTTCTCTCCCCTGGCGCCGTCCCCTCCACATGCTCCCGTTCATCTAACTCACAATATTTTTCTGGCGGCGGCGGAAAAACAGATGTCGCCTAGGAAATAGCCAACCAGATTACAGTAATCTCCGCAAAAACTGAGGCGGTGTTTGAGCTAGTGACTACTGGCCCGGCTGCGAGCTGTTTGGGCATAACAAAAAGCTTTTTTGATGATTGATCGACAGCAATGGGTTTCTCTGATGGCTCGAAGATTGGCATATTTGGGGATGAGATGAAATGAAATGAAATGAAAAAGAGAAGATAGAAATTGAGATTTTTACGATTCTATCAAATTGAACGATTGGCTGTTTTGGTCCAATTAATTAGTAAAAAGGGATGAACTAGAAAGAAAGACTGATTTTTTTTCATCATGCGATTAGGGTTAGTCCTCGTGTTCTAAAAATCGAATAAAAACCGAAAACGAGAACATTTTCAAGTGTCTCGAGAAGAAAGTCTCCTAACATGCATGAAGTTTCAAACACAAAGTTCTTTTCTGAGACAATGCGATAAAAAGGAAAAAATTCTGAATCATCAGAAATGTTTCCAAGGTAGATCGAAAAAGTTTTGTTAGACGAGAGGAGGCAAGACGAGAGAAAGCGAAATTGTTGACAGGGATGGAGCCGAAAGCAATCTTTCAGGCAATCAATAGGGAGAAAAAAAATTTCCCAACTGCCGCGGCGCCGCTTGACGCTATCTCGAAAATTCAGAAAAAAACGAAAATGTAAGAGAAACAAGTTTTTTTCTCTTTTATCTATTCTTACCTCTCAACTTTCGCTGAAAATCAAATAGTGACAAGAAGAAAGTCAAAGAAGAGATTTGATACCATTTTTTTTCAGAAAACGTCAAGAAACACACAATGCGATGCTCTTGCTCTTACCTGACTGCTTCGTTTTTTTCTTGTTGTCACAAATTAGTCTGACAAAAGCAGTCACTGTCCGAAATGGTTTTGGACACGTATAGGACTAGACATCGTAGATCCAGTAGTCACCCGGTTTTAGAATCGGATGAAAAAACGCAGAAGGGAAGGGGACGAATCGAAACGACGATGACGATTCCTACGAACGAAACCAATTTCCATTCATTGAGGTCGTCTGTTCGGATTGAGAAGGAGAGAAATAAATTGGCAGATGATGTGGTTGAAGAGGTGGCTCGCGAAAAAAATCTTATTTGATAGCCCTGTAGAATTATGAAACTCGGTATTTTTTTATGGTTCCGTGCAGATGGTACCACCGTAAGCCATTAATCGGTCCTATTTCTTTAACAAAAAAACTGAAAAGTTACAGGAGAGCTATGAAGGAAAATGACCGCTAGATAGGAACCAGAATATTATAAGATCCTAACAAAAAATCTGAAGTGAATTGTTAAACAATGTACAGTATACTAGTTCTCTCTTTATACAATAGTCGTCTTCATTCTGGCTAATACTACCACCACCACTTATATTACCAGTCGCCACGTACAAAAACAGAAAAATACGAAGAAAGACGATGGAATGACGGACAATCATCATGGGGCATTGTGAATTCAGCCATGGGCATGACATATTTCAATGATTTCTTGCAAAAATTTTTTCTGAAATAGTAAAGCATTTTCAATGTTCTTCGGCGTCGCCAACGAGGAAGTCTAGGCCTTCAGAATATCTAAATTCTCTCTTGTTCACTCCAAATGAGTCATGTCTCGAAGGAAAAAATTTCAGACAGCAACTTGTTATTCAGAATAAGAGAAAAATACTTTATATATTCAATTACCTGTTTTTGTCATGCTATGACTTTCAGAGAAATGTAAGACTTCACCTAAAAATTATTCTTCAAGTTCACCTCTATCGCAAAGTTACGGTATTTCAAAAGGAAACAAAACACGTGACTTACGATCAGGAGGTATGGGAAGAAAAAGAAAAAAATCACCTCGAATTCTCAAATTCAAACCACGAGCTCTCTATCATCAGAAATGGGCGGGGGACGGCCGGGGGCACAGCAGAAAGAGTGTCCCGATGCCCCACACGAGAAGACCGCCTTCAATGGCCCAACCACGCTGCCAGAAGGGGTGGAGCAATAATGGCGCCTCGAGACGAAAGAAAAGAAGAAGAAGAATAAAGAAGAGGAAGAATTCTGTCCTCGACGCCATGAAACAGAAATGGATTTCCCTCAAAGTTCTATTTCTAGATAAGAAAAATGTCAGAGAAAAAAATACTTTACAGGAAAATTGCTTGAAAAACCCCTATTAAAGAAAACGATGGAAACACTGAAAGTCACGGGGAGGCAGGAATTTTTGTGTACAGTACAGTACTCTGTAGGGCAAGGCCATTTTTAGGGTAAAGCAGAAATTGGGGCCGTAACCGAGCGCTCGAGTGGAAAACGGCGCCTTTCTTCTCAGTAGCGCCAGCAGCCTCCCTTACAACACAACGTCTTCCTATCCTCGACACCTTGTTTCTAGGAATCGGGCGCCATCGGGCCCCGCGATCTTTCAACGAACGAGGAAGTCGGGATAAAATTGGATTGAATCAAAAAGAAATGATAGGGTTTGGATTTGGTTGCCTAGTATCGGGGAAGTCAATTTTTTTTCTTTTCGAAGAGCAGATGAAAAACCGACTGATGATGGAATAGGGAAAAAGTGGTTTGACGTTGAAAGTCACTCTTCCATTACGTCTGCTCCTTCCATGACGGGTGGGGGAATGAACTGAAACTGATAGGAAGAAAGAAGGAAATTGAGTAGAGAGTGGTGTTGTATTTTCCCCTATTGTTTGAAGGAAGAAAGAATGGAATTTTCATTGTATCTTGATATTAAACATGGAAATTGTGATACACTATCTTCTAGACAACTGTGATATATTCCAAAAATCAGATGATTCCTTGAACAATAGACAAAGACCCCAGACTGAACAAAAACATATTTTTCAGATATCTATATCTCAAAAAAAGAGCATAACCAAAAACAGCCAATTCTTCTGTATATTCAAAGAAAAACGCCTCGTCTCTCTTTTCTGGGAACAGTTTACCTCCAATAACAATCAAGGTTGTTTTTCAGGTTCTTCTTTCGTATAGTACTGAAGCTTTTCGTGGACAACCAGGAAAAACAAACATATGCGTCCGTACCCATCTGACTTCGTAAATATATTCTGAGAAGAAAACGGGCAAGAAATTCTCGAAGACCTTCAATAAGAAATTTTCATTTCAGAATGTATATGGGCCCGCCGATATTCTATCTCTTTTCTTTCTCTTCCAGATCCATTTCATCATATTTTTTTTGCGATCTTCCCTCTTTTTTTCTAATTATTTCTTAGCCGAATATTTCTTTTTTATTGGACCATAGTGACTCATCTCATTGAGGGCCTACAGTAGCTCCCCTAAAATTTAGAAATCCAACACAACAAGTGACCTGTGGTGGAGGAAGAGAGATAAAAAGAAAGATTGACAGAAAGAAAAAGCGATAGAACATAGAAACGACATAGAGTTAAGGCTATGCCAGTAGTGTGTTTGAGAGGGACCTACCGTAGTTGCTTATTTTTAAGGAACCTTCAACATTTCACAATGGATTCAGACGATGGATCCAGTTAGATGGCGAATAGTCTATGGTTTGCCTAGGCCCCCCTCCGAACGACAAGACCCGATTTGATCGATGTTGATCGTGTAGATAGTGTGCTTTTCCCGGAGTCCCAAACATTCCCTACCATTTCGAAGACATCGTTCAATGTGGGGAGAGTACCCGCTGAAGATTGGATTATCGGAGAGACGTCAGACGGTGAGCGTCTCTTCTAAAATGCTTCCTCTGTGTGATGTGTACACATTGCGCTCCGAAGGTAGAGAAAACGACAGAATGAGTCAGTGTATGGGGTAGGAGAGAAGAAGAAATCGGCTTCAAAGTGGGAGAAAGCAAGGCGCAGACGCGGCAGAAGTGCCTGTGAGCGCAGTTGCCCACATACGAGAGACAACGAACGCAAAAGAGACATCCATGGCTATACAGCAAAAGATTGATAGACGAACGACAGATGGAGGAACCGAGATAGCAGGAGAGGCGAGGGGCTTCTTCGAAAAATGTGACAGTACGTCAAGTATTAGAACGCAGAATGACAGAGGGTTCCGATCTAACCTATTTTGCTTCACAAGAAGATACGAGTAGAGAGAGGAGAATCAGAGAGAAGGAGACATTTCGGGCCAAGTGCTGTCTCTTTTTCTTCTTAGAGTGTGTGTGTATTCGTTTTGTGGACGTCTTTTCAAATGTCGGAATTATGGGCCCTTTCAGATGGGAAATGGTTTTAAAGACGGGTTACGGTAGACAGGCATTGGTCTCAAGCAAGAAAACTTCACAAGAAAAGAGAAAAATTGATAGACAAAAAGGTACTCAAAAAGGATGGACTAAAATTGCACGAACAATTCTGCAATTTTCGGAAAAATGAAAATGACTACGGTACCTATTTTGTGAAGCGAATTGTATAGTTTCTAATCTGGATTATTTATGTGTTTTCGAGAACAAATTCAGTCTGGAAAACAACAATTACGGTATTCAAATCTTCAAGACAAGGAATCAGGATTGAAAATGTCTGGAGGAGTTCTGGAGTGTTTTCTCTGCGAAAAAAGACAAATCACATGAGTCAAAGTTTTTCAGAGACAATCAAGCCCAACCAGATTACGGTAGTTGGAAATAAAACTCCAACAAGGGTTACTGTACGAGTTTTGTTCTAATTGTGAATTAAGAAACTGCTGAGAGCATGAAGACTGGAAAAATATTTTCAGTTGAATAAATTTTTAGCCATCTTAATAGTGAAACTGAAAAAAACTCAAACTATTGTTAAGAAATTTATTTAAAAAGTAAGAAACCGCTACAAAGGGTTACTGTAAGCGTTTTTCAAAGTTTGAAAGAAGAAAATTCTGAAAACATAAAGCCTTGAAGAGATCTCAATTTCTTTCAATTGTATTATTTTTCTGACATCAAAACTTATGGAAATTCGGATTCATGATGAAAACTCATTGAAATATAGCTGTTTTTAGATAATAAAGTAATGTTTCCGCTCAATCTCTGTTGAGACCTAATTTTTCACTGCGTTGGGGTGTTTTTTCTAGCCAACGAGAACAGTATGTGAAAAACAAAAAATGGGTGAAATGGACTAGTTTTGAGATAGTGGAACACTCGCCCGAGAACACTCGCCCGAGAACACTCAGATTATCCTATAACACAAAAGGGATGCTAATCATATCTAATTATGCTCGACATTATTGTCCACTCACCGAGATATACAATCCACGGGAGAAGATTAGCAACGACAAGGAGGGGCTGATGATCACGGATCATAAATCGATCGAATATGGAAAGCAGCTGACAAACGAGACAGAGGATGATGATGATGATGGTGGTGGTGACATTTTAGAGAGGGATTTTTTTTCAGATAAGAGGTGTGGAGAACAAAAGGGCATAGAAGAACAAAAGGGCATACAAAGTGTGTGGGCGAAAATAGGTTTTTTCTTCTGATCGCGACATAATATAACTTCTTTTCAGATGGAAAAAAATGTTCTGTTCTATCTTAGTGCACTTGTTCAGAGAAAGTGCATTTTCTTTCTCGCTGACTTTCACAGTGAGGGAGAGAGAAAGAGTGTTATCTTATTTGATTGGTGGTACCGTTTCCCCTCTTTGTTCAGCAAAAGTCACTGCCAGAGTCTCGACAGATACGAACGCAAAGGTCGGCGGCGGCATCTACCAAATAGAAAGGAGAAGAGTCAATAAAAATGAAATTGATTAATGAAAACGGAATGTGGTAGGAAGAGAGAAAGAGAGTGAGAAGCCAAAAGATGAGAAATCGAAATATCTGGAAATGAAAATCGACTGAGGTTTAATCCAGGAGATTGGAAAAAAAATTCTATTCAGACCTTCAAAAAGTAATTTCCATAAAACCAGTGAAGTGTGGTAATACCAAGTAATCACCTATCAAAATCCATTTTAAGAATATCAACTTTCTTTTGTAAATATGTTTTTCCTATTTTTCAGTCAACACATTATGTTCAAATGGCAAAAACCAAAAATATTTTTGCAGACAGACTAAACAAGAGAAGCAACAAAAAATCTTAAACTTTTTTTGAAAGAAAATTTTACCTCTAAAAACTGGATTTCTATGACTTTACACTAACGTCATGATGAGGTAACTAAAAACAGCTGTTTTAACTGACGAGACACACAAAAATCCACGTTTTTTCGCTACGCTGAAAAAATGTGAAAAATGTGAGCGAAGACATTGAAGGGCAAACAGTGCAAACCGTGTGCCCTCATAGAGAGCCGGAAAAATGACTGATCGGGATGGGAAACTATTTCTAGACTTTTAAATAAAAAATAGAAAGAAAGAAAGTTTGAGATGTTAAAAATAAACGGGATTCGATAATTCGATATGTCTATCTCGATTCACTTCCGCCAAAGTCACAAGACTCTCTGAACAAGGCGAAACGAAACTTTATATTTGTCTTCTCAGAAAAAGTCTGAAACCAAGTTAGAAAAGCTATGAAAAAAATATAATATTTGAAAAAAATACTTGAAATATGTTCGATTGGATTCGACCTTTTCTTTCTCAAATATTTCTATAAACTTTTGCCTACTATCATATTTTGCGGAAAACGTTCTCATAGACCACAAATATTCTCGAAGAACACAGAAAAGGGAATATATTATGCACTTGTAGTACACATTTCCAGACAGATTTTGTATGAGTTTTCTAGTCTGAAAACAATTTTTAGCTTATCTGTTGTACATTTGAAAACAGCTATTTGTCTGAAAAATTGTCGGATCGCGTTGGCGAATGTTTCCGTTAAGAGGAAACTAGAACACCATATAGAATTTCCGGCTTGGAATAAGTTTTGGAAAACAGAGGACTCTAAAAACCATTTTTGAAGTTTATCTCTGTTACCTTGTAACCTTCAATTGAAAGTTTGTCAGCCGAAGTTCAATTGGTTCCTGAAACCTGGTTGATTTAGAATCTGGCTAAGCTCCGTTACAAGATCCCTTAGGCATCAAAACCTTAAAACCTCTTGTCAAATAAATGTTTTATTCAAAATTAATCAGCCACGCATCATCATAAATACAGTAATACATATTTTCAAACGTCGTCATCGTCAAAATCTTAAAAAAAAAAAAATTTTTACAGTCAAAGTTTGAAACTGGAGAGACAGGAAAATGTTTAGAAAGATTTTTTTTTTGCATTTTTCTCGTTTTTTTTTCATAATCCGGAATGATGTTTTAGACGAAGGGAGAGAAGGAGGAGAGTTGAGGAAGAGTATAATATTTTTTCAGAAAAAAAACATATTTTCAGAGAATCAGACAAGTTGTTGATTTTCAGTCACAGGGATAAACAATTAGTTTTTCAATTGGGAAAGTTTCAGTTTTTGTAACAGGGAAAAATGACAAGTCAAGTTTTTTCGAGGGATTATTCGAAATTCAGAAAAAGTGGATTTACTGAACAGTTTAGTGGTTTTAGGAAAAAATAGAAAAAAAGTAGGGTTCTCATTCAAATGTGGTTTTTGATATTGTAACCAGTTAAACAGTACCATCAAGAGGATTATGGCGTCTTGATAGCTGGATAATCAGAATGAGATCACAGATGTTAAAAGGGAAGAGTTTTGAGTTTGAAAGGAAATGGAAAAGAATGAGAAAGGAGGAGATGAAAAGAAAAAATTCGTTTAGTAAGTCTTTCCATGATTTCGTTTAGTGATGAGAAATTAGGTGATTAGGCAGCAGTTCGAGAGGTTGATGCTTTTCGACTCGTTTACCGCGATGGTGTCAGCCATCTCTCCTCCTGGTACGAAACCGTACTTCATCTTGATCATGCGTCTGAAAATTTTCTTCAAATTTAGTTTTTCAAAGGTTTTTCAGTTCCTGTTTCAAGTTTTAGTACATTAATTGATGAAAAAATTGAACTCAATCAAGTGAAAGGGGGCGCCCTACATATTAGAGCATTCATTAAACTTTTTGAAGTGCTTCAATTATAGTCGACACTTACTCGGCAAGTCCAAGGAATGCTCTATCCACGTTTTGCCCGGTCTTGGCACTGGTCTCCATGAATGGAATTCCGTTCTCCTGGAATAATTTGTATTATACAGATTAAATATTTTCATTTAATTTTTTTCTTATTTCAAAGCTCACAGATGAGCACTATGAGTATTTATGCCTGAACATTGGAAACGGATATTGAAACTAGATATTTGCAGAAACAAGTTTTTGTCCTTACGTTTTTTGTAATTTTACTCTCCAGTTAGAGAAACCTGATACTGACAATAAACCGAAACACAGAAAAAAGTTTCTGTAGTTTTTCTTTAAAAAAGATGAAATCAATATTTGATTAGTGATTGCTCACATTTATAACTAATTTCACCAACAAGCGGTTGGGAAAACATCGCAAAAGATGAAATAAAGGAACCCGTAATTTTTTAACCTTGAGTCTGTTTTTCTCGGTTAACTTTTTATAGAAAAAAATAGTTGAGTATTTTTTTTAATAATTTGATCCTAAAAATCCCATTATGAATTTCCTAACTTTCAACATTATGAAACCCCAAATTAATTTCAAACTAAGGAATTTTTTTAAATCAAAGGTCACATTCAATTTTCAATTTCGAATTGTTCATTCTACTTCAGTGTTCCCTTCTTTCCAAAAAATCCAATTAAGCTTTTTTTTCAAATTTAGAAGAGAATGCAATGGTTTGACTCATCTTGACCCTAATTTCCGTTTTTTTTCCCAATAATGGCTTTGTGCGAGCGAACCTCGACTCATTTGAAGAAAAGGCCATCTTCTTGAATAATGCACAGCTTTCCCACTATTATTCCGGTCCCTGTTGGTATATAATCACTTCGAGACACTGAACAAAAAATACGTGTAGCATACATACATACCCAAGCCGTCTCTCTCTCTCTCTCTCTCTCTCTCTCTCTCTCTCTCTCTCTCTCTCCAACATCTTCTCGAATTACAGACACTGATGTCACTTTCTTTGTAGGAGAGCCAATTTAGCGCTCTTATTCATTAAATACAGCGAGCTCCCGCCAAAAATGGGATTTGGGACGTTTAGAAAAAAAATTATTCATTAGAACCAAGCCGTAAAGCATCAATCTCATTTCTTAGGCCATCGCAATTCCCATGGTGCAGAAAAGGCTGTAGATCAAAAACCTTTTTTTGGCTCACACGAACTTTTCTCATATTCACCGCAATTCACGAAACTTTTCCCGGGCCCTTCTTCTTTTCACAAAAATATAACCAAATATTAACCTCGGCAAGACGTCTTCCCTCATCCGCCTGAACTACTCTCGGCAAATCACATTTGTTGCCAACAAGTGTCACTTGTACAGCCTCCTTTCCGTGCTCTTTGATATGTGAGAGCCAGTCCTGGAACATTCAAAACACTTAAACCGTGTGAAGAGGCATTTCCAATTCTTACGCGGACGTTGTCAAAACTTTGGCGGTTCGCGATGTCGTAGACGAGAAGAAGAGCATCGGCGTCGCGATAGTATGACGTGGCAACTGAGCGAAAGCGCTCCTGTCCAGCAGTATCCCAGATCTGAGAAAATGAATTTGTGGGTGTGAGAAAGTCCGAAAATCGAGTTATACCTGGAGCTTGACTTTCTTGTCTCCCATGTTGATCAACTTGTTCTGTAAGTACATGTTTTCAGAACTAGAAAGTGCTTGTTTTCAGACTAGTGGTAACAGAAAAGATGATCAGAATCATCAACAGCATTATTTTTAGGTAGAATGATCAATTACTCAGAGTGTTCTCTTTTAGTATCTTTTTCAGTATGAGCTTCCCAAAAACGTTCCTTTAGCTCATCTATACAAACTTAATTTGTTTAAAAGCATCCTAAAACAACCCGACAATCAGTTACTTTAATCTTTTTGGGTACAAAGAAATCAAAACATCTAATAATCTAAGATTTTGTTCAAAACACTGTCTCGAAATTTTGAGAGAATAGTGTGAAACCGACTTTTGAAATTTCCAGTTACGTGAAGAAAGTCATAATTTATGTCAGTCATTTTTAATGCGTGAGAAATTTGTAATCTTCTTATTCTCAAGGTCTTTGAGATTCTAGAAAGGACAATCAGACTTCCTTGTCCCCGAAAATTCAAACTTGGGTGATGAAAAGTGCATTTCCAAATTTTTAATGAATAAGTTGGAGAATATGACTGGTCTATATTATGATTCATACAGCCAAATGGGAAAACTAGAAATATCGCAGGACTGTTATCACGTACATGAAGTGGCACACATCTAAAATAACTTGGCTACGATTTAAAATAACTTGGCTACGGCTGTAAATTTACAGTATTCTGTGAAGGAATGCATTCCTCCATTCAACTATCAGTAATCTAATAAGAGAACCCATTCTAAATTTTAAAAAATTGTGATCTAGATCATAGCTCCGAAGACTTACCCGATAGTCGATTCCGACAGTCGAGATGAAGTTGTTGTTGAGAAAGGCACCATCCTTGTAGCGGATCAAGAGACACGTTTTTCCGGTGCAACTGTCACCGAGAATCATGACCTGAAAATTTGTGAATAACAGTAATTCTTATAATTTAACTTGACCAATAAAACTAGACTAACATTCACCTTGACGATGATTTGCTCTTTTCCAACATCCATATCATCATCATGGAGCAAATCGGAACGATTCCTATTTTTTGGCATAGTTCAGAGCGTAATCGGAGATTTTGACTCTAACAAATTCCGAAATAAAGAATGAGATATAGTGCACGTAAGGGGCGGGGCCTGAAATGGAAGAAGAAAAAGGAGAAGGCGAAAGAAGAACAATGTGAGCAGACGCTGAGAGTGGAGCAATCTGAGGAGCCGCCCTTAAATTAGAGAGAAAAAGAATGAAGGGACCCCCCGACAGAGTATTCCGAAAATGAAGGGTAGTCGCCTTTCACGGAGAATGAAAAAATAACTTTGGAGAATTATTTGTCCTCGACAAAAAAAGAAAGAGTAAAATTGGAAGCGGGGCGCAAAAAATCCCGAAAGCGCGATAGAGGTCGAGGTTTAGAATTGAAGAAGACACTCTCCTGTTTTATTTAATTTCTGCCTTTTTTACGTCGAGCGATCTGAGAGGTCTAGCAAAAATAAAAAGAAAAAAGGTGCCAAAGAATCAAAAAAGAGAAGATGGCGGGAAAAATGAAACCAACTTGAGTTAGAAAATCGAGTGGGAAACGACTAATGAGCAATATGAGATTATCTCACAAGTCAAACTTTTCCATCAACGGAGAAAAAACTCCGTGATTTATAGAACAGGTGGAGGAGGTAAATAACTAAATGGATTGTTTTCATCCGCTCGTTGAATAAAATTTTGTTGGGTAATTGAACTTGTTTGAGTGCACCAACTCGAAATGGAGCTTTTTCGGGTGTAGTGGCTCGTTTTTATTGAACTACTTTGGTTGGAGTGAACCGTCAAAACGTCATTTTGTCGTTAGGAGGGAAGCGCCAGACGCAAATCCAACATCAGGAAGATTCAAGAACATCATTTCGTGGGAAGAAATAAAACATCAAGTTTTATGGAGGCGTGTAGAGTGGGAGTTACGGTAGTTAGAAAATGGGCTCTTGTCGGTGATTTTGATCTTCAGAATTATTGTTGTTGAAAAAAAAGGAATTTAACTTGAGTTTTAAAAATTTAAAAACTGAAATGGCTTAGATTACTGTAAGAACTAGCAAAGTTGTTTCTAAAATTTTTCAACATGCAGATATATTTTCATAAAATTTTTCATTTTTTCATAAGATAATTAAGTTTTCTATATTTAAAAATCATGAAACTAAATTCTCAAAAATCTAAAATTCTGATATATCAATTATTCATCAGCGTGTTCTTCCCAAGTCTGATCAAAATCCGAGACGCTCACTTTTCCGAAACCTTACTTTTTCTGACTGGGAAATATTTTGTTGTGAACTGAAATTTTGATTTCTTTTCGTTTTTTGAAATCTCAATTTTTGAAAACTTATATATCAAAACAAGAAATCAGAAAAACAATTGGAAAAAAACTTTAGTCTATCACTTATTACTCAACCCTACAATATGGAAAATAGAAAAGAAAAGGAGATATACGATTTGCGCCTACAAAAGTTGTCTAGATCAGCCATTAAGTACTTGAAGTGCTCCATTCCGAGTCTTCGCACAAATGAACGCCGTTTTCGGAACCAAAACGAGCAAAAGCTAGTGCAAGAATTAATTGCACCGCATCCAGCTCATTTTTTGTGCACTACTACACGGGAAAAAGAAGTGAGATTAGAAAATGCAAGGAAGAATAGGAAGACCACACGTCATTTGCAAAAAAGACCAGAATGCATATGAGTATGCTCATAGTAACTGGGAGCCTAGACAAAATACTCGAAAAACCAAGACCCTATCAGTCGAGTGAGCTTTTTTTGGAATTTTTGAGAGATGTGGATATGTGTGAAAAATTCAGTAAGCCAAAAAAAAATTTCAAAAAATTCTGAACTCAAACATTTTTTCGCTTTTTCTTGTTTTTTGTTCAAAAACATGTCTCAACAAAGGCAAAAGAAGAAAGAAGACGTTTTTCCTCACTTCTATAGCTGCTCAACAACCACCGCACCCCGTTTTGTTGAAAATGCTTTGCAAAAAGGGCATATTTGAATGGAATAACGAGACTCTTAGTGGGTATTTCTACACTTTTTTAGATTTGCAGAAAAACCAGTTGAAAGCTGGAATTTTCTGAAACAGCAACAAATGGAAATCACACGTGATTCAAATGAATTTTCTAAATTCCAAAAACTCTGGATTTCACGTAAATCCTTATAACAAGTGCACGTTGATTGACAACATACTTCCGAATCAGGCTCTCGGAGGAGCTTTAGCCTCAACACAATTTTCTCACGATGAACAAAGAAAAGAAGCAAAAGGTTGAATCTAAATCGAAGAAAAAAGTGTGCCGCGCTGGGAAATAAGATGGAATTGTCTGACAAGCTGATGTCCGGAATAATCTTGAGATCCTTTTGATCAATGACTTGTCAGAAAATGAATGCTCAAACATCTACGTTTTTCAAGTACAAAGGATTGCTCAGGTGCGTGTTGAGAGATTTTAATTGGTAATGTCCGCTGGGAAATCAATTTCTATAAGGAACCAAGACAAAACGGACAGAGGCATGGCACATGACTATTTAGTATGTGGATTGATATGAACTACAATTGACTCTGTGCAGCTCTTCAAGTACAGCATTTTTTTGAAAATTCAGAAAACGCCTAACTTTTGAAAACAAACAAAACATCTACAAAAGCAGGAAAAGCATTGCAGATAATGTGTCTTTTACATGGTTTTGTTTTCAAAAGTTACAGAATATACGAATACCGGGAAACCTTTAATAGAGTGTCACCCGAACCGTCAACATTGAGCCCATGCATCTCAGTTCCTGTAAAAGATATCGAAAGTGGTTAACTGACAAGATCTTCGTCATAATATCAAGAATATTATGCCATTTCTGACATCGTTCGCAGGGAACGAGAGATATAGGCTCAAAGAAATGTAGGTGGAATTCAATAGGCATTTTTACGGTATGTATCTTTCATATGTTTGTGTTTTCATGAGTGTAGCTTCAAGTTTCGGAGACATCTTATTCGTTTTTTGAGGCTTCCAATTGTGAACTTATCAAAAGAAACCATTTTTAGACCCACCGCTTTTCCTTAAATTTCGAAAATTGACGTTAAATTGTCCCGAAGTGCTGTGAGTTCCAAGTAAGATTATTGGGTTATAAAAGTTTCAAAGTAAAATTATAGGGTTATAAATCTTACGATTGAGCCAGTTAAACCGAGCCCATTGTTAAATTTCGATTCTTTGAAAAGAAAAGGAACCGATTATCTTTATTTTAGTTTTACGATCCATAAAGTGCTCGATTTCTGAATTTTTCTTAAGGGAAATTTCATATTCGAACTTGGGGGATTATATAGTAAAAGGTGAGGGTTTTATACTGAAGATCAGGTTTTTGAAAAGGGTCACAACTCTTTTTCAAAGTCAATCATCGATAAATCTAATAATTTATTTTTCTAGGAGTCTCTCATCTGAAATTCGAAACTCGGAACCCAAACTTTTCTGGCTTCACTTTTGTTCACTAAATTACTTTTTTTTCCAATTTTTTTACTAATGAATACTAAATTTTTAAACTTACAGTATACGAGAAGTCGACATCCTGGTAGATTGATGAACGCTTACGGACTGGATGCATGATGAGACAATAATCCGGTAACTGAGTAGCTGAAATTTTCAAAATTAACAATTTTCAGATTCCTCGAAAACGAGGAGTAAGTAAAAAACAAGAGACTTGAGTCTCCCAACACGGAACATCCAGTAAACAGACACAACATTTGGTAGGAAACTTTCAAATCGGATTCAATATTTCTTCGATTTTCCACTTTTGCCAAACAAAAACGTGTGGTGGTTCCATTTTTTCGGAAGTTTGTGCCTAGACAAACCCTTCAGAAGAGGAAAAACGAAAAAACAAAAAGAATAAATCTTGAAAAAAATGGGAACACGTTCAGGAGTAAAACGATTTTATTATTTGAAAATGGTTGAAGAGAATATTGAAGTTTTTTGAAAGAGGTATATTGAAAATTTTGTTTTGAGTTGCTGGAAAAAAGAAAACCAAGGATTTATCGTGAGAAGAACGACGTAAAATATTGGAAAATGAACATATATTTCCTGTCAAAGTTTTCATGCAGGTTTCTAATTAAATTTAATCCATCATACGAAAATATGACGGGTTGAAAAAGTGCAATTCAAGATAGTGCCTGACGTTTTATTCTTCTGAGGTAAATTATTCTGATTACTTCTAGAAGATTCCTAGTCAACAAAAAACGAGGGGGAAAATAATGCAAATAAAAAAAGATCGGCGTAAAAAATAAGGAGACGACTACAATCTCATTTTTGCCCGACATCGCCCACACGCAATCGTCATAGTTACCACGGGAAAGCAACATGTCCTTCTGAATGTGGACATAATAGGAAAATAAAATTTGGAGGATCTCGGAGTCTGAGCCTCAGACAGACGTTGTAATTGGTGAGAGTAGCAAAACCATTCTAACCACAAATTCACTTCATGAGGAAGTTCCACTAAGTCAATCAGATTCGTTGGGACCAATTCGTTCATGTACTTTATGCACTTTTTTTCAAGAAAGAAAAAAGGAAATGCAAAGTAGATGGAAGACGACGACGCCATCAAAAGAAAAAATAAGTGTATGAGGAAGAAGAGCCCCTCCTCACCCTAAAGCAGAATACCTGATTAGCTGTGATAATTGTGGAGTGAGTAAGTGCGTCAGTTAAAAGCTCAAAGTACAGAAAAAAGTGTATTTTGTTGTGTGCTTGGTGCTTGCGCATCAAGTTGCATCCTTTTTTTCAGTGTATATTATTCCCCAGGGGCAAAACGAAAAATAGTTGTTTTGAAGTTTTCTTCCGTGTTAACGCATTTTGAAAAATGAAAAAGCAAAGTAACCGTTAAATAAAGAAAAAAAAACATATGGCAACATTTTCCAGTGTTTTCAGAAAACCATTCAAAAAAACAGGGCTTATTTTTACGAGGTGTGGGATAGACTACGACAAATACTTGTTTTCTAAGACAAAAAATGGGTTTAAAAGACTAACTAAAGCAATCGTATCAGTTGGTCCAATTTCCGGTGTTTCTAATGAGATACGTCAAGTTTAGATTAGTAATTTATGACAGGAAATTGGACTCATCACCATTTGGATTACTGTAGAGCAAGAAATTAATGGCAGTTGGTTAAAATAATAATTGCAACCTCGACCGGTTTGTTAAAAATTTTGGTGAGCCGGGCCGGGCTGGTTGGCCTGCTGACTTTTTTGAATACATAACTTTTTTTATTGAAATTGTTTTCAGAAAAAAAAAAACAATTTTTTTTTATTTTTCGACTGCCTTCTTCTTTGCTGTCTTTGTTAAATTAGATAACTGTTCCCCTTCAAATCAAAAAAAGTCTCAAGTTTTAATTCGAAATTTTTAAACTGTGGAAGACGGCGGTCCGAAAAAATTCATTTGTTCGGGCCGGTCAGTTGCAAAGATGGTTAAGCTCTCACCCCCCCAAGACGCTAAATTCAACAAACTTCATTTTCAAAAAAAAGAAGCTGTCCCAAAAATAGTTGCGTCTCGGAAGGAATCGGAGATGAATGAATAGAGTTGATTCTAGAGACAATATAATACATCGGATGTCGAATTCAATTTGCACCGCATTCAGAAAACGGATGGATTTGATTATGTATCTCACACGTCAAACAGCTAAAGAAAACATGTTTTACTCGGTAAAAACGCTTGAAATTTTTGAGCCAAAATAAAAAATTAGGATTCGGAATGTTCTAGAAGTTTGAGTGCTATTCCAATAAGCGCATGGCAGCTTAGAAAAAAATGAAGTTAGTTTTCTCAGTACCAAGTTAGACGGCACAAGGTATGTAACCTCAAAGAAGAAAAAGAATATGTTTTCAGTCAACATCCACTACTGGAAATTCCGTCTAAACTCGCTTGTTGAGAATTAACTACATCTTTGATTCGCAGTTTGATAAATAATAAATTGTTATTTTCCTGGGCAGCGTCGAGAAGCAAATGCGTGAAGTTAGTGAAGTTACAGAGAATATTTTAACTAAAACTTCTCGATCAAAAAAAGAAAAACTAGGCAAAATAAAACGCAAAAAATCGGACCAGAGACGTCCGGAAGAGACAAGATATCGCAACTTTTTGAAACTACCACAAAAAGAAATTTAGGCGGCCTTTTGACGGGTGTGTCAGAATAAAGGTCCTCCAATGTGTTTCCTTTTTTGTTTCCTTTACTCATCTCTGAGCAAGTAACTCACTCCAAGCAAAGAGTCACTTTGGAGTTTGTTTCAGGTCCCACAATCTATTTAGGATAAAAAGGCTTCCAAGAATAGAACGATTTGTAGTCTAAGAAAGGAATTGAAGTAGATTTGGTGGTATTTGTAACAATGTCCCCTCCAGTAATCAAAGTAACAGCCACCTCCCAACGATAGGAAGAAAACAAAGTATTTTACTGCTCAAAAAATCTTCTAAAACATGCCAAAACATGCGGTAGGAGCAAACCAAATGCTTCCTTTTGTCGAAGCGGTCCGACCTTGTCCTAACAAAATTTTTTTCTTGAATTTTTCTTCAAAGTGGAAGAAGACAACGACAAAAGAAAAAAGAAGCGACAAAGTGAAAAGTCGAAAACATCGTGTGGTGTTAGAATATATTAACACTCACAAAAATGAAAAAAAGCGAATCGTCGTCTTTTGGACAAAAAAGCTTGCTGTAACAACGAATAATTGATTACTAGCACTCGAAAATCATGAACGCAAGAAAATGTTTCAGGAACAACAAGAGAAGTTGGTTCCAGATCGTTAAGCTGAAAATGTAGTTTGCGAATTTGCACTTTTGATTGCTAACAAGTTTGTGAAAAGAGTTAAACGTGAAATAAAGTTTAATTAAAACAGTTCAATCAGTTTTTATGTGGAAGATTCAGTTTTTTTATCTTTATAGTATTTTCACCTGACATTTTCATTTTCCAAATTACCTACAGTATTGGACTAAAAGAAACAACATTTTGTAATAAATCAATGGAAAAATCAACCTAGGTGTCCTGAAAAAAATATATCTAAAAAATATTTCCAAATTTTCTTAGTTCTCTGAAATTCATAATTCACCCTTTCCCACAGAAGAGTTCGAACAGCAAAATTTAATTTCAATACAAACAAAAAATTAGGTGTGGCAGGTCTGGAACAAAATTTCAACCCTTTATATCTAATTTTGCAGAGATTCAAAATGATCCAAATAACAAAATTATGTAGAAGTGTCAAAATCCTCTATTACCCTTTCCGATAGAAAGTATTCCAAAAATGCCAAATTTGCAGTGTTTAAAAAAAAAGGTCTCTCTCTCTCTCTCTCTCTCTCTCTCTCAGTATTCATCATCACCAGGAGTTATGGCTCAAGAGTACCGCAATAATTTTCGTGGTGTTTTTTGTCGGATCCTGTGATTTCAATCCTCAATTCCGATTCAGTTTTGTTACTGTTTTCTAATCCAAGAGATTTTGATTTTTTCCAAGTTTTCGTCTTTGACCTATGCCCACTGCTTGAATATTTACCAAAACAACCAATTTTTGTAACCATAATGTTTTGTTGTACTACAATTCATGCTTCTTATCACTTACAACCAAACTTGCCATTTTACTATTTTCAGAATTTTCACCCCACCCCATGTGATCAAAAACAATCAAAATTTTGTAGCTTTGTAGAATTGAAGAACAAAGTCCAACAACGTGATGATCCACCAACGAATCGACCTCCTTCTTGTCTAATGTGTCCATAAATCTGAGACAAGGGTAAGACGGGTCGACCACACACTCACATAACATATACACTACCATCAGAAAAGAAAGAAGAACCGAAAAACAAAAGTAGCAGCAAGGATTACGAACAAACAAGTTGATGGTGGCAGCTGACAGTAGAGAATCTGCAATAAAAAACAACACAAATTTAAGAAAACAATTCAAACATTATATTACACTATGGGACCTTGTTGTCTGTTAGAAGTTTCTAGTTTGTATAGCAGAAGTTCAAGTAATCATGCTACTTTAGTCATGTGTTCCTTTCTTTTTTCTTCCTGCTCGAAGAGCTTTAACTAGCCAAATTATTCTTTTGTTCCCATTGTTTCAGATACGTTTTTAACGTGGTTGTTTATGAAACAGAATGTTGCCAACTGTTTCATTCTGAAACAAATGCAAACACATGTGTATCTAAAATTAGTGACGAGTCTGATTATCAAACAGCTGACACAAAGAACAATCAGAGTTGACAACAGTGTTGCAAAATTATAAAGTTGTTGTTACGATGGTAATTTCTGGTCACCTGACATTGCTATATATCGGAAAAGTTGAAATCAGCATATCGTAACTGCAGATTTTGTGGGGTGATTTCTTGTTTACAAAATGAAGCATCATTTCGCGCATCTTTTTCGCTGAAAACTGATAAGAATGAGGTGACAATCAGTGTTCCGAGAAATTTTTGGGGAAAACCAAGAGACGATTAGTCTTTTGATTCCAGAACTTTTAAGTGGAAATAGACTAATTGGAGTTTATTGTTTCCCAGACTGAGACGAGAAAATTATAACTTGATGGTATCGAAAAATCGGGTCAATGAAAAATAAATTTATAGTGAACATTGTTGAAGATCCTAGTACAAAAACTATCGTAACCTAGAAGTATTTTATTTTCCGGCATTATTATTTCATTTGAAAATTAAAATCTTATACTTGCTTCATAGAGAATTGCTAAAAAACTATGATCGTTAGACTTTCGGGCCAAAACTGATGCCTATTAAGCTCGATATTTAGATGTTTTAGGTTTGCATTTCATTTTTTACTTCTCCAAATGTAGGTTATTTGGAACTGGTGTTCAAGCTTTAGGGGCCAAATTACCAGGGTTTTAAGTGTGAATTAAAGCTTACCAGATCAATCAGTAGATATCGAAAAATATGCCTGAAAATGAATATCATTTCAAGTTACGGTGATTTACATTCAGACACCTTTGGCCATTGCTACTAGCATTTTTCTTCTCTTTTTCAAACATTTTTGGAAACTGATTTTAATTTTTAAAAATTTAAATAGCTATAGAACTATTCATTTTGAGATCAGAAAACAATTAATATCCCAAACACAAAACAATAGATATTAACGTTTTCCAAAGAAAAAAATTTCAGAAAATCTGAGAATTTTTGTCATTCAGAAATTTCAAAGTTTTTTTCTAATTTTTTTCCTGGAGCAAAATGACTAAATTCTGAATGTGCCTCAATGTGTTTTTCTGTTCGCGATCTTCCAAAATTTTCGATTTTGTCAGAAACATGTGTGATAAAAACCGGGTCCCCTCCAGATGCAATTTTGCATCTTCTCTCTCATTTTCATTTTTATTTTCTTTTCATTTTCCCTCCGAAGCATTGGTCACCCAGACATTTACATTGTTGCCACCTGCCACCCAAAACCTGTTAGAATATTCTTTGGACTGGCCAATCAACACTTTCACACTTGCCGTTTGTGTATGTTTATCCGTAAAATCATCACTACCATCAACACTTTCAATTATTTTGTTTTATTTTCTTCATTTTTTCAAACAGTAGTGTGTACATCAAAAAAAGGGTAAAAATAGAAACAGTGTATGTTTTTAGTTGTTTTCGATTAGAAAAAAGGGTACAGTACAAATGTTCTGAAACTAGATCATAAATTAATTACAAACACACAAAGTGTGTGGGGTACATACAAAAAGGTTATTGGTGTGATTTAGATACGAAGATGGGACAGTTTCAAGAAGGCGCATTGACGATCCTTCTCTTCATTTATCAGCTTCTCGCAATTCAGTTGGATGTATTCATCGATGTTTCTGGAAGACTAAATAACCAAGGGATTTTTGAGATACTACAACTACAACTTACGGGTTTGACATTTTTTCGGTTTTTGGGAATCCAAACTTTAAGTGTGTGGACTCATCGTGGATACGGATGTTCACTTTTGGTTGCTCCATTAGCTTTGGCTCAGCTGGACGGAAAGTGGCGGAGCTGATTCTGAAAATATTACATTTTTTATATGAATCTAGATAAATATCCTGGACTCACGCTTCCCGAGTCATGAACTGGTTGAAAACAGCAGACTGAGCGACTCTGACAAGTTTTGGAGCTGACGACATGTTGTGAAGTTTTTGAAATTGAATATATCAGTTGACTGATGAGCCTTTAGTAGCCGATAGCCGGCTTTTATACACGATCCGCAAGGCGGGAGGCGGGGTGATGGCTCCGATTAACGGGCGAAGAGGGCGAGGACAAAGTATACGGCTGATGAGAAGAGAGAGAGAGAGGGAAAGATAAGAAACACCGCGTGAAAACTACAAGAGACGCCAGATGAAAACCGTCGCCTCCTCCCGGTCTTCCTGGGTGATTGGAGGGGCGGGCGAACAGGTACTATTATTATTCGTTTCTTGATTTGGTCACTGTTTTTTGTGGAGTGATGTCATAACTAGTAAGGTCCAAGTGTTCGATGGGTCAGCGAGTGAGGTCCGTATTAACCGATATGGAAAAAGTTGATCAGAAAAGAATCAATGATCAACGTATCGCTGATAAGAAACAGCTGAATGAAACAAAAGAAGGAAATTTTCCTTCTCAAAATAACAAGTTCATCGTTCAGAGAAAATGAACTCTAGTCAGAATGTGATGTCATGGGGTATCTGAAACCAGAAAATCTACTTTAAGCATTCTGAAATAATACAAGGATAGTAATAACTATTTACATCTGAAAGTTAAACTTCTGAACATCAATACAAAAAATATGTCATATGGAGAAAAATCAGATCTAAAAAAATTAAATATTGTAATTGACATTTTTTTAGTCAAATTTCGTTCTATAGCAATAAACAGAAACCGCTTGCTTTGAGTCCGTATATCTGATTTTCTCTGAAAGATATTTGGAAGTATTAAAAAAAAAGTACAACTGACAAAATGTTCATTATTTTTTCGTTTTTGATTTTGTTTGTGAACAATTTTTTGATATCTTTCACATGGACCAAGATAAATTGGCTCAAAATTATATGTTAGGTAGGTCATTCTATGAGAGTTTTTTTACAAAAAAGTTGACTATTATAAAACTGGAACTCCAATCTTGTTCAGTACTTTTTCAAATTTTCAGACAAGTCAAGTCTGATTAATCTCGGTTTCTGCAGAAATGTTTATCACAATACCAAAATTAATTTTTTCATCTAAATTTTTGCAATTTTTCAAAGGAACGGTGATAAATGCGGTCAAAGAATATTGCAATTTTATTTTAGGTTTAACGACTGAGAAATGTATATTTGCAGTGCTTACGAGTTTCAGTGATGACATTTTTCTTACATGCATTATGTACAAAATTTCAGAGCACACGCCAATACTCGTTGCAGACACAACAGAGATTTCGAAAGTTCCATCGAAATACATCCTACTGAAAAACTCGTAAACATTCTGGATTCTTCTACCCTCCGTACATCCGACCTACCAAGAACAGGTGCCACTATTTGGACCGTGATCTTAGCGCCCCATCTTTTGAACTCTTTTAACTATCAGCAAATAAACAAAAATGATTGCATTGTGACTTTAAGAGACCAAGACAAAATCGAAACTCGTCACTTGGTAGAAAATAAGGAGACAGTTCAATTTCACAAGGACAAGGTCAGCGTCTATCAACGGAAGTTTGACTTATAGCATGGAAATTGTTGAGCTGGTGTTTCCTAAAATAGGCCAACTCCGTCATTTCCTTCTTATGCACACAAAAGGATGTTTAGAGAAAGTTCCGATACAATGACTTTTGACCAAAACAATGCAAGTCGTGAACACAAATTGTTTTTGTTTTTCTCCATCACAAAAGGTTTTGAGTATAGTTAACTGTTCCCCGTTCATCTTCCCAGGTTTGAAATGGCTTGTTTGAAAACACTCGATCACAAGTGCATAGGTATAAACAAGGAAAACCGGTTCAGTTTTTTGCAAACCACATGTACTTTTCAAATTGATAAGATTGTATTGTCTGAGAAGATTTGGGAGTTGTTTACCAGGAATTCTTAAAAGTTTGACGAGTAATTTGAAATAGTGTAGCTGAACAGATGATTTGTGTTTTGAAAGTGGAGTTTGAAAGTGGAGTTTGGAGTGGAGTTATCTATTAGATTCGCTTTGAATCATGATGTGGGTAGAGTAGGCAGTAGTTGTCACTTGGGTGCTCTGAAAAAAAAAACAAAGATAATTGTATTGATTTTATTGTTGCTTACCAATGAGATCTCTCAGATGAAAGTCGGAACATCATCACACAAGACACGCTGGTGAGAAGTTGGCACAGAAACCCAACTTCATGTTCTTGTTCAACGCATATTGGCCATCTATCTGCTTTTCGAACACCGCCGATCCCAGATGGCATGTACAGAAGCTCATGATAAATGGAACGGATAAGTCGACGAACTACTATAGAAAGATCTGGTTCATGTGGACGATGTACTTGCCGTCGGCGCCGTTTAGGCTGTCCGGTTCGCAGACGTATTGGATTGATGAGCCGAATGAGAGACCTTCTCGTTTGGATCGTTGATCAAGACGAAGCTGGAATTTGGAGTTTAGGTTTCGAAGGATCTAGGGTTTGAAGATCCAAGGATCTAGGGATCTAGCGATCCTCAGGTTCTTCGAAGCAAAAGCTCCTGCTCACTTCGATATTCCGACGAATCCATTCATCTTCTCTTTTTCAGATGTCCTCACTTTAATTTCGAATTCCTTACTTCAAACCAATTTGTGAAAGTCCTATATTCGAAACCAAATTTTTGATACTACCACCTAAAAGGTTTTTCTTTTTAGAACAGAAACGACAAAGAAAATTAGATGAATCACACTAAAGTAGGAGAAAAAAGAATAAAATTTGATTTCAAAAAGAAATTCTGATGCACGCAACGCGAAGCACGCGTCGCCTTTAAAATTCGCCCAAACATCGCCCAAGATTCGCCGAGGTGATGGTGGACGGCGCAGCTGCCACAGATCTAGGAGCTTCCGGTTAAAAGCCGCCCAAATAACGCTCTAAAGCCGCATCCACCCCTGTATTCGCCCTAAATTTGCAGGCCACAACCGAGATCGTAGACCTTATTGACCTGTATTGTAGGCAACCGTGCCAAAACCTACTTGGTTTCATTATTTTGTGCCTTAATTGTGGAATGTTTGATATCTGGGAAAAATCACCCGCTCGCCAACATTTCGTTTGCCTATATTTACCAACGTTGTACAAAATAAAAGATTTTCAGAAATGTGATTTTTGTCATCTGGCATACCTGAAAATTATTCAGATTTATCGAGAAAATTATGGTTTTAATTCAGCAAAAAGTCAATTTCATATGGAAATAACTAGCTTCCACGTGTCACTTTCATTTTGGCTACTGCCTTGCACTTCTTCCAGGTATCCCTGTATTATTAATGAAATATTTTCACAATTTATCGTCAACATTCCCTCCGAACACGTGGCTCAAGCCAATTTTCAAGTGAAAGTCGTGTCGTTTCACACCAACTACCAGCCGGCCCTTTTCTGTTTCCATTCAAACCAATTATAAATGCGAAATCGAGCAGAACCACTTATGTAAATGACAGATTCATTCGTCTTCTAGTTGTGGCGGAGACATGCACACCAGTTGAAGGAAGGGGCGGGTGTGTGTGGGACCAGTTGCCATATCCATCACTTTCAAAGGGAGGGTCCCACTTGTATTCATGGATCCTACTTCATACGATTCGTATTATTGCGGTGGAGGAGCAGAAGCTGAGCCGGCGGAACGACAAACAGCGTCGGTTCGTGAACGGAGAAGAATGTGCAGTATTAACGTGGCTTTTGTGGTAAGTGCTAGATTTTTATTCTGTTTTAATATCTTGATCTTTTGAATATTGAACTTAATATTTAGAATTGATATTAAGAAAATAATGTTTTTGTTTTCAGGAGCTCCGCAATTATATTCCAACATTCCCTTACGAGAAGCGCCTTTCAAAAATTGATACTCTGAACTTGGCCATCGCATATATCAACATGCTGGATGATGTTCTCAGGTAATTCTCAATTTTCTGAAATTGAAAATAGAAGTTTTTAACAGCCAGAAAAAATCGAAAATTTAAAACTTCCATTTTCACAGAACTCCTGAAGACTCTGGTGAGTACATCCAGAAATGTGTCCACATGGCTCGCACCGGACAGTATGGAGCTCCGTCCTGGAGCACTAGCGGTGATTCAAAATGTTCCATAACTAATGCTCATCAGAAAATCACTTTAGACCTACTAGCGCGTCTCAATTGGATCAAGTGGAATCGCCTTGGAATCGAGCCAATCGCATGACACTTAAAAAACTTCCTACATGATTTTTGTCAATAAACTACTTGGTTATACTTCTTTTTGTTTATCGTTCACATTCCAAGAAAATATTCAGAATTGAAATCAGTTCTTTTGATCTTTTCTGGAACTGAAGTTAGAGGGATAAATGCCGTAATTTTCACGTCTACTTTCTGAAAATGCAAACAATTATTGTTTGAAATCCGAAAATGTCATTTTTGTTCTTTTGAACTCCGCCCATCACTTTCAAAGTAAAGCTCAAGTTTTTGATCTCAAAATCATTTCACTTCATGTAAGAAGTATTTTGCACCTCATCCAAAAAAGATACATTTAGTTTTCTAACGAATACTTCTGATGAACCTGCACGTAGTCAAGTTTGAAAAAAAATTGTGTTCAGCAGTATATTTGGCTCTCTTATAAATATCTGATTTCACTTTGCTTGTTTTTCTTTGACTTTTTTTCAGTTTTCCGTCATTGTTCTCATAATAGACACCAGTATCAAATCAAAAACTGAGCTTTTGACCGAGCGTGAAATAAGGAAAAAATGCGCTCGCAAAAGGTGGTGACTATAAGGATCGGTTTAGAGATTTGATTAAAAAGGCAATCGACAAACGACTTTTCCAGCTTCACAAAGACTTTTTGACGGCAGTGCTCAATAATCTGATCAGTTTCACTTTTCTAAAAGACATATTCCCTTTCAGGTTGTGTCGCTTTCCTTGGTGTTTCCGCACTTTTGATTTCATTCCTTACCACGTTTTTTTTTTCTGTTTTTTTTCAGAACCACAAATCTTTGTGAGAGCAAGTTCCTATAAATCACAACTGAATATAAAAAGTTGTTTATCCGATTTTCGCAAACAACCTTTCTTATCCAAAAAGGCACGGGATACTAATAAATTGGGCTAAAAACTTTTGGAGCTGTACGAATTCCAAGTGGCTAGAATTTCGAGTTTTTTGAAAAACAAACATCTTCATTTTGAAAAAATCTTCACCTTTTAGTTCTCACGTCTTGAACTTCTGAAAATATATTTTTCTGGGAATAGAAAAATTCGAATCAGGCATATTCGGACTGGGATTCAAAATTCCAAAAATTACACTATGTTTTAAAATCTAATTCCTACCGGAATATTTCCGAATTTTTTTCCGAATCTATAGCTTTGGATTACGGTATGTCAAAGGCGCACGAAAAATGCAAAATGGGAAACAAATTTATCAATGTTTCATTATGAAAAAAACCAAAACGTTGTACTGAACTTTGTGCTTTGCGTGCTTAGGGTCATTCAATCGTGGCAAAACTTTTTCGTCATCTAGTAATGTTTTTTTTCTTATCTTCCATTCCAAAACAATGGATTTTGATTTCAGATACCCAATGCCATTTCTACAATGGTTCCTATTTCTATTCTGCTTGATCTCAATGCTCATATATACTCTCATTGTTATCACTCTGAAGAAACATAGATCAAATGCACTGCTTAGCGGATCATTTTTCCAAATTGTCGAGATGCAGGTGAGTATCAACTTCTTTTCAGATCTCCTTGTGAAATCAAATGTTCCAGTATTATTCTGAACTGCTTTTTTTCATCGAGTTTTCTCTCACAATGCGGTTTCGTAAATACAGTAGCCTTTATTCATTTTTTGAGCCTGACACAGAACTTCACGGGATAATACCAAGGCTGGTTTCCGGTTTCCATTATTATATAAAAGTGAGAAAAAACGCCGTAAAAATTTAGCAATGATAATCCAAATTCAGATAGTGGTCTATATCGGATACCTGACATTCGCCATGAACCGGTTCACATCTGCTATCAATATCTCTTCATATAACAGTGTGAATGTTTCAGTATGATAATTCTTTCAATTATTAGAAAAATCAGTTTTCTCAATTTCTTTCTTTGAGTTTTTCCGTGTGTCATTCTTAGTTTTCAGTGGTTGTTGTGCATGCATCTAGTCTTTTTTCTAATCAAAAATTGATGGTTTTGCAAAACTAGGTGGTTTCAGATCTGGACTCCACAACTCATGAAAAATGTGAAAATTCTAAAGTGGACATTACCTTTAATAGGTGTTCTTCCCTCTCATGCTTGGCCAGGATTCAGTTACTGGTTCATAATTACTACTAGTTCGATTCGGCTGACTAATGATTCTTTATCTACTACTGTTCGTACTGTAACTCAACGAAGAATCTTCGAAAACTTTATTTCAGATTGTTGCCTATGTTGACGGGATTTGCTGTCTTGGAACTTGCATTTTTTGCATGATTTGCTACAGTGCTACATGCTTCTTAATACGCAAAAATTGGAATCGTGTCAAGAAAGAAGCGTTCCGGAAGAATAATGCGCAATCTGCAGCTGAACGCAGTTTGCTGGTTTCTGCAATTCTATCATTTGTTGTTTTGATACTTAACACTGCTGTCCAAGTTGTGACTATTCTTATTTCTTGGGGTGGAGCTACTACATTACTTTTTGTTCAGGATTTATCGTAAGTCATGTTTGTTTTTCCTTGTTACCTTCCTGAATGTGCTTGGAGTAAAGTAAAACAGGAACTGAAACCTTTAACGTAATCATCATAATCAAATAAATGTTTTACCAAAGAAAAATAATCTTCGGTGACACTTAATAACATTTACACACTTAATAACATTTTACTACTGAGTATATTCTAATTTCTTTTTTCCAGTTATCCCATGATTGATTTGATGTATTCACACTTTCCATGGGCATTATTAGTCACATCAGGTGTTTTGAGGAAGCAGATGATATGCGATACGAAAATCTTCTTGCGAACGTAAAGTACATAATTCAGAAGACTAAATTTATTGGTCCCAAATTTTGCAGGGCTTTCAAACTCGATGACGCTTCTGTTAACACAATACGGGTAGGGCAAACCGTGTCACCGGCAACGCAAAAAACCACAAATAAGACGTTGGCATAAAAATAGGAACACGCCATTTTATCTGGACTCAGAAGTGTACGACGGACGGGTGACCGTTTCTAATCAGCCAGATTAGTTGATAATATTTGGGTTTCGCAGATGTGAACATGTTCTTTTGAATAAATTATTCAATTTTTTCTTGATATTTGAAATTGTCTATTCAAATACAACTTTTTGAATGATTTCACTCAAAAATTCTTGATTCATGATCATTTTAAAATACCTGAGTCCTTGCCCAGGCTCTCGATCTCGGCTGTTTAGTTTCCGATCAGTTTAAAACTTTGGAATGTGTGAAAAACTTACAGTGTGTAACATAAGTATAGGGCCCAAAATCTAGCTATAACTTTTTTAAATAGCAATTTTTGAAAATCTAAAAGCAGAATCGTGATCAGCACCCAGAATTACCCCAGGAAAATGATTTTGGTAATTTTACTCATAAAACTGACCGGATGCCGGAACAAAAGCTAAAAAATCGGTTTCTGCAAGCGTAACATAAGTATAGGGCCACTTTGGGAATTAGTGGCTGGGCACCCGAAAAACGTGAATCCAATCAACCAAAAATCATATTTTAAGTAGCCTGTCACTATTCGAATCAAAATTTCCCAAAATTACTTTGTCTGAGTCCGTTGGGTGGTTGTGAGCCGCCGTTTAAGGTCAGTTCCGGTTCAACCGTCCGGATTGTCAGCTGGAAGATCAGACGTTCATGTTACAGAATCTCTAGGGCCTCAATATCAGTCCAGTAGACATTTCCTAGGTTCGCTAACTTTTTCGGGCTCATATGAAGTACCCAACCGTGTTTCCGGGACCATGAAAGAGCCAAGAAGCTTGCGAGTACACAAATTCTGGCAGTCAGCAGCCCCAGGCATCATGGTTGGTAACCGAAACTGAGAAAGCAAGATGATGACGGCTTCTGCCAAACGTGTGGAAGTCATCCGAATGCGTTTTAGGAGGTGAAAAACCGGATATGGGACAGGGAGAAGCTTCAAATGCCACAAGACAACCACTGTTTGGAAAAAATAACAACAAATGTCTTAAAAACTCGAAATAAAGCGCATGACAATGTTCCGGTTATGCAGTCAGACTTGGCAACTGTAATAAAACATGTCCAAACGATCAATCAGCCAACTGAAGTATCGTCGGAAACTTTATTCCTGATTTGTAAGAGGGCCAATAAGCTTTGCTTCAGGATTTCAAAAAATTGCGATTTAAAAAAGTTATAGCTAGATTTTGGGGTGGCCCTATACTTGTGTTACGCACTGTATATGGAAAACTTCGTATTCCCTTAATTTTTAAAAATTCCTAGTTGGCTGCCAAGCTTCAGACTCCTGAAAATGGTCAAAATGACGGAAAATTAACTGGAAAACACGGGCACTTTGGATAAAACTCTTCAAATTGCGACACACACCTTCCTACGGAATAAATTTTTTGTATATCATATTTTCCTCTCGAGATTTGCCTTGCAGTGACGAAAATGAAAAAAAAAAGCATTCTCAACTTTTTAATAAAAATAAGTTGTAACTGACATTGATCTGTTTGCTGTATATAATTTCAAAACACACGAACCTGCGTAAAATCTCATGTTGACTAGCGTTATGTGCCTAAAACTACACATAGTTGTCTTTCCGAATGCCTCTTTGCTATTTGCACTGTTTCAGGCACTCATCTGATGACATAAGGACCACACAACCGTCTGCGCGGGCATATTGTCTCCATCCTCCCCTCTTTTTCTACCGATCGATACTGACCTTTTCAATGCGCAGCCTTATCGCCTGCCGCGCACAACGTCTCGACGATTTCCCCATTCTTCTTCATTCGTCTTCTTTCTTCTGCCCGCTGTTGGCCGCGGCCGTGACGCAAATCGGCCACACGGCCGTGCGGCGAACTGGTAACACACCGAAGACCTATCTTCTTTCTTTTTTTCTCGGCACACGCTCACCCGTTCTGCAATCATTTTCCGATTTTTTCACACAATTTACGATTGATTTCCTGTATACATTTGGATTTTATTGCAGAAAAATGGGAGATGCGAACGATTTGTTTGGAGGTCTCAGCGAAAGCAGTGGGAGCAGTGACGAGGAGGACGCTATCACTGATATTGTTCCTCCAAAGAACCAGGACGTGCTTGCTGATTTAGCTCTGAGGTAAGACTTTTCTATCTATGCTGCAAATAATATGGAAGTCTTTGTTTCAGTGATGAAGACGACGATCTAGACGATTTGATTGAAAAATCACCATCGCCATCAAAAAGTGGACCGTCATCAGTTGAATTACAACCACCACAACCGCTACCAACAAGGCCTCCAGTGGTTTTTTCACTTTCCGACGACGAAGACTCAATGGACATGCCGGATATTCAGCAAATGCAACGGAATGCAGCTGCAGCAGCCGCCGCCGCTGCTGCCGAAGCTGCAGAAAAAGCTGCTGCAGTTGCAGAAGCTGCTGCAAAAGAGAAAGCTGCCGAGGAAGCGAGATTGGCTGAAATTAAGGCAGAACAAGAGAAAGCGGCTGAAAAACGGAGACGAGTGAGTAGTCTAGGTTAAGAGAAAAAAGAAAAAATGTTTGATTCCAGTTGGAATACATTGTCAAGGTGGAGTTACCAATGAAACAACCAAGACTGGACGAGGGACCGTCGAGTTCCAGACCAGGACCTAGTCATGTGAGTCGATTTCTTATAAATTAGGCTGATAAATAAATTAAAGTGTATTGAAATGTTCTGAACGGAAATCGCAGGTAAAGAAGCCTAGAAAAACGCGTGTGAGAGCCGGAAAATTAGCTAAACAGAAAATACTCCCGGCTTGATCAAGACTACAAGTGCCTTCGCCAATTAGACAATTTTTTCTCGCCTGTGGAAAATTTTAGGCTTTTTCACACCAGCAGGAGTTTTCGCTCTGTCTTTTCTTGAAAGTTGGAGCAAGCAAGCAAATATCAGAGTTTTGTTTTTTTTTCAAAAAATGCTGACTGGCCAAAGCTTGGGTTCAATTAGAAGCTCTTGTGGACAAAACCGGAGCGCTCAGCCGTTTGATAGCGGGTTGGGCAAAATCAATGATATTAACTCGATTAGCGACCCTCCTGAATGTATTCACAACCAAGAAAATATCAACAACATGCACAATCGCCTTCCTCAATAAAACGTTCATTTTCAGAGCCGCATCCGTGATGACAGCCTTTCGCTGGAAGGTTTCGAGTTCAGCAAAGCCAACGAAGCAAAATTCCAAGCTCTGATCCAACGCCATCAAACGGAAGCCGACGGGTAAAACTTTCTGTCATAACCATAAAAATTAATATTTTCAGCGGTCCACCACCACCCCGTCCACGTGTTCCTCAACTTCCACCAGTGCCAGAAGACGAAAATGAGATTGCACGTTTGAAGTCACAAATTCTTCTGTCCAACTTCTCACAAGAGCAACTGGAGCGCTATGAATCATATAGAAGGTAATCTCAAAGTTTGCCTCAATGTTCTAATTCCAAAACTGACCGGCACTAATTGAGCCTGATGTTGCATAAGTATCTCTGGAAAGTAGAAAAGGAATTCTGAGTTTAGTATAAATTTTTAGGAAAAATGGTTGTTAGATAGCACATCGATGTGCTAAGCGAGATATTAAATGAAATCCCATATGGCTGTTGCAGATCTTCTTTCCAAAAGTCCACCATTCGTCGTCTGATTAATCAATTCACCGGTGGAGCCAACGTCAACCAGAGTGTCGTCATCGCCATCGCCGGATTGGCTAAAGTTTTCGTTGGAGAAGTTGTCGAGGAAGCACTGGACATTCGTGATTTGGATGAGGAGGCTGCCAGGAATCCACTTCAACCAGAACATGTTCGTCAGGCTTTCCTCAAACTCGGTGAGCAAGGGAAGCTCTATCCACCAATTGGCCCAAGATCCGATGGACTATGAACTGAGATTGGGATTGTTAAAACTAACATTGTAATATTTGATGTGATGAGCACAAAAGCCATTTAATTTATTGATTCCTGTGACATAGTATTTTCTTTGGGAACGGTCTGTCAGATTTTTTAATGAACCCATTTGAATACTGTTTTTCTTGGATTTGTTGAATCTGCTCGGTCAGAACATCAGAATCAAAAAGTTTCAGCTGTTGACCTACGTGCTCTGGGTTAATAACTTCCGGGAAGTCAGGACTAAAGCACATGTTGTGTTTCTTTATTATGGTGGTGTCGAAAAAGAAACTAATCAAAGAAGTGTTTATAACATTAAGAAATTTTTACGAAGCAAAGATTAACATTTTCCCCGAGCCAGTCATAATTGTATGTGTCGGAAAAGTTTAGAGTGGCTGAAAAAGCAATCACCACTTTTTCGAATGTGCATAACTCTTCACTTTGCTCCAAGATGCCGTTTGAGCAGTCGCTTCTCTTCTTGTTCGGATTGATGTCGATTTTTCTTTATTTACTGATAGTCAGGACATTGAAAAAGCATCGGAAAACACCTCTACTGGGTGGGACCTTTTTCAAGTTGGTGGTTCTCCAGGTGAGCGAGATGAATCAGCAGAAACACATTGTACATTGAAAATTTCAGTTTTATGCCGAAACGTTCTTTTTTCTGGAGTTTTCTTTGACAATGAGGTTTCGAAAGTACACTGACTTTTATTTGTTGTTTGAACCGGGAACTGAGTTCACTGGTATTGTCCCACGTGTCATTTCGGGAGTTCATTATTATGTGAAGGTAATTGCACTAGAACTATGGCTGTTATTTTGGTACGAGAAAAATCAGAGCATCGGAAGTGAAACGACAATGGTAGTGGTCCCAAAGCAACAACTACCGTAACTTAAATATATTTTTATTTCTCCTATTTATTGTCTCACTGGTTTTTGTCAATTATTCTGAATATTTTCTCCAAATTAGTCGGAAAATATACATGTTTGCAAGTAGGAAAACTGACCGATGCGCATGATAATCGAGAAGATGATCCTGGAAAATACTTTTTTTAGGTTACAGTAGTTGTCGTTGTGGAACCTTTACACACGGCCCATTTTCTTACACAGCTCCAATGTTTTTTCCGAACCAGAGAAAAATTTGAACATTATCATTCTGATTCGCTTGTATCTTCAAATTATTAATGATTGAAAATTCGCCAAAAATATTGAAAATAATTTGAATTGCACTTCCGTTCCTTTTATTTGTCCCTAAATTTCGAATACTCAGGTTGTCGTCTACATTGGCTACACAGTGTTTGCTATAAATCGGTTGCTCAGTGCTCTTACGGTATCCTCCTACAACTCGCAGAACATTTCGGTTTGTTTTTAGAAACCGTGTCTTATTAGCTGCTCTTTCATAAAAACGTGTAATTCAGACACAAATGCCTCGAAATTGTGAGGTTTGAAAGTGATTTCTGGTTTGAAATTGAGCAAAAATTGAACTTTAACGAATGACAAATTCGGTTTTTATTTTAAATTTGAAGAGATTTTTTAAAGGTTTGGGGACCTTCAACTATAAGATGGATCACAATCACTCAATGGTCCGTTCCCATACTGGCGGTCTTGCCTACTCATGCATGGCCAGATTTTCAATTCTTTCTTCAAATCACTGCAACAGCTATGCGTCTAAATAATGACGCATTTTCTACAGCGGTACGATACTAGTTTCCCAATTTTCCATAAAATGCAGTCTTCAGCTTATATCATATGTAGATGGATTTTGTTGTCTAGCCACTTGTGTTTTCTGCATTATCTGTTATATAATTACGGGATTTTTGATCCGTAAAAATTGGAAACGGAATTCAACTACAGTAGGTTTATTCCTATTGTGCAAAAAAATTTAGAAGCTTCAGGTGTTTAAAAAGTCTAGTTCACAATCATCCGCTGAAAGAGGTCTTTTTATATCTGCCGTATTATCGTTTTGTGTTTTGATGTTAAACTTGACGGTTCAAATACTGAAGATAATTATTTCCTGGAATGAAATGACGAACATTTTGGCCGCTTATGACATTTCGTGAGTGTGTTTTAGTTGAACCCAACGATTTGAAATCTAATTTTGTTGTTTTCTCTCAAACAGAAAGCACACAGAACAGCCAAAAACTAACTTCCAGTTTCCAGATACCCAATGGTGGACCTAATGTATTCACATTATCCCTGGGTGCTGATTGTGACGTCGTCAGTGTTAAGGCGCCAGCTTGTTTACGACGTGAAATTACTCATAAGGAAGTAAGCAGAACAGGGGTTGAAGAATTGTTATGAATGCATTTTTTCAGCACTTTGAGACTTGACGAAGCCTCAATGAGCATGTCAAGAAATGGGCAAACGAATGCGGCATCAAAAACGGTTCCGGCTACTTGAGCAGAAAATCTTCTTTTTTCATCTTTTGCACACTTCATGGCTCATTTTATCGAATCATTTCATTTTTATTTAGTCGTAGTTACTCAATAAATTCATTTTGAAACAGTTTTCAAAATTAAAACCTCCTTACTAGCCTCCAATTCGAATTTTTTTTACTGCATCAAAAACTAGAACTTGGAATTATACAAGCTTTATAGAATGACATCGTACTCAACTCAATTCAATTTATTTTTTTCAACAGAAGCCTTTCATTCAGAAAAAATTGGCTGAAAAGTTCACAAATTTTCAAGACAATTCTGTGAAAATTTGGTGCTGAAACTCTTTTGATACTCAATTTTCTGAAATATCGAAATAAGTTATTTCAAGAAAACCAGCTGAAGCTAGAGATTGGTCATATGATTGAAGAGATCTTATTTCCTAGCAACTGTTTGCGCACAAATGCGGAGTCCTTTTTTTGGTTTCACAAGGAGTTTTTCTGCGAAATTTTTTGTAAATATCGTGTGAAATCTTCAAAATTTCATTTGAAAAATATCGTGTGAACTCTCTAACATTTCATATGAATTCTGCAATGTTAAGGTTTACAGCAGAAGTGTTTTCAGAAAAGGTATCGAAAATTATTGAAATATGATGATTTGACAATTTTTATGAATTATTACTTTATTGGAATGCTTGAACAAACTTTTCACACGGGTTCTGACAGATCGATCACAGGATTACGTGTACATTATGGCTTAGTGGAATGTTATGGCAATATTATCACTTTTGTCGCTCATCGTCTCCTCTTGCTGCTCGGCCTTAACCCTGGCGGGAGTTTCTGCCAAGCCGATGAACGAAATCGCCGACATTCTGGAGATACTCGGTGAACTCCGTGGCCTGAGCGAAATAACGACGCTCAGCAGCTTTTGCTTCCTCGATGTAGATTCTTGGGGCCACAGGATGGAACATTGTGACAAGTTGTGAGACGATTTCATCACGCCGTTCTTGTCTCAGCTCGCGCCAGCCAGTGAACGTGTTCAGAATAGGGTCCATAGTTGAGTTTCTGGAAAAATTATCTGGAGGGTTGGTTGAATATTCAAAAGAAGAAAATATGACGATTGGAATTTGTATCATAGATTCTCTGGAAAAACCTAGAATAAGTTGAGAAGAAAGAAAACAGGATGAATAGTGGCAAATCTCGTCAGAATTGCCAACAAATATCATAAGAAAAAGAGAAGGACAGATTAAAATGAAATTTTTATTAAAGTTTCATTGGCAGAGAATCTCGAATGTTTGTTAATGCAACCAGTAGTTTCTAATCAATCTGTTTACTTCTTCTCTGTTCTCATCTCGCACGCACACACATAGCCGCGCGCGCACACACAAGAACACACTTGGTCCGCAATGTGGCGTCTGTCGTAGGGTGTGGTGTATTCAGAGTTGTGACGTTTGCGGCAGACTCTTTTTTCCTGCGATCCGCGTTTTGCCGTTTTTCGCGTTCATTTTATCGAGGGTTTTTTGTTTTTTTTTCAATAATTCATGTTTCAGGTATGAAGACCGTCGTCATCTTGTTGGCGATAATAGGCCATGCTGCCGCCAACCTTCTTATGCCCGGAATTTACACGGAAGTCGTGGAAATTCAACAAGGAAAGGTGAGTTTTTCGTGGAAACATGTGTATTCTGAAAAAGAAACGTGTCATTTCAGTATCAATTAATCGGAGTACCACAAGCCGCACTAAATGGAACCATCGTTCAGTTGGAATTCACATGTGATCCGGACGTTGACCTCGAGTTTGATGTGAGTCATTAGGTAGAAAATCGATACGCGCTCTATTTGTACGGTGTGTGTTTTACAGTCTGAAATGCTTGTAAGATTGTAGTTGCCCAGAATTTTCTCTATAAAAGTTAGAGAGACGTTGCAATAGATGAAATTCCTTATCTACCCTTCAATAATCGCTCAAAATTTCAGACCGAGTACGTGCTTCGCTCCTCGCCGTGTGACAAAGAGTTCTTCAACACCAAAGAAAACGAGAGGCGGCAGAATTTGGTAAGTTTGAAGAAGAAAAATAGGACAATCTGTCCAAAGTTGTCCCATGAACTAGAACGAATAAAACGCAAAGCTCCGGTTAACCTGAAAATACCTTTAAATCTGAGTTAGAGGGACCGATTCTTCTATTCTTCCAAGGTACCTCCGAAGGGCCCTCCTATTTATTAGACAGACATAGCTCTTCTTTAGATGGTATTTTCTAATACAGGTTTTACGATAACCAAATTAGTAACTTATATTACTTAACACATAAGTTCCATATTTTTGCCAGAGAAACGAACAGAAACCTACAAACCAGAAAACCATACTACCAGGACTTCCCCACACTAGTTTGCAAAAAACAAATCATAATCCGTCTGTATTATCTTTCAGGTGTTCTATTTCAACGAGACCAACCAAAACCACATCCCCGACGCTTTCGACTACAATGAGATAGTCTACTATAAATCGCCAATTCAAACGATATCTTGCAAAGGATCTCACGGGCGATTCCTTTTCCCCATCCCGACCGGACCGATGGCTGTGAAACAAGTGACACCAGTGCATGTGGATCGAGTGAAGAGGGACACCGGTCTCGGATCCTTCCATGCCGCTCAAACTATTCCACGGGATGGAATTTACTACATGATTATAAAGGTCAGCTTCAAAGTAATAATCCAATCCAACAAGTAATGTGTTTCAGGTTGTTGGAAAATCCTTCCCATCAAAGCTAAATGCCAACACCAATGTCACCATCTCCGTTCAATGGAAGGCTCCATACGGATTCCTCTCAGCTATTGACTGGCCATTGCTCAGATTCTATAAGATCATGTGCGTGTTCTACTCGGCGCTCGCCCTTCTCTGGGTGTACTACTGCATCAAGTACTACCGTGATATTCTTCGAATCCAATACTGGATTGGTTAGTTCTATCAGAAGTGCGCCAACCACACTAATATAAACTTACAGGAGCTGTCATTGTCTTGGGAATGGTTGAGAAGGCGTTCTTCCTGTCTGAATACGCTACAATGAATGACACCGGGTCGAGTATCGATGGAATACTGGAAATCGCAGAGATTGTGTCGTGTGCCAAGAAGACAATGTCCAGAGTACTGGTTATTATTGTTTGTGTTGGATACGGAGTGGTAAAACCAAGACTGGGGCAGACATTGAACCAAGTCGCTGGTGTTGGACTGGTTTACTTCATCTTCTGCTCAATTGAAGGGATCGCTAGAGTCTCCAAAGTAAGTATTTAGCTTGAAGTGTAGAGGTTGGTTTCGAAAGAAGCTTGAAAAAAGAAAACAATGTTGTTGGATAAGGAATGTACATTGTGGCTGACAATTGAGAAAAGACAACCAATAATATCTCTCGGAAGAGAACATAGACCTAAATTTGGAAAGCCTCAGTCAGAGAAGTTCGAAAATTTGACTACGATAGATCGAAAAAGTTTGTCTGACAAAAAAGTTTTCTATCAGTACTAACAACTAGAAAGTCATACCTTTTCCCGAATTCGTAGATTCAGCAGCTTCCTGTCCTGAAATGAATGCAATGATGTTTACCGTTCTTAAACGGGACGTACGATGACCAAAATCGATTTTTGAAAAGCCTCATCGGAGCCATCCCTGCTGAAATTTGAATTTCCAATAAAAATAATTTTTGAATCTCTTAATCGACTTTCCTGAAAAACAGCAGACTTTCCCAAAAAAAACCGACCTCTTTCATTTATAATCAATATCCCTATTTTGTCCGACTTGAAGTACTAAGTAAGTTATCAGCTCTTGAGCAGCATGATACCGTCGTTGGCGCATTTTTCCAGCTTACTGGCTGGTAGTTGCTATAGATCGAAACACAAAAACTTTTGACACGTAATGCTATTTAACTTGTCATACAAAAAATATTAAAAACCTGCCGATTTGCAGAGTTCACATTCTTCAGAAACCTTAACGTTTCTATTTCGACGTACACTTTGATAATTCAGTGACACTTGGTGCCTTATTTTCTCAAAAATTTCACTGGGAGCAAAAACTTTTTCAACTGTTTCACTTTTTCAATAGTTTTTTTTTCTTCAGAACACAGTCGAAGCTACTCGTCAGAAGCAATTTGCCGCTCTACCCCTCGTTCTCACAGAGATGATCATCTTCTATTGGATTTTCACCTCCTTAGCCGCTACCATCCGAATGCTCCGTCTGAAGAGAAACGATGTGAAGCTAAACGTCTACCGTCATTTTGCCAACACACTTGTATTCTCTGTGATCGCATCAGTGGTGTTCATGCTATGGAGTATGATCTATCATATTTTCCCAACGTGTCGTGTTGATTGGAAAGAACTGTGAGTATCAAGAGATTGCTCGTTTGTACTGAAATTTGATGATTTTCAGTTGGGTGGACACTGCTTTCTGGCATGTGCTCTTCTGTTTCATTCTGATCGTCATCATGATTCTCTGGCGTCCCTCACAAAATAATCAACGATACGCGTTCACTCCACTTTTGGATGACAGTGAAGATGAGAATGATCAAGGTGAGTCGTTTACTCCCGGATTCCTTTGAATTCATGACTAAAAAACGGGTTTTCAGATGAAATCTTCAATGCTTTCGCCCCTGGATATGATATTTTGACTGCTAGAACATCTGGATCCGGCGCCGAAACTCGCAAACTCCGTGAAGCCGAGAAAGAGCAAGAGAGAAAGGACGAGGCCATCAAGGAGGACTTGAGATGGATAGAAGAGAACATTCCAACCACTTTGGCTGACACTTGATTGGTGGTCTTGACGAAAACGACGAAATTGAATCGAAGCAGCTGGAAGTCAGCAAAATGTTGTAAATTACGTGTGTCATCCCCCGAGTTGAATATAACTTAACGTTTTTGTTGTTGCATTCATGTTGCTATATACATTTGTCTGATTATCTCTTCTCACTATACAGACTTTATTACCTTTTTTGACTCTATCAATCTTAATTAGGTGCAATACGGTTAGTCCGTGTGTATTGTTTTTGCAATTCAAGTGTATACGTGGTGTATAGTTTTATGCGGATGGTCACTCATCTCGGACCAATTCTTTCAGTTGTTTGATGTAATTTTCTTAAAACGTTGCTTCGACAGCTACGAAAAAAACTTTTGTTTGCTTATATATGGAAAAATGAAGTTTTTCGAACCTTTTTCAATTGTTAAAGTTATTCAATTTTTGAGAAAGTTGCGAAATACAGTACTGGCCAAAAAGGTATTCGCAAACGGTTTTTTGAGAGTAACTTTGCTGAAACTTAAGGGATCGATCTGAAAATTTTACTGTGCATGTCGTACACGGTGACGACAAATTGCGTACAAGGAAATTGCATCATTTTCAGAAATTTTTTGTTTTTTTCAATTTTTTCAATTTTTTCGTTTTTTCACTTTTTTCATATTTTTATATTTTTGGATATTATGGTTTCTAAGAATGTTGGTTTTGGCTCCTATGTATTTAAGACTGTTTACAGACATGGCCAGACCCCTCGGAAAAAAAACATCTCTCAGGACATCCGTAAAGCCATCGTCATCGGCTTCAGAAGTGGATGTTCCAAGGACCTCTTGGCGCAGCAGTTCAATGTTACTAAACGTGCCATCGAGAAGATCTTGAAGCAGTTTCGGGATGAGGTAATATTCAAAAATAGTATAGTTATGGAAAAAAATGTTTAGGGAGCCTTGGTGGAGCGAAAATCGCCTGGAAGACCGCGTATCACGTCGAAGAACATGGATCGGAACATCGTCCGAGTTTCAAGAGAGGATCCCCAGAGAAGTTCTACGGACATTCAGATGGTCGTGAAGACTCCAAATGAAGTCACACCATCCCTGAGAACCGTCAGAAGACGTCTTCAAGATGCTGGACTCCATGGACGACGGCCAGCTAAGAAACCATCGATCAGCAAGAAGAACAGAATCGCCCGCGTAGCATGGGCCAGAGCTCATCTCCACTGGGGACGTCAGGATTGGGCTAATCACGTGTTCAGCGACGAATCCAAGTTCAATCTGTTCGGTACTGACGGTATCAAGTGGATTCGCCGTCCGGTTGGATGTCGGTTCGATCCCAGCTACCAGCTCCAAACCGTCAAGCATGGAGGTGGATCGGTGATGGTCTGGGGCTGCTTCTCTGGGACTTCAATCGGCCCGCTGAGATGAATTACAAGCATCATGGATCGCTTTGTCTATGAAGACATCTTGGAGAACACAATGAGACCCTGGGCAAGGTCTACTGTGGGCCGGGCGTTCGTTTTCCAACAGGATAACGACCCGAAGCACACCTCGAAGCACATCAAGGAGTGGTTCCGACGCCGCCACGTGGATCTTCTGGACTGGCCAAGTCAATCTCCGGACTTGAATCCGATCGAACACCTCTGGGAGCATGTCGAGAGACAGCTTAGAGGGGTTCGTGCCTCGAATGCCAACCAGAAGTTCGACCAACTCCAAGATGTCTGGCAGGCCATCCCGATGTCTGTCATCGACACCATTCTCGACTCGATGCCAAGAAGATGTCAAACGGTAATCGACGCCAAAGGCTTCCCAACGAAGTACTAAAGCTATTTTATTCATTTTCTATTATTATTTTTCGTTTACCGGTCTATCCTAGATCTCAGAAGTCAAAGTTCCATTTACCGGTTTTTTGCAATTTTCATGAATTTTTCGATTTTTTTTCAATTTTTTGAAATTTTGACTATTCTTGTTGTTGAATCAGTTTCTTTTACCGTTTTAAACTTTGTCTTAAAATATCAGATTGATCGGGAAGTTTCAGAAAAGTTATGCTCGAAAAACTATTTGCGAATACCTTTTTGGCCAGTACTGTAGCAGCTTTGTATATTGATAAGCATTCATATTAAATTATAAAATAAAAAGGTTTTCCGGTTTTCGAAATTTCTGATTTTTTCATATCAAAAGATTGGCGAAAAATTGACAAACAGAAACAGCAAAAAAGAATAATTCTCGAGACCGGCAAGAAAACTTTAATCGTGCACCGTCGATGTACCGTAGTTCAAAAATCTTTAATTCTGAAAAAATGGGGAATATCCCGATCAGAATTTGATTTTGGAAATGGTATGAATTTTCGGAGTTCTTGGAATTCTGATGTGTTCCAAACATCCCTGAATTTTATGCAAACCTTTTATTTTCGGTATGTTTACCAAATTTTACCAATTTCTACTTTAAGAAATCTCTTTATCCTTCTTCAGATTTTGTTCCCTAAAACAGCAATCTCCTTATTTTTCACCCAGGTCCAAATAGTTGTTGTTTGTTTGTAACATGATCAGTCATGAATCTGTAACAACTTGTGTTTGTGCTGTAAAAGCATGCATTTTCAAGCAATAACAGTACGGAATGACAACAAAAGTGATGTTAACTAGTAGTGGGAACAAAGTCCGAGAATTGTCTGAAATGCATGGTTTCCAGAATTTCCTATGCGATGTTTCACTTTTTATTTTCAATTTTGAACTCAAGGACATACTTTTTATTTTCGACTTGAGTAATTGAAAGTTTGCATTGTTTATGGAAGGTCCTTTATCGGGTTCTCCAATCTTTCAATTTCGATTTCTAATGTGTTTGTCATATGACACGAACGGTGCAGTGCAGTTCAATGAAAACGAAACGTCGGTGTCTGTTTCATCTTATTTTGCCATCTCTAGTATCACGTGAACCATCATTGGCGCGAAAATTTCCGAATTTCAAACTTCATGTGTTACAACAAATTGTTTTTTAATAGTGAGATGTACATTTGCATGCCCCTGGTCGTTTTTGCCACTTCTCAAGTAGTCGATGCAAAAATGCTGAAGCCTTCGGATGAGTATTTGAGAAGACGACGGAAAATAGCGTGAAACAGCCGTCGGCATCATACAATCGTAAGTGGGAGGAGACCCGAGGACATCGCACGCAACAGGCAAAAGACACGAGACGCAGCGCGTCGACCTGAGGAAACTAAAGAGAATAGGAAGAAGAAGAGACGCAGAGTGAAAGGAAGAGACTGGGTAGGACGACGGCACAAAGACAGCTAGCAGTCACTCAGCTGATCATACCGAACTGCGGTCTGGCTGTCTGTCTGTACCGTGATGGAGGAAGGTTGCAGCACGCTGGTCCGAAGTTTGGAGCAAAAATATCTTGATGATGATGATGACGTGGTACAAGATCTTCTTTTCACCGGATTTGTAAGTTTCCTAGATCCAGTTTCCCCTACCTAGACAAATCTGTGTCAAATTGTGAAATAATTTTCGACCTCTTTATTCCAGACTGGTTGTTCACCATGCAAAATGGCTAGTCAGCGAGCTCTGGAACTATTAGTTCTTAACAATATGAACATTGGTACCATTGGAGATTCCGAAAAATTGGCCACATTGGCATCCCATGTTTCCGAGGTAGGAGAACTTGTTCTTCCTTGTCTTTTTCCATCTTCTTCTTTCCACATGTGTCCATTAGAACCCCTGTCATTAGGATTGAAAAATCGTTGTGTTTTCTTTTTGTTGTTTTTGTTTTCCTTTTCTCTTCCTGAAAGCCAAGAGGGCGCATCCACAGACAGCTGAAAAAAAATATGAGAGAATAAAGGACACCCCCCCCCCCCGTCCTTGCGTCACATGTGTTTTGCCAATTGAAAAGAGATGGATAATGGTGGTCCCAGCTGATAGGCTATCAGTGATCATGCCTACACAATTTGATTTATTCCTTTTTTTCAGGCGGATCTCGGTTGGAACCAAATTTCCCAGTGGTCCGATGTGGCTTGTATCTTGAAAAACTTGCCGCATCTTCGCGTCTTGAACATCGGTCATAACCCGTTAAATCCCGTGGTATGTTAGTGTTATTTTTTTGAAGATTGGTACGTGTCAAGTGACAAAAAAAGAAAGAGAACCCAGAATGTTTCATGTGACTTTTGGCAAACTTGTGATAAGAATGCCATTGGTGTTTTATTTGCACTACTTTGCGGAAAGATATATAGATTATCTTGAAAGGAAAAGATTTATTGTTGATATTGACGCAATTGGTCAAGTAAATAATATTTGGCAGTTCTGAGAAACCATTCCAAAAATCATTCCAGATTTTCCAGATCAAAGTTTACTTTTTTCCAGATCAATCATGAATTGCCGGTCTCTACCCTCCATACCATTATCCTTAACGGCACCCATCTTCCATTCAAAACCCTGCAATCTTTCCTCTCGATTCTTCCAAAAGTCACCGAACTTCACATGTCGGACAACCAATTCAACGATGACGATGACTGCGACGAACCCATCAGCACCACAGTTAAAACGATTCACTTGAACAGGTATTGGTTATTGATTTTTTGGAATTTTTTGAAGTTTCGTTTTTTCCTGGATAGTTTTATGTGTGAGAGACGAGACGGATGATGAATGAGTGCGCAATGCAAATTCAAAGGCGCCCAGCCCGCGAGACATTTCTGTTTGTGTTCCCTTTTTTCTCGGATGGGAGAGAAAACTGGAATTCAATTTTTCATGTGTGTGGTGGTGGAAGTATACAAACGACAAAATGATCTCTCAATTTCACTGAAAAGTAACAACCACCAAATTTTGATGTTTCATTTCTGCTTCAACGCATTCTCGATTTTCATGCTCCGTAATTCAAACTCGCCAACTCAGGAGAGAGGGCTCATATTCCAGAGACCCTGGTATAATAATAACATGGTGTAGTGTCGAAAAGTCATTGTATGTGACATGTCGCGGGGCAAAGGCAATGCACACCGGAACTTGTTGAAATCCAGGGGCCGCGGAAAACCGCGATGTGAAAGGGAAATGAAATTATGCATGCCGCAGTAAACGTTGGGAAAAAGTATGGTCATTCAAATGAAGTAGTCTTCGGAAGGCACTTTGTGTCACGAGTCGTTCGTCGGCCACCAAATGTGAATGATGTGTTGGAAATGGGACAAAGAGGGGAATGGAGAAGGGAGAAAATTTGAATTTTTGTGTGTGATTTGAAATTCAAAATTCAATTCGTCAGATAGTACACAGAAGGGGAACAAACAACTCTCAATTCATTGTTTTTTCTTTTCAGATGCGGCTTCCAGCGATGGTCGTCAGTTATGAATGTTGTCAAGCGATTTCCAAATGTGTGCTCAGTTTTTGTTTGCGAAAATCCTTTAAAAGATGTCACTCATTGCAAACAATTCGACCAACTCCCATTTTGGAATTTTCTCAACCTGGCAAAGGTAAAGCGCAAAAGCGGAATATTTGCTCAGCCAGCTTTCAATCAATTTTTCCAGACATCCATCGACTCTTGGACCAGTCTTGACCATCTGAGCAAAATGACCTCTATCACTGATCTCCGTATTCCGAACATTCCGTTGTTGGACTCACTAACCAACGAAGAACGATTACACCTTATCATTGGACGTATTCATCAATTGCGCGTGCTCAATGGCTCAAAAATCACCGGCGAACAGCGCGAACAATCAGAACGATTCTTTATTCGGTACTATCAGGTACGCATGATTATGTTTACTACTATTATTGTTATTATCAGCTGATTTTAGGAGCAAAAGGAGAAACCCGCACAATACAAGACGTTGATTGATAAGCACGGAAATCTGGAGAAACTGGTGAGCATTGATTTGACTCCGAAGAAGGACGCAATCGTGAAACTTGTATGCGAGGAGAAGGACGTCAACAAGGAGATCACAATCTCGCTGGAACCAACGATACTCGAATTTATGAAGTAATAATTTTTGTGCTGTTGCATTTTCCTTTTTCTACTTCTACTTCCCCTGAAATAGTAATAAGATATAGAAAAAGAAGAAAAAGCAAAGAAGAAGATAGGAAAGAGGGAATCCCATGACTTAATTAGGTTGAGTGTATGAAGAGAATAGAAAAGAAGCCGTGATTCTTCTTCTAAAGATTTTATTACAGATTCCTGGAGCCAAAAGTTTGCGTGAAGTACACTCGGATGAAATTGTTCCTGTTCCGTACGGATGGAAGAAGCGAAGATTTTACATCAAGTACCTACAATATGCCATTACATTATTTCAAAATTGAAGATAATGATACTTTTATGGTTCAGGTATGTAGGTTCATCCTCCCGTAATTGACACTCTAATCCAAACACAAGTGGACTACAACAGTAGATGATCCCCTCCTTGAAAAGGCAGAGTAATAAAAGAAGCACTTGTTTGACATGCAAATAAATACAAGGGTCTTGTTGTGTTCGCCCCTGTCCGTTGTCCTTTCTCCGTTGGGGTCGTATGCTTACCAATTAAGTAGCTGTTTCCATTGGGTCACCTGTCATCCGTTTTTCTTTCTTTCTTCCGGCGGAAAACAGACAAAAGCCAGTACCGCCTGACCGTGTATAAAGGCAAAATACATTAAGAGAAAAGACAATGAAACAAGAAACGCCATTTTTTCTTGGTAGGAAAACACAGGGAAACCGGTTCAGAATTCGGCTTGGTATCAGACGGCGACCAAATTTTTTTTTGAAAAAATAATTTGAAGAAGTGAAAATGTGAAAATGCGCGAAATCATGCAATGAAATGACAACCCGTTTGTTACGCAAGATTTATGAAGCTTATCTAATATTCCGGGATAAAGATTGTCCATCTCCAACATATGCCTTTTTTTTCTTCTTGGGATTTCTATGCATTTTTTAGTAGGGATGACCCCCTTTTTAGATTCTTAGAAAATTTCTCGAGATATCCATAAATACATGAACAGCTTTTCTCATGCCGTGTTTCTTTTTTCAGGAGAAAATAGTGGTGACCAAGCGAAGAAGACCACCAAGCTCCACTTCAAGTTCGTCGTAAAAAACGTGGTGTAAATCTCTACAGATCATCATTGGAACATTTAGTATTACAACATTGTGAATAATTAGAACCCAAGTAGACTTGCCGCTTTTATTATGCTTTTGTCCATTCTAAGCATTTCCCCACTAGTCAATTTCATGTTATTCCGCCAATATTTGGTCGAATCATATCTTTGCTCCCACATTTTTCAAAAACCACCCCCCAGGACCCGCCCAGTCAGGTGAAATCTTTTTCAGAACCATCACAGTTCAACTTTTTCTTTAAAGTGCATTTATTTTCTTAGTTTTGATGTAGCCTCTTTTTTCTTCCGGTCTTGCACATTTCCTTGATACGCAATAAGAAATTGTAAATAAATGTTCAGTAAATTTTATTCTAACAAAGCACTCAAGCAATTTAAAAAACACAATTCCTAGATTGGAAGAGAAAAAAGAAGCAAAAAGCATGCGAGAAAGACAGAATCAAACAATTATTTTTTGGGAGGTCTTCCGGCAGATGATGGACGCTTTGATGGAGTCGACGAGCCGTTCGTTTTCTTTGCAGGCGCACCTTTCCCAGCTCCAGCTGTTTTTGCTCCTTCTTTGTTGGTGAGACTATCCACCTGAAGAATTGATGGATTACTGTAATTAGTGTTTGTGGAAACAACTTTGGAATTGGTTCGCTCTCTATCCCAGAACTGGCGGAGGTTTCTTCTCAATATTTTTCCACATACACTTCTTGGAATCTCAGAGATGAAAAATACACCGCCACGAAGTTCTTTGAAAGTAGCAATTTTTCCTAAAAACTGTTTTGAAGCTACGATATTGAGAATCTGAAACACCTGAAACATATTGACGGACTTCAGCAGAAGCCAACAATGGGTGTCCAGAATTTTTGACCACAAAAGCGGCTGGCACCTCTCCGGTAACATGATCCTGTCTTCCAACAACCGCGCAGTCGTCAATACCGGGATGTGCACGTAGAACAAGTTCCACCTCAGATGGACAGATCTTAATTAGAAGGTTGAAACTCAGCTACAGTAATCTCAGATCTTACTAATGTTCCCTTGCATTTGATAATGTCCTTGATCCTATCCAACACATAAATTTTTCCGAGTTCGTCATAAAACCCAGCGTCACCTTAAAAACTAGATTCAAAGTTTAAGGGTATTTTTTCAATTACCAGTTTTCACAAATCCAGTCGAATCAAACAGCTCGGATGTTGCTTTTGGATTTTTATAGTAGCAAGGAGATACTTGAGGACCTAGCACAATGATTTGACCAGGTTGACGAGGTGGACAAAGTTGTTTAGTTTCCCAATTAACAACCTTAAAAAGCATTCCGGGGAGTGGATTTCCAACCGATTCAATTTTCTCATCTTGGTATGGAGACATAGTACAGATTCCACCAAGTTCAGTCATTCCAAAAGCTGAAAATCTAATTTGAGTTTCTAAGTCTCTGTTGAATCTTACATTGTCTAAAATCCTTTAGGCTCAATCTCGACTTCATAGTATTAGCCAAATTTGAGTCAATTGGGGCGCCGGCACATAGTACACTTCGCAGATGCGGAAGTTTATTATCATCCACAATGGCTTCAGTGGCCATCCAATGAACGATAGCGGGATTTATATGCATTACATTGATCTGGAATAAAACTTACACCAAATTATCGTAGTGCTTGAATACCTGGTTGTTTGCGAGTGTATCCATGAATAGCTTATTGGTTTGTTTCGAGATCAGATAGACACTTGCACCGTTGATAAGAGCATAATAAGCGGAGACGATTCCATAGATGTGAGCAATTGATAGTGGCAGCAAGAAGCGCTCTTTAGCTTGAACTGGTCCATATAATGGTAAACTGATTTGTTGGATATTGATGATAAGGGAACGGTGACTGAGTTCTGCTGCCTGAAACCAATATCTTGGCAAATTTCCAGCGACATATCAAACCTTAGCAAGTCCTGTGGTTCCACTGGTAAACAAAATCAGCAATGGATTCTGTCCCGAGAGTGGTTGAACTGGAGTTTGAGCATCGTCTGCATCAGCATTCTCAACATCTCCGTTTATCTCTTTAGACTGTCCCGAGATTTCCGACATTGGGGATGTGATATCAGCAACATCTTCGGCTAGTGTGGCACCAAGGCTTCTGAAAATTCAAAGACTACATTTATGGTTTAAAGAGGTACTAACATCTTAGCCAAGAAATCTCTTTCACGAGCGGGGGTCTGTAAAAAACAAAATTGGGAATAGGCATGCAAAGAGGGAAATGAAAAACAAGAAAACTTACTTTTGTTTGACATCAATAGATCTGAAATAATATATTTTGATACATATCGATTGCTAGACGATCTCACCGTTTTCTGGCACTATCCACATTAATTCTTTCAGAGGTGAGAACATCCTCAATCTGTCTCACATGCTTTATTCTACCTCCACCTCTCATCTGTGCTTTTCGTCGAACATCATCTGCTTTTTGCATGAACTGGCCCTCTACTACCAGATGGGTAGCCTCGGAGAGGTCCACCAAAGTCCAAATCTCATCTGACAAACTCGGAAAAGTGAATAAAACAAGGAACCGAGTTCTTACCTACTGTACTCCATCCATTGACAGCTACAGCAGAGCAACCAATTATGGAGCATGCCAAATGAACAAAAATCGCTTGACCAGTAGTTCCAGTGATCACAGCAACTCGACTACTTGAGTTTACCTGAAGCTCTTTTAAACGAGTTTCACACATTTCGCACCAATTCCGAATTTCTGAATATCTCCATTGCTTTCCAGAATCCACATCAACCTAAACAGAAGCTTAATTCCTTTTTGAAAATAAAATTTAACTCACGATAGCCAAATTGCTTCCATGTGCAGAGATTTTAGCAAAAAAGTAGTCGTGAAAACACTGAGCCGCTGTTTTATCCCAAGCGATTTGAAACGGGTTTTGAATCTCCATTTTTTGTGAGGAAGTGTTTTTGCTAGGAAGTGGAGGCAACCTTCCCGTGGAAGGCCAAGTGAAGAATGAATACAAGAAGTGCAATGGCGTCAAGGATCTCCTGTTTCACATCACAAATGCATACCAGTAGTGCTGTGCCCCCGGGCGCGCGGCCCAACCCATCGAATGACAAACATTTGCCATGTTTTACCATGCAATCTTGATACACTTGGTCAATGCTCTTCTTCATCTTCTTATTTCTGTAAAGTCTTCTGATGTCAAATAGGGCAAGAGACTTACTCGAGCGAATGGCTCAAATGGTGATTGTCGCTAAGTGCAAGTGTGCATGGCAAAGGTATCAATGTCAAATTTAAGGCACAATTGAATGAGCATTTTTCAGATCAAAATCTATGACACATGTGAACTGCTTGAGAATTGATCCGTGGATCGTAGAGGAGCTCATTGAAGCTGTTGCTCTTGCTAGAATGTTAGTGTTATACTTTGGAAATCACGAAATTTTTCTGCTTTCAGCGAGAACGATTCATCAGATAATTCAGTGATGTACACAGAGAGTTTGGATAGTTTGAAATGATAATTTTATTATGATTTTTATCTTTTTATTTTTTTAAATAAATCTGCTATGTTTTGATTCTGGTAAAATGTGAACACAACTGAGACTTCCAAATTACCCTTTCCCCATAAAAAATCCGTATCACTTATAAGTTGCGGTAGTTATTTTCACAACATTTGCATCTGTTTTTCTATTCAATGGCCAAACGTATACAGTTCCTAGCAATAAGATTCTCATAACACCCTTGTTTCATTGTTCAGCAGCCCAATTGATGAACAGTGCGGAAAGTGTAAAAAAAAATAAAAAGAAATTCGTGATTTGAACCAACGACCTAAGGATAACCACTGACTGCTACAGTCCTCCGCTCTGCCAACTAAGCTATCAAAAGCACGAAAAGATTCTGTCGTTGACGGAGAAATAGCGCAGACAAATAGACCCAAAGTTTGTTCGAATTTTTCACTTACCTCCATAAGCTTAAACCCAATGTCTTGCTTCCTGGATAAGATACGAAAAAGTATGAACTAATAAAATTTTCAAATACTATGTTCAAAATTAATTATTTATCATACATAGTATCACAAATGTTCTATTAGTTGACAAAGATTTAATATCTTCCAGTGTGATTCCAGATTTTATAACAGCACATTGTATTCTTTCGAAAAACGATTACGAATTGAAATATCGAAATCGCCAAAATTTCCTTCTAATTATCCTTTTATCAAAACTATCACATACTTTGTTTGTGTTTTGTATGTAGAATCTCTCTTTCCTAAAACATCACTTTTTTGATATGCAAAGAGAATCTTCCCAGGGAAAAAAGTGAGAAGATATCATTTATAAATGCATAAGAACGACATTTTGTGTCTCTTTTTTGTCACAGTTGTCAACAGATGTCTCTAGAAAAAGATCAAAACTGGGAAAAAAAGAAAAAATAATAAAGATGAGAAAAATGTTGATAGTAGGGTCCGAGCTATGAGAATAAGATTACACCAAAAACTGAAAAAAATGAACAGGTCTCACCTGTGTCAAAAACTAAGAAAGTCTATGCCGAAAAATGAAAAAAAAATGAAAGGACCTGTAAGAAAATCAAAAAAAGACTCGATATTTCGAGTCGAAACGTTTTATTAAACGATTCAATTCAAATATACAAATGACGTACAGAGAAAGCACATAGTTTACCCGTTGCTTGGTAGCATTAAAGCACGATAATCTTTTCTCATACATCTGATTCTTTCTGAATTAAGTAAGGAACACAAATAGCTTGATTTCGCGAAGGTATCATTATTCTTTTGATTGCGTTACCATTGAGCCTCACAAATCCACGTTCACCCAGCACAGGCCGATCGTAACTTTTGTTCTGTACAATGTAGCCATCTTTCTCCGTGATATCGTCTGGTAGAATCTAGAAAACATATTTCAAGAATGGCACTAATATCTCTCTCACCTTGATGTTTGCCTCCTTCACCACCTTTGCCAAATTTCCTGTCAATGGCTCATAGAGCACATTTTTGTGTTGATAGTTGAATTGCAGCAAATAGCTCATTCCCAGTTCTCGAGCTTCTTTGGAACTTAATACTGCTCCACGAACTTGAACAAGTTTTCCGCCAGCAGTCTTTATAACCTCGATTCCAGTATGCTTGAGAAGATGTTCTCCGGCTTGAAGGCCACTGTAAAACCAAATTTTACGTGATAACAGCAAAAAAGCTCACGTCATGACCGCTCCCTTAGCATCTTCCATCTTGGTACCAAGATAGTGAATTTTTCGAATATATTCCGTACCAGCCAAGTCAATGCACATAGTCGCTCTGAAAATGATAATGTATATCCCAGACTTCAATTTATCGATTTTCGAAAAACTCACAAAGATAGTCCAAAGATAATGTAGGCCATTGTAAAAAACACATAAACCTGCTCGTTCGGAACGATATCTCCGAAGCCGACAGTTGCCATTGTGATAAAACAGAAATAAAACGCTTCGAAATACTCCAAGTGCTCCCATGACTCAAAAAATACATTTTAAACAAAATTTCCAGAATTATTAGGTTGTCCAAAAAGTCCTTGACACTTTTGCTCCGCTTTTTGTTGCTTATCCGAATTTCGATTTTTCCAAATCGGTTTTCATATTTATGAACATCACACATTGCATGTTTAACGCACTATAAAAATTTTCCCCTAAAGAGTTTAACGGGCGAGAACTAACTCGAACATCACATACTCAGATTTGTGTTTTGTTCATGTTTCTCCTGAGTCTCTAAAGCAACGAACTTTGTTGAACAAAGTGGAAAGTGTTAGGCGTAGACACCAGCTCTCGAACCACCATTAAGTTTTGGTTCAAAAGATTCGGAGAAGCGAACTATAATCTGGAACACATACCAACATCGAAATGACCTAGTCTCATTATGGATGATGATATTTCGATGTTACTGGAGGAAGAGCTTCGATCTAGTTCATGAGCAGTATCTTTGACAGTCCACCATCCTAATATCACCGTAACAAATAATGTTCACCAAACGAGGCGGTCAAATTATTCCACATATTTTGACCAATTTTCTGAAAAAAGGTACAATGTGACCTTTCACTTTCACTTCTCACCAGGAAACCGACGAGGGGCTGGATCAACAAAATAAGTATTGGAGATGATAAACGGGTATTGTATGTCAACCATACCAGAAAGCACCAATAGGTCCCTGCCAAAGAAACAGCGGAATCGGACTCAAAAGGAAAGCTTCAAGAAAAAATCAGATTTTTTGGGTTTGGTTAGGCAATTCTGGAGTAATATTTGGCAAGATGCTTTCGGACTCCTATACCATCAACGCTGACTTAACTGCTTTCAAATGGATAGTGTTATCTCTGCACATCGCTCTCACCTCAGAAGGGGCTTGGTGTTGAAAATTTTTCAGACAATAAAAAACCACACAAAACTTCAAAGACCCGCAGTAAGCTCGAGCCAATAGGAATCGAAGTTCTGCTTTGCCAACCGTACACCCCTTATCTGGCACTAATTACTTACCACCTTTTCCGGTTTCTCCAAACTGTCTTGCTGGAAATAAATACCATGACCGGAAGGATGTCAAAAAATTTTTGAATCACTTTCTCGAGTATAAGTCGCCAGAGTTCTACGCAAATGAAATCACCCAACTTCTGTTGCGCTGGCAAAATGTTATGAACTCCACTAGTGAATACATTTCTTATTGATTCTTATTTTTCTTGAAGAAAACATCACTTGAAGAAAAGTGTCAAAGACTTTTTGGACAACCTAATAGATAACCTGGAAAAGGAATCCACCAATTGCAGTGTAAGCAAGAAGGACAAGAAGAACCATGAATACCGGAATTCTCAATTCATCTCCAGCTGAATCTTCAGATTCAGAATCAATGTCGTGGAGATTCATTGATCCCGCTTTTGAAGATCCCATAACTGAACTTGATCTTGATTGAGACTGCGATCTGTATTGGCTGGTTATTTTTTTCGATTGGCGGCGAAGCTAAAATTGAAGGTTTGATTTTTTCGCTGTTCTTTGTTACTTTGATTTGTTGATTAGCGGAATTGAATTTTAAAATGCTTGTTTGAAAAGTGTAATTTGTGATTTTGTGTTATAACCAAGTGTGTTTAGTGTATTTTTATGCGCTTCTATCATGAAAGGGTTAGTTTTGTGTGTAGAACCAAAGAGAATGGATGTAAGTGGATAAACCAAGGATAGAACAACAGAAACTGAAGATTGATAGGAGTCTTACCGCGTGCGCAACACTACTTCTGCGTCTGGCTATCAACTGAAAATCATTCCGAACAATGAACATTCGACGAGTTGCAGATAATATTATTTTCAAAATTTCATGCTACCACGAACCTTCCTTTTGAATCCCCGATATGATTTGTACAAATAGCTCAGAAACTCAGAAAGGAATTTTCCAATGTCTGCAATGGTGACAAGCAGCAGTGGGATCCCAAAAAGAGCAAAAATGATGCAAGCCACTCTTCCAGATATAGTGATAGGTACCAAGTTTCCATATCCTGAAAACACTGACGATGTATGAATTGAATTTCAGTTTTCAACAAAAAAGTTTTGAGAAAGTCTGATTTTCGTTTTCATGACATCACTATCATGCACAAACTGTTTCCGGGTTAAGCAACCTTTACAGACAAGGCGTTGCCAAGAAATGACCTTTACTCATAATGATGATATCACCACTATCAAACCGCAAAAAAAGACTCCCACCCAGTTTATTTCCCATTATTGACACACTTTTCCAATTTTTATTTGTACTTGTCTTCAAAAACATACCAATTGTGGTGATTACTGTAGCCGCAAAAAACATTGAGTTTGGAAACGTCCATAAAACCTCATCTTCTCGTGTCTTGTTGAGCAGATGCTTGGCAGTGATAAATTGATTACGGTAAGCTTGGAACATGTTTTTGACCAATTGCTCGAAGTATTCTTGGTTGATCGCATTGAATGCTTCACGAGATATCCGATTATCAGAGTCCTGAAACTTGATTCATGTATAATCATTGTGATTTATATGCTTTGCTCATCCAAGAAAACAGTTACTTACTTAAGGAAGTATATATTCAGTTTTATCAGTTACACAATTTAAGATTTCCGACGGAAATCATCAATTCTAGTAGATATAGTTTTAGGTAATGTTTAACACAAACCGTGCCTGATGCTTTCTTTTTATTTGTGATTCAAATAAAATGCTCTAAACTAAAATTTTGAGCGATTTTCAATTTTTTTTTTTCATTTTCGAGAAGTTGCAAGAATTCAGAGCCAGCAAAAAATATGTTATTGATGGTCTTATTTTGTTTCACAGTTCAATGAGAGATTCAATAAATCTCACTTTTCAAAAATAATATGAAATTTTTATCGAAATATCAAATTTATGAAAGGATTTGTTTATTTAAAAAAAACATTTTTTTAAAGAAATTATGGCAGACTCTTCGATCAGGCTCATTTGTAAAAAGTATGAAAATAAAAAGTAAAATAAGTGGACGCTCGTCTATGTTTGAAGTATACTGTTTGTAGGTAATTATGCCAGATTCTAATTGAAGGAAATTCATTAATTAGGTAGTATTCTCATTCGTATAGAGAAAAAATTCGAATTCTTTATTCAAAAATGTGTATTGAGAAAGCTCGTATTTTTGGTTATACTGTTTTTATGTAACTGTAAACAAACTTTTGTTGGCCATAAGATGCGCTCGTTCAGACATTCGGACATAATCCATTTCCGTTATTGCGAAAATCCAAATATTCTTTTCGAAATAAGGGAAATAAATTTTTGAAGCATACCTGTGTGATGTTCCAAATATGATCTTGAAACTCATCTCGTAAGCCTAGTATTGTTGTTAATTCGTGATTCCTTGTCTGAAACAATTCAAAAAATTAGAATGCTTTTTTTGAATAGCACATCGAAAAGGATTAGCTAGAATTCAACAAAATTTTGCCGCACAAAAAATAATAATCTTAAACTTATCATTTTTTAAAATAGTTTAACAAAAAGTATATAAATCCACTCACCTCTAGTTCTTTTGGCGCTTCTAAATACCTGAACAAAAATGCTCCGGCGATCAGATAGAGAAATAATAATATCACCAATCCCACATGAGGTAGAATCCGTTTGGCGTACTAAATTTGGATTTTTTTTCGATAGCATCATAATGCTTGAAAAGTATTTTACCACGAAAAACTTTTTCTCCTTGGTCTCCACTTCGGTTTCATCATCTGAAATTGGCGGTCCGGCCGTCGTCAAATCCATTTCCATTGGTATCTCATTGAGAGATGATAGTGAGCTCTCGGAGCCCTGAACTCTTTTCGATTGGGATGAAAACATGAAATGATAAATTACCATGTCAAACGTATCGACCGCATTGTGAGTGTACATGAGCAGCTATTTGATAGAGAAAAAATGTATATTTTTTGTGGTACAAATCCAATACACTGGACTCTCTCTATCTTTTGCTCTCAAGACACAACAACTGGGAGAAGAAGGAAAAACGAGGGAGGAGGAAAATAATGAACAACTGGTGGGTCCGAAGAAAATCATTGTGAATTGGGATGTGAAGTGCTTTTCTGATGACGCGTATTACACAAACTTGGGACAGACACGCTAATGACGGAACATGACGTTTTTTTTTTGACACGTTGTTAAGAAAATTTCGATTTATTAGATGAAAATTTCGAGGGAAAATCTGAAGATGCTAAATAAAAAGAATGAGCGAGGCTTATGCATTGAACACTACCGAAATAGTCTCCATGGATAGACCAGAGTCAAGTATTCGAATAAAATGTACGATATAAATGTGTCTTCATGTCTAGACTGATAAGAACATCTTGCGGTTTCGACTCATTGTGATTTATAAACGATTTATATTTTTCCTTCAAATTTTTCAAATTCTTCTCAAAATTTGGATTTGGTTTCTTAATTATTAATCAATTGAGAAGGAGCAACTGATAAAAAAGTGTTGGACAGACTAATCACGTCTGAGGAATTATTTATCGTGTAAAAAAAGGCCGACTTCGCTAGATTTTCTATTCACCACAATTTTTTGATGCTACTACCATTGAGTCGTTATCTACATGACAAAATAAAAACATTTATTGTCGTTTTCGTACCATCTTCTGTGTAACGCCTTCCTTTTTTTCCCATCGCGAAACATCTACAACGTATGACCATTGTTTTCGTTATCAATTGCCAACACCACAAACAGTGCATTCCACTTTTATCTACTATTATTAGTAATTGCGGTTTTGAAGGATCTTGTGTTTCATAACTGTGTTCTTGAAAGATGACTAGATAATGAAAAACGTCATCTAGACGATATAAAAAATGAATCAGCGTCTGACCTTATAACTGTCTCAATTTCAGGCCATTCCTTTGAATTTCGTCTCATTTCGAGTACCAGTTAGATGCAAACACAAAACAATTCCGAGGAGCAACCATCAACATCAAGTGAAGCTCCGAAAGAAGAAGACAGTCCTCCACACTTAACTTCAATATTTGATGGCATGTCAACAACTTCACACGCTGTCAATCGAGTGAGTTTTTTTTGTTATGTTTTTAACCAGTTTTGCAAGACTTTTATTTAATGTTGAAATTTTGTTATTTTTTTCCATGCTTGTTATCTCTGTAGAACGATGAGTTTTGCTGGTTTTGAAACAAAATAAAATGAGAGATTAAAAGTAACAATTCCGTCGCTTCTTCCTAACCTTTGGTTCATTCCTTAGCACAAATTTTCGCTTTTTTTAGGAAAACAGAAATTAACCTGAATTGACACACTCAACCGATTTTTTTTCGAGTTCTTGACAATATTTTGCGGTTTGTGTTATCAGTGAAATTTTTCTAATGAAAACGAATGAATATTTCAGATCATTCGTGCAGATGACTTTTATACTTTTGAGAATTATTTGCAAAGGAAAACAACTTATTGGGGGTTGGAGTTTGCGGAAGAAATTTTTTGACATTTTGACCACTATAAGTTCACAATTAGTCACTTTACTATTGTTTTATCTGAACCCCGCCCTGGTTTTTCATGAGTAATCAGGAAAACAATTAGCTATGCTAACCAGCTTAGTAAAAAAGAATTCCGACAAACAATACTGAGGTAGCGGCACAATTTCGAACTGTTGTAAATTGTTTAGAGCCACAAAAATGAGTCACATTTGATAAGAAGAACTGTTAATAAACTGGAGAATCAACTCAACTCATCGCGTAACTTTTTTCATCGTCACCCATTTTTAAAACGCTCTTCTTCTTTTTTCTCTTCTTCATTTCACGCTATTATCAGATCACAACGCCGAGCACGGACGAGGTTGCGCCCGAGCGTCCAACGTCAGTTTTCGAAAGTTTACAAATGCTCACCCGACTTCCAATACGTCCTGAAGAGCATTTCGTGAGAAAGCGAAAACGAGTGAGGATTCATTTTGATCAAGTGAGTTGTTTGAAAAGTGCAAATTAATTTATAGCAATTTTTTGAAGGCGAATCCTTATTCCGACAATTCACCTCGAACACCTCAAATAACACATAGCAGATGGGATCCTCCACCGCAAGTGGCTGCAACGGCATTGCCAAGCGTGAATACATTGTCAATGTTTTGTGAGTAAGGATTACTGTAGATTTGTTTGAACTTGATTTTTCAGCATACGTCCCTAGCCCGGTTTACCCGTCACCGATTATGAATGACGAGCCAATGACAGATGACGAACTTGTCAAAAGTAAGATTTCAAGGGTCTAAACATGATTCAATTGTTGTTTACTTTTCAGTGAAAGGTCCATCTCGGCTCATCGGATTTCTCGTACACATTGCAATGAATGAAAAAGCAAGGAGGGCTTTGCGATGGACTGGTAATGGACTGGAATTCGTTCTTGTGAATAAGGAGCTGGTGGCTAAGATGTGGGGGAACCGAAAACACAATACCAAGGTTAGTTTTACTGCAATTTGTTCATTCAATATTCTTGAATATTTTAGGATATGGATTACTATAAATTGTCCAGAGCCATTCGGGAGAAATATGAGAAAAAGAACTCTTCGAATTCCCGAGGTGGAGGAAAATTGAAAAAGGGAACAAGTGAGTGAAGGGCTGTGGGGTGATTGGGGCAACTCAGACTATACGATACTGTATCAGTACCATTTTCGAAGTGCTCCGATGTTTCATGAGTGCGTCAGTACTCCTTTTTCAAAACTGCAAAAATTACAAATAAGATACCGTATTCCTTGTAATAGTAATTCACTGTCGTTGAGCTCGACTATCTTTGTTTTTGGAAAATTTTATTTTGAAATTGTGTGACATGGCATCACAACTATTTAAGCAATAATTAGTTGAATTTTAAATCCCACCGAAAACCAAGATTTTCAAAAAACACTATTATAAAAGTGACGCTCTATTAGAGGGAAAAATATTTTTAAAAACTTTATTGCTTTGAAAAGTATCGAAACTTCATTAAAAGAATATGGTAATCGAGCTGCTCGAAGAAAAAGTTTTGACTGCAAAATGGGATTTTGTTAGTCCATCTCGTCATCTTAAAAAACCTAGATTCGCAAATGTGTAAATTAATCTTACAAATTTTTCAAAATGTTCCTACTTTTCCAGCTTAAAAAACTGCAAAATAATTTTCTTATTTGGTTAATACCCTATTCAATTTCCCAATTTTTCACACATTGACATCCATCTCAAACCCCAGTATTCACCAAATTAACGCTACCATATCCTTCTTTCAGGAACATATTCCTACGTCTTCACCGAGAATGCATATCCCGACCTTATCAATCAAACCGAAAAGTCGATCGAATTCATAAACAACTTTGCAGTGCAAATCGGAAACAAATATCACGATAACAGCGACCTGAATAACTCAAACTCCCCACAAGCACCCAGCCCGGTGAACAGTGATTAGGACGCTGTCGTTGCAGAATGTTGAAAAACTGAAAACCAAAAAAAAAAGATTTAAATACAAAAAGGGACTTTTTACGGTTCTAAGCATACACTAATTGTAGTAGTGTTCTTTTAATGTTACGGTACTTTATTCCCAATGGAATTTAGAATATTTTCATGTCTTATCACAACTTTAAAACTTTGTTGGTATGCTGCTTCGTTCCCAAAATATAACCGATGCCCAAATAAACCAACTTTGATGAACAGTACAATGTTTTCGAACAATAAAATTTATGCACGTTTTTTGCGATTTTTCCTTCCATGTTTGTACAGTTGTATACCTCAGTTTTTCCTCATGTTCTTCTTCTCCTCCTTGCTTCCCTCAGCTTTCGAAAAAAGTTATATTTTCTTATGAAAAGCAATTATTCATCAATTGTGTGACTACGTTTCTTGTTGTTCTCGTTTTTTCTTTTGTCAACTACGGCTTGTTTTGCAACTGCAAAAAGAGAAAACAGCTGAGTCAGTTTTGGGAGACGATTTTTGGCTATATTTAAGATAGAAAAACAAAACAGACTCACGACTCATTTCTGCTTATCAGTTCACTGCTATCACCACAATCGGACGGACGAGCAAATATGTTTGATCGGTGCTGGTTTGAATTTTATGTTGGAAAATGTCATTTGAGAAGAAACTGTAAGTACCGATTGAAGAATTAGGCAAAGTGCGTTGGTGTAAACAAAATTTCTCGAGTTCAGCATATGAGTGGTTGTGGTCGTTTTTGTTTCGATTGTGCATGAATCCGGAAGCGTGCTACATTATCACATTTATCGGTTCGTCATGAGTTTGGAAGAAAACCGAAAGAAGTTTGCAAATTACCATTTCCGTTGGAATTGAAAAACTTTGGGTGTTTGAATAGGTACTTAGCACTTGTCTTTTGGGTCTGAAAGTTCAGAAATTGTATTATTCTGGTACAAAATCAGAGCTTTGGGAGAGAAACGCTAGTGGCCGTCTCACAACGACTAGTAACATAATCTAAACGTATTTTTTTCAAGTATTTGTTTTCGCATTTTTTCTTCCCAGCAGAAAAAGTCAGGAAATGATTTCTGATGATAAACAAATTGATTGAAAACGCATAAAAATGGAGATAATATATCAGGAAAATAAAAAATTTTAGGTTACGTTTAGCTGTCATTTTGAGAACTTCGGCCACGGCCTCCGGCGTTTCTCCTCCATAAAATCTTGTAACAGAATGAAAGCCCAATTACAAAACGCTAGTTTACCATTTTTGAACTTCTACTTGCCAAAAAAGAGCTGTAACGTTTCATATTCAGTAATAATTTTAACATTTTCGAGATGTTCTCAGTCGGCTATGATACAACAAGTACTAAATACTGACACACCCAAAGTTGACCATTTTCAACTGAAAGGGCCATTCTAAATTTTCTTTATAGTATTTTTTCCAGGTGATGGGCTACGATTTCGGATTCTCGACTTGAAAGCGTTAGCCTTTTTGTACTATTACCCGAACGATCGTTATGTTTTCACTGATAAGGTATTATTTTTTCCTAGCCACTGTAGTCTATAGCCAATATTTCAGGAGGTTATCAATCTTTTCAAAAGTGCGCTCGGCCGAAATCAGGCGATTTGCAACTGTTGGGCAACAAGTGAAACCACAAACCTCAATCATCGATAACGGCGGAAAGAATTTCAGATAACGATGTGTACGATTTCACCAGCTTGAGAGAAAATGAGATGATGATTTATTCGGGAATGAATATGGAGCAACTACAGAACTATGCTTACTGTGTCAGCCCGCAAGCAGAGCACGATGACGATTTTTGTGGCAGTGATTCACTGGAGTAATCACAATTTGCTACTGATTATGATACAATTGTGAAATAAATTATTAAATAAATTATAAGCACGAAACTGTTCAAACGAAAACAATCCCAAGAAATTACAATGTTATCTGAAAGCAAGGAATATTGTATTCATTCGAAATCCTAGGGACCTGATTTCAAACAAAGCAAAACAAAATTAAGATGTGTCTTCATTAAGAAAACATTTCACGAGTTATTGTATTCCCAAATCCCAAAATTCTTCTTCACTGCGATTTCAGGTTTATCCCGAAATTTTCGGTTCAAAAGCTCCAGTCCTCAAGTACTCAAATATTCAATTTTTTCTCTCTTCAAAAACTTGTTGAACGTCTTCAAATCTTGACTCTCGGTTCTTCTCTAAACTCTTCCTTTTTCACACAAATGTGGTTATCTTGTTCCTAGGAAAAGAAGAAAGAAAGGAAAAAAGCCAAAATCCCGAGTTTCTTCACCAACAATGGAACAAGAAAAACCAACGCCTGCTTGGGACACGTCGAAGCGAGCTTGTCTCATTTTTCCAGAAGGCCTTTCGTTGCCCCCAACCATCTTTCTCTCATGTCTCAAATAGAAGACATGATAGACTCCGATCTCTTTCGGGCTCATTTTTCTGCGCTTTTCTTCCTTTTCCTGCTCATCTTTTTTTTCTGCATTTTTTGTGTTGTGCAAAATGTTTTTTGTTTCTTTTTTTCTGTCTGATCAGCTCCGGTAAGAATAAATTGGTCTAGTTTTTAGTGCAGATTACGAGTCTAACTGCTTTTAAAATTAAATTGAGATTAATCAAATTAAATCAAAAGTGAGAAATTTATTTTTCAAGACAATTTATTTTGTAATCTCCCCCAAGGTTTCATGAAACTCTAAAACGTTTTTCGCTTAAAACACGCTGAACATTTTTATTTTTAATTTTTTATTTCTGATTCTTAATTGCGGAAAAATACAGAAATTCCGTCACTGTTTTCATGGAATTTTCATTTTTTGGGTTTTTCAAAAATTTTGTAAAACTCTAGAAACATTTTTTCTCTGAAACACGCATAACATTTCTGATTTTCAATTCATTGTTGCTACATAATACGGTGATTCCACTATAGCAAGATAGAGCGCACCAGCCTGTTTACCGCGCCTCCGGCGCTTCAAACAGCTGGAATTAACCTTTTTTTACTGTTCGTCGCTTTGCTACTCACTTTTTTTAAAGCCCACGTGAATCTATATTTTATTTTCAAGCTATTCGAAATTTGCGGACAGATCGAGAGATCGAGAAAGAGACGCAACTTCGTTTATTTATTATAAGAATGATGGCCTCAGAACGTTCCAGAAGTTTCTGGAAACATTGAAAACGAAATACCCTATAAAATACATTTCCAATAGGACACAGAATCAAAATTTCAGTGTTTCACGAAAAAAACGAAAATTTAAAAAAAAAATTTAATTTTGAAACTCTGTGCTCAAATGTGTGTAGGCGGCATTAAGATAGACCTAAAAACCGTTTTGCAAAGGTTCATGAAGTTTTCTCAAGTTTGAACATAATTTTGTAAATTTCGATTCTCAACCCTATATGTATCCTTTTAGCTAGGAGGCCCAGGACACCATGGACATGAAGCGCTCGGTAGTCCATGACTACATACTACATACCACTTTAGGAGCCCCATATCCCTTTGAGTTATTCAAGCGAATGTTCGAGACACACGGAAAAGTTTCCTTAGTAAGAAGTAGATTTCCCATTCTTCTTGACAGCTAATATATCCTCTTAATTTCTCACTCAACAAAAAATGACAAATTAACATGAGTATATAAATAGTTGTACCCGCTAGTGTTTGTCAACTTGAAGAGCTACTTCCCCTCCTCCAGCTACTCGCTGGGTTTTTTCCCACAGACTTGTGAGCAAGAGACCCCAATCTGATGAGTGTGAAAGAGAATCGAAGAGGCACCAGGTGAGAAGAGTCCAGCCAACACAAGACATCCCCCCTCTCACTCCACACCAGCTCATAGTCACCAATTTCGTGTGAATCTTGCTGCCTCACTTTTTATTTCTAAAAAAACTCCTCCCCTTTCTACCGATTTTCCGTTTGGCTTATTCCTGAATAAAATCCAAAGTGGGGTCTCTGCTACTTTTTCATACAACGTCACTCCCAAAAATAAAAGATGTCGTCCCGAAAGTAAGTGTTGTTATTTTTGTTTCTCCTCTTCTCCTTGACAGAGGAGAATGTGTGAAATCCATTTTTCTCGCTTTCAAGATTCAGATTTCAAAACCATCGTAAACAACTTGTTTGTTTTCTCGTGCTCTTAAGAACCATGACCATGTTAGTAGTCCCTTCGGACCGATTCACAATTCTCCAACTTTTGGTTCACTTTTTATATGTTCCTTTCCATTTTATCTTCTTTTTTCTAACAAATTCAATTTCATTTCTTTTCGGATGATTTCATTTTGAAAAAAAAAATAGAAAAAAACTAGCCAAATCGGCCAGTATGTGAAAACCCATAAATTTGAAGGGCGAAAAAGATAAATTGGCTCTGGAGAAGGGACTCCAAAAGTCCAGAAGGATATCTTCTTCTCCTGCTCGTTTCGCAAAACCGATTGCATGTGATTCGGAAGAATAATGAGTTTTTCTTTTTTTCAGAGTTTCCCGTGCTCACTACGACGAGGACGAACTACAATCCGCTGCAAACATGAGTCTCGTTGCAGAAGGACATTTCAGGTCAGGAAAAACAGAAAAGGGATTCACGAAAAAAAGAAAACCGGAGAAAAGACCAGGGACAATTATAAATAAAGCTGGTGTAATCTGACTCCATTCATAAGTACTACTTGAGCAGAATAATTAGAACCTTTTTATGGACCTATTCATAAAAAGTGGAACTTGTCCTTTTCCCGGTATGAAAGGATCTTTCATACCAAAAGTATTTTTCAAATTGTTGAAAAAAAAGAACGCTTGACTAAGATTCCCATAGTGACATCGTTTCCCATATCAACATTTTTTTACGATTTGCGTAACCTCGAGAAACCGCCTCGGATGCTCTTCTTTTTTTACTTTCTCTCATTTTTCTTCTCCTCGAAATTGCGGTTTTTGACAATCCGGCCTGAGAAAAATTAGATAATCCTTCAGCAAGTTTTGAGACATAGTAGTTGAACACATTCGAAAATTCGTTGAGGAGTCTAGAAAAAAGTTTTGAATGAATTTTCATTTTCCTTCCACCTTTTTTCCGTTCATTGTGCTCAATTCTTTTTTAGTCGTAGTAATCAAATGGGTATAGTTTTACTCTTTGAAATTAGAGAAGTTTTAATTCTATTTTTGGGGAGAAAGGGAAAAATGACATCAGTTGCCAAAAATGGTTGGAAAATTATGTATTCAACTATTTATTCAGATAATATGATCGTTTCACTTAAAATTCGATACGAAAATGTTCACAAAAGTCAATAAACTGTAAAATGTTATTCGGGATTACGGTAGACATTAATGCGGTCTCAGATTTTCTGAAAGAACGCCATGTTAGACTTGAATTTTGAGCTCACTCATACCAATTTCTGTTAAAGATATGGTAAATCTGAAAATTAAAAAAAGTATTGGTAGGATTATCACAACCACTTTATTAGTTGACAAGTTCTCAATATTTCTCATGGAACTGAGATAATTGAGCAAAGCGCATACAGGTACAATAGCATCATTTTTAGAGTATTTGGTAAGAAGTTTTAAAGGGGGACTCCGACCAGAAATTTTTATTGCATTAAAATGTGTTAAAATTTATCTATTTTTCAAATATTATTGCGAAAAAATTCAAAGAAAATCCGAAATCCCCGAAAAACGGCGTTGAAAAGGAAGAAAATTCAAAAAAAGGTGCCGCAGGGGGACGAGGATTTTCAGTGAGAAACCTAGGCCACGGCACCTGACAGCCTTTTTTTCAAGTCGCCGACAGTGGTTTTTTACGTTTTTACCTGCCGGACATGAAATTGAAAAAAATCCGGAAAATTTGCCACATAGGAAAGGCGCCCGCTGCCGTGGCCTAGGTTTCTCACTGAAAATCCTCGTCCCCCGGCGGCACCTTTTTTTGAATTATCTTCCTTTTCAACGGCGTTTTTTGGGAATTTCGGATTTTTTTGAATTTTTTCGCAATAATATTCGGAAAATAGATAACTTTTAACACATTTTAATGCAATAAAAATTTTTGGTCGGAGTCCCCCTTTAAAGTAACTGTTGAAAACTTTTCAATTTACTGAAAAAAATAAATTCAAAGTTCAGAAAAAGCAGGTCAACGCTGCTTAATTATTCTGAAATTTTCAGCCAAAATGGAAAAAAAAACTTTCTTCTTTTTGGATCAATTTTCTAACATGATATTTTCCTAATTGAATAAGCGATTTGAATATGTTTTACGGTTTTCAGACATTGAAAACTGTCGGAAAATTTGTATATTCTCTTTTTTTACAAGTGAAAATAGAATATTTCAAACTTCCTCAATTATTTGTTTTTACAGAACTACAATTTTCTTTTTTTAAAAACCAGATACCGAATGCGAAAATACAACCTCTCTTTAACTTGTCTCAATATTTAGCGTTTCACCCTATAATTTTCTTGAACGAAACATATAATTTATCATTCTCACTCTGCTGCACTTGAAAAGAAAAGAGTTTCGAAATTCGAGTGTGGGAACTTTCAGTTTTTTTTCAGCTTCCTTCTCACTTCATTTTTTTCTTTCTGCTCTACCATTCTGAGAATTTGGTGCTCTCTTCTTCGACTTTCAAAAGTTCGAATAGAAAAGACAAAACTCTGTTCAATAACGCCAGAAAAGGGCATGATCACTGTGAACTACGTTAGTGCAGTTTGTCGCTTGCCCTTGTAGCTCGCCTAATTCCGGGATATCATCATCATGCGATTCTCATCTGCCATGCACCCATCGTTGGAAGCTAGAGGAGACCTCGTCTTCTTTATGTGCAAAAAACGAAGGGACAATCTTGTATTGGCCCCATTTCTAGAATATGTATGCAAAAAATGCACTGAGGTTCCCTCTTTTTTCGAACGATGTGGCTCTTTTCATTTCTCTTTTCAATTTCTTCAGAAATTCTGATAAATGAATGCGTTGGCGGCATTTTTCAATTAAAATTTGACATTTTGATGTATTTCTAATCAAAATGGCCCGTTGCAGAAAAAATGAGTATATAAGCAGGGCTATGCTCTCTGGATTCTCATTTTTCCTTTTCCAATTTTTATTTTCTTTCTTTTTTTCTAACTCAAAAAGAAATTTATAGTTTGGTTTAAAAAATTATAGTTTTTCTGAGAAATCCTCCCACACCCTAAAATTGAAAAAACTGAATTTCCAGAGGCATGAAGGAGTTACTCTCCAGCATGGACCTTGACACCGACGCAAATACTATCCCGGAGCTCAAAGAACGTGCTCATATGCTCTGCGCTCGTTTCCTGGGCGGAGCATGGAAAACTGTTCCATTGGAGCATTTGCGTATCAGCCGTATTAAGTGAGTTTCTAATTAGAACCACCACTGAAATCCCCTCAACTAAACTTTAAGATTTTAGGGGTGGAATGAGCAATATGCTCTTCTTGTGCCGATTGTCGGAGGTCTATCCACCGATTCGCAACGAGCCGAACAAGGTGCTTCTCCGTGTCTACTTCAACCCGGAGACTGAAAGCCACCTCGTCGCCGAGTCTGTCATTTTCACGCTTCTCTCCGAGCGCCACTTGGGTCCAAAACTTTATGGCATTTTCAGTGGCGGACGTTTGGAGGAGTACATTCCGGTGAGTACATTGGGATCATTAGGAAGGGTGGCGATGGTTGTATGTTTTCGAAATTTAGTGAAATATCACGATTTACAGTCTCGTCCATTGTCGTGCCACGAGATCTCGCTGTCTCACATGTCGACGAAAATAGCAAAGCGTGTTGCCAAGGTTCACCAATTGGAGGTTCCAATCTGGAAGGAGCCAGACTACTTGTGCGAGGCTCTTCAGAGGTATGATTATAGATTTACAACTTTCATCCATACTTGACAACGGGCTCAATGAGGGTTTCTTTGCCATAGTTTCCTAAGGTTCAATATTTTGGCCGCATTGTGCCGGTACCTGACACGGGAAGTGTTTTCAAAAAGGCTTTGAGAATTCCTTTAAAAATGAACACGTATACTTGTAGACATGGTGAATAATCAGACGATTATTTTCCTGCCCGGATGTACCTAGAAGCTGAAAAAAACGCATCTGAAATTGTACCTATGTTTAAGCGTTATAAGCTTGAACGCGATCTCCCCTTTTGTATTTAAATTGTGGAAGCAGTGAGGAACAGCGAAGTGTGGTGTAGTGGTGAAGGGGGATGACGGTAACTGACTAGGGTGAGGTTCGATCCCTCTCTCCCCGATTTGTTTTTTGTTTTTTTTTTCTGATCTCTCTGAAAATGTCAAAATGTGTCAAAGACTTAAAAAAAATTTTCATTCAGATTTTGATTCATTTTGAAAAAAAAAAATTCATTTTTGATTTGTTTCGAAAAACCAAATTTCAAATGTTTTTGAAACACTGCTGGATAGTCCTCTCTAGTCAAAAAGTTAACCAAAACCACACAGATTTGTTCATTTTTGGTGCGGCAGAGTAGCAAACCAGTCAGGAATGATGTAAATTTTTGTTATCAAAATATTTGACTGCTACTGGGTAGATATCGAAAGACTGCGACCAAATGAAAACTCCAAAAAATCACTTATTTGTGATTTCAAGAAGAATGTGAGCCACCAAAATTTGTGAAAAACTCCTTTTATAGTTTCTTTACGTTTAGAATTCACTTTGACAAATTTTAAAATTTTTCGAAAATTTGAAAAAGTTTTCGGAAAATTTCTTTTTTTGAAAAGTGGGGGAACTTTTTCAGATTGTAGAAAAACGTTTAAGAATACGGTTCACAATCAAAACATTCCGAAAAACTGTTATCAACCCTTTCGAAAATTGGCTCCAAAAGTGAAAAATTAGTACTGAAATCACTTTAAGAGCCCATAACTTTTTTGTGAGTGGATACAGGCAAAAGATAACAACAGCACTGTAATCAGCATGCTTGAACGTACTCTAGACCAAAGTTTCAGAAAAGCCTCAAAGCCTTTCTAAAAACACTTCCCTTCTTAGTGCATAGACAGAAACAGCTTTTTATAAGATCAACTTGTGGTACTAGTAGGATTCCATCATGTCTAACTAAATTGGTCATCAAATATTGAACTTGAAGAGAACTATGAAAAAGTCCAACAGGGTTTATTTTTGACCCGTCTGGAGAAATCCTTCAATTTTTTTCATTCCCAAGTGTTTAGGATTTTTCTGAACTAAACAACACGATAAAAATTGGCACAAGATTATGACTTTTTCAGTGGAAGACGGTCAATTTTGAATTTTCGAAAAATACTGTGAAATTTCTTGATTTTTCTGTAAATTTCAGAATCTACTAAACCAAAAACGAGATAATTTTTTGTAATTGACATTTTTTGTAATAATGTGATAAAGCGAGATAAGCGGTTTTTCAACTGCCCAACTTTCCTTTCATTGATAATTGTGGTATTTCCGACACGTTTTGGGTTACAAACAACATATCTCACCAAAATACAATTTTGCGGCAAGGTTGGCTACTGTAGTCTAGAAAAATTTATCAATTTCTTTGACGACGCTAGTTGGAAAATTGTCGCTAGTTGGAAAAAATTTCTAGTTGGAAAATTGGGATGGAAAAAAACAATGTATCAAACTGTTTCAGATGGCTCAAACAACTCACTGGAACTGTCGCTGCCGAGCATCGCTTCGAGCTTCCAGAAGAGTGCGGAGTTTCCAGCGTCAATTGCATGGATCTAGCGCGCGAACTCGAGTTCTTGCGTGCTCACATCTCGCTCAGCAAGAGTCCAGTGACATTCTGTCACAACGACCTGCAAGAAGGTAACATTCTTCTACCAAAGGCGTCTTCTGGAAATATCCGTATGCCGTCGTTGTCGGATGAGATCCAAGCGCTTGGAAATAGCCTTTCGGCTTTCAACCCAGCCGATCCTCGTCTTGTGTTGATCGATTTTGAGTACGCCAGCTATAACTACAGGTAAAGATTTCACCTGAGACACAAAATTAGGATTACTGATTTTCAGAGCATTCGATTTTGCCAACCATTTCATTGAATGGACCATCGACTATGATATCCAAGAGGCTCCATTCTACAAGATTCAACCGGAGAACTTCCCAGAGGATGAACAGGTCTGTCCGAGAGATGATGAAGCCAATCCATGAGATTTTTATTTCCAGATGCTCGAGTTCTTTGTCAACTATCTTCGTGAGCAAGGGAACACTCGTGAGAACGAACTCTACAAGAAATCCGAGGAGCTTGTCCAAGAGACGCTTCCATTTGTTCCAGTCTCTCATTTTTTCTGGGGCGTCTGGGGATTGCTTCAAGTTGAACTTTCTCCAGTTGGATTTGGATTCGCGGTATAATACAATGAAAAGTTGAAATCTCTCACATCTAATTGTTTCAGGATTACGGAAGAGATCGTCTCTCGCAATATTTCAAGCACAAGCAGCTTCTCAAGAATCTTGCTCTTCACCATTGATCTCAATTTGTTTTCTTTGTTCCCTAATGTATTCTTATATATTTTCGTTCTGGGAGTAGACACTTTTTGTAGTATTACAACCGAATTCATCATTTTTCTCTTTCCCTTATGGAATTGTTCTCAAACCCTTGTATAGTCTCATTTTAGTTTCGATGGGTTTAGTTAAATAAATAATTTGGGCAGAAAAATATTCAAAAGCGATATTTATTCAAAAAATCAGGCCAGAACACAAATCAGCTGGGATTTCACATACCCGTGTAGACAAAACTACAATTCAAATTCAAAAAAAAGACAGGTTGAGTTAGAGTTTGAATTTCTCTCTACCGTAAACTTCATTGGAAATGAAATCAGAGAATTTTTCATCTTTAAGACGTTGTGCTCCAGTTTTTCCTTCTTCCAGAAAAACCATGGAAAGCTCAATAGCGGCTTGGATGCACGTCGATGGTTCGGTGGAACCCTGATATAGGATGTTCATTGCGAAACTCAAAATAAAATACAAGTTACCTGAACTCCAAATTTCTTCGCTAGCCATGTTGGGAAAATGAATGGGAAATCTGAGAAGCACTGATGAACTGCTCCATTCAAAGTGAGTACCAGATTCCCGTCATTATGTGGGAAGATTTTCTTCATCACATCCAGATTCTCATTCCATTGCCAATCTCCAACATTCAAAAACATCGTGGGTTGTTTTGCCTGCTCTTGTTGCGTCGAATCCAGCGGGAACATCCAGCCGTCGAGAACAATAGCTTTCTGAAAAATATGACATTTATCAAGTTTGATTGACGGTCGAGATGCATACTTGGAAGTCTGTGGTGTAGGCGGATGAGGCCAACGATGTTGCTCCGCCAAACGAGTGGCCAATGACTGACGCCGACGACATGATGAACTTGTTTTTGAATTGTGACCAGTCGAAATCGTTGCCGATTAGGACTTTCTCAGGAACAGTTCCAAGATTCAGTTGCTCCAAGACATTGAGAGCTTTGACACATTCTGTGACACGTTTTCCGACCTGAAAAGGGAAGACTTAAAAAGTCCGAACAAAAAGTTATGGCCTCGGTAAAAAGTCGTAGCAGATGTTCGTCGACTTAGGTGATCCCTACAGATATGCAGCGACTACACTACAGTTGTGTAGCTTTTTGACGATCTACTTTGCAGCATCAATGCATCAACTACGTGTTTTTTTTTCTGGCTTAAACTTGCGGAAGCATTTACGCAAGAGATGTTTGTAGAGTGCACATCTGCTGCGACTTCTTACGAAGACATTACCTATTACCGTTAACCCTATAATAGAATGTCACTTCACACTGTCAACTTTGAACCCGTATATTTCATTCCTTTGGAAAGATGTCAAAAAGTGGTCAACTGAACAAATATGCTCATCATAATGTGAAAAATATTTAGTCAGTTGACAACTTTTCCTCATTTTTCACTGGGACCGAGATAAATTTCTTGAAAGTTAAAAGTTAGGAAGGCATTTTATTAAGGTGTTTACGGTAATCTATATTAGAATTAAGCTCTGAAGTTTTTCATATTTTTTTAAATTGGTGGGATCTTCTGTGATTTACCCTTTTAGGGGTCAAAATATGACGCTGTTTACAAGTTCTCGCTCCTTATTAGTTCAATCGTGTGACATCTGTCATAAACAACCAAATTAGTGGTCAATGTTCTTAAGAACCAAAAATTAAGATTGCAGACATCATTTTCGAACATGGTCTGAAGGTCCATCTTCCCTGGTCCAAAGGCCCATCTTCAAAAATCGAAACTTCTCTCACTTGTTGATTTCTGATCTTGAACTCATTCTTCTCATTCTTCTCAATCAGCTTAATCTTGATCGGTTGCTCCACCAACTCTCCATTTCGCTCCGACAGCTGATAGGTCCAACACGCCGAGTGGTCCCTGCAAAAAAGAAATTTGCAAGATGCTCTTCTCAATTTCTACACAGATTTGTTCATTTGTGTGTGTTTTCTCGCCTACTTATGCTCGACAGCTGCGACGACATATCCGTGAGAGGCCAACGAAGTGCAGTAGGTGGAGTAGAATGTGCGTGAACCACCGAGACCATGCGAGAACACGACAATCGGCCATTTGTCACACTTCGTTGACAGTTGCGCATTCTCGATGCAGTCTTCTCTGAAACTTGATGAATGCGTTTGGAAGAAAAAAATGCGTAAGAATAAAATTAATGGCGAATGCACGAAAAAACAAATTGGCGGACCTCTTCTCTCCGACTATCGCCGATGTGATCAAATTCATCTTCTGTGGAGATTGCCCGAGATATTCTCCGAGTCCGTGAGCATATTGTGGTTTTGGTAGCCATAATGGGTATGAAGAGATGTCGGTGTTCTGCAAATTATGTGTGTACTTCCGGCAATTTCCACAACAGGTCAAGAATTCATGCGGAATGTCTAGCAACATCTTATCAAATTATCTGATTAAAGAGATTAAATGGGAAAATCACGCCATATACATTTCTCAAAGATACTGTAACATCTCCGATTTTCGAAGATCAACGAGGATACGCTAATTTATAAAATTACAAAAAAATCGAAAAAATCTGTTAGTGCTGTTCGATAAGATATACAAAAATGTATTTTTCAAGTAATTTGTGGTCAGTTTGACCTTATTCAAGAGTCTGGAGATTGGCTTTGGAGACAGGCCTAGATTGAAAAATTCGCATTCACAGAATTTTTGGAAAATCCCCAGTTATTCAGCTATTAGCCGTTTACAGTTCAAAAACGGACCAAGAAGGGGCCTCTTTTCGAAACCGGCAAAAATCTTAAAAACAAGGAATTTTCAAAAAACCCTATTAATGCCTGTTTTTTAATCTATGCCCGTTTACACCCTCTAAAATTTTCGAAGTGATCGGAAACTTAACAGCCGAGCTCCAGACTCTTGAAAATAATTGAAGTCGCTAACAATTATCTGAAAATACGTTCTTGTATACTTTATTGACCGGAACTGTATGCCTTGTCCTTTTAAAATTTCATACGTAAACAAATAAACACTTCAAAATGTAGTGGAACCAATGGAGTTCGTAATTGGCAAAAGTAGCTTCACTTTTTTCTCATTAAAAATAAATAGTGTTTCTTTTTGAACCCATTATTCCTATTTTTTTCAGAATCCACCACTTCAGAATCTATTAAACCTCACTTCATTATCTGTTGGATAATATAATCGCATAAACAGGCCACGATCTCCAAGCACTGTTCCGTCGATCATCAAATCCTTGCACCCGACTTGGAACTGACCCGACACCTTACGTGTGAGCACTTGTGGTGACGAGATGAAACTACCCATTTTGTTTATCTGAAAAATATTACTTCAAGATTTCTGAAACCAACAAACAAAAAGTTTCAACCCATTTTGTACTTTTTGTATGGAACACACAGGGTTAAGTAAAAGAAAAGAAGACAAGGAGCTTAGAATATAAAGAAGAAAGAGAAAAGTGAAAATGAAAATGAAGGTTTTCCTCTCCTTTTTCCGTCTGAACTACAAAAAATTGAAGGGTTTGGTGGCAGCAATTCGACTAAGTCGTACGCAAAAGGAGAGACAAAAAATACGCACAAAAAATTACAGCCGTCCTCGGAGATAGCTATAAATAATGGGAAAAGTACGTTTGTTCGACGGAAATTTGCAAAACATGGTCGGAAACCATGTAAGAAAATGAACAGACATTAGTGAAAAAATTATCGGTTTTAGGAAGAGAAATCGAATATAGAAAGAAAATGAAAATAGAAAACAATACTTTGTAACTCTTCTTACTACCTATACCTCTTTTTGTTTCTTGTCTTCTGTCAAGGACAATAATACGGGACACAAAAATCTTGAAGAGAAGAGGAAAATGTGAAAAGAAGACGGAGAGGATGTCAACATGGACATGACAGAGGGACCCCGCTATCGGTCATGAAAAAAAGCAGAAGAGCAGCCAATCAAATTGCCGAAACGCAGAGAAAACACAGGAGTGCGAAGAAGGCGGAGAGGGCGGAGTCCAAGAATCCCAAGCAATAAAAAAAAGGAGGACGAGGTCCTGCTGAAAAAGAAATGCAAGTTGAAGGAATCTGATTGAAATAATGGAAAAAAGGTTTCTGTTTCGTAAGCCAACGGCCGAGGCGAACAACTGGTGTGCCCTCCCGGCGAGGCAAAGAGAGATGATGGGTAAACGTGTATGTGTTTTGGGTGATCAGAGTACGTTCACCGTTCTGTCTACAGCGTAGCCAGAAAGAGGTGAACCTTGTCCTCCCGCTCTCCCAAAATAGTAGGGTTTCTTTGCCTATGTGACAGTAACACCTACTATGTGAGAATGGAAATGGCATTTGGGTTTAGTGAGGAAAAGAAAATCAAAGGTTTCAATGATTTAGAAGAAATTTGTAATTAGGTTCGAGTGGTTGATAGTTGATTGATAGATTCATGTTGCAGTCTTCTGCTAAACTTTGGAAACCTTTCAACAAAAAAAAATATTAGCAGTTAACAAAATGGAGAGCGTACTTTTCAATTTTTAAATAATTCTTTTTTACAGTACATTGGAAATCGAAAGGAATCTGCAAGACACCGTTATAATAGTAAAAAATCGAGTGTTTTTGTGATTTTCTAAGTAATTTCTTTCATTGAGTTAGCTAATGCGGTAAATATGATTGATAGATTCTAGTTGGATTTTTTGGTACCGTCTAATAGAAGACCTCCCAAACCTTCAACTTCAAGTTCATTTATCTCGATTCTCGTGATAGTTATAAAAAATTTGCCGACAAATAAAATATTGATGATGTTATCATACATTTGATAAATGTTCGATATTTTTCCTAGGAATCGAGACAATTAGGCTGAAAAACGACGGCTTGGGTGGGTTTCCACTATAGCGAACTTTTTTCACTGAAATTCCATTCTCTATAGGTAATCAGAAATGGTTGACAAGTTCAAACCATCCATCACAGAAAGACTGAATACGAGTTTTTGGCTCTAGTTGGTTATTTTGGATTTTGAATGAAAATTTTGGATTTTAATACAAATTTTGGATTATAGAAAAAATTTTGGATTTTAAAGAAATTGTTGGATTTTGAAAAAAATTTTGGATTTTAGAGAAGACCAGAAATTTTTGGATTTTAAAGAAATTTTTGGATTTTAATCAGGAAAATTTTGGATTTTAAAAAATTCAGAAAAGATTCATAAAAACACCTTCTGCTTCTCAACTACTCTATTTTTGGCGTGATTGTTGTTTGTTTGCTTGAGAATAAATTTGATTTGGGTGCTGAGTGAGGTATAGTTTTTTTAGCTTCCAAATCTTTTAAATTTGGTGTCATTTTCAAATTTCTCAGTACAGAGATAACGACTCCTTTTCAGTTTAAGCCTATAATTTCAAACAAAAGACATGTTTATAAAGTATTTCTGAAACATTTCTAGTTAATGAAGTACTGAAAATCAAATCAAATAAAATCCCTTTTTCTCACTGAATTTTTTTTCAAAATGTTCAAAATGTTCAAAATGTTCAAAATTTTTTGTTCAATTTAAAGGCTTAGGCTGAAATGTCTTGTTTTCCTTCCACTGGAAAACTTGCATTCCGCATTAATTTTAAAACATTTAGCTGTGTTTGACATGTTTTCAACGGCCCAGTATCCAAGGGTATATCGGGAAAGGGTACCTCTAGTTCTTAGAGTACATTGATTCCCAGCATACATGGGATATTGTGGTACATGCGGGAGGGCGAAAAAAATTTTCCCTACTGACTGTTTAGTTTTCGCTCTAAATCATAGGCTTAAGCTATAACGACTTTCACCTAAGATCCCGTTTGCCCTTTGAACCTATGTACCCTAAGAACTCAGAGTATCCTCAGCGTAGCCTTTTTTTAAATGTACCCTTCGATCCTGGGTTCCCGACAAGATGTGAGCTATAAAAATTTTAAAAGTTAAAACCTTCGGAACCCTATCAAGCTTGTCTCTAGTCTCAAAATTTTCCCACAATCTTCAAAATCCAAAATAATTTGAAAACTATAAAATGTTTGAAAACTATAATATGTCTGGAAACGACGGTAAATCAGTTGTTCAAATGCTGATTACAGCGAAGTACAGTCAGGAAGAACACTGACCACAATTTATGATGAAAATTTCATCGCACGAAATTTTTAGATTTTAAAGTTTTCAAGGTCTTTAAAATCCAATATTTTCTTCAAAATCCAAAATTTTCTTTAAAATCCGAAAAAATTTTTTAAAAACCAAAATTTTTTTAAAAATCCAATTTTTTTTATTAAAATCCAACATTTTCTTTAAAATCCAAAATAACCAACTAGAGCCGAGTTTTTTCATTTTCAGATTCCCACGTACTTATTTCAGAATTCCAAAAAATAAATCAGAATTCGTGTTGACGGGGAAAAACTTTTGAGTTGTGGGAACATGTCCAAGGAACATTTCATATGTTTTTTGAGTCTTGAAATACATCTTTTTGTCTGAAATCATAGTACTGTGAAAACTAATTCAATTAAAAAATCCAGTTAGGAAAGGTTTGCCTCAACGTCATAGACACCAAGTTCTCCGGAGAATCCCCTCTTTCTAATTACCATATTTGAGCCCACTCTATTTGAGATAATTTACCGTACGCTAATAGAAGCACATCCAATATGCGCGCTTTTAGCTTAATAATCTCGGTTTCCAATGAGAAGTACCGAAAAAAAAGTAAACTGTTAAATAGTTTATCGTGGTTTCTCCAATATTTTATCAAATTGCAGATTTGTGATATATCTAAAAGGAACCGAGATAACTGAGCTCAAAGTTGACGATTTCGGTGAGCTTTTGAGGGAGTAAGCACAATATCTCATTTCCTGTAGAAGCTATAAAAATTCTGTTAACTAACGAAATCTTGATAATATCACTATAAACATTTTATCACTTCGAAAATTTCTGATATTTCTCACAGATGTCGAGATAATTTAGCTGAAATTACATGTCTAGAGATCATGCCCTATCACAGTAAGCAGTAATTGTGTGATTTCCAAAATGAAAGTTCTATTTTTGGAAAATCTTTTTAACAGATCCCTGAAAAACACGCAGTTCATACGGAACCATTCACAATAGAAGCAAAAAACCTGTTTCTAATTAGCAAAAAATGTAAAGGAAAAAGTAGGATTTGATGTAAAGCAAAGGATTTCGTTAGGGAGGATCGGCCAGGAGCAAAAAAAAACCTTCGACACACCCGAAGGCTCTCATAAAAACTTTTGGTTTGTGGCGTCGCTCGCATTCAGGAACCAGGATCTACTTGGGACTCAAAAAGAGAAAAGCAGGACCCCAACGATAGGAGGGGAAAGATTGCACGCATTATTGGTTTTGGGACGGAGATTTTCTTGCGGAAAACGCTCGGATGCGCGTACGGCTCATTTGCTAAATGAGATAATAGTGGCGAGGGCTCCGAAGAGGGCGAGAAAATAAAATAAAACACGAGGAAACGCACATTTTTAGCCCTTTTTCCCTTTCTATGTAGATGGGGTGTTCCAAGAAGATTTGTAGTAAAGGGAAAAACATATTTGTAAATGGGGAGGAGTGGAAGAAATTATACTTTTCCTTTGTTCTGACAAACATATTTCCCTCCAATTTTTCCCTTTCTTTTTTCTGTAGTGGAGCGTGAAATCCAGAGAGGAGCAAAAAAAAACGGAAAGAAGAAAATAGGAATGAAGGAGTTTGTGGCATATGTGGTGGGGTGTGGAGAGAAAGAGAAGAGTATATAAAAAGCTGAATATTAATTTTTGTCACTAATCCTCCGCATCGGAGTCCATTAAAATGTGAATTTCTCAAAATGAATACTTAATAAACAAATGTGTCGTGGGACCTAGCGGAAAATTTCTTATTTTTGAAAATGGTGGATGCTCAAAAGCTCAAAAATTAGATAATTCAGGAAAAATAGCGGTCTCACAATTTTTGCGAAAAAAGTAGTATTGTCGTTCAGTTGAAATTTGAACTTTTTTGGAAGAGAAGTAAAACCAGTAGATCAGAAAAATTCTTCACGACTCTTTATTTATTTAGCTACAAAGTTCAAAGTTAGTGAAACGCATTTTCAATTTGAAAATAAGTACAGTACCGGTTAACAAAACATTTTCAGTGGATTTTTGGCGATGTTGACAATTTTCATGAGTCTGGATCTTGATTGTCAAGTTTGCTATCCCGGTAGAAATTTTGGCTCTTTATGATTTAACGGGGGTTTAAACAATTAACGCGGGTTTAAATTTTTGACGGGGGGTTTAAAAAAATTTGAAAAATAAACGGGGGTTTTGAAAATTTGAAGGGGTTTTGAGAATTAACGGGGGTTTAAATATTAGACGGGGGTTTTTAAAAAGTGTCAGGACGATGTTTGGGGAAGTCTCCAAAATGTTCCAAAGTGCTACAGTTTCTTGTTTTTTGCTCATTTCAGTTGATTTATTCTTTTCTGAAATCATTTTCTTGTTTTTTCTTTTTTCATTTCTAAAGTTTCATGGCACTGTTCTAGAATTACGGAACGAAAAAAACTTTATCCAAGTCTATCATCTAACCTTGGAAGCAGGTACAGGAGGCTTAGAAAGGGAAGGGCGATCAAATAGTTGCTCTTAGAGAGGTTGAATGGTGTTGGCGAGTCAAGTGATCCGGGAAAGCGGTACATTTGTATTTTGGATTCGAGGTTAGAACTAGCAGAGTTATGTAATTTGCCGCCAATTTTCCAATGACTTAGATGAAGGAAATATGGCGTTTCAGCCTAAGCCTATAATCTACGAAGGTTTCCTAGTGTCAAAATTTTTCTACCCATTTTTTTATGTGATTTTCATTTGTTCCGCAATTCTAGAACAGTTCCATAAAACTTTAGAAATGAAAAAACAAACAAACAAAAAAAAATGATTTCAGAAAAGAATAGATCAACTGAAATGAGCAAAAAACAAGAAACTGTAGCACTTTGGAACATTTTGGGGACTTTCCCAACCATGACTCTGACACCTTCTGAAAACCCCCGTTAATTCCCAAAACCCCTTCAAATATTCAAAACCCCCGTTAATTTTTTAAACCCCCGTTAATTGTTTAAACCCCCGTTAAATCACAAAGAGCCGAAATTTTTAAGGGTACAAAACAGACTTTGTTTGAAAATTTCGCATAGTTTTATGAAAATTCCTAGTTTTTCAGCTATGGGCCGATTTCTGAAAAACACCTCTTTTTAATATGTTTTGTACTGAAAACATAAAAGACACAGGTCAATTCTCGGTTAAAAACATGATGAAAAATAAAAGCGCACCTTGCCAAAAAACACCAAGAATATTTTATTGTTCAATTTCATGAAAAAAAAACTCCCGTTTTAAGTAATCGGAAACTCCTATTAATCTTTATTGTCAAAAACAACTTTTTTAAAAGAAATTTCTAACCGTATTTTTGAAATACTAATCACATTTCTGAGTAGTTTTCACTACTCTCACAGCTTTCAAAACAAAATTCGAGGAGGTGTCGAAATGAATGAGCTGTGTAAGTCGTTGTGCTTCGCTTTCGAAGCCCGAAAGTGTCCCTCCCGCACCGCCGTCCCGACCCACTCTCAAGTACTCACTAATAATTGAGATCGAACAAAGTGAAAAGCGGCCAAAAAGAAGAGCGGGACCACAAAACCTTTTTTCATTCTCACCTTTTCCGAACCACTCCCAATGAGTGCTTTTTGATTTGTCGTCCATAAGTTTTTTTCAGTAGTAGCAAAAATGGGTGCAGTAGAACAAAGACACGACAGAACCGAGTAGAACCGAGAGCTCTAACGTGAAAAAGACGGACCTCCTCCATTTCCTTCTCTTCTTCCTTATGCCTGCGTCGTCTGTTTATGGCATGTTTCATTTTTTTATTCATCTGGGAATTGTAGGAGCCACTACAAGATTTTATTGTTGTTGTTGTCCATTGAAACCCACTACTATTTTTTTCTGAAAGAAGACAAGGAAAAAATCTACAGTAAATCATTTTTATTGAGAGTTTTGAGCAATCCGTTTCAGTTTAAAATCGAAGATGGGAGACAATGACCAATACGCGTTGTTAAGTGGTTATAGACTAGTGGGGGTTAGAAGGAAAGAACATGGTTATCATGAAAGCGGTGATTAGAAATTTTTAACAAGATTAGAAATAAAGGATGACTTGAATAAATCTATCACAATACACAGGGAGTTCAAAAAGTGAGAATCTTGGGCCAGTAAAAATAAAAATAGAAAACAAAATATATAACAAGATCAAACTTTGAAATGTATAAGCAGGACCAGCTGCTGATTTCTTATAAAACAGGTTGGATAGAGTCATCCTTCGCAATTTAGATAGTTGGATTTGGCAGGACAACATCAGTTGGCCCTCCAGTGGCGTTCTGCTCCTTGGCAAGACGTTTCAGCTCTTTTTTAGCAGCTTTCTTGGCAGCTTTCTCTTGTCGCTTCACATCATCATCTTTGTCTCCTTCGGCCTCTTTCTTCAGACGCTTTGCTTCCTTCCGTGCACGACGTTCCTCTTCAGTTTCACCTTCATGGGACTTTCTCTTGTGCTCCTTGTGCTCTTTGTGCTCCTTATGCTCTTTTTTCTTCTTCTTTTCCTTGACGTCTGCATGTTCCGACTCCGATGTAGAAGATGTTGGTTTCTTCATTTCCGAGAAGGAGGGTAGTTTCAGTTTGAGACTTGGCATAGATCCTGTGCTCAAACCTTCAGTGGCAGCAGTAGGATTGAAAGCGGGCATCTTGAATTTGAGGCTCAGCTTCGGTGTTTCAGAAGTAGATGGCACATCTGCTGGCTTGGCTGGTGTGTCGCTGGATGGTGCGAGCAACTGCGGAGTGAAAGAGGGCATTCTGAATTTAAGACTCAGCTTCGGTGTTTCTTCAGAAGTTGGAACAATTGCGTCTGGGGCAGCAACCTTGAATTTCAACTTTGGTAGTTCTGGAGCAGGAACATCAACTTCAGAATTTTCAGTTGGAGGCTTGATTTTGAGACTCAACTTTGGAATCTCTGGAGTTAGTCCTGGTGGGCCATTGACTTTGAAGCTCAATTTCGGTAAATCCGAGGTAACATCTAAAGCAGGTTTCTCTGGAGTTGAAGATGGATGAACTTTGAATTTCAAGCTCAGCTTCGGCTTTTCTGAAGATGGCAGAGCAGATGTTGGCTTTCCTGCAGATGCATCGGGAGTCTTCAAGTTGAGAAGATTCAGTGCTAATTGCTTAACCGGGTCCGTTGAAGACTTTTCTGAAGTCATCGAAGGAAGTTTGAACTTCAGCTTGGGCAGAGGCGTCTCTTTTTCCAATGGCGTAGTCTCTAACTTCTCCTTTGGCACTTTGACCTTCAACTTCAACTTCGGTTCGGCGACATCAGCTTTTTCTGGTGAAATTTTCTCTGGGGTGGGAATCTTGAACTTGAGCTTGAGCTTTGGTTCCTTGTTTGTATCAACGGTGATTGGTTTCACTGGCGTAGATTTTTCAGCAGAAGGAAGTTTGAATTTCAAACTGAGTTTTGGCTCAGTTATTGCAGAAGTACCATCATCTAGAACAACTAGATCGTCCCATGATTGAGGTTTTGAAGGAGTTGGTGGTTGTGGCATTTTGAAGTTAAGCTTGAGCTTAAGAGGCGGAAGTTCCTCTGTTGGTTGCGATGAGGAAGCAAATTGGTTGTCACCTTCTTGGGGAGCAGGTTTTTGAGATTTAATTTTGCTAATCAATCCTTCGAGGTCTTTCGATTTCTTTGAAGATTCGGGATCTTTTTCCTTCTTCTTGTGTTTCTTGTCATCGTAAGGCGGGGGTGAAATGGAAGGTATATCAGCGAGGTCTTTGTGCTTCTTGTGATGTTGTTTCGATGGAGCATCCATATCCGCAAGATGCTTCTCTTTCCGTTTCTTCTTCTTCTCGCTCGAGCCTTCTTCATCTCGATCACGATGCTTCTTTTTCTTTTTCTCGCTAGATCTTTCCCCACCGTCACTATCCATGCGCTTCTTTTTCTTTGGAGTCGAATAATCCTCTTCCCTCAGCTTTGGAGACTCATCCACAGAAGGAACTGAAGGCTTCACAACCGGAGCCTTTGTTGGTGCAACCTCGTCGATGATACAGATGTCATCGTCGTCGATTTCAATGGTTTTTGGTGCCACAGCCGACTTGGCAAGAGGTGTTTCTGATATTTTGTCACTGGTACGCTTGAGACTTCTCTCCTCAGCGTTTCTACCTTCACCTTCACTGGATTGTCGAAACTTCTTTGGTTTATGGTCATCCGAATTTCCCTCGCTCTTTGAGTGACGTCGTTTCACGATGTCTCCTGGTTTAGCCACCAATTTAGGTACCTTGAACGTCATGGTTGGTGGTTTCGGAGTAGCGAACATAGCGTCATCAGCCTTTTTCAGTGTTTCAGATGTCGCAGAAGTCGACTGGCTCTCTTCTGGTTTGGATGATGTGTCATCGTCACTTTCAAACAGTTTCTCAAGGAACTTATCATCGGACATTGTGTCGGTAGAGTAGTCGACCTGAAAATGCCTCAAAATGATTATTTATTCAACTTTTTTTTATAACGCACCTCTTTTCTCGCCCTTCTGGACCCAGGCATGACTTCCAGGTAAGCAACACGGCCCTCCTCTTTGGCCTTCTCAATGTAGTCGGTCTCATCGGCAGCGCGAAGAATGTCCTTTGGAATTTCGTCCTGACCACACAAACGAGGCTTTCTAAAAAATGGATTAATGTAAAATGTTAATTTTAAAAGTGAACTTACGCTCTTCTGCGCTTGTCCGCCTCCACTCGATCTTCATCCATTTTCTGGAACATGTCGAATTCATCCTCTGATCTTGAGATCATATCATTGATCTCTTCGTCGTTGGGGACATCTTCATCTTCAGCAAATTCGTTGTCAGCCCTGTGAATGAATTATTGAATATGATAAATATTAAGTTTGTTGTTAACAAGTTGCGCAATTGAAAACGACTTACTTGATAATATTCTCCAGAATCTGTCTGCGTTCTGCACCTGTAGACCGGTTATCAAACTTTCCAGCTTGAATAACTTTTTCATCCACATTCAGCTTAAATCTAGCAGAGGCCAAGATCTTTTCTTCCACAGAGTTGGCAGTAATTAAACGGAAAACTCTGACTTCCGCCTTCTGTCCAATACGATGAGCACGGTCCTGTGCTTGCATATCCTGATGAGGGTTCCAGTCAGAGTCAAAAATGATTACAGTATCCGCGGTTTGAAGATTCAATCCAAGGCCTCCAGCACGGGTGGAAAGCATGAACAAGAAGTATTCGCTGTTCGGAGCATTAAACTTGTCCAGAAGTGCTCCTCGTTCATCTGTTTTGGTGCTACCATCTAAGCGGAGGTATTGGATGTTGCCACCAGCCAGGTAGTCTTCGACAATAGTCATCATAGCCGTCATTTGGAAGAACATTAGGACACGGTGACCACTTGCTTGAAGTTTTGGAAGGATGCGATCCAATAATTCCAGTTTGCCGGAAACTCGGTACAAGTCTTTTCTGAAAATATATGGTTTTAGTTTTTTTACGAATGAGCCGGCTTTAATGTATTCAAAAGGAAGACAATTGAATCTACTCACGCTGAGATGAATTGTGACTTCCAGAAACTCTTGCAGGAATCCTCCACATTCTCAAAAAGGAACGGATGATTACACAATTTACGGAGGTGCACCATGGTGTTCATCAATGAACGACTTCCAGTATTGGTCTTCCCGTCCAGAAGAAGACCCTTTTGCATATGCTTGTAAAGAACTTTCTGGAGTGCAGACATCTCACACTTGATAACAAACTCCATCTTGTCAGGCAACTCGGATTCAACTTCTTTTTGAGTCTTCTCAACAAAAATGGTCGGAGAACTTTGTGAAGGCGTCGAATGATAAGCATGGTCTCTTCAGACGTCAATTCAACCTTCTCCCCGGATGTTTGGAATGGGGCATTGAACCATTGCTCAAAACTGGCGCATGATTGGAAAATGGATGGAAGTAGGAAATTAAGAAGAGCCCACAGCTCGGGTAACTGAAAATAATAAATTATTGATTTAGTTTGCAGCTATTTTTTTTACAAACCTTGTTCTGAAGAGGAGTACCAGTGATCAGCAATCGTCTCTGACACTGAAACCGTGTGTTAAGCATTTCAGTGAGTTTGCAGTGCTGGTTTTTCAATCGATGACCTTCGTCGATCATCATGTATTTCCAGCGGAGCTTTCCAAGAAGAGCCTTCTCTCTGATGACGTACTCGAAAGTAGTCAGAAGCACATTGAATTTTCCAGACTTGATAATTGGTTCGCTGCTTTTTCGGTTTTCTTTTGATCCCTTGAACACGATGAGGTGAACACTGGGCGCCCATTTGTCAAACTCATTCTGCCAATTCGGAACAGTGGAGAGCGGAACGATTACAAGGTATGGTCCTGGATTCTTTTTAACTTGCATCAAGTAGGTGATGAATGCGATGGTCTGAAAAATCAAAGTTTAAAGAAACACCGAACACTTTGAGATCATACCTGAATCGTTTTTCCTAGACCCATCTCATCGGCAAGAATCCCGTTGAGATTGTTGTTGTAAAGCGAGACCATCCACTCGAGACCTTTAATTTGATACGGTTTCAGCTTGAGCACTGGGTTCCCATCTCCCATCATTGAGTGCTGTTCCTTGATCTCCTCACGGATTCCGTGCGCTGTTGTGTAGTAGTCCTCGACGTGAACTTCAGCCTCCTCATCATAGTCATCGTCTTCATTCCGGGCCTTCTCCAATATAGTTTTGGCCTTTTCATCCTCGGCAAGTCCTTCATACTCTTTTTGTGGAGTTTTCTTGACTGGAGCACCATCGTTGACCGAATCCTGTTGTTGTTTCAGCAAGTCACACAAACTTTTGATGTACTCATCGGTTTGTTCAAGAAGATACACCAAACGCTGATCTTTCTTTTCATCCAACATGGCACGATAACCAACTTCATCCTCTTGAATCAGCTTTTGAATTCTCATTCTTTCAACCCTTTGTTCCTCTCGTGCCACTCGTTTTGCCTCGTTTGAAATGTACTGTTGCATTGATTTGTGCACCTTTCTGTGATTATTCAAATTTCTTCTATGGAATTCTTTGAAATCTCTGGCGTGTTTTTGAACTGCATGTAGGAATGGCATGTTGGTGGCTCTTCGTTTCTTTTCCAATGCTGCACGATCCGGATGTTGTTTGAGTTCCAATGCGTATTCAGCTTTAGTTCTTCGGATGGAGTAAGGATTGATGAGGAACTCGGTTGGTGGCACAAGAGTTGTATGTGACAACACTTCAGCACGGAGTTTGGCTTGGAAATCACGGAGGCCCAATCCCAGATACTCGATTTTGGCTTTCATCTGTTTGTCCTTTGAAAAGGTGTCAATATTCTTTCTCAAGTAGGCTTCACGATTCTTCATGTCTTCTTTGCGGCTGGAAAAAACACACAATTAATATTTTTATTTCGGCAGTAGGAGATGGTTGTAAAAACTCAGCAATATATTTATAACACTAACTAGAATTCTTTCTCCTTGTTGATCACTGCCAGATCGAGTCCTTTGAAAGTCACACCGAAATTTGGCTCCGGATACGCGTTCACCAACTTCTCAATGTTTTCACTGTGTCGTTTCTCTTTTTCCTCTTCAGTTTCTCCTTCCGGATCCGGTCCAACATCATTTTTTGGTTTTTCAATAAATCGATGCTCACGAGGAGTCGGTTTAATGAAAGGAACATTTGGATCGTCTTCAATCAAAACCATCAAATTTTGTACAGCAGTGTATCGACGGTCCCATGTCAAATTCAACGCTTCCAAATCCACTAGAATTCGACTGAGCTCACGAATCACGTAGGCTTTGTACTGAAATGTGCACTGTGTCATGAATACGATGTGTTAGTTAGAAATCTTACCTTCGGAGTCATTTTTTGTGTTCCCTTGCAATGTAAAATGATTGCTTCTCGGATTTCAGTCAGATTCTCTTTTTCCTCGACTGGTTTTAGTGGTAGAGCTTGCTTCAATTGAACAGTTTTATTTTGAACCATTCCGTTAGGCCTCTGGGTTTGTTGCTTCATTGGTGGTGGATTTCGAGAACCGTTCCTTGAATGCTGTTGATTCATAGCTGGACCCATATTTCTCTGCGGAATCGGTAGTTGTGGAACAGCTCCGTTTAGACCTTGCAAAGATCCTTGGCCAGGTGGAGGTGGGGAACTGGTAGTTGGATCCCCACCTGATAGATTGGTCTTGCGATTACCTTTCACTGGAGGTGTGATAAATTTGGGCATATTCTGCTGAATCATCTCACTTGGCATCAATTTCAAAGCTTCAGAGACAGGGGTGTCAGCCTGCAGCACAGTCGGTTCCGTATTTGCGTTGTTCTTCTTAGCTCGGTTTCTTTTCCTAGGAGCCGGAGCTGGAGGAGGTGGTTGCTGTTGTTGGAGGACAGGTGGAGCCTGTTGCTGATTCTGCATATTCATATTATGCATATTTTGTTGCATCGGCATTTGATGGTTTTGGCCTCCCTGTTGGTTCGTATTGATGTTCTGGCTCTGTTGGTATTGCTGGCTCTGTTGGTGTTGCTGGTTCTGCTGGTTTTGCTGGCCTTGCTGACTATATTGTTGGGGTCCATTTCGCTGCTGTTGGTTCTGTTGACTACCAGAACTCCGTTGCTGTTGATTCGACTGGTCCGGTTGACTCGACTGACTCGAAACGCTTGGCGGATTAGAGACTAATGCGACGAGCTTAGTTTCTCCGTCTTGCTGAACCAATTTATACCGAACACCGTTGATCACAGCAGTCTCTCCTTGGATATGAATCTCTTGTTCGGTGTCAACTTTGACCATCTCGTCGACTCTCGGCATTTCTTGATTCGGCTGAGCTTGTGCAATCACCTGTGGCTGCATCGGTTGTTGTTGTTGCAGTAGTGGAGGAGGTTGGTTATCCTGCTGATGACTGCCTTGATGTGGCATATCCGATTGGCTTATATCTTGCTGAAACCCCATCTGAGCTCCGTGCTGATTCGCTTGCTGCTGGTGAGCTCCTTGTGGAAGATGTCTCTGATGATGACTTCCCTGCTGATGGATGACTGGCGGTTGGTTCGTGTCGTTCACTTCCTGTTGTTGCATGTGATGCTGCTGTTGAATCTGTTGTGGCCTTGGAGCTATCGGTCGACCGTTTGGGAGTGGTTGGTTGTGTTGTGGCATTGCATTCTGCATGTTTTGCTGCTGCGGCTGCTGCATAGGCGGAGCTTGTTGGTGCATGGGAGGTTGCTGGTGCATCGGAGACTGTTGATGCTGTTGGTGCTGTTGTATCTGTGCAGGATGTTGCACCTGTTGTTGATGCATTGGGACTTGTTGCTGTGGTACTTGCTGCTGCATTTGCGGCTGATGCTGCTGCCCTTGCCCTTGCCCCTGAAGAAGTGCCATCCGCATGGGACCTTGCTGCGAAGAGTTTTGCATTGGTCCACGCACAATTTGCTGCTGTAGAGGCATCTGTTGTCTAGCCGGTGGCTGTCGTTGCAGATTCTGCTGGTTTTGAGGTGCCTGAAATTATTATCGGGTGAATTTGTCACATCGCTTGAAACTACTCACCTGAACAACTCGAATTGGTTGCGATTGATGCTGTTGTGAAGGTCCTCCACCACTATTCATCCCAATTGGTCCACCGCCTTGTTGCTGCATCTGAAATGAGCATTTTAGTTAGTCATGCGTATGGCCAGAAAAACGGAGGGTCGAGAAAGAAAAGGGAAAAATTTTAGTGCCCGCCCGGAATCTATGCTAGGCTCATAAATATTTACTTTTGCTTCTTGGTTCCTCATCTCATGTTGTCTTCTTTTTCTTAGGGAATATGTGAATGTCATTTGAGAGAGCCAACTGCTTATTATCTTTTTTAAAAATAAAGTTAAAAGATTTTCACCTGCGAATCTTGTTGTGGTTGTTGTGCTTGTTGCATGCGCATTTGTTTTGGTGGTGGGGCTCCGCTCATACTTTGAGGCATCCGTCTCCTCACCGTTGTGTCTTCAGATGGACCTTGTTCATATACCGGATTTGATTCATCCGGATAGGGTTTTGTAGCAATGCGATTGCCTCTGATGATAGGTCCTTCGGGCAGCTGAAAAGAAAGATTTTCAAACTGTTGTGGCCCGTGTTCATGAGAAAAGGTATAGGGATAGGGAAAGGGAGCAAGGTGAAACATTCAACGATACATTTCTCACCTTAATGGGTGGTAGGGACATTAATTCTGCTAAGGTCCGCGCCTGAAATGCTCAGAGTTTTGTGTTTTGTTACCCTCTAAAAACAACAAACCAAGCGAAGAGAGTTTAAGGCACAGAATCAAATCAAAATCTGTTTTGTTAAACTCAAAAGAGAAACAACAAGCAAACATTAATATATTAATTTTAAGTTCACACAAACTGGCATCTAATTTTTATGTTTAACGGAGGTCCAGGTGGTATTTGCGAGTTTAGATCCTAATCAAATTTCTTTCATATTCACTCATGACACCTAATACATCCTAACACTTTTTATCGGATTCGACTCACATTAGCAATAGTTATAATTCGCTCTCGTTGAGGAGGGCCATGCTGAATCTGGAATTTGATAGGCTTATTCTAACAAACTCCAGATAATACGGATCAGCGAGAGATATCACGAAGACTAGGGGAACCAAATAATTGACTAACCGTTTGGTTTTGTTGCTGTTGTATGGGAGAGGTGTCGATGACTTGAGAGGGTCCTTGTTGAGTTTGAATCTAAAATAAAGAAATGAATTAGTGATGAGAAAGGAAGAGATAGTAACATGATTCCACTGGTTTGAAATGTGAGATTTATAGAGGGAAGATAGCGAAGGGGGGAGTTGGGAAGCACACTAATTAGTTTCAAATGTCAATCTCTGCTCACAGCTTGTGATTCGCCCGCCGAGAATTAGTCGGTTAATTTATCATTGACATTTATTAATGACAGTTGTATGATTGATGTCAAATCAGATGCGTTAGGTTACCTGGAACTGATGCAACGGAAAATGATTTGGAATTTGAGGGCGAACTAGATGCATCTGAATTATAACTCCTTCGCCACTGATTGTTTAATTTGGTTTGGCCTAATTCAGTTGCTTGGCTCAAAATTTCCAACCTTTTCCTGTTTTATTTTTGGTCGTTATAGCATTTTTTAGAATTTACAAACTCCTTGACTGTCCAAAGTTTTCAATTTTTTTGCCGAACTTTTTGAAAAATTTTTACACTCTGCTTTTCGCGCGTTTTTATTCTGCCAAGATTTTATTGCTATTAAAGTTGAACAGACAGAAAAACAATAGCACTTTAATCCCTGAAATTATGATATTTTCCTCTTTCTCATTTTTTTCGTGGTTTGTCCGCTTGTATGCCATGTTTTCATTCTAAAAGCCAATCGTTTTTTAGATTTATTTTTTCCATTCTGATTCCGAAGTCCCAATTCTCATCTTTCAGATAGCTCAGTATGCATTCCTCACGTATTCTTTTAACGTGGCAGTACGGAAATTTTCCTCGTGTCATGCTTTTATTTGCTTATCACTATCATTGCTCAGTGTTGTGAATACTACTTGTGTCTGCGTCTCACTTTATGCCACCGCGCATCTTGCGCGCGTAAAACGCTCATATGAACACATTTAAATCATTTGATTTGCCTAAAAATGTTACATATCATTTTGATGTCTACTTTGCCATTTTCCGGCCTAAAATACATTTTAGTCCGGTACTTTTTTGTGCTAACCTGGTGATGTGGCGGCTGTGGAGAAGCGTGGTTCATCTGTTGTTGGCCACTCTGCTGCAGATGCTGAATCTGAAACACTTATTTGTAATTGCCAGGTATATATTTTTAGTTTCAATTTCCCACATATATTTTTAAATTCCAAATAGCCAACTTTTTTTATTCCTCTTTTTTTTTAAACTGTCCTACTTCCAGTATACTCCATCTTGCTCAAAATTCTATTGCTTGCCATTTTTCACTGTTAGCTATCATTACGATAATTTTATACTCAGTACTACTAGAACTTCATCACAGAGTAGTTTCATTTCAATCCTTTTCTAAACACTAAATGGTTTACCAACCTGTTGATGTGGCTGCTGGGGAGATGGTCCATTCATTGGATGCTGTCCACTCTGTTGTTGCACACCATGCTGTTGCATCTGCATAAATAATCAATACTAAATTTTACTAAATTCTTGATTTAATTTCTGCATTTTCTCAAATAACTGATTTGCTTCAAGCCAATCTTTCCACCGAAACGGAAATTAGCTTCCGTTTTTGTAAACTTTTTCTCAGAGAATTGATTTTTGAATATCGAATTTTTTGAAATTTCGTTAGCATAACTTTCCTCGTTTTACTCACCTGAACTTGGTGATGCGGTTGTTGTGGAGACAGTCGGTTCATCTGTTGAGGTCCACCTTGCATCTGAAAACTTGTTCATTGAGTATAAAAAGATATTTTTGAGACTCTATCTTACCTGAGTTTGCTGCTGCGGCATCATCCTTTGTCCCTGCTGAGGGTGCGGCGAAACCATTCTCATCCCTTGTTGCATGTTTTGATTTTGCTGCATGTTGCCTTGGGGTTGCTGCATGTTCTGATGCCCTTGCTGCAGGTTGCCCTGTGGTTGCTGCATATTTCCTTGGGTCTGCTGCATGTTTTGTTGGCCTTGTTGCATATTGCCCTGTGACTGCTGCATATTGTTTTGTAGCCCTTGCTGCATAATTGGACTTTGCTGCATATTTTGATTCTGCATGATCCTCTGCTGTTGTGGCGGCGTATTCATATGCTGCAGAGATTGTTGGTTTTGTTGCTGCATTCTCATTTGGGGTTGTGGCTGATTCTGAATGTGATGCTGTCCTTGTGGATGTTGCTGAGTCTGCATATGTCCCTGCTGGTGCTGTTGAGCTTGCATTTGTCCCTGTTGAGGTCTCATCTGATGTTGCTGCTGAGGATTCGGCCTTATTTGCTGTTGCTGTGGTGACTGTTGGACCGGCTGTTGCTGCATCATTTGAGGTTGGGGTTGTTGTTGGCCTTGCTGGGGACGCATTTGCTGTCCCATGTTCATTATATGCCCCTGGGATTGGCTACTCTGTTGGACATGTTGGGAAGATGGGCCTGGCTGATTTTGCATATGTTGTGGAGATGGTCCCGGCTGATTTAAGTTCTGACCACTTGGTACTCGCATTTGCTGGGGAGACGGTCCAGGTTGTGGATGGTGAAGGTGTTGTGGTGATGGTCCCGGCTGCCGTTGTCCCTGCATATTGGATATTGGTGGTTGGCCCATATTACCATGTTGCATATGTTGGCCTTGTTGAATTTGGTTCTGTTGGGGCATCTGATTTTGTCCCTGTGGCACCATCCTATGTTGGCCCGTAGGCGGCTGAATCTGTTGCGGTCGTTGGACATTTAACAGTTGTTGTGGTGGACCTTGGTTGTGTTGCTGATTTATCATATCAACCTGAAAAATGATATTTTTGAAGTTTTGTTTTGAATCAAAAGACAAAATCGATAATTTTTGTTGAAATCTCACGAAAATGTGTCGCTTAATGTTTTACATCTTTTTCCTGTCTGACCAGCGGGAAAGTGTAACATTTTGATAAAGATTAGCGAAACATTCTCGTTTTCTTTGCGTATAAAACATGTATCTTCTTTTTGATTTGCAAAATATTAGTGGCAATAGCGAAATTTGAATAATTTCCAATGCGAACAAAAAACACTTAGTTACTGCCGTGGTTCTTGCGAAAGAGTGGTTTAATGAGTGACACACACGCTAGGCGCAGACAAAAAACCCCCGTGCTTTGGGGGGAAACCTGTACAAGAAGATCGATATGCAGGCAAGATCGGCCTTGGCAGAAATTTGCCTTTCAGGAAGATATAAATATTCAAACCAGTTCCGAAAGTTTTCTTGGGGAGATGATAATTCAAGAAGTATATTTGTGAATAGGTTTCGGATTTTCAAACGAAAAAAAATTACTTACCCTCAACTGATACTGTTCGACGCCAACTACAATTTCGTAGATCCGTATTCGTTGAAGATTGTTCTCGTTACGGGCTTGGTCCCAATCTCGAAAGAATCGGTTCAACGCCTCGAGTAACTGTAAAAAATGTTTTAATGTGTGGGAAAAATGGCAACAGTGAGAGGTCGATAAAAGATGACCGCCTGGTAGACGGGTAAAGAGAGACAATAAGAGACGAAGAGGGGTCGTACACGCTGCGCAGCGCAGAAGGCGAACTTGCCCCTCTTAGTCTCTCTGTGCGCAAGGACGGGTTGATTGCCGGACGGGTATTCCCGCGCATCAAACGTGTACGCAAACACCGCCACGTCATAATGCAGAACAAGTGGAACGGGTTAGGTAAGTTTTATTATTTTTAATTGCGGATAGAACGGGACGGATGAGACAAATCAAGAAAACAGTGACAACAGAGAAAAAACATTAATTGAGAAAGCGAGAAAGTTTGAACTCAAACATGTCGTCTATTAATTCAATGTTCTTCTTGAAAATGTTCTTCTGTTGTTTCCAGGTCCAGTTGTCTTTTTTTGAACAGATGAGGACCTGCAAAAATCGATAAGGTCCAGTGGATAAGAGAAAAAAAGGGACATGTTCGTTGCTTTTTGTCTCTCACTCGTGCGAGGCGAGGCGAGCAAGCAAAAGCTTTTTTTCTTTTTTGAAATAGAAAACAAAAACTAATGTAACAAGTCGGACGGGGTAGAAACGAGCAGATGTGACATTGGGAGGCTTCTCATCGAACGAGCTTTTATAATCGGGTCTAATTGCTCGAGCACTGTCTAGCAGGGCATATAAAGAGGACAAAGTCTTGTTGGTATCAAACGGACACGTATTGCCAACAAAAAATAGTTGGGCAAATAGTACATGACTATATTTGTCTGCCTATTGAAAACCCAATCACGCGATTTTGTATCGATACAGACCTTCTTATCTTTAAAGTATTCTAAGAAGAAGCAGGAGTTGAACTCATTCGAGAAAAGTTCATATATTGTTTTTTCGGCGGTGGAGAAATCTTTGGTGGAATAAATGTTTACAGCAAGACTTCCTGAAATACTCAAAAACGTTTCTTGAATCTGTGAATTATCCTCTACCGTTCATAGCCAATCTCTTTTTCAAAAGTTGAATGATCTCCTTTTCCAGAATTTTTGACACTGGACAGATTACATCAGCCCTTTTGTTCTCACATGCGTCCACAATGATATGATCATATTTTTTGTTATCTGAAAAGTTGTATGAAATTTAGTCATTTTTTCTCCTGTAAAGTTAAACTTTTCTTAATATAATCTACAAAGTCTGCATGAACCACTCGCATCTCTTTAGTTTCAAAGTGATCAAAGTAGTTTTCAGCAATGCCGATCATGATTTCTTCTTTTTCTACAACTGTTGTATCCAGCTGTAATCAGAGCTTACAAAACCGGGTTAGTCAAAGTCAGCTTACATTTAGATACGAAATTTCCGACAAGAAGTTGCTCATTACTCCACCCCCAAGGCCGGCAATAAGAATATCCTGGTGTTCATTCTCATCAAAAGATAGGCTCTGAAACAAACTGTGCAAATGAGACTATTGGGGGAAAAAGCGGAAAAAATAAAAAAAATTCAATGAAATAAAGAAATTAAGACCGGAGAAATGAAGAATGTCCCCAAAAACAAAAAAGGAAAATTATAAACAAGGGACAAAAAATTATAAAGCAAACACTCTGAAAAATAATTCAAGCTTCAAAGTAGCGCGAAATATCCAGCACCCGTTTGTTACTTCTGGAAAATATAAAAAACAAAAGGTCGAATCTCTCAAATCGGCTCCAGGTCAATTTCTCACCGGATGAGATAATGCAGGCAAATATAGGTTTCAGACTACAAAAATAGTTTGAGGGTTTCGAAAATATGTTTTTACTGGTAGACCTCATTCTGAAAATCAAAAAGTTGCACATTTTAATTTTCCTCAAACATAAATGTTGTCTAAATTTTCCTAATTTTAGTTGTGTTCTACCAGAAAAGCATTCTTGAATACGCTCAAAATATTATTAGCAACCTATCCATTAACCGGATTATCGTGATTGCTCACTTTTTTTATGGAAAAAAACCGGAGTCTCCAAAACATATTCAAGAATTATCCACATTTTCCAACTTACGTCCATGATGAATCCGGCAGCTACAAGAAGTCTTGCGTATCTGGCATTAATCACAACCTTGTTCACAGGCCATTCTCTGGAGTCAAGGTTATCCCAATTTACCGCTGAAATTTCGAAAATCTTCTCTTCTCAAATCCTTTTCATATTTCAAACTCACGTTTTGTAGATTCCACCTCAACACCTGTTAACGAATACTCGGTGTGTTCTTCAAGCAAAAGATCACGTTTTGTAGTCAACCTGTAAGGTTGGAAGAGAAAGAATCACATTGCGAATGTTTGGAATATTTGATAGATATGGTGACTTATACGTGGCGAGATAGAGTGAGAGAAAGAGAAACATAGCCGGGGCATTGAAATGGAATTATCAATCGATTTTCTGGCCATAGGGAAGCAACGCACATGCAGTTGAACACCCACATACACATATGCAGTTTTCGGGGCAATGAATCGTGGGAGCTGTACACGAGAGGAGGAATGGTAGATGATAGAGAAGAGGAATTGGAGATACGGAGATGTTATGTACTAACTATAATAATGAGACGCTTATTTGAAAAAAAAATGCCTTGTTTTACTGACTAATTGGATGCAATGGGTAGGAAGTGTACTGCAAAGATTTAAGGCGGGGGGGAGGGAATTTTCTGCTAGAAATCCGTCATTATATCATAAAATTGTTAAATAATAAAATGCTTCTTGTAGAATTGAAACATTTCACTAAATGACGAATTGTTGATAACTTTTTAAGGAACCGAGATATTTGAGCTGAAATTGTTTTTAAACCGTGGGCTTCTATTAGCGCAGTTACGGTAATTTTGAATTATTGAAAAACTCAAACGTTTCTGTGATCCGAGCAAAGTGTTTTCATTGAACTGTAATAAGCTAAATAAAGTTGTGGAAGTTAGATAAGACCAAGTCAATAAGCTAAAAAGGTCAACTGGAAACTTTTGAGATGTACCAGCTTTTTCAAAAAAAATATTTGATAGGGATAGTTTGAATGATGAAAATTCAAGAACATCTGACCATAGAGACAATCTTATGTAGAAATGAAAAATTTGTTTACAGTTCCATTCCGATTTCAAATCCAATCATCTTTTATGACTCATAACGTTTCGGGGTTTGAAATTATTTCGAAACAATACGCTTGTCACTGTTTTTCTGATACAAATCAACCCTACAAAACAACCTCTAGAACAACAAATTTTTGTTTTTCATATTCAATCTCAGAAAAAGGTTCGACAAACCTTTTTTATAAAAATGCTCCCTGATCGATCAGAAACACGTTCGTCTAGCCGAAAATAACTTTTTATAGGTTCTGAGAACATTATACCTTCTTGCCATTCAGAACGTTACCCTCTAGAGAGTTTTGATTATGTGCAGAAGTGCAAAGAAATGAGAAAAAAGACCTCAACGAGTCAAAAATCAAAATTGATTAAGTAAATGAGCGAAAAACTAAGAGCCACCCCAAATTTTCCGGTCGATACGAAGATGGCTTTGTGCACTACCCAATCCTCTTCACTACTGGGTTTTAAAACAAAATCCATCTATTACAGAAGGCATTGAATGAAGGCAAAAAAGGTTTCGCGAAAAGGGACACAGACGTTTTATGAGGAAAAAGAGGACCTCTGAATGCGGGGATGAAGAATATGGACGAATATAAAAAGCCATAAAAGCGGGTTGCTATAATTGAGAGCTCCATGACATTTAATTTTGTCTTTTCCATTTTTTTCCATTTTGTTTCGCTAGTCACATCACATCTGTCAACCGAAAAGTTAGCTTACCTTCCATTTTCTAAGTAGTAAGAGTCGACAATCAGGAAGCATGTATTGGTATCCGGGATGCATTCTTTTCCGACAAGTTGATGTTTCTGGAACCTTTTTGTTAATCAGGATCATTTGAACTGGAACTTTTCGGTTTCGGACTTCTAAATTTAAACAATAAGTTTCCAGAAATCGTACTTTCAAAGTTTCAGAATACAGCTTCAGAAAATCAGAATACTCCCAAATTTTGAAAATTTAAATTTTAGAAGCTAGAATGGTCAAAAATCAGTATTCTCGAAAAGTAACTGAAGTTTAAAAATTGGAAATTACCTGAAATCAAAAAACGTGGAAATTTGAAATATTCCGTATTTAGCAAATCGGATTTACGGAATTTTCTGGAACTTTCGAATTTCGGAGTTGAAGAGTTGTATCAGAATTTCAGAAAATCGGTATTAAAAAATCGTAATATTCTCAGTTTTCGAAAAAAAAAGATATTTTGGAAGTTTTTCGTAATCCTCTTCGTGATTTTGAAGTTCGAAAAAATAGGGATTTTGAAATATTGGCAAATTTCGAAACATGAAAATTCGGGATTTTCAGAATATGTTAAATGTTTGGTATTATGGTTATTGATAAATGTTCTGGTTCGAACAAATCATAAAAGTTGAATCAATATAACGAAATTTAACTTTTGATGAATATTCTCCAATTATTTTGGTTAAAAATGCATTTCAAAAATTCTGCACATCATTGGGATTTCAAGAATTCCGTTCCACACTTCTGAATTCTCACTGAGAACTAAAGTGTTAAATACTGACAACACAACATCAAACCAGGTACCTTTTTGAGTAGCTCATCCACCGCGTCTCCTTTCTTCTTTGATGTATATTTAAACAGCCCAAAATCAAATGATTCATAATACCAAGCCAACACCTGAATAAAACTTTCTGACTTCTGAAAGTTTGAGTATTTTTACCAGTGCCGCAATGAGAACAGAGACGTGAGGAAGAAGCCTGGTCTGCATTTCAAGATGGTGGAGCCGACTAACCACCTCAAAATGACTCCAATTAACTGTGCCATGTTCGTCAATTTGCACAGCCGCCTGTCCGTGATACATTTTTTTGGATTCCGTTTTGCAAAACTAATACGTTATTTGCACTGCATCGGAAATGTGGGATTGTGGAAACTAGCAAAGAGAAAAATCAGTTTTGAGCTGAAAGTTGGCAAAAGGGCGAGTATGAAATATGAAAACAATTGTGAGAAAAATGGATAAAAGTTAGAAGCATGGGAACGAAACAGGGGGAGAAATACTCGATTTTCTCAATTTTTCTCAATCATGAGAAAAGAGAAAACTGACTTTGAAGTTTCAAAACAGATCAGCAGATATGAGAAGAAAAAGAAATAGTAGAGATAATGCCAAGACCTCCTGAGTAAATAATTAGAAGGAAAAGAAAAAAAAACGACATGTGCCGAAAACCCACCGGTACCTCCAAGATATGTTTCAAATCAAGGCAAGAAAAGTAGAGAAAAAATGAGAAAAAGAGAAGAGGAAAACTATGTTGATAATCATGCTGCCCAGGTCAGCACAGCGGAAAGATGTGAAGACGAAGACTTGAAGCCTTTCAATGCATTTTCTCACTGCTGGTGACCACCAGAGAAGAACGGGCGGATTAGTTCAGAAAGTGTATGCAAATCCTATCCTGAGACTACAGCTACAAGTGGAAAAAGCGCAAAGTAAGGGATATAAATTGACTGGTGCGATTTCTTTCAGAATACGGAGAATTTAGTATAGCATGAATGGTTATTGGAAATGGTAATAAAATATAGAACGTACGAAGATAATTGAAATTGAAAAACCGTTGAGTGTTTGCTTTTCAATTACCAGTATAATGAAAACTGTGTAAAAAATATCTAGAGGTGATGAACTTAAAATTTGTCAAGTGTTTGTCCCTTTTCCTTATCGTTGACAACAACCAGAACCGATTGATTCAACGCTGATTTTGGTCTTTTCTATGACAAACGATACCGTAATCCATATAATCCAATTTTGTTAAGTTGTCTCATATAAAAAATCAATCCTGCAACTCACATATCTGTATCAAACATCCATTATTTGGCAACACAATTGTCCTACTATGACCTATAAAAACATTGATTGACTTTTTTTGGCGCCTTTCATAGTAATCAAAAAAGATAATTGAGATTCAAGCGTAGCGGCGTCAATCTAATAGAGTAAATACGGTAAATCGGAAATCTCTATTTCAATTTGTTCAGCGTGTATTGCAAAATCGATTAAACTTTAACCGCTTCAGTAAAAAAAAGTTTGGGAAAGTTTTACTGAAAACAACTGTTTTATTTTTTACACGTTCTAAAATTAATGTGATCCTGAAAAAAAACTAGACTAAACCAGAGATTCCCCAGTTTCTGATTTTCGGTGTAATTCTTCGTTGGGGTTAACATTAACTTTAGTACCGGTAGAACATCTTCTTGTTTACATAGACATTTCGAAAATAGCCAAAATGAATCTAAACCATATCTATTAAACGATCGAAATACTTCTCGCTCTCTTTTTGCACAAATCAGACTTTTTGTCCCTGTGAAAAAAGTTGTCAATAACAGTTCTCGAAAACCGGCACAATATTACAACAATTCTTACAACAATTCTTCAATTTCCCGGGTCAATTTTTTCTGAAGCACAATCATTCTCGATGATTTGGATAAAAAATCAACCCACAAGAGACTAATCATTTCGGCATTCCCGTGTGACCGATTTATTTTGGAGAAAGTTTTCAAATAAGTAGACATGTTTCAAAATAGATGTTCTATTTTTGGAGTTGCTGTACCCTTTTAGTATGTCTCCTGTTTAAAAAATTGTTTAACCCTCTCTTCTCAGTCAACGTCAATAACATAATAGAAATATATCTTTCAAGTTTTCTAGACAAATTCGCATTTACATTATGCATGAAACTAGCAGGTGAAATCCCCCAATTGACGAAAAAAAAAAATAAATCTTTGATATCATCTCAAGTTTTTGTGTTACAGCTGGCTCCTCTTTAGCTCCGACCATTATGTGAAAATTCCGATTTTCAATATCTCGAATATTCTCCCCTATTCATCCAGAAACTTTTTTCCCGCGCGTGACTGATGGAGGCTTACCCGCCGAAAGACGTTTCCCACGATCATGCCAAATTAGGCCACGAAGTACAGCTTCTTCTGAGTGTGTATAAATAACTTTGCTCCATATTTCGCAGCTTTTCATACTTTTCTGTGCACAAGTTCAGGAGCGCATTTAAGATTCTGCTTTCTGGCTCCCGTGTGGTTCATACTTGCTCAAGTTCTCCTCACTCATTTTCCAGAAATTCCGCATTATTGACTCGCTTTTCTCGGGTTTCGTGTTTTTATTTTGCACGGTACATAATACGCAGTTTTTCAGAATGAAAAGTCACAACAAGATGACCAGAACAAAATTTCTGATTCGAGAGCCCCTTGAGTACTCGGTCCTCTGCACGAATATTTTCTCATATTCCTATACTAAACTTCTCATCCCATCGTGTATATGTTTGACCTTCACCTTCACCTACTAAATCTTGATAAAATCATATACATATCATAAATGCAAAACATCAATAGTAATAGCTCGTCATAAACTAATTGCATTAAATTACACTTTGAAGTTATATATATATTTCCAGAAGGATATCTTCACATTTCATAACTTCATGAATCTTTATTGTTTTCTCGTTAGATTCAAGTTTTTCGATTTTCTCCTTCATATTCCTTTCCGCAAAATCCCATGTGACTATTCAGTATGCCAAACAAGGAAAAAGAAAGTGGTGCGCAAAAAAAAAAAGAGATGCGAGAGCACAACTTGATTAGTCTAATCAGAACATCGGTGAATCCAAGGCACAGCCTGTGTTGCGTTTTCCTCACGCCTGCAACTCTTTGATTCAATTTATTGCCCTCCGACGGACACAAAAAAGGAGAAAAAAGAAAAAATAAGAAGAAGTAGCTGCCCTAAAAAACTTTCCGGATCTTTCTACGAAGATCTTCTTTGCCGCAAGCACCTAAGCTTTGATTCACTAGCTTAAAGCACCATGATTCGACTATTCCGCACCATGAAATTCTGAGAACGATGCTGTTTTCATGCACTAGGGCGGTTGCTCAATTTACTTGTTTTGTATTGGGTAGTAGAAGTGGATACCAATTTTAAAAAAATACAACGTCAAGAATGGATGACTCAAACTTCATAATAATTTGAGAATGACCATTTCTCCAACTCCAACTCTTTGTTTTGTTGAACACTCTGAAATGTTTACGAAATAAACAATAGGTTAAAGTTTGTTCACTGAACTCATCTCATTTTCCATTTTCCACAGTAATTATTTGAAAGAACAAACTTTCATTCTCATTGTTCACAACTCTTATTCCTACTCTTATTCAAAGAACCCTCATCGGTTTCTGAAAAACAACTCGTTTCGAACCACACAACACCTACACAATTATTTTCTCCTTCTCTTTTTGCTTCCTGTCTCTATTTTGTTCAACTAAGAATTCTGAAAAAATATTAGTCTGCTTCATGACATCCATGGGTCGAGCTTCATTTTGTGTTTGGATTTGGCATCAAAGTACTTTAGAAGTTAATCTTAGTACTTTTAGATTGAAAAATTTTGAATCCTGAATCTGAAGATTTGTAAATGTAGTATTCAATCTTATCTTGGCAGAATTCAGAAGAAGTCAGCTTCCTATTCTTATATTTTTTTTTGGTTAGATATCTGCCAGTCTCATGAGTGAAGAAAGGTGACGCACACACCATCCATTCGATGAGAATAAACCTTAATTGAACACGCTATGATAATGCTGATTGCGCTATTGATAGGAAAAGAAGTACTTCTATTTCCATTTTCTTTCAACATCCAACTTTTCCTTTTGATCAAATGTTATCTTTATTCCCTTTACTTCTTCTTTGCATAGTTCTTTTGCACCCTTTACGTTCCAAGGATTCTTCGTGACTTTCTTGCACTTTTTCTCTTTTTCGATCTATTGTATTATCAAGTGAGCTATTCACAAAACACATGCTGTTCTAAGATGAGGATTCACTTGCGTAAATCAACTTTCGCAGAAGAGTGAGAAGTCTTTTGATCTTCTTTTTTCTCCTTATTTTCCGTGTGGGAGGACCTCAAAAAACCGTAAGTTAGTAATAAAATATAAAAAAGCTAATTCAGGGTTGTTTCAGTGATTTAGCTCAGCCGAACTTGACTTAGAAAAAAATGAAGAAAAAATGAATTACAGTAGTCACTGCTCGCATTCGTCCGTTCGCAAATTGCGTCATCGAAAACTCCCGCTTATATTTAATCAGATTTTTTGAAAACTGTGGGAAAATTCTAAAACCTTCGCCAGCATGAATTTCTCACTCTAATTTATGAAATGAGAAAATAAGAAAAGAGGTGAGAACTTTGGAACACTTTGCACGTAGGACGATATCATTTTAGAAGATTTTGAGATAGGTTCTGAGGTAGTCAAAATGTGTGTTTTGTTTATTCATCAGAAAACAGGCTACTTACCACGAGCTGGGCGGGGTCAACATTAAAAACTCCCAGGCTGGGGCCAAATTCTGAAATTTTAAAATTCTAAAACTTTTCAAAAATTTTATGATAGTCTCCCGAAATTTTAATAGTTTCTATATTTTGGTATGGCGAATTATTTCAGGAAATTTTCTCTTAGGTGGAATTCAATAAATTTATCTCAAAAATTTTCTAAAAATCGACTACGCGGGCCGACCAGGCGGAAGAGTTTTTTGCGATCCAGCCCTGACCCCTCCGGAATTAGAAAAGTATGGAAAAGCATGTAGCTATAGATAACTTTTAAAACTTCCATTGTCGCTTGCTTGCAAAATTTCGAATGTCAGGCTTCAGATTTATATTCATTAACCTTATCATCTTGTATCCAATTGCTTCTGTCACCCTTCCAATCCAGCAACATCATTCTAGCCATCTGTCCTGGGAATGTTGTCATATTATGGTGAGAATCTAACAGGGCAGAACCAATGAATCCTCACGTATCAATTGGTCCTGCATGACGCACATGCAAGGAAAAAAAACCGACTGACCACAAACAATAGTGCGAAATGAAGACAAAAGCTACATGAATTTATGATTGTCCTCTCTCACTCCTGGAAAAAGTTTCTACAAAAAGTCGTCCCCAAAGATTTTAGACCAGATTTCAAAGAACTTCGTGTCTTTTGTGACTTGTACCACTGCTGGAGTTCCCAATTTCCAGAGAAATTTCAGTCTGGGAACCTCAACTAAACACTTGCAGAAAGGAAATTTTCGATCGAAAAAGCTTTCCTCCGCATATGACCCGCGATTTATGTTTTATTAATTGTGCTTCCAACTCTCTTCCCTCATCGTCTCTCTAGTTTTTAAGACATTATTGCTATCATAAAAAAATGTTGCTGGAGAAGGATCTTGAGCAGAGAAGAAGAGGTATGAATATTTTCTTTCCCACCGGCGTATGTGTCGGCCCCCGGAGCACGAGGTATTTCTCAATCACTGCTCCGAGAGCACCGTAGCTCTTTTTCTTCTCTTCTTCTACTTCGTCGGCTTCTACTTCTTGAAGGACACACCCACCATCCCCTCCCTTCTCGGCCACAGAGATTCCGTATGTGTGTGTGTGTGTGTGCAAAGTCGTCTTTTGATATGAATATTTGATTTTACTCCGTGCCTCCTGTTATGGAATTCAATTTTTTTCTTCTGACTTGCTCTACTCAAGGTGAATCCTGAATCTTCTCAAATCCTCACCCAATGCATTCTGGCTCCTGGTGAACTGTGTATGTGTGATGCTAGCCTCAAAATGTGTAGTATACACAATCTGATTAGCACCCCACTCGTTAAACCTCTCGTACCACTTTACCAATCCCATCTTGAGTGGCTCGCATCTTCGACTTACTTCCAAGCTTTGAAATTCGAATGTCCAAATTTTTTGACCACCAATGCTGTTTCAAAAAATCTTCAAAGGCGCTCTTAATGTTCACAAATTACACTAATCAACCTCTTTGTCGGTTTAAGCCCTTTCTTCTCGCTTCATTTAATTCTTTCTCCCGGGTACCCTCCTTCCCCCATTTTGCTCTTGAACCGAACCTCTTCTTCTTCTCTTTTTTCTATTTTTTTCTTCTTCTAGCCTCTCCAACCTAGACCTTAAATTGACTCCTCTTTTGCTCTTCCTTCCTTCTTTATTATTCATTCTGGTCTCATCTCTCATCGCTCCTTTTTCTGTCTCTAATTAAAGTGCATGTGCCTTTTAATAGTTTGATTCTGTGAAATAAAGAGTGTCATTTTGTATTTTTCGTGTGACATATAACTTGATAATTCGAACGATTCCTAAACTGGCCGTACCAATGTACAACTACAATATCACGCCTTCTTAATGACGTGAAACAGAAGCAACGCATACCCCTGAAGAACAAAGAAATCAGATTTTAGGAAGTGTCCGCTTTTGATGATGTTGACATCTTTGTTTTTCACTGAATACGAAATGTTAGGCTCACTTATTTTCAGTCCGTTTTGTGTGTGTGTCTTTAACTAGAACAAAAAACTTGTGTTCCTGTGTTGTCTCCTTTTGGAACACCGAATCTGAGCATATCCCCGTTTTTTTTTACTAGGTGGTCTGTTGATTAGTATTCCATCTGAAAATGAAGCAAGATTCTGAAAATTAGGAAGTGGGAGAATTTTAGATCTTTGAGACTACAAAGATCTATGTTTAGAGTCAAGGTCCTTCTTGATCCCAGAGGCAAAGATTCTTGATCCCAGAGGCAACTGTTTCTACAAAGTTTTCTATTTTTAACCATTCTCTTCTATCCATGACAATTAATCATCTACGTTTTTTTTGTTCCTTTGTGTCCCTCTTATCTCTTGCAAGTCTTATAAAAGTGGTCTGCTCTGTTACCTTCTCACTATGTATTCAAAATGCAGCTCTCAGTTTTGCAAGCATTTATAAACTTCTTAAATTCTCTAGACCCCTCACTGATGAACGAATCGGAAATCGAGGCTGCAGTGGCGGCCATGGAGCTGGAGGACCAACTTCTCCAGCCCGAATGGTCCTACCTAGTACTTTCCATCGTTCCGCTCGTCTGTATCTTGGGTAATCTGATGGTAGTGGCAGCTGTATGGACCACCAAAAGTTTACAAACTCCAACGAACCATCTTTTGGTGGGTCTAGGGTTTTTGAGGTGTTCTCGAAATTCGATTTTCAGGTTTCTCTTGCAATGGCTGATCTTATAGTTGGTGCATTCGTGATGCCGTTCAGTATCTATCTTTCCGTAACTTCTAGCTCACAAAACCAAAATAAGTTCTCATTCTCCAGATAAACGGACTCCATTGGCACTTGCCTCTGTTTGTTTGCTACTTTTATTGCGTTTTGGATGTCGCTGCAAGCACTTCGTCAATTATTCATCTTGTGTTGATTAGTATTGACAGGTATCATATGTGCACTGAGCGAGAATCTAACTAGAAAAATTTTTTGCAGATTGGTTGCGGCAACAAAACCGGCGGAGTACAAAACAATGAAACATAGGAAAAGGGTGTACTTGGCTATCGCTATCACATGGATTTTCAGCATTGCACTTTCGCTACCTCTGGGAACCGGATTCAATACACGGACTAGTCATTTTTTGGTGATTGAACATCACTGTGGAATTTACAATCCTGTTTATATGCTCACAAGTAGCATCTTTGCATTCTATCTTCCATAAAATATTATGATATTCACTTATGGTTATATATTCTACACTCTTAGAAAACGTCTAAGAGCTATTCAACTACAGGTATATTCAATTTATAGATATCTTTCTTAAAACTCATAATTTCAGGAAATGGCCGGTGGTCAATTTCTTGGATTTGGTGCTGATGTTGGGTAACATCACCACGTCAGCAATTCAATGTGTCATTGGTTAGTTGATGTTCCATTTTCGAATTAGCTCTTTGCTCTCTCCTTTTCAGGCATCGCACCTAAGAATAGAAACATGATCACTTGGGAGAAGCCACTTCTTAAGAAGATTGAGGAGACTGCTGCGGAGCATGCGAGTTCCTTAAATGATAGTGAACGAGAGCAGGTGAGACTAGAAGTTTCTCACAGAGCAAAAAAAATTTTAATGAAAAATTCCGCGGCACACACACTTTTCTCAAGCTCCGTTTGCGCAGATAGCCGTGGACGTTTCGCGCGGAATACAAAATTATCTCGTTTATAGTTCTTCGAAAAATATGAATGTGATATTAGTCTGACTCTGAATGAATAGCCAAAAAGTGGACTAGCCGTGGGGAAAGAAGGATAATGAAAGAGTGAGAGTTTCCGAAAACGGATACAAAATGAGTCTTCTATGGAAATGGAGGTTTTTGGAGTTTTTTTCCTCTGGATTCTTATGTAATGAGAAAGAATTTCACAAATATTAAGACCAAACATCATAACAATTTTTCAGCTGCAAACAATTCTTGAAGCAGTTCACCCATCCTCATCCGGAAGTCAAGAAAATACAACAATCGAGGTTTGTGCTCTTCAAGTGTGCTCTCATACATGCTCGTCTCCTTTTTTGCAGGAAGACCCGGACCGACCACCCTCTGTTCTTTTGGAAGCTGTGACTTTAAAATGCGAGATCGACACCAGCGGGCCCATCCTTGAACTGCCACGCCCAACCTACACGAAAAAGTGAGCGATGAAGAAAAGAGAAGAAAAAATGGGAATTACAAAACGAGATCCTTCTTCTTGCAGCATGTCGCGTCGATTCTCTGATGCGGTCAATTCAATTTCGAGTCGCGGTAGAATGAAGTCAGTGTCGTTTGGAACTGCTGCATCGCGACGACGTCGACATTCACATCAGCCAGTAGGAAATCGGGAAGTCGTCACGTCCGAAGAGTCCAAAAAGTTGCACTCGCTAAAGCCACCATTGGTTAGTCACAGGGGTCAAATGAAAAAAGTGAATAAGGGAAAAAGAAAGATTTCATCTTCAAAAGTCACAAAACGGAGATTCGTAATAAGTAGAAAAGGGAAATGATAGAATACAAACATAAAGTTAAAGAACAAAAAGATTTACTTCACAATTTTTAAAGTTTCTCATTTTATGGTGGACAGGATTACAGCACATACTCAACGACATAGCTCAAAAGAAAGCTCGTTTTCAAATTCAAAGTGTTCGGAAGAGCTCTTGATATTTTTTGTCCAGGTTAAAACGATTTATTTGTTCAGTATGAGCTTGCCTAAAATAAAAAAGGATAGATTTGATTAGACACTGATAGTATTTCCAACCATATCTAGTTATTCATCAAAAATTTTGGATAATTTTAATACTACTTCGAAATGAAAAAAGTGTACACACTCTAATATAATGATCTCTCCCCAAACTGTGAACTTCAAGCCCATATGCTTTATTTCCTGTAGCAAATATAAAAAAATTGGTTAATTGACAAAATATTCTTCATATCATGATAAACGTTCTGTCACTTAGCTACTTTTTGATATTTTTTTGAGGAACCGAGGGGTATAGGCTCAAACAAAAATGTCGGTTTTGGGAGCATTTTTATATTAGAGTACGGTAGTCCCATTTTAAAGAAAAGATACATAGTTTCTAAAACAAGTGAACCTGTAACTCTCCGTTAATATTCTGATTGGACATCCGCATTTTGGGTCCTGTTTTAATTTTTGGGTCCTGTTTTTTTTCTCCAGTCTACAGCTTTCTTGTTCACTAAAAGAATCCTATTAAAATAACAAACTGTCCTCTTTTCCAATTTGCATGTGAAAAAGTTAAGTTTTCTATCCAACTATCGCCGGTAAGTGTTCTCTTTCAATCGGTTCTGCTTATATTTTCTTCCTTTCAACTTTCCCCGAAACTATCCTTTTCTACGCTCGCCCTTTTAGAACGGAACCAGTTCTCTCCCGATCACTTCAACATATGAAAAAGATGAATTTGTGAGTTAGAAGCAGTACATAAATAACAGTAACCCATCTATCCCTTTTTTTTTCTTATTTTTGTGTGTCACTTATCGCATGTGTAACATTTTTTGCTTATTAGCTAGTGACCGAATAGCAACGGCGGTGGCTTACCAATATGCCGAAAAATGAGCAGAATACTTTCTAGCTTGTGAGGTTGCATAGATGAGTACCTTCGTTAGCTTTGCTTTTAGGAATTCAGATGAAAAGTGGAAAAGGAGGTAGGTGGACCACCACATTCTTTTGCAAACCCTCTCAAGATGTATCTAGTGCAGTAAAAAGAAGGTTTAATAAGCTGCAGTGGACTCTGATTAGCTTTTAATGATTATTCAGCTTACAGAATGGCTTTTTGAAGATCTTTGAAGAGTCTTTGAAATATATTTTTTCAGGTTGAAAAGAGAAAGATGCGGAGGTTGTCCGAGATGATATCGGATTGGGAGCGACCGTCGAGAAGTTCCATTAGTAATATGTACTTATACGCAAGGAGAGAAAGTGTATACATTGCACGAAAAAAGTTGGCAGGGCTAAAAGTAATTTAAACAATTTTGAAAAAGACAAAAAATGATTTGTTTAGGACTGGGCACTTGACCTACTAGCAAAACTGAAATCAAAACAAGGAATGGCTATTCGGAGGGAGACAAGAGCAACCAAACTTGTGGCTACAGTCATGGGTATCAGAAATGAAATTGAATGTTTCTAATGGTTTCTTATTTAGTGGTCTTCCTAGTTTGCTGGCTCCCATTCTTCACATTGAATATGATCAAAATTTATAAGCTAATATTCAACGTGTGGTCTGCCGATTTGGAGATTTGGTTCCATTGGTTTACGGCACTGGGCTACCTCAACTCTTCTTTGAATTTCTTCATCTACTCGACTATCAACCCGGTAATAAACAACTCTTTGGTTGAATAATATATTTACAAAAAAATGTTTCAGAAATTCCGTCATTCTTTCCGTAGATTGTTAGGATTCCGTCGCTCGTCACGTCGTCAACGAGAAAAATCTTGGATGCTTCCACCACGCGATAGTAGCAGGTAAACCTTATTTTTATCGCTTCTCTCTTCTAAATGTTTCGTAACAGAGGTCCGGCAAAATGTGGATGCGGTTTCCATAAAATTGTGAAAAGCCCTCTGCGCAAAACGAGCTCAGCTGGGTAAGTTGTGTGTTTTAGTTGTCTGAACAGGGATTTTTAATTAACCTGATTCTTCTAACAGTAACCCTGATCTATTCAGTTCTGACACTTCCAGTTCTGGTGACTCGTTCAAAATATTTAAAAGGTTAAAAAACATTTTTAAAGATATACTTTTAAAGTTTGACCAAGTGTTTTGTCCTCCGCATGGGACCGGTAGTTCAATTTAGGGAAAGTTTATAGGAATGATGGAAACCAACCCTCTCCTTTCTTGTTACCATTATTTTTCTATTCGAATGAAGATATGATGCTTAAGCATGATGACCGATGAAACTTTAGAAGATATCTTCTCCCATGTCATACTCATAAAATGTTTTCAGACCAATGAACAACCGCAAGATTTCAATGCAAAAACCAGAAATCGTCATCGATGAAATCTCGCCAAACCGTATTTCAATTTCGGCTGGAGGAAATACAACGTTCAGGTAGGTACCTAGACAGAACCAAGCATGAAATGATACAAAGTCAGTGAAATTCGCAGATTTAGCACACAATCCAAACCACAACCGGTTTAGGTAGGGAAAGCGTTTTCAAATATTTGTTCATAACTTTGTTGTGTTATTAATATTGTTGAATAGTTTGTGCGTTTTCTTAGGATTCATTTAAAAATTCTTTTGAAATTATTTTTGAAACTGGATTTATGGAAAATTGAAACATGCAAAATCTAATTTTCAGACGTTCATCCGATGATTGCATCCGTCGATCATCATCAGAAATCATCGGTGGTATCACTCTTCCTTCCCAAAGTAGCAATGATAAACGAAGGTTTGCCAAGTTACCTGAGTAGCTTCAAACCATTTTCAAATTTAGGGGATCTGGCATGTCCAATAGTTCAGCATCCCTTCATATTCACGAAACTCGAATGACGTTTGAAGCAATGGTTCAGGACCAAGCTGATTGCGAGATTTTCGTGTGATTTCATTCCCATAAAAATGTTATTCCTATATTATTTTTCAATTTTCGGACACGTTTTGATCTCAATCCCCCGTTATAACGAGTGTTTATGTAATTACGTTTTTTCCTGCGATGTTGTGGTCTTTTCTCTATTTTGATACCATTACTGCATTTCCCTTCTTTTTTGCAAATAAATGTTTTCGATTTTCTCAAGGTCTAGTCGAAGGCTAACATTTTTATTGTGTGTTTTCTGTATGTATGATTATCACAATAGATGAGATCTGATAAAGGTACTAAGCGAGACCAAATAAGATAGGTTTCTATCGTTGCCAATTATTTCCTAGTCGTGGAATCTTTGCCTGTGGGTCCTGAGGAGTCGAAGTCGATGGTTCGTCAGATGATGTGATTGGAAATGATCGCTGAAATGAAAATGTCAGTGTCATAAAAAGGCAAGGAAATGATGAGAGTGTGAAATAAAGATTAAAATTTTGAATGATAATCCGTAGAAATTTCCGGGATAAGAAAGCAAAAAAAGGCTATTGTGATTTTGTTACTCTGAATTGGATACAAAAGCTTTGTCTCATGAAAATTACATTTCCCGGTTGGAAATTTCTGTTGGAAAAATTCTAAACCAATACAATTATTTGTCATATTATCACCTACATTTTTACATGTTCACAGATTTTTCATAGCTCTAACATATCGCAAACACTGTAATAAAACGCCCTTCCCTTCAAGCTGCCAACTTCGAGTCAATTTATCTCGATTTCTGTGAAAGATATCGAAAGTTAATCAACTGAGAAAATATTATTAAAATGATGATAAACTTTTTGTCAGTTGACAAGTTTTTGATTTCTATTATAGGAAACTAGATATCGTAAATACTCTAATAGAGATACACGGGCTCAAATTTGACGATTCGGGTGGCGTTCTATTAGAGTGTTCACGGTATCTGGGTTTATAGTTGAAAATTAGAGGGCCGTTTTATGAAAGTGCTCAAAGTAATGTGATAATAGAGCTGAAAACGCAAGTATAAGATGGCGCTATATTAGAGAATATACGGTATTCCTGTATTTGCAGTAAGCCCTTCAATGTTATTAATCCTGTTTTAACCCTAAAATCATTATTTTCTGGATTTATATACTTCCTAGATTGAATTGCATATCCTACCTATCCCTAACAAGCCAATATGACTTTAACTACAACCCTTGTTATTCAAAATACGCTTCTACATCTCAATTCTTTTCTATCCCGTTCGTTTCCAAATCTACGGCTACTCTTCGTCCCCACACATGTCCTTCCACATCTCCGTCATCTCACATTGGGAGATTTTCTAATGCATATGAATTACCTTCTCAATCGTGCGCGCAATTCCTCCAACAGCCGCATTGCTGCCGCTAGTGCTCGGTGTTCCATTTGTGCCAGCAAGCATCACTGTTGGTGGTGAGGGTCTTTGATTTATTGGTGGTGTCTGTGCGGAAGGACGTGGTGCATTGAATTGGTTCGATTGATTGTTGTTGCCATCCTCGATTTGTCTCCAGAGTCCTGAAAATTTATATAATATGAAAAAGGAGATGTTAAAGAATATTACCTGGCACATATTGTTTTCCCAGCATTGGAATATCTGTGAGATGTACAAACACGTCGAATCTATCTTTATCGTATTGATTCATAGCTGAAAAAAGAGGGTCTTGGAGAAATTGAAACAAAAGGAAAACCGGTTGAGGTAAGCTATTCAAACGTACAAAAAAATGGTGACACTGAAAACACAACAGAAAAAATTTGGTAAGTAAGCCGGCAAACTCGACAATGTATTTGCTGAGGAGAACGCGGAATAGAATAGGACAAGTGAAAGTTTTTGGAAGGGAGAGCGACTAGTGAAAACGAATGTTTCCGAATAGTAAAAGTGTTGGAGGCATCTTCTCGGCACTTCTACATTTATCAACTGATCAAATCGGCAACATACACAAACTTTCTATCATCTTCTGCCAGGAGGAGAGTGCAGGAATCAACCAAATGTTAGTGTAACGAATTTCATATCATGGAACTCTTCTTTTCGGTTTATGCTATCTTTTTTCTTTGTTTTTCTTACGATGGCAACAAAATATCTTTTTTCGTTTTTGTTAGAAAAAGAAACTTGATATTATCAAAAAATCATATATCTGCGTGAGTGGAAAAAATCGAAAAAAAAAGAAAGAACGAAAAAATGAAATAAATCACCATATACTACTTCGTATAAAAGAATACACTGGTAACTGTCCTTCAGAAAACAAAAAGAATTATAAACAACCATGCGTCAGGTGATAAAGATTCTTCTTCACTATACAATCAGCCAAAAAAAGATACGATATCATGCAGAAAGATAGCAAATTCCACACACTTCTCTATTTTACCATCATAGTTTGACGTAACAACCAACAAACAGGCCCTCCAAAAATGTGTGAAGGGTCAAGTCTTATAAAACGAGCGCAGTACACATGCATATATCGCACTCGTTTTCTCCTTCGCCCTTCCATCCCCCGACCGCACACACTGCTCAAACAACGACGAGCAGCGCTCCCTGCGAGCTCTACGAATGCTCGTCGGGTGTGGTGCATTGCGTCCGACTCCGGTAGAAGTTAATGCTCTTCTTATCACTGTACAGAAATACAGTTCTCTGATCTTTTCATGGTTTCCGAGCCGAAAAGGTCGTAACTCTTTTTTTCCAAAACCTGATGATGATGAAATTTGGAGAACTCTGATTTCACTAATGTCTACACTGATTTTTTTCGTTTTGTTATTTTGCAGTATTCTTCGAAAACATGTCTCTAATTTTCAGCTGCTTCAGGAGTAAATTGACAAAAAGAAGCTGCTTAGACGGCTAAGAAAATCAATTTCAAAGCCAAGAAAAGGGCATGCACTTTTTCTTTGTTTCCAATGAATAGTTGAACTCGGATCTCTCTTTTTTTTGGACAATCGTTTTGCGAGGTCCATTATTCATTGAACTAGGGGTCACATGTCGATATTAGTTCCCGTCCTCTTTCACGCCGTCGAAAACGATGTCCGAATCGATTCGGTCTCTTCTCACCCCCGCTTTTTCACCAGAATATGACCATACATGCACTGTTGACGTTCTAATTGAAGATGAAAATAGTGGGGTAATCCAAGAGGGTAACAGAGAAAAATGCGACTAATGTGTCCTCACGGATAGGTTTTATCTTCTTTCTTCTCGTTTCTTCCTTCTTTTTGTCCATCCTTTCTTTTTCTTTTTGTATTCTCTTGTGCCCCTAGTTCTTCTTTCTCTCCTTCACAAATCTATTGGACGGACAACATCTGCTCGGTCGTTTTCTTCTCCTCATATCTATTGGGTGTTCATTCCTCTACTACTCGCCAACGGGCTCTCCAATCAGTTTACAACTATTTTCATAGGTTTTTTCTCTTTTTTTTTCTCTTTACACCGTTGCTCTCCCATTCTTATCAGTTTTTTCACGCTTCAAAAAAGTTTCCAAGTTTGTAACTTTTTCATGTTGACTCCTCTACACATGCCTCCATCAACTGACAGCTCTCGACGAAACTCGGAGGAAGGCTTTAGGTTTGTACTAACGAAGCGGGTCTTCTTTAAAAAATGGGACACTACTCCAAAATAAACAATTATTTTTTGTTTCAGTGATGGGTTCAAATTGGATTCGTCGGCGCTCAACAAACCACCAGAGGAAGTTTTCGATATTGTTGGGAAATTGGGAGAAGGGTTTGTTATTCAATTTCATTTTTCCAATTGACAGGAAATTGGATGAGGCAAAACATATATCGTAGGAAATTTCAGATCATATGGAAGTGTCCACAAGGCAATACACAAAGAATCTGGTCATGTGTTAGCGATCAAGAAAGTTCCGGTGGATACTGATCTTCAGGAAATCATCAAGGAGATTAGTATAATGCAACAGTGCAAGAGCAAATACGTTGTGAAGTACTACGGATCCTATTTCAAAAATTCGGATCTATGGGTGAGTGAATCTCACAAAGTTTGAAAAAAACTTGAAACGAAGAGAACGCTACATAAAATGGAATTAAAAGTAATCAAAAACCCAAACAACGAAAGTTTGAATTTTCAGATCGTTATGGAGTACTGTGGCGCCGGATCCATATCAGACATTATGAGAGCCAGGAGGAAACCTTTGTCGGAAAAAGAAATAAGTGCAGTTCTACGGGATACGCTTAAAGGATTACAGTACCTGCATGACTTGAAGAAGATTCATAGAGATATTAAGGTGAGAAGAATTTGGAATTTTCAATTTGTCGACTTCAACGAAACTAAAAAAAACGTATTTTGAGTGTTCAAAAAAAAACTAATTTCTCGAAAACATAATATCACGTTAACAGCGCTCAAATAAAATTTCTCTAGTTTGATTCCAAAACTATGGCTGACAAAAAAATCTGGCACCGGCCGTTGCATTTGGCTCCGGATCATTCCGTAGGTAAGACACAAAAGTCCGATATGGCCGTTCTTTCTAAAATCAGCTCAGTATGCTGCCACTACCTATTTATCCCAGAAGAAAAAAAGCGTGGCTTTCAATCTGACCGATTATGTAAAAACACCGTATTTCTTTTAATAGAAGCGTGCCCAGATCGTAAACTTTATACTCAGTCATTTCGATTTCTATGAAAAATATCACAAAATTGTCAACTAATAAATTATTTATCATAATGTGAAAAATATTTTCTGTTGACAATTTTCTAAAATCTCTCGCAAGAATCGAGATAAGCCCAAAGCTCAAAGTTCACAATTTGGGTTTTATTATCGGTGATACGTTTGTTTTATTTACCTGAACTTTTCAAAATCGAAAAGTTAGTTATGAACTTCTTAAACATCCGAACGGAGTTTTAAAAACCGAATATTTCAAAATTAAAATTCATATTTTTACAGGCAGGCAACATCCTCCTGAACACTGATGGAATCGCCAAATTGGCTGATTTCGGAGTTGCTGGCCAGCTCACTGACACAATGGCAAAAAGAAATACAGTAATAGGAACACCGTTCTGGATGGCGCCTGAAGTGATCGAGGAGATTGGTTATGACACGAAAGCTGACATCTGGTCACTTGGAATAACAGCAATTGAGATGGCTGAAGGACGTCCTCCATACTCGGACATTCATCCAATGCGTGCAATTTTTATGATCCCTACAAAGCCACCGCCGACATTTAAAAAACCAGAAGAGTGGTCATCAGAATTCAACGATTTCATTAGATGTTGTCTTATTAAGAAGCCTGAAGAAAGGAAGACAGCACTTCGGCTCTGTGAGCACACGTTTATTGAGAACGCACCAGGATGTGATGTGTTGCAAGCGATGATATTAGATGCCCAAGAAAAAGTGCTGCTCGGACAAGCTCCTGTGGTAAAGAAGCGAAAAGGAACATAAAACCTAATTTTTCGCATTTCAGGCAGTCGCCGGAGCGGATGCCACGTTACTAAGCGAAGGAATGTCAACGATGATCGACGGTGGAGATGCGACTCTCGTGCAGTATAAAGGTTAGGCATTTCCACTATACGAATTTAAGCAATAAATAAGAAACACGTAGAAATCTGAGTGAAAAAAAGGGAAAGGAAATCATATTTCTTATTAAAGGAATTTTTCTTTACGCAAAGCAGTGGAAAAGATAAAAAAGAGTGTAAACGGGAAGCGAAGATACAAAAATGACGTTTCAAATTCAAAAAAGACGGCGACGTCATGGCAACGAGGGCTTAGGAAGCTGAAGGACACAAGGAGTAGTGATGCAGCAGATATCACAAGGTCCTTCTGTCCTCTTCCACATGCATGAGCTTGCATTATTAGGTTAGAAGCGCAGGTGCATTGATTTTGTGTTTCAAAAGAAAAGGAAGAGAAGAGTGTATAGGCGGAGGCTGCTTAGGAGTGAAGCCTTGGAGACCCGAAAATGTGGAGCTTTTTTGGAAATTGACATGTCGCATAAATAAGCAAGAAGGAGAAGCAACTAAAATAATAACTAAAATATATACAACCTCGTTTCAGATAACTATGTGACGGCGCAAAGTCTTCGAAGCCAGATGGAAAGTTTGAAAATTGGAGGAGAAATTCCAAAATCTGCTTATGGTACACCTATTCCGTTTGGAGTTCAAAATCAGATCTTTTGTTTGCAGGTTCTTCTCGAAACAATGGATCGCCACGAGTTCAGCCTCCGGGCCACACTGCTAGTGCTTGTGATCCATCCAATAATCCACCTTTTGCTGAAGAGGGAACGGGACCAAATTTCCAAATTGGTACCAGTGAGAGTAGTTACAAAGATGCATCTTATAATATGAGTGAGAGTTTTAGAAGTGAATTGAAAACCTGAAAAGTGTTTTTCAGTGAACACCGAAGCGGAATACGAGAACAGATTCCAGAGAGCCGTTTGTGATGGAGATTTTGAATTTGTAAGTTTTTTATTCCCATAATCTTCATTATAAATGTTCATATGCAGTTACGAAACATTACACTGGATGAGCTGATTAGAAGAAAAGAAAGTTTGGATTCCGAAATGGAAGAGGAAATTCGAGAGCTGCAGAGAAGATATAAAACCAAGCGGCAGCCTATTTTGGATGTTATTGAAATCAAAAAACGCTTAAATTGAGTGCTTCATTTGAACACAACCCTTTGAAATAATATATATTTACAAAAATTTTACCTCCCTATGAAAAAAAAACCAAATATACCGAATCCTCCGTTTATTGTTCTTAATTCTGAAAATTCTAACTTTTGTTCGTGTATAATCAAAAATTTTCTTCATTTCGTTTTGTGATTAATTTGCTAAATATTGTTACAAGTTGATGATAAGAGCTGGCTCACACAGATTTGCTTGCTTTTACGTGCTAAAATAAATCTGGTCAAATTCTAATAAATGACTTACAAGTTTACACAAAAGGTGGATCTCACATATTTCATCAATGACTAATTGGGGAGGGGTCAAGAGGCGATATCCGAAATAGCTGAAATAATTTTCATGAGAAGAACTCCCAATGACTCAGCAGTAGTTAGTTGATCTCAAGATAAGTCTAGTTTTTCTTTTCTTATTTGTTTGCACACGGCGGAAGTTCACGTAGCGACCAACCAATATTTTTAGGTAAATTTTTTCCAACAGCTATCCCGATGGCAAATGCAAAATTCTCCCCGTTTCACGAATCGTAGGATTTATGACTTTTGACGGACGTGGATTTAGCCCACGTTTGAATATAATTGGCATATTCGGTTTTTGGGTGTCTCTCTCTTTTGAACGCATATCTATTTCGTCAACTACTAGCCGAGGGCGTTTGCTTTTTTCAAGAAGAGGAGGCAAATATACATTTCGAGCGACTGTTTCTCGATTGACAGGTAATATTTGCCAAACTAAAATATATTTAAGGTAGCGAGAAGCCCCGGATTGCCATCGGACACACAAGTTCAATCGGATATTCACAGATGTTCTCTTATATTCTAGCTGTTTCTTTAATTCAAGGTAAGGATATCTGAAAATTAGAAAATCATGTTATAATAGATATTTTCAGGAGTTTTATCATATGCCGTTGGCACTGGAGTTCAAGCGAATCCCAGCGGTTGCAACGTTTGTGGCCAACAAGGACAATGGAGTGCTTGGACGGAATGGTCGTCGTGCTCAGCCGCCTTCGGAAGTATGTTTTTCCCCAAAACTCGCATTCTGAAAAATTATTAATTATTCAAGCTCCCGTCCAAACTCGTACTAGACTCTGCCCATCTGGAAATTGTCAAGGTGGATCTACCACCGAATCGAAGCCATGTGTCCTTTATGATCCACAGCCAACTCAACCACAATGGGGAGCTTGGGGATCTTGGAGCGCTTGCAGGTTTGTTTATTCTTTAAAAAACAAATTTGACCTCTCTATGCTATCTTTTCAACTTTGAGAAAAATAATGCTCTGTTTATTTTCCGAAGTGCAATCAAAAACTAATTGCTCATATTGCAGTGCCAGTTGCGGTGGTGGTACAATGACTCGAAGCCGTGTTTGCAATAACGGATGCTCGACCTGCCAATGTGTCGGTGCCGCTGCCGAATCCCAAGCTTGCAATGCTCAGCCATGCTGCACTTGGACTGCGGTAAGAAAGAGAAACTGGTAATTGTTCAACTGTACTTTGTTTCAGTGGTCTTCCTGGTCGTCGTGTTCGGTTAGCTGCGGAACTGGAGGTTCTATTTCCAGAAGCAGACAGTGCAGTTGTGGAAGCGGAGTGAGTTCTGTCTTGAATACTGCTCATTTTTTAATATTTACTATTTCAGTGCACCGGATCATCTGTCGAACAAGAACCATGTCCTCAACAAGCTGAGTGTCCATGCACCACTTGCAATCAACCACCACCACCTTGCAATACCTGTAACACTCAACCACCAGTTGTTATTGTGACACCTTCTCCATGCACAACTTGCTACCAGCCACCAGCTTGCTCAACATGCGGACATGCTCAACCATTCTACGATCCATATGGAAATGGAAGAAAGAAGAGAATGATTGGAGGTGCTAGGGGAAATTCTATTAGTATTGCCAACTGATTTCGTACAAATTAATTTTTGTGTACATTTCTCTATTTCTTTATGCAACAATTTGCACATTCCCTCGATCTTATTGAAATAAAATACTCTGCATCATTATTCGAGTATTGGAAATTTCAAACTTTTAAAAGCGACTACAACTTTGAGCCAAAATTTGGTCAGCAGACAAAATGTTTATCATTAAATCGAAATTTTTTGGCAGATGACTTCTTTCTTTTACCTATCACAAGAAATGAGACGAATTCGGCTAAAGTTGGGATGCTCCTACCACAGGATTTCCAAACTTTTCTCCCAGTTCAAGTGGTTAGTTTGATACACATATGCTCAATTCAAGTATCAATTCCAGAGAAAGTCAGAAAAATTTAAATGGAAAAGTTACAAGGATTTCTGACTACAAAAGCCCTCGGAGAGTTGAACTTGTGGTCAATAATGTTACCAACATGTCTATATCCATTACAGAATCTGAATCCCTGCCTAATTCCCAGATCCAGCGATTTTATTTCCAATTTGAAAAAAACATCATTCTCAATAGAGCGCATTTGCTCTTTCTGAGCGTCCTCCTTTGCCAGTTCCCTCTTTTTTTCTTCAAACCTCCATAGCAGAACACGCACGAGGCTGAACAGCATCCCTACTTATGTATGCGTCTCTCACTGGTTAGTATTAGACACGTATATCTCTAATACAGGATAACATTGAATCGATTTTTTTTCGAATTTCTGATTGTATCCTTTCTCTCTTTCGTTCACTTTTCTGCATATCTATTTTACTTCAAATATACTGTTTTTTTACAGAATTTTCGGATTTCGGACTTGTCTAAAGATGGATCCCTCGCCGTGTCTCGAAGATATGCCAAAAGAAGTCAAGGAGAACATGCTCAAATGGTGCGATTATTCTTCAGTGTAAGTATCAAATTTTGAGAAAACATGAGAATATTTAGAAAACCTGGTTAGCCATATCAGACCAGGACCAGAATCTTCCCGAGTTGTGTCAGGCTGAGCCGCTTTATCACAAGTATGCTCTAAAAATTTATAAAATTTCAGAATCGCTCTTGGAAAGACATGCAAAACATGGCACAACTTCATTCGTGCTCCCGACCACAATCTCCCAATCCTGGCAATCAACTTGAAATGTGGGAAGAACAGTTATGGAATGCAAGTAATGTCGACGGTTCCTTTCGAAAATATTATCGATTTGAACTACGTGACTCTAGAATATAAACAAGATGCAGAAAACAACAACGTCACTCGTTGTCCAGATGTCAATTGGGAAAGTCCAAGAACGACGTTGGTTGAAAACGAAGACTGTTGAAAGCTTCTGAAGAAAGATTTGGAAGTTTTGAAGCAACTTCTCGGAAACTCGAGATTAATGACTTTCGAGATCGATTGTGATGACGTCTCAAACGCGAGATATCTTCGCGGACTGTGTGAAAGATACCACGAACTTTGCAAAATTGTCTCTGGCGTGTGGGGAAATCAACTGATTGAAGCGAACTGCCTGAAAATGAAATTTCCCATCGAAATATATGCCGGAAGAGTTTTGCGTACTTTCGCTCCCGGAATTTTGAGAAGAATCATCCTTAGTCCAATTGAAGTTGGTGGTATTGATTTCAATGCAATCAATATTATATCTCTCAAAGACACGTCACGTATGGCTCAATGGATTGGAGCGAAGGAAATATTCTGTTCCCAGATTTCAAGACAAAACCTTATCCCGAAAGAATCATCCATTTGGAATGGGTTTTCGTATAATGGCTTTATTTCACGCCAGCACATCTAGTGAAATTGATGGAGGTTAGTAAACCTTTTCATTTTTTTCAACAAAAATATTTTATTTTCAGGAATTCATTTTATTGAAGTCCATCAGCAAAGATTTCACCATTTGGTCGGATAATATTGGAATCTCAAAAGCCTCATTATCGTTATTGTACGGAGAATCGGTGGATCTCCAATGTTCTCTGTGAACCCACATTTGGTACTTCTACACTCCCTCGCTTGACTTTGTGATAGAAAACTCTAAACGAGGGTTTTAATGTTTCCTTCAAAATCATTATGGAAGTTGAAATGCCAGAGGGAGCGACTATCAAGGATTTCAATCGGTTTGATTGGATTTGATTGAGTTGTTTCCCTACCATCGTAAAGTGCCAATTCATTCCTCTATGTTTTTTTTCCTTTCTTTTTCTTGTCACATTCATTTTATCTGCTATTATATCTCATCATCACACACGCATTTCACTTTGTTTTTAATTATAAACTCTCCTTGATTATAAAACCTTTGGAACCGTTCCAAATGAAATTGTTTATCGTATTTTTATATTATTGAGAATTTTTTTTACAAAATTCGAAAATGTCATTCTGATGAAACCATTAAAAAAAAGAAAAAAAAATCTTCATTCGTCCTCTTTCGTCCGTTCTTTTCTTCCCGGGATGCATTCTGCTATTTCCACATATGTCGGCCACATATACTGCTCGTACTGTCTGCTGTCTATCACTGGTTACCACTGAACAATGTTATCTCTCAGATAGAGTCACCGCATAATTTTTTGTTTCGGTTGGCGGTTGTGTTGTGATTCATTCTCTTCCGTTCCTTCCCATTGCCTCTCCGAATTGCTTTTCCTTGTATCGATTTTTACTCGTTTCTGAAGCTGCTAGCTTCAATACTTGGGGCACAATGGATCTTAAAGCATGTCTGGAACACTTGCCTGAACCTGCAAAGAGAAACGTCTTGATGTGGTGTCCCTACTCATCAGTGTAAGTATTTAAAAAAAGACAAGCCTCAGCAAAATCAAGGATTATGTCATTTTAAGATGAATACACACTAGAAATTGTTCGCTACCCTTTAAATTACAGGATTGCTCTTGGAAAGACATGCACAGCATGGCGAGAATTCATCCACATTCCCAATCAAAATCTGCCGATTAAAAGAATCATGGTGAAATTTGGGGAAAATTGCTCCCGTTTACAAGTCGGATCGAGCTTCGCTTCAGGAAAAAATCAAAATTCCAACTTGCTCTCAGTGCAATATCAACTCGTTGGGGGAGGTTGTGCTGTTATTTATGAGAATTCTCTGTCCAGAGGACAAAAGAAGCTTGAAAGCGAAGATTATCAAGATCTCTTCAAAGAAGACTTGAAGATATTGAGAAAACTGCTTGGAAACTCAATACTGGAATACTTTGAGGTGGACTGTGAAACTTTCCAATGTTCGATGCAACGCAGGAACCTCAAGAACCAATTCGAAAGTTTCCTGAAAACGATCACGGACATTTGGGGTACTCAAAAAATTGCGACCAAGAACTTGAGAAAAGTTTATGAATGAAGATCAGGCTGAAAAAATTCTGAGTCATACTGTCCCCAATGTTTTGGAACGCATCTCATTTCTCCCGATGGATGTTGCTGGAATCAGTTCGGGCGGAAACCGTCTTGGACTCAGTGTGCTTTCTGAATTACCACAATGGAAGAATGCCAAGTTCATTAACTTGACGAATTTCCTTGCAAAGAGCTCAATGGGTCTCATCCTTCATTTTGAATCCGTCCTTGTCCATTGGCTGTTTTTTGAACCAAAGCATCTGATAATTGCTATGGAGGTTTGTGCCACTGTCTAGTGCATTCAGCTATAACATGATCAATTTACAGGAATTCGTCTGAGGAAGATGCCTAACGAAGAATTTCACAATTCTATGCGAACAAATTTTCACGACAATCGAATTGAACCTAGAAACATTAGGTGAAGCCATTCACATTGGCAAACGTTACACGTGGTACTATCACACCAAGTCTCCAGGTCATGTGGTAGAGCTTACACTGGTGGAATCTCAGAAGATTTCGTTGAGAATGATTCGCAAAGAAGGAATCAAACACGGAGCAAATGTCATTCATTTCCCATTCTCTTCACCTCATTTCTTTTGCTTCTAGAAACCGTCAAACTGTTGTATTCGAAACAAATCTGTTCTCTACTAATAATATTTTTCTGGGCTATTGATATTTTGAACGGCTGAAATCTCATTTTGTACTTATTCCTTTAAGTATGGTTTAGTAATTTTGCTCTCTAACCACGCTTCAATATAATATTTTCTAGTCATAATTCTGTTCATCGGTGTCTCTCACATTACAGCTGGTTTATCTGTCTTTTTTAATAAACTCTTTGAAGCCTTTCCGATATTGGTTTTTCCGCGAAAAGGTTTTCTGTTGGCAAACCAACAATGATTGAATTCAAAAAACTTTTAGGCGCGCCTGAAGCACCTCTCAATAGAGCGCAGTTGTTCTTTCTAGGTGTCCTCTTTCGATTTTTCTTTTTTACCTTCTAATGAGCCGCGTCTCATTTCATCGGTGTTTTCTGTTTTTTTTTTGCTTCGCATTTCCATAACTTGTTCCATTTTTTTTCTTTTTCAGACACTCTTTATTTTTCACACCGAGAAACTAAGAGCTCGACGATTTTCATGTCACCAGAATCGATGGTTGAAGATGTTTCTCGATGCAAAAGTGCCGACAAGATGATTTTCCAAACTCTTGAAACCGGAAACTTCCTCTCAACATAGTGCACCGATAATGATTCCAATCCCTAATTGAACATCGTCTAATAATCATGAAAGTTTGTAGAACATTTTTTGACTTTCTAAATAAAAAGTCTTGTTTTTTAAGGAATCCATGTTGAAATATTATATAACAGGAGGTTCAAAACACCATTTTTAAGGCGTCATATACGAAATTCAAATGGGATAACTGGCTTTTTTCTCGAACGATTTGTTCGAGAAATTCGGTTGGTCGCCTGACTTTTGATGGTAAAAAAATATCTTCATTTTACCTACTAAAACAAAGTAGTTCAACTGTGACAAACCCCAAAAATAGTTTTAAAAAACATCGATAAACTATTTTCGCTTTTTTAGAAAAAAAGTCAATGAAAAATTTAACGAGCTATCTGCTCTCAACCTTTTTTTCTTTGACAGCGATAATATGATGCTTAATTTTCTTTCCCCTGTGTATGTTCTTGCAAGACTATGGCTCAAAATTTCTGAACTTTTTTGAACAGAGATGAACGTGCAAACGCGCTCTAACGCTGAGATTGTATTAGAATCTAGACAAGTCATTCGAACTTTGAAAATTAACTTTTTTCGTTTCTTCTTTTTTGCTTTCTGTCCTCATTTTCTATTCCAGAAATTTTTCAAAAAAACGTTTAGAAAGTTACAAGTTGCCGTTAACACTTTCATAAAATGACCCCTCTCATTCTCAAATTTGAGTCAATTTATCTTTTGTCCTGTGAAAAATATCAAAGAGTAGTTCACTGACAAAATATTTTTGAAGTTATGAAAAACATTGTATTAGTTGACAACTTTTTAATAGCTCTCACAGAAACAGAGATATGTTGGCTTGAAATTGGTAGTTTGGAGGACATCCTATCAGAGTATTCATAACATAACTGTAATCCGATGCCCTATTATTAACAGATTTCATAGTAGTAACTAATATATTTAAAATTTCAGAATGTCCACCAGTCCCACATTTAGAGCATTGCCAACATCCGTCCCGGAAGCCATTTTGAACGCAATGAATTTATATCTACTGTGAGTTTCTCTGTTTGTAATGCTGAAAAAAACATTGAATCTCAATTTTTCTCTTATTCTTATTGTTCAATGTCGATTATCATTTCAGAATGAATTCCCAAGTGAAGTGTCAAGTAGAGGTTATCAACTCGGGTGCCGGAGGGAGTTTCAGCTCTCCAGGGGAAATTACATCTCGGAACGTCACACTACAGGAGTATCACAACCTACTTAGAAATGAAAGCCAACCATATTACCCAACTCGTCAGAACGATAAAATCCTGATCAAGTTGATTCTGATCGAAATTGGAAAAAAACGGAAATTGTGGGCGGTGAATGATTTTTTTAAATTGTGGGCGTTGAATGATTTTTTTATTCTAAACAGCGGCGTGTATACGAGTTGGCCGGGTTGGCTGTATTCAATCAAACTGGAAAATTGATTCGTCGTGAGTTTCCGATCCTATTTTCTTCTTTCCTAACGTTTTGTTGATTGCAGCCTATTCGATTTTCATGCTCTACAGACGCATGAGAGTCAACTTGAAGGCTCGTCTCCGTCGCGCCATTTTGAACAAGAAAACTCCAATGGAAATTGAAAAAATTCTGTCGAGATGGGAATTTCATGAAAATCTCAAGTTCTACAGAAAAACTCTTGAGAAATGGGAGAAATCGTTGAGAAACGGAGGGAGTGACACTAGTGAAGATGGCGAAAATTTGGAAGACGAAGATGGGACAGAGGAAATGGATTTTTCATGTGAAACTGTCGAAAATCAAGGAATCGTCGCATCTGAAGCTGAAGATAGTCTTCGTGGACTACTTGAACTGCGCAAAAAATAATCTTTGGATCACAGCTTTAATTTAGAAGATGGATCTCACCGAGATGAGCCACCGGAACTGACAAAAGAAGTTTATCTATCAGCTCATTCTTTGGAGAAGTTCGAAGTTGTGAAGGAAAACATCGTTGATTAGGATTCGAGGAATGCTCTTTTTTTCTATTTTTTGTTCTAAAAATCATGAAATTGAAGTTATATAGTAAAATTTAGGAAAATTTTTTTACCCGTGGAAACATTTAAATCAAATGATTCTATATTATTCAAATCTTGCAGTTTTCAAATAAATCTGGCTAACAAAAAAAATTAAAAAATTCCGAAGAAAACTTTCTCATTATTATATCATCATCTCTTCTTTTAATGGGATTTGCGTGTCTATCACAGATAATAATTTTATTCTCCCCGCTGTTTCAAATGAAGATACCGATATCCCTTTTACGTCATCACCGATTTATGAAAAATTTCCGATATCATAAAGGGAGTGGCAAATTATCAATGGAATTTGCATATTGCGTCGAAACTGATTTCGGGTTTTCCAGGTTTCTCCCGCCTTTTTGAGAACCTGTTCTTGAGATTATATAAGACTTCGCTCCATTAGCAACAATCATCCACTTGGTCACCATGGAAGGAAAAGATACTGATCAGCACCGGTTAGTTTATCCACTTTTTTTTTAGTATCTAAATGTGTTTTTTTGTTTCAGCTACATGCGCGTCGTTGTGTACGCAGCATGCTCTGTTGCTATTGTTTCCGTTTTCTCGGCAATTCTTGTTGTGCCAATGCTTTTCACCTCTGTTCAAACTCTTCAACAAGAAATTATCTATGAAACCAACTTCTGCAAGGTCCGTTCTCGTGATATGCTGAGAGACCTTTACCACACTCAAGGACAAAACCGTGTCAAGAGAGGATGGCTTTTCGGACAATGGATCCCAGACAGTGGTACCGGAGGAGGAGCTGGAAACGGAGAGCAATACGGAGCTCCAGCCACTGAACAACCATACAATGCACCAGCTCCGTCTCCATCTCACGGAGGATACGACCAGCCATCCAACAACGGATACGGACCAGTTGTCAATGCTGAGCCAGCTCCACAATGCTGCACTTGCCAACAAGGAAAGGCCGGACCACCAGGACCACCAGGAGATGATGGACACGACGGAAAAGACGGATCAGCTGGAAACGATGCTCGCAACGGAAAGGACGGAGGTGTCGCTCCATCTGATGGACTCCAAAGCGGGCCATGCATGATCTGCCCACCAGGACCACAAGGCCTTATGGGACCAGCCGGAAAGAAGGGACCAGCTGGACCAAGAGGATCCCCAGGACTTGCTGGAATCGACGGAAGACGCGGAGAGCCAGGAATGGTCGGACCAACCGGGCTTCAAGGAGAGCCAGGACCAATCGGACCACCAGGAAAGAGAGGAGAGGACGGACGTGTCATTGATGTAAGTTTTCAAAATCTTAGAATTTTCATATCTCCAACTTTCCAGATCAACGGACCACAAGGAGCCCCAGGAGCACCAGGAGCACAAGGACGCAAGGGAGAAGCTGGACCAAAGGGACGTCGTGGAAACACTATTCCAGGACCACAAGGACCAAACGGAGACGCCGGAAGAAAGGGACGCCCAGGACACAAGGGAGAGGCCGGACCTCAAGGAGGACTCGGATCCAAGGGACCAAATGGAGACTGCTTCCACTGCCCAACCCCAAGAACCCCACCAGGATATTAATTTATGTCTTTTTTATCCTAAGTTATTACAAGTGTCTATAAGTATTCGAATGAAAGAATTGATTACATTTTGTGTTTTGCATTTGATCGGCTTTTCAGGAGCATCAGCCTTCAAATTACTCTCACAGCTAGAATCACAATTACCGTGTTTTTCTCCTAATAGAAGCCCACTCAAACCGTCAGCTTTTAGCTCGATTATCTCGGTTCTTTCGTAAAGTTGTAACATTTTGTATACTGATAATATAGGTTTTCGCATGATTATCAAATTTTTATCAGTTGACGAACTGTTGATCTTTTTTGAAGGAACATGAATAATTTAGCTCAAAGTCAACTTTGCGGATGGGTCTCTATTAGAGAACTTACGGTATGTTCCAAAATTCCAACTCTAACCACGTGGTCTTTGATGGCTTATTGTTTTCTGATCAGTAGCTGTCTAGACAGATTTCGATCCATGGCCCCATCAAAAGTCCAGTCCCCCAAATCGTCTTTTGGGATGCACATGTGATGCACATTGCTTATGGCAAAAACGAAAACAGAAAACCCATGACAAATTTTACCGTCTTTTTTCTATTTTTCTTCCCTTCCTTTTTCCTCGACATTTACTTCTGTAAACAAGGGAAACTGTAATGCATTCTGAAAAACAAGAAAAACAGGTGAACAGGTTCATTCTCACTTGAAGAATTTCAAGACAACATTCACTTCAATAAGGAACATGGGAGATTTAGACATCGTAGAGCTCTTGCTCGACTGGAACGAAGTAGTTGTCGTTGAACTCGTAGTCGAGTTGGATGACATTCCAATAGAATCTCATGATGACCGTGAAGAAGTTCCTGGATGAAAATAATTCATTAGGAAAAAAATAAAGGAAAACTTACAACAGAACCCACGAGAGTCCGGCAATCATTGCCAATGACATGAAAAGTGGGTCTGTGAGATATTCACAAACCGCCTTCACGGCCTCCTTTGAAAGTCTCGAAGCAACTTCTTGACTGTAACGAGATCCATTCTCGTTCCAAGATCCGTACTGGAGTTCGGCAAATTTTCCCGAGTGAACGATCACCTGATTCCAGTGCCAGAGGGTAGCGATCCCAAGAACGATCAAGACGATTTGATAGATTTTGAGACGAATAGTGATAGCCATTGGCTCGGTGTTGATGAGAATCTTCAACACAGGGCGAATAGGCCTCGAACGCTCCAAGTTCTTTGAGGAAGAAGAGCACATTCAACAGCAGCCTGAAATGAAACGTGTGGACGAGAAAAATTGAAAATGAAAAAGAAGCTCTCGGCGGGGCGGGAGCTTCAACCATCACCTAGGATACTCTCCGGTTTCCAATGGTTATTGGATTTGAATGGGATTCGCCATGGAATTGTGATGTGGATTTCTTATTTTTCTGCCTCTTTTTTCTCTTCTTATTTTGGCTTTATTTCTATGAAAGAAAAATAATAAGGGAAGAAGAAAAAAAATATATAAAGTGAATTGCAGATGGAAAGAATACGGTAAGAATCGAAAAGTTGGGATGTAGCTTTAAGAAATGATAAAGTTAGTAAAAGAAGGCTTCAAATCATGATTGAGTAATTGACAGAAAAATTCAAATGCTGGGAATAAAATAACCGTTAAAATTTCGATGGATTGAAACCCAAGCTGCCAACTTTGAGACCATATGTCTCATTCCCTGCAAAATATATCGAAAAATGGATTATTGATAAAATGTTTATCATTATATCACAAAAATTTTGTCTGCTCACCACTTTTCATGGTCTGCCGCAGAGAATAAGATATGTGGGCTCAAATTTGAACTTTTGGGAGGCACTCTGTTAGAAAAGTTACGGTAGCGGATTTTACAACTCAATACCTCCCTGCAAAAATTAAACAAGGGCATTCTATCATGAAAATTCAAGTTTTTCAAAACTTTTTCGAAAAATTTAGTGAATTGAAAAATTTGTTAAACTTTGAAGAGGTTATTTTCATCTTAAGCAAAATTTTTTAACAATTTTTTGTCAGATTTTCAAAAAATGTAAAGATTTGATATTTTCGGAGAGATTATTTTCGATGAACTACCATTTATAATTCAACCGGAAAGAAAACTGAAAGAATTCATAAACGAGTCTTTTTCTAAGATTTGAACGATTTTTCCTCGTTCTCCATGTTTTTGAACTACCGTATCCTCTCTCTTTTCAAGTATCCAATTTTCTCCTACATTTTTCTTTGTCCCAAACAATTAAGCAAAACATGAAATCCTCTCTTTTCTATTATCTCAACCCAAATTGGGGATCGTAAAGTATAGAGCAAATGCGCTCACAAAAAGCACCAAATCCATCATCCTCTCTTCTTTCGTTTAATGCTTTTCTTTCGATTTTTTTTTCGAAATTCGTCATCCACACAGTTCTACCGGTATTCATTCCACCGTAGCCTTTTTCGAGTCAATTGAGACAAACAAGAAAAAAGAGTGGAAACTGAATGTTCTCCTTTTTGAGTTTATTTAAAAACGTTGAATTTACAGGAGAAAAATACAAAATGGGACAGGATTAGAAACATTGAGAGGAGGGTGGGGCAGAAATAAGTTTTGGGAAATTGACTTCAGCTTTAAACGTCCTGACGATTCTGGAGATGAGCTGGTGGGTCCGGGAAGAGACACTCAATTTCATCGGCAACGAGGCCTGGCTCAGCTCCCTGGTCCACATGAAGGCCGAAGCGAGATTTGGGCTTGCAAATGAACATGTAGCAGAAGAAGAGGATGAGTCCAGTCGCGAGCACGAGAAGTCCAATAACAAAGATATTGATCCACATTTCCTCGAAGAATGGAAGAATCGAAGGAGATTCAGTGGTGGTAGTGATTGTCAGAGAACATGGACGAGCCTGAAAACAAACAATATGGATTGGGAATTCTGAAAAACCTCTTACCTGTGGCTTACAGACGCATTCGGGGAAACTCATAGCTGTCAATAAAAAGAGAGAACGCCGTCGGTTTTTTGCTAGAGAAATGCGCGAAGAAGAGGGGAACGATGCGCGAAAAGTGGGCGGAGTATCGCACAGAATTGCTCTGTTTATTACCAGAAAACGAGAGAGAGAGGAGACTTCGAGAGCGAGAGATTTATCGACTGAAATGATTTTGGCTTGAAATTGGATTTCAAGGAAAAAAGCATCAAAGGAAAGCCTTTATGATCTGGGTGCAGACAGAGAATGAAATGGATCTGATGGATTTTGCAGAAAACTAACAAAAAAATGGACTTTGGACTAGGAACAGTGCTGCCTCGAAAAGTGTTTTTCCCTAATTTTCTAACTTTCCTAGGATCGCGCCGACTTTTTAAATCTGAAAATCTGCCAAAGACCCAATCCCATCCCATCTGAAATTTAAGGTTATCGAAAGCAACAGAATCGGATTTATTGTCGAGAACATGAAGTCAGGGTGAACTGTGATCAAAAAGTACAAGTAGATCAAAACGGAATGATTAAAAAGACTGGCGCAAATGATTCGATCCCTGCTTCCCCTTCTCTATTCCTCCACCATATCCTCGGACTCCTCTTCCTCGTTCTCCATGGATTCCTTTCCCGAGCGAACTCCCAAGCTGTCCTGGCGACTCTGGCGACGGGCTTTCTGATAGTGGAACGCCATGGCCTGACGGATGAAGTAGAGAATCACGATTCCGAGAAGAATGATGGATCCGCTGCCGATCAAGACCACGTAGTGCATGACAGTTCTCTCAGTTCCGGAGGTTGGCATCGCGAATGGAGTAGTGGTTCTCTTCCATGAGTTCAAATCGTTAGGTGGGCGAAGGTTCAACAGCTCGTTGAATGCCTGAAAGGTTTCTGTTCAAATCTGTAGATTTGGATTACGGTAGCAACTTACCGGTGGGTTAGCGTCGTAGTCCAGACGGTCTGGTGGTGCTCCGCAACAGACGTCTATCAAGGAGAAGATGACGAGAAGAACGGAGAGAGCAAGAACCAACTTTTTGAACTCGGGCATTGTACTGAAAGAATCAAATGAAGGAATGAATGGAGAATAAGGAAACGAATGCCGTGGCGCCAGGCGACCCCCTCTAAAATGTGGGCGGGGCTTGTTTTCCCTTCTCTTAGGCGCGTCTTCAAAATTTTGGGCATAGACGAGCAGAAAGCCACGAGAGCGCAGACAAATGATGGTCGACAGGCATAGTATTGAGAAAAAATGGGGGAAACGAATTTGTCTTTGTTTCTGAGATGAAAAAATGGGGATTTCAGAAAACTGATTGATTTGACAAAGGAGAAACGATCTTTTACAACCAAGATCCTGGTTTGCAGAAGGAATGAGAAGAAAAGAGTGTAAAATGAAACACCACCACCCAAAAAACCCATTTCGATGGTATATAAATTGTAAAAGAATGAAGACTTGAGTGTCTACCCTTTGCAGATAAGATATACCGAACTGATAAGATAAGCGTGATGCTCTCATCAGACGGATTGCTTCCAGAAGGAAATTGGCATCTCAAAGAAAAAGAGGGAATGGCTTTGTTCGCAAGCATTAATTGATAACAAGGAAACCGATCATAACTTTTTTTCGCGGTGTGAAAATATAATTACATAATGTTCTCTGTCCACTTGGGTTGGGGTGTTTCAGTTCGCTTTATCAGCGACGCACTACCAACTTTTATGGCCGGTGAACAAAAAAATACGAGCCTGTCAATCACCCACAATTTGAAGTTAAAGTAAAATGGACACACTATCAGTTTCAAAATCAATAAGAAGATCTACATGCTTAACTTCAGAGGGGGCCACTAGGATTCTGAAGTTGGGTGAGAGTTCGCGGGTGAGAAGAAAAAATATTTTTTAGTTCTTTTCTCAAGTACTTTCCCCATATTGACATTTGCCGTCAAAAAGGGTAAAAAGAAGAAAGTATTGTTTCGGCTAGGAACACATGTTTCTTTCCCTTCAAATTTCAAAAGAAGCCGTCGCGCGGACACGTGACGAAAATATTTTTGTAGGGTCTATGTTTTCTTTCTCGGGGTCTGTACCAGGCAGTACCCCCACCAGACACACATTCAAATTTTTTCCGAAGTGGTAAATAGTTTTGCAACAGGTGTCATTGGTCTGTTTTTCAAGAGTTGGGAAAGGTTACTGTATGTTTTTGTTTTCATTTGAAGCATCTGCATTACATCTAGGCAGATGGCTGATATTTTGCTTCCACACATCTGGATCATCCCAGATCCTTCTCTCCAAATTTTTTCTTCCCGAGAATACAAAAATTTGGGTGTCCTGTTTCAACAGCTGGCAAACGATCTGCCAATGAGCTAGTGTCGGTATAAAGATAATAAGAAGGCGTCATAAAACATTTGATAAACAAATTGACTCGTAAAGAGGTGCCGACCAGACCCTGCCACTTATTGGCGGAACGGCTCGGGACCATAAAATGTATGCATTATCTGTTCGAACGAGACTGATGGGTGATTTATGAGGGGTATCAGATTACCTAAGCTTGATTTTAGAGCCTTTGCGGAAGGTGTGGATTGAGGCGAGTGGCAACGTACAGGACCAGAAGGATTCTCCCAGAGATTTGGAAATAATGATTAGTCCTGGTGGTTGCAGAATATTGTCGATGGCGTTCTTTCTGAATTATATAGAAGTACGGAAAACAGTCATAGAACAAAGGTTCATACCAACTCTTCCGGCTTGCCAATTTTAATAAGATGAGCAGAAGAGACAGAGAGCACACAGAGCAGAATTATCAAGAAACGTTTGTTCATTCGAGATTGAGAAGAATGGGTATAGAAATGTGTGGGAAGCGAATGAAAGTAATATGCAGTTCTACTCGGACACAATCTCATTTCGTAAAAAATCCCATTTATCCCTTTTTTTGCATTTTCCCAAAATTGAAAATTTTTGCTAGAGATTGAGTGACACTAATGGGAATGTTTTTTCTTCTGAATAAAATTGAAAGATGAATGTCGTCTAGGATATCATACCCAAAAATAATCTCTCCAGAAAGAATGAATTTTTTTTCGAAAGGTCAACAATCTAGTTGAGGAAGTTTGGATACGGTAGGTGGCGGGATCTACATGACAGCCGTGTGGCATTAAGATCTAGAGATTTAGGATGCTATTCTACTGTATTCCCTCTTATAGAAGCGGAACCAAGCTGTCAACTAAGAGCTCAATTATCTTGATTCCTGTCAAAGATATCATGATTTAATCAACTGATGAAATATTGTTGATATTATGATAAATAAGTTTTCAGTTGACACAATTTTGATATCTTTCACAGGAATCAAGATAATTGGGCTCAAAGTTGTTTGACGGTTTGTTTGGGATTCTATAAGAGGACGACGGTAATTTCAATTTTTTGAATACTTTAAAACTCTTGATTTTAAGCGGATTTTTAGAGTTAGCTTCCAGAAAGATTTTACAATTTTTTCGAGAATACACCGAAAAAAATAAACCGTAAAATTAAAAACCGTCGCTTTTTTTCCAAGATTCATTTTTTCTAAAAATCCATCGCAATAGTGTTTCGTATTGAGATCAAAGTATGTTTCTTTTCTTGCTTTTTCGTTTCTGTGTAGATTTCAGAATTTCAGACATCCACAAAAATATCTAAATTGATGTTTTTAATAGAAAAGTGATGTATGTTCTAACTGATTTTTTGACATATTTTTTCCTGAGAGCTTGATTCTATTGGAGGTTGAAAAATTCAGGAGGGACTTTATCCAGAAAAACTTCCCAAATTTTGAAAAATATCATTTTGTATATCTAATTACAAAGATGAAATCCACAATTTTATTAACGGATTTCAAAAACACAAATAAACCCAATTAACCTATCAAAGATCTTCATTCCCGAAAGCTTTCCCATTAATCTGGAATCGCACCACTGTTGCCTTTTTTGGGGTCGCTTCCACATCCTCCCTGCGGTGTTTGCGGTTGGCACGATCGACTCGTGGATTCGTTGGAGACCAGGATAACGAGTCACACCAGTCACGTCCGAGATAAAAGTGACGATAGAGTACCATTATTCCGTAGATGGTTCTGAAAGTTTTTTTTTCAGTTTTTTTTTTCAAAAAAATTCGGAATGCGTTAAAGACTAATCAAGATAAGCAACTTACAAGAAAAATAGGACGACACCTCCTAAGGTAAGCAGCGATCCAGTAATCGATTCGAAATCTTCCTTAGCCATGCTGGCGACGACAACAACTGGAGTCATGACGCTGTAGAAACAAAAAAGATGAAGTGGTATGCGTGTGTGTGGTTGTTTCGCCTTGCTCGGCGCCCCAGCGGCCGACTCGAAGACTTTTTTGTTGGCATTCAAGGTCGTAAATTTACCCCTTTATTACACTCCTAGACATTCCCATGACAACGATTGCAAGTTCAGAAGAGCTGACTAAATAGAAGAATCGTAAATTTTGTAAATGGAAATAACTAGAGAGCGCATGAAAGAGAGGGAGAGATTTAGAGAAACACTGGTCATAATAGACAGTTGTTAAATGGCCATAAATCGTAGAAAAAAGTTGTGGTTGAAAAAAACCTACGTGGAATTCTGCATTGCTATCATTTCCGAACAGATAAGAAAAATGAGAAAAACGAGAATAAAGCAGAAATACACTCCACGCGTCAATGTTCGCGTTTCGACACCAGCCATATTTTTTCTCCGACCGAATATTGTTCATGGTCGTTTCTTTCCATCAGTATCTTTTTTTCCTGAAGCTGCGTCTCTTTTGTTATGCACTTTTTGATGCACTCTTTTTTTTTGAAAAACCGTATTTTTATCTCTATTCAACCAACAAGCCATCGCTTGAAAATTTTTGAAAAACCGTATTTTTATCTCTATTCAACCAACAAGCCATCGCCTTCCATTTATAATATTGAGAAACGAGAACAACAAAGGGTATTTCACGTGGGAGAGAGCAATTATAAGACATCGGGAAGCGCCAATCCGACAATGCCAATGTAGATTTGGAAGATGCGAATCACCATATAGAGGAACAAGTCGATCTGATCATCTACGGCCATCCATCCCAAGTCAGCTTGCTGAGCACGTTCGAGCTCGACGATGAAGACACGGGCAATCATGCGGCCGAGTTGGATTCCAATCATAATCCCACTGAAAATATTTTGATTGTCATTCTAGGTTTATTACTCCTTTTGGAAATCAATATACGTTGTTAGTTGATACTTCGTTAAATTTTTCTGAAATAAGCAAGAGCGACCTACAGAATTTTCTGACCCTAATTTACCGTAAAACCTGTAATAGAAGGGCCCTTTAACTGTTAACTTTGAGCTAATTTATCTCGGTTCCTATCAGAGATTTGAAAAAGTTCTCTACTGAAAAATTGTTTATCATAATATCTCAAAAATTTCATCTGTTTGCACATTCTTTATAATTCCCACAGGAACCAAGAAAAATAAACTAAAACTTGACAGAGAGGGGGAACCTCTTATAACAGGTTTTACGGTAAATCTGATTTTTCTATTTTATCTATTTTTTGGCAATTCTCATCATTTTTCAAATGATTTTCTACATAATAATCTTTTTTCTTCTCCATTTACATTGAAACAACTGTGAAAATTGTCTAAAATTGAAAAAAAAAGAAAATATTAGGCTCAAAAAATACGGTAATTCGCTCTTGCGCCTGAGTAATATCTGGAATTTTTTATAAAAGAGATTTGAAAGAATCAGATTTATTATTGACCCAAGTCAAATTTTGAAACGTTTTTTCTCAAATTTTTAAGTGAGAAAGTCAAAAATGGAATAGTGTCGATTCAGTATTCAAATTTTCTCGGATTTTTTTAGAATATCACAAAAATCTATCAATTTCCAGATACTTACGTCATGACGCTCAATACAGAATTCCAGGTGGTGAACCAAACGAGCAAAACGATTTGAAGAAGAATCAGAAGAAGCATAATCACCACTTGACGTTACCAAATTCGAATTAATGACTTCTTTTGCAGATCAGGAGAGGTCAGAAGTGGGAGGAGCTAAGTCCATGACTATTCGAGTATAAACATATTCACGTGTCTCGAAGGTTGAGGCCAAATGAGAAGAGGAAAGAGAATACAACTAGCTTCTATAGGTTGAGAAGGAAGGAAGAGGAGAATGATTTGGACAATCTTAGTGAGTAATAGAAAAAAATCTGAACCAGAAATCATGACTTTTGAAAATAGATAAATTTGCATATTCATTAAAATGAAACCAAGATAAACACCATTTTTCTACATGTAAGACAGTTTTATCGAATTTTTGGAAATCTTTTAAAAGTCAATTTCTTGAGAGACTTCGCGGACTACACTGAGTTGCTTCTTGTAACCTGGAAGCCAGAAGACTTTGGAGGTGTCAATCTCGTATGTTGGAATCTCCAATACGGCAATAGAATCTGATCCATTGTCGACAACCATCTCAATATGACGGAATTTTTCTGTGTTAACTCGACGGAACCAGTCGCTGTTGATGTTGCTGAGAGTTATCAGGAGCAGTCTCAAAACCAAAGTAGTTGAATTTGAACTTTTTGAAAAGAGTCTTACAACATGAAAATCACAAATACAAGTCCAACAAGAGCGTAATTGTGAGATGTGTCGTTTGTGCCCAGTTCATCCATGGATCCCTGAGCCAGAGGTTTCTCGGTCTGAGAAACGATTTGGAGAAGTTTTGGAGTGATTAGAAATTGTTCGCTGGCGGTGGTGGTGGATGGGAGAGTGGACACTGGAATCCAGGGGCTAAGCGTGACGCGAGTTTCTATGGTGCCTTGGTTTTCGTGAAAGAATGGAGATTCCTGATGTTGGCTCGGGATGAACGAAGCATCTGCTTCGAAAAGCTGAAACAACTCAGAACATGGAACACCAAGCCAATTAAGACAACTCACCGCAAATGCGTCATGATACTCACTCATTATTTGTTGAGTCATCGTGAGCAAGATGACAGAGACGACGAGCACCATCGCTACAAAAAATACAAAAATTTGTTGAGAATGGAAGAAACAACTGAATTCTACCTGTTGAGAACGGTTATATACGAAAATTTTGATTGAAAGTTTCAAAGTGTAAAAGAAATAGTGTAAAATTCTTCGGAGGACATTGACGAATTCAAAACATCTTACGGGGCTCACGAGGTCTTCTCTACCCCCGGTTTTTGTTTCCCGATCAGCCCACTATCATTTTTTTTTCCAAAAAATTGGATCATAGGATAAAGAAATCAAAGTTGTAGTAAGGATGATGAAACATCATTCCGATAAAATAGCGGAGAATGAAATCTTGTAACTAGAAGAATGCTGGAGCTTTTTCGTATTCCTATATTTTGAACCATTTCAAAATCTTATCTTCAATTTCATCGAATTAAGTTTTTGATTTTGTTATCTGTTTGTTTGATATCAACTTTTTATCTGATCCAATAAGCGTATCAAGTTTCAGAATTGTTCTCCTATCGAGTTCAATCTAGATAACCTTGTCTCTATTCAAAGTATTATTTTATTCCAAGATATTGAATTTTGAGTCAAATCAGATGGGATGCTCAGATCGATGATAATTGAGAGAGGGAAACAAAAAGAATGACGAGTTTTTGAGAATGGGATATATAGGAGAGAGGGGGAGGGTGCATCCGGAAATTTTGAAACGGAATGTGAGAACGGTTTGATCGGGGGCAAGGAACAGAAAATGAGGGGATAAATAAAGAGATCAAAATCATAGCCGATAATTCAGTAGCGCTCCAGGAATGGATGCTCATCAAGCTCAATGCGGTTACCATCCTGGTTGTCCTCGATTTGGTGGTTGAGCTCTCGGGTGAACCCGTTGGTGCCGGAACAGAAACGACGGAAGACAGTCCAAAGGTGGCCATACCCAAGCATTTTGCACTCGATTTGAAGTCTGTTACCGTAGGCGAAGATGATGACCACAAACCTAGAATACAAAAAAAGTAAAATAAGAACCTGCTATTTCTAAAACTCACACGAAAACAAGACATCCAATGATAAAAAGACATCGCTTGATAGGTCCCCACGACTTTCTCTCAGCGGCTTCGGCGGCTTCGGTTTTCAACAATCTCTCCTGTTCTTCTTTTTCCCTTTTTCTGAATCTCTCTTCCTCGAGTTTGTCAGCCATGGCAAAGAACTCAGATTCGTCGTTCATGTAGATCTTTCTTCGAATCCGCTGAGAGTAAGACGTTTGTTAAGCGATATAAAAATAACCGGAGTTGTTTACTTTGGATAAAACATATGTCAATTTGAATACTAACCTGAGAAGTGTGTGGAATCCCTCCCTCAACCTCCAGAATGAGAATGAGCAGAAGAAGGTTCAAGAAAATTTTCATGGCTTCTGGAAAAAATCAATTAGATCATTAGCGAGATAGGAGTTAAAAGCAAGAGTAATCTGGCGGGCGAATATGCCGGAATGGGCGGAACATATGCAGCTATACCTCTTCCTCTCCTTTTCTTAATTTCTCTTCCGGTCTCTCAGACAGTAACTATCTTTCTTCCTTCCTTCTCGGAGACATTGAGAGAAAAAAGCGATCAAAAAAGCGGGGAAGGTTCGAGCAGATATTGTATGTCCGATAGAAAAAAGAAGAAGAGAATCAAGGCAAATGTAAATTTCGAATTGAGAAAAAGAGCGATGATGTGTAGAATGGTCATGAGTGACCCTTTCGAGCAAACAGAAGACAAAGAAAGACGACATTTAACTTTTGAAAAATGTTGATAGAGAGAAAAAGAGAAAGATACAGTTTTTTGAGTCGGAAGATGTATTTGATCTGGGGGAGAAAGTTAATTTCCATGAGAATTGAGTACATAAAAGCTGGTATAAAAGTTAGAGAATGGATGAAAAGAAAGAGGATCATAAACGTATGGAAATCTTCGTTAATTATCACAAAAGTAGAAGCATGGAAAAGTTCAGCCACTCTGAGAAATCTTGAGAACTAATTTTTTGGAGAGTCACATGTTTATGATTTCCCATTCAACCAAAAAGCGTTGATTAAACTTGATGTCATAAACCCATAAATTCAGCAAAACGTTGCGCGCAGTGATTTTTTACTGTTTTCATGTTGTTTCATTTATTGGAGCACCCATAAAATCATTTTCCCAAAATTTTTAATTTTTAGTAAACTTCAAATCTTTAAAAAGAGTAAAGACCATTATTCAAATAAAAAAGTGTATGTAGTTAGGTCATTTGAATACCATGAAGTGATAAAAAAGAATGGAGGAAGGATACATGAATAAGTAGATGATAATTTATAGGTGGGACTTTCATGAAAAGTGGTACTCTAAAAACAAGTTGATAGTATACGGTCCAACCTGTAAAAAAGGCTCTCACGCTGTCACTTTTGATAGCTTGAATCGTGAAAAATTAGTGCAAAATTAGAAAAAATGGAATCCCTTCTAAAACAGATTATACGGTTGTTTGATTTAATAAGCCATCTCTTCTTACTCATCATAAAATAGGAGCTGACCGCCTTCTGAAATTTAACTTGACTTTGAATTTTTACGAAAATTGTATTTGAAAAATACACATTTCAAATGAATATTTTTGTTTTTTTGTATCTCGAAATCGGTTATAGTTCTTCGTTTCACTTGGAAATCTCAGAGAGTTTGAGGAAAATAATAGCGGTGCTTTGTAGTTTGTAGAATTTTTCAAAACACAGTTTGAAAATGTATACACATTGTTCAGATACTCTTGATTCAATAATGGTTTCTCTCGAAAAAAAAATAAAAAATTTGAAGTAGTGGTGACCGGAGATTTTCAAAATGTTTTTTTTTTTTGGAGTTACGGTTTGAATTTTTACGTGGAAAGTTACAGTGATTAGTGTTTACACAGCACGTGTCTATCGATCCGTTTTCACATATGAAATCAGTCCGTAGCAGCGCGGTACTTCTAACTCTGGGCCCACAAATTCAACCCCTCGAGGGAATTATATAAACGAAATTTCGAGAAATTTTACTTTTTATGGCCTCCCGCCTGTGGTTAAAATTCATTTGAGAAGATGAGATAAAGTATGCCAACAAAAATTGATACAAAGCAGCCGTAGTTATTATTATCTAGAAAAATATAGAAATGAAAGTACTGAAGAATGAAGTTATTAAAAAATTAGAAGTGTGCTGATTCACCAGATAATTTGGCTAGACTCCGTCTGCTGATGCTGAGTAAATGACTTCTCAAGTGAAGTTGACTTATAGTAGAAATCGTGACAATTGATGAGAATCGGTGTTTATTAACAAAAATTGAACATTTTCAATAAAAAACTACCAAGAAAATCGATTAATTAATTATCTGAATGACTTCTTCATCTTTTGTTTCACTGTAGTAGCTGCTTGGGTTCTCTTCATTTACACTGTTTCTGATAAATCGGACTTGTTGTTGGTTTTGAGCTTGTAGAAAAATCTGGCGAATATCTCGACGTAAATTGTGATCAGCATACCACTTCTGGGCTCGGAAGAATGAAACAATTATCAATCTAAAACAGAATATTTTTTCCATCGAATTCTCTTGAGCTGGACTACTTACACAACAACTATAGGGATACCAAGAAGTATCACAAGTTTATTGATAGCACCTCGCAATTGTCGTTCGAATTTGCTTGGAGTCGGAGGTGGGAGCTTCTGAACGCCTTCTACTACTGGAGTTGGAACAGTTGGAGACTTTGCAGGTTGTACATTTTTCTTCATATCATTTTCCTCTGAGGTATGGATGGATGGAGGATAGGGAGGTTCTCTAGAAACAGAAATTCTCCGGAGCTGAAAGTTTGTATTAGAAATTCGATTTTCGGTAATCTTCGAAGTAGTCTGACCGACTCACTCTCGAATGTTCGCGAACTGAATGACGTCCTGGTGTGGCAATCGTTACTGTGACAGTGCTGACAAGGATTAGCAAGATGATGAGATTCATTTTGCTAAAAAGAACATTTCCTCATTCAAAATGAATATGTCAACAGAGACTTTCCAATGAATCACATATAAGAATCGGAAGAAATTGATTAAAAATCTTATTTCAACATTTTTTCTACAGTAACCCACTTCTGTTATTCACGGAATCTTATCAGGTAAACGTCATTAATAATTACCGAAAATTCTGCCAGAATATGTGGCGCTCTTTCATAATTTTCTTTGGGAAAATATTCAATGACATCACTCTAGTGTGTATCACTAGTAATTAATATTCAAAAAGCAATATTATCAAAAAGGAGTCTCTTAATTAAGGAGGCTGCAGACACGAAATGTCGAATTAATACGGTAAGCTATCATTGTTAATTACTTAATTGATCTTCTAGAAAATTTTCCGAAATATAATTATTTTTCAAAGAAATGTTATGACAAAGCGGCAGCTTGAGATTCTTCTAGAATCGCCTTTTTGGTTCCTGAGGGTAGCCGTGCCAACGTCAACGATTCTAGGTCGAAAAGCCCATCATCTCCAAAATTTGAATTAGCCGCCCGGCAAAGGAAACATGAAAAATAGATAGGTGAGTTCGGGATGGCATAGTATCTCTTTGAAGTTTCGGCGACTCTTTTCCGAACTTGAAGACAAAAAAAAACAAAAAGGTGATATTCCAAAAAAAATATTCCAGACAGCCTGAATAGAAAAACTGTGTTGTAGTGTCTTCAACGAAAAATGATTTATGACTAGTAATAGTCATTTTTTGCAATGCTCATGAGATGGCACTTGAGACAATGAGCTATATAAAAATTCATCATCATAGTTTGGAAATTTTACTACATAGCAAAACAAACATTTTGAAGGTCCGTACTGTTTTAGCAAATTTGAATTAAAAGAACAGTAAAGATTTGATTTGAACATCCTTTTGGGAAAGGAGTTTTTTGAGGACGAGTCAATTTGTATCGTTGATCTTTCAAAAACAAAATTCACTGCTCATTGTAACTGTCTCATTGTAACTGCCTCGGATTGGACGCCGGTTTTGAGCAAGTTGTGGTCGTGCTCCAATGCGGCATGCTCAGCTTCCATGAAGTGAACCTAGAGGGCTTTGAAAATGGAACAATCAAACATTTAGCAACCTACACTCTCAATAATGAATGGGCTCTATAGCTCCACAGACTTCAAAATTTTATAGTCATAGGGCCCTGGACATTGTCAAAAACCAACGTTAATGAGCAGATAGTACATCTTGGTTTCCTGGTTGCTATGCAGACTTCAATTACCCAGATTGATTGATTAATCGTGCTTTTACCGAGCAAAACTTTGAACCTCATAAACCCCTAAATTTTTTAGATTGGATTATTTCGTAACTCCAAAACTTCTCGATGCGGTATATTCAGGAATTGCAAAATTTTTAAACTAGGAGATTTTCGATTTTTCCGAAAATGGCCGAAAAAGCTATTCTGAAAATTCTTGGCTGTTTATGCTTCTGTTCTGTTACTTTTAATATTTTGGAACCAGGTTAATTCATAGTTTGAAATCAAAAAATTCATTTATTTGTATTTCGAACGTCCAGTGGAGTGGAAAATAAATATTTCACAGGGACAGAAATTGGATTCAATGAAATTATCAGCAATTGAAAATGGGGAATGGAGAACAGGGAATGGGAAATGGATAGCAGTAAATAGTCTTATAGTAAGGAGGGGAGGAAACGGCATTTTAAGAATAATTAGTCATGAACTCGTTGACGTTGAGAATTCTGACGGATTCGTTTCCGTTTGTGTTGATACTGTAGACGACGGCGTTTGCAGAGGCACGATTCCATTGTCTCTTCATGGCAGTCCAGAAACCGAGAGATTTGATCTCGCCGACAAGTGTGCTCCGAAGACAACTTTGCAGCAAGGTGAGAATTCTGGAAATGAAGAATAATATATTGTTTGGGAAACCTGGAAAACATACATAGCGACGACAAACCAGAAAGCAAAAATGACACCCATCGTGATCAGTGTATGACGTGCCTGTTCAGATTCTTCCTGAAATTAAGGATTTTTAAAGTTTTTTTTTTTTTAATGAGGAAAGCTGCTTTACCTTTTCTACAGCTGTGAGTCCATTTGTTGCGGGAAACGTGAGAAGAAAGAGAGCGTGACGTTTTATACACTTCATTCTGGAAACTTCCTGAAACCAGAAGGAACAGATGAAGTTTAGAACGGAGAGGAGCAGAGAAACTGAAGATACCGAAAAAGGGGCGGGATTGATCCGAAAACTTCCTCAACTGAGAACAATAAAAAGTTTTCCTGGAATTGAACCCCGCAATATCCCATTATTCTGTGTCCCGAGTTTCGTTTAAAAAAAGTTGATTAAATTTGAAATATCTGCAGACACATAAATCTTAGTAATTTTCACAAAAAATATATTTTTTGGTTCTTTAGATCATAAGATCATGTGAAAAAACTTAAGAGATAATTATCATGTCATGGCTCTGCAGTTCGGAAAAAAAGTGTGATTGGTCTGGACAGGCTGGATCATCATTTTTCCAGAATGCAACAAATGTATGAGTCCGAAAAGGTCTGAAATTTGTTTGATTTCTTCCCGTGTGAAGGTGAAGAATGCAAATCAATAATGTTCAGAACGGAATTCGGAATTCCGAAAATTCCGAAAATCACGACCAATTTCGGAATAAAATGCCGACTAGAATATTTCCGAGACTTTTTCCAAAATAATGAAGATTCGAATATTCCAAAATTCTGAATTTTTGAATATCGGAATTATCCGGGATCCCGAAATTTTTTAAATCAAACTATTTTGATATTCAGAAATTTTGAAACTCTGAATTTTCGACATCCCGAATAATTTCGAAGAGGCCACTCCGACCAACTCTGGTTTTCATTTTTATTCATTCGAGACGTAAAAAAAGGGGCCAATTAAATCATAATGAAGCTTTTTGACAATACTAGGACAGGTGCCTCTCATTATAAAGAAGAGTGACTAACCCAAATGATGCCCGTATTTTTCTCAAAATTAATTATTGTTCCTATTTAAAAAAAGAAAACTTTTTTGCTCACTCTGACTGACTGACTGAAATTTCGACAATCCTGTTTGGAAGTTTGAAAAGATATTAACGTTTTTAACATAGGCGAAAACCGATAACATTAAAGGAATGCATTTGAACTGGGAGAGGAACGGGGAACTGATAATTCTTGAAAAGAAATTAGGCTGAAAAGAAAGAGTGGAGGGTGAGCATGGGAGAGGAATATCATGGAGAATCGGTGACGGATTTATCCTCGATGAGGATTCTGACGCTTTCGATTCCGTCGATGTTGAGACGATTGTTGTAAACCACTGAGTACCCAAGGGCGCGAGTCCAGAGTCTCTTGACGATATTCCAGTGATGCCTGCAGCCGAGGACTCTCATCTCACCGACGAGTCTGCTCTGGAGGCAGATGAACAACAAGACAACGAATCTGAAAATAGGTGAAATAGGCAGTGAGGAACTGTTTTCAGAAACTGGGGGTCCTACCCGAGAGCGACGAACCAAGTGATGACCATGACAGTCATGATTGTGAGACTCTTCCTTGCAATCTCAGACATCTCCTGAAAAATTAGAACATTCTCTGTCTGTTTATAGCGCCTGTTGAATCAACTCACCTCGTTGCGGGCTCCATCCAGTGCCGAGAACGTGAGAAGGAAAAACACGAAAAATTTCATCACCCTCATTCTGGAAACTTTGAATAAAAAATGATTGTTGGAAGAGAAATGGAGACTAGAACAAAAAATCAAGGACCTAAAAATCAACTTCCTTTCTAAAATCTGAAGCGTTTTTAAAACTCCACCCACTGATCGAGAAAAATAACGTTTCCTCGGAATACTAACCGCCGCGATATCTCATTATTCAGTTTCTCGAGATTTGTGAAAAAAAGTGTTGATTAAATCCAGAGTACCTCCGGACACACAAGTCTATGTAATTGCCTAATATAGTTTTTCAGAAGTCTAGGCGCAATTATGTGATTAACACATAAGTGATTGAGATCATATGCTCATTCACTGTCAAGTTATCACAGTTATTATACATGGATTACTGTAGCTGACATATCTGATCTATAGTGATGGAATGAGAGTCCTCGACTTCTACCATCTTTGGACTGTTATCATATGCAACATTCAAATAATTATCCTCTGTGATAATTTTTCTGTAACTACGTCTAATTCGATAAAATGCTGATTGGGGTTAGATAATTTCTGTAGGCTTGGAGATAGTCTAAATAAAATTAAGAAGTGTAGGGCCTGGAAATATTTATCAATTATTGAAAAAGCTTCAGTGTACGTTGCTAATAAAGGAAAAAAGAGATGATCTTCAGAAGTAGTAGCCATTTTAAATCGCCGAAAACAGAGAGTAGAAAAAAATTTTTACATTAGAAAAAAATCTAATGAGATAATTGGTGTGCTGACCAAACACATGCTGAGAAGTTTGAGACATTCTAATATTCCTATTAATAATGTTCATTGATCCATGTGTATTCGAAGTTTCTGGAACAAGCCATGTCTCTATGAGACTTCTGATTATCCTTTTCTGAAGACTAGACCTGTGTTGTAAAAGTTTCTAACTGGGGTGTTGAGTACTTTTTGTTGGAAAACTATTATCTGAATGTCTTGGTACACGGCAGTGCGTGGGTGCTAGGGTGAAATGACAAAAGTGTAATTAAAGAGGAATTTAACATGATATCTCTTTGCAAAATGGTGACTTTAATTTTGTTTTGATTTAGAACAACGACTAAATCTGAAAAATTTAAAAACATGATGGAATGTACTTTAGGGATTTATTACAGAACTGTAAATCACTCATATTTATTGATTCTGGGGAAAAGATCATTCTGGGCGATGAGAAACAATACAAAAAAAACGACGGAGGTAGATTTTAGGCGGCGTCCAATTCAATCAGAGGATCATGCTCATCACCTTCCCCTTCATGCCAAACCTTTGTGTAGCGAACTCGGGAAACGAATGTGTAGCGATTGTGCACGAGGTCATCGTTGTGCCTTTGGTGGACTTTGTGCTGGAGATATACGATGATGCCAAGACTGGAAGAGTTAGCTTTAAATATAGCTTTGAATTTAGTGAGACGAAACTCACACTACAATGGGTGGCATGACGAAGAGGATAAAGATATTCAGAATAATTCTCAGTAGTTTATTTGATTGATCTTCCACTTCTGATTCTGATGCCGACGGGAATAGTTGAGGTGAAGAAGTGGTGGATGTATAGAACTGGTTCACGAACGGAACCTGTTCTTCCTTACTTCGGTCTGTCGGAGTTTTCCCACGCTCCTGCTCAAAGAGTATCATTTGTGGGTAGTGGAAAAACTGGCGATTTTGGAAATCGGGGTCTCGAATGCCATCACGACTAAGGACAGGTGAAGATGAAGTCGTGGCGACGAAAAAGATGAGAACAAACAGGATTTTCATCGTGAACTGAAAATTCGAAAAAAAGTAACGTAATTTGTGTCAGTGAAGCTGAAAGCAACAAGGAATGATATATTAAAAACTAAATTTCTCTCAAAAAGCAAAATATTAGTCACATTTGAATCCGCCTTCTCCAAAGTCCGCCTTCTTTTCTTTACCTTTGGGGATAAGACATGTGACAGAATGAAAAGTTAAATTGCTCCACTAATTGCTCGAATGTGAAAATATGAAATTTGAATTTGAAAAAAAAATCAAGTTGAATGAAAAGAAGCCAATGGTGACTGCTTTGATCTTGATCTGTAGGGGCAAGGGAGATGGACAATTTGAAGAAGTAGACATTGAATTGGTAGCAAAAATTGGCGCGATAGAAGAGGAAAACTTATGGCCGTGGTGAAACGTCCTCAGTCGAAAATACCGTAGTCAAGAATTGTTTATTTCTTTAATACTTTTATAGCTCACCCTATGCTTTTGAGAGAATTCTTTTGGTTTAGTGGAAAATAACAAAATTGAGAAAGCAAATCCTGAAATTAAATAACATTTCTCGGTTAGAGTAGGTTACGGTAGACTATTTCCAGGTTATAAAATACTAGTTTTAGGTAATAACCAGGAAACTGATAAAGTAGGCATTTTATTAGTATAAAAAAGGGCGCGGTGGAGTAGAAAAAATTCGGGCCGTGGCCGAAACTACCGTAATCTAAATGGTTTTAAGTTCTGAAATTTTCTTGGTTACCGTCTGGTTTTCCAGTTCGTTTTAGTTTCGTTGAGAAAAACAAAATCGAGAAAAAACTCCAGAAAATAAACATATTTTTAGGTTACGGTAGTTTTTGATAAAGGACCCGCAGCAACGGCTGGATGTTGTTTTTACCGCCTTACTTTTCCAATACCCGTTTGATAGATAATTACAGAAAAAAGATTTGGCCGACAAGGAAGAAGAAAAAATGGAATTTTCCGAAACAAAATTGCGAGGATGTTATGATGATTCGGAAAAGATGATTATGATGTGGACAGACGTATAGAATAGGTGGTCTCGTGATCTGACGACTATCAGCTAATTAGTCGCGGAGCGCGAACCACGGATGCCTCTATTGACGTCAATGACTACAGTATGAAAATAAAATAAGGCAATGGTATGAAGTTGGGGATGTATCGACGCCTGGAAATATAAAATACGGGAAAATGCAATAAAAGGGAAAAAGTTCTGATTCAAACAGTAGGGAAGTAGATTGAAAAAAAGAATTTATTGAGAATTTAGACAGTGATTGAAGGACATCTGGCATTGCGAGGAGTGAGTGGACCTTTTGAGTAGATGTTTGATGAGCATTCTTCTGCGAGTTTAATTACCGGCTCAAATCGTTGAACAGCAGTATACGTTGTGTTGTCTCGTAGTGCGATTGTTCGGCGGCAACAGCACAAGATAACTACCAAGCTGAAACTGTTGATAAACTATTTGTTTTTAAGAAGGGAGGGGGTGTCTAAAAATTAAAATCCCTTCAATTTTGATCCGACTTTGTACACTTTCATGTCAGAATTCAAGAAAACTTTTTTGTCCCACCTCCTTGAAAACATTTGAGAAACTTACAGAGTTACTGTAAGCACAATCAGCGAAATGATGATCCCGATGACGACAGCCTGCGCTTTTTCATAAGTTTTCTCGATGCTATCCTCCACATCTGAGTGAAGCATGACTGGACAGTTGGGATTTTCCTCGACCTTGATGCCAAGTGGAAGACTGGAGCCAGTGGATTTCTAGAAACTTCAACGTGGATTATCATCTTCCAACCATTTGGAAACTGAACTCACTGTGTGGATTCGATGAGCATGTTTGCTGTTCGCTGGAGTTACCAGAAGCAGGAGTATTACGATGTTTGAATAGGAGAGCATTTCTATATTTTATGGGAAATGTGAAAATTAGAGAGTAGAAACGTTTTTTTCAGATTTTCTTTAACTTGAAAATAATGGGAGTCCACTCAAGGTACGGTGGGTAGGCAAAGAGAACCGAAACCCGCGGCAAGGGACCAAGGAAGACAGAGACGCATATGAGCAATGAGGTAGCTCTTTTGCTCTCCAGCTCCTTAGATTTGTCATATGCAATTTTTGTGTTCAATCACCGCACACATACGATAAACATGCGTAAATTGCTGAAGGTATGAACTCGGGATCCAGTGTAATGCACAAGAATTTTCATGTTTAGCAACCTTTAAAAAATGGTGTAGAAGTTTAGGTGATTTCTCAGTTAAGTCAGCATATCTCATCAAAACCGTGGAAGATTTGAAAACAACACCTTATTGAGAAATGAAAAAGGGAACTTAAGATGTTTTATAGGAGAGATCCAACTGTCGCGTAACGGGAGGCATTCGATCTTCACCAGAATTGATGAGCAGCATGTTCAACCACTTGCCTTATTTTCATCCAGATATGACTTCACTGGCGTATTACTGTGATTCAGAAGATTGATCAAACTAAAGACCGTGCATCTCGTTCAATACCCGCTTGACAACCATAATGTTTTTCCCGAAAGTTCAACTTCCATATCCCGAGTCCAGATTCCATGCCTCCAGATCATTTTCACTTAAAGTGCAGAGCTAATGAGCAACAAAAGTTGTGAAATGAGTATGTGGAGCATTACTAACATCACCTTCTCACATTTTAGAAGCACGGGTTATTGACCCAAGGGAAATGTGAAATGATTGTTTGTTGGAAGCAATGGAACTGAGTTTCGATTCGAGATAGTTAAAGGTGGGGGGACATGAAAAAAAATATTTTTCTCGAAATCCCGTTTAAATATGCCCCTCGAGGAGTTGAACTTGTTGAGACAAGTATTGACGGTGCGGCTACTGACTGAGCCACGCGGGCAGAGAGACAGCCTTCGCCCGATTGCATTCATGAAGACGAGGACGACCGCTGTACGCAGAGTGACATTAAGCGTTGTACACCGTCACTGTAGAATGCATACCCTAGCTACAAAAATCCTACGAAAAATCTCCCGTCCCCCCACCTTTAAGGTGTTGTGAAAAACTGGAAGATAAATAAGTTTCTACAATTGAAACATAAGAAACCTAGAAGGAATATCTCTAACAAAAAAAAATAGAATATTTACCAGAAGACTAAAGAAGAAGAAAAAATACCGACTGAAAAAAAATGGGTTGAGAAGAAAAAAAGAAGCAAGGTAATAAAATTGTGCAGCAATTATGTATCGGAGATTCGGTAGACATGGAAGATTTTGGATTGATGCGTGGGCAATAAAAAATAATGATAGGAATATGTATTTATATTTTTTCAAATTTTGAAATGTTCCTGAGAACAATTGAGGAAAACTAAATTCAACAAACAAGGAATTTTTTGTGAGACGGGAAGAAAAATTGAAAATAGGAGAAATTATTTTTTCAAAGAGTTTTTAAAAAGTTATCCTGACTACAGGAATGATTCACAAATTTTAAATGTCGAATTCGGAAAAAAATCATTTATTAAACAGAAAAAAGCTATAATAATTAGGAAAAAAGCCAATTTATTTCACTTTTGAATATGAGATGACTTTGAGATTGGGGTTGGCAAGAATCGTGGGTAAAGCAAATTTTCACCATATACCCGGAGAAAACAAGTAGGTGCAAGCAGCAGGAGTTTCACAGAGCTAGCTGTTTGTTTTGATCTTTTTGACCTCCCGTGAGCTCAAAGACCATTGGTTCAATAATCGACTCGAATTCCTGTAAAATTCAAAATGATTAAGAAACATGGACACTCGATGTTGCCTTCTTCTGTTTTATGTCTTTTTCTCTGTAGACAGCCTGGTTGTTTCCGCTTCCTTTTAATTCGACTCCGCCACTTGCTCCTTGAATGGCAGCTCCGTAAGCAACAGCTTCGTCCGGATTAATTCCATGAGATGGTTCTTTTCTGTTGAAAAAGTCTTTGATAAGTTGCTGAATCTTTGGAATTCTACTGATCCTCCGACCAGAACAATGTCGTGAACGTCAGTTTTATTCGCATCATCTAAAACATTCGACCGACTGAATGATGGCGCGGTAGAGATCCATGTTGAGCTTATCGAACTTGGTACGGATCAGCGTCTCATAGAAATCTTCCCCATCGTAAAAAGATTTCATCTGTAAAATACATACTAACCTTTTCACGTTTTTTTTGTCTTACCTCAATTTTGGTTTCAAGCTGAGTTGACAAAACTATTTTTGCCTTCTCAACTTATCGACGAAGCATTTGAATAGCGCTGTTGTCCTGGCGAAGGTCCTTTCCAGTTTTCTTCTTGAACACCTTCATGAAGTACTCCATCACATGTTGATCAAAGTCTTTCCCTCCCAAGTGAATGTCTCCGTTAGTGGCAATCACTTCGAAAACTTCTTTGTCAATGGTAAGTAGAGAAACATCAAAAGTACCACCTCCCAAGTCCAAAACGAGAAAATTTCTTTCTCCCTCTATTTTGTCCAAGCCATAAGCGATAGCAGCAGCAATAGGTTCACTGATGATAAACATAAAATTTTTCGAAATGCTCTACCTTGAATGGCCAATTTCTGATGTCATCTTGAACAGTTTTATCATTATAAAAGCGTCCAATCACACGTTTTGCATCAAAAATTGAATATTCAATGATACCTTGAGCAGATCTTTTTTCGCATAACTCCAGATGGAATAGTCAAACGGGGTCGAATCCGGCCAGTAGGACGGTCATTCTTCCCATCAGGCAGGTGCGCTTCGAACCACTGTTGGGTACATTTAGCGGTGTAGGCTGAAGCTCCGGCATGTTGGTGGATCAAATGTTCTTGTCCAAAATGGGATTCGGTCTATAGGAGCAGATGCTTCTCGAAAATTCCCTCAATATACACTTTCTTGGTCATACAGACGTCTTGATCTGTGAAATTTTTAATTTGAGCATATCGAACCAAAAACCATCGTGCTGGTCGGGTGTGAAACTCTAGGAATGGTTTTTTTCTTTCTTAAAATGTTCCATGGTATCCTTGGCTAACCCACAATAACTTTGAGAGTTGAATTCGGCTTCAATCGTAAACCACTGCTCGTCAAAGAAAACGGACCACCAATAGTCTCCTCACCGCGTGCCATCGAGGCGAAATTTAGCCTTCTCCAGACGCTATCGCTTATTTCTTTTGAACAAGATAACGGCTTCTGAGACGCGATAGCATTTTAAGTCAAGCTTTTTTCGGGCTATCTTTTGAATGAAAAAACTAACAAATACGCATAAACATGACTAATTTCCTGAGAGATTGATGTATGCTACTCCTGATTTCATCTCGAACAGCTTTAAAAGAGGCGAGACAGCAAAAATTTCGGGGGACAGTTCGGGGGACGGAATCGCGCCGCGCTTATGTAGACCATCGGTCGTCCGGCGCCTTCGCGCCCCCCGTAGCTCAGCCGGTAGCGGCGCTGTACCCCTGAGCTGACTGTCATGAGTTCAACCCCTCATGGGGGTTCTCTATGCAAAATATCAGGAAAACTTTTTTTGGTGTCTGGCCTCCTTTGAAAATAGAACAAATTTTTGGTGTCTGGCCTCCTTTAAAAATAGAACAAATATAGATCCAAAATCGGCGAATCTGTTGATAGCCTCAAAAAACCACATGTCGACAGTACCGATGCGTTTGAAGATCTCGTTTCGACTAATGCCCTACTTAAAAAGACTGATGACAGTGGCATGGTGGACGTTAGGACTTGCCATTTACCTGAAACTCACCCAATCAGGCTGAGACTTGGCAAACATATCAATTATGAACCAATGAATCAATAACAAAAATCTGCTGCACTAAATGCGCCCCAGCACCAAGAACCATGGCGCCAAAGTTGTGCGCGGGTAATTAAAAGCCAGTATGTCATATGCTTAAAATTCATACCGGATTTTCAAAATTCCCTAGTAAACTAATTTTATCAGTTTTTTTTCTAATTGAAGATTCGTCAATGTTCAAATAATTAAAGTTGGAGCTTTTGAAATATCCGCTTTCGAAATGTCCCGGAGCCAAAAATTTTTTTTGAAGAAAATTGGAGAGAGAGAAATGAAGAAAATTGTGGAAAGTAGAATACAGTAAAAGTAATTGTTGGTTTTCGTTGACCCGTTGAGGTAAATGTTTCGTTGCTTGGAGACTTTTGGACTTTGAAATTTTTTTTTTATTCCATTACTTTATAATCAGAATGAAAGATTGTTAGAAAACACACAAATATTGATAATTAAACAAAAACAATACAACATTATCAAACTCCAACACTGATTGCATAATTCTAGAAACGAATTGAAACGTCTTGAACAACTGGAGTTCTTGTGCGACAGCGAAGAACTGTTAGGCAGACTCGTCGGATATTGGAACGAATTATGTAGGCGCACAAATAGAACATACATCTAAAAACGTTCAATGATATGAGTTCGTAAAAGTAAGATTTACACTGCAAATGCGAGGAGTAAGAAGCATATGAAAATGAGTTCCAGGAGTACTATGATTTGTACAATCCAGTTAATTTTTTCTGGAGTTTTGTAGTAGTCGGGGGTCTGCGATTTAATAGTTTCCAACAGGCCGGTTGTTCCGTTGGTCTCGGTTTCATACATACCAGTTTCGGTAATATTTTCTTCCTGAAAATTAAGACAAAAATTTATTATAGAACCTTTGATCAATAAGTGTTTTGAATTCTACTTACGGTTATGTTGTGAACGTCAATTCCAAGCACAGAGGCAGCAGTGAATACAAGGATCAAACCAATCTTGAACATCATTGCAACTGAACTGAAATGGTCTCAAAGTATACCGAAATTTTAGATGTGATCGAAAGAAAATAGAAAAAAAAACCATAGAAACGGAGAAAAACGTTTTTTGGGTCAACGGAGAACATCGTTAAAATGCGAAACAGCCACCGAGCATTGTTCTGAGACTAGATGCTTCCCCTTCTGAAATAGGAATATCCATGACAACCATTTCGAAAAATTTCAGATATCTTTTAGGAAAAGAGAAAAGATATGAAGATTATTGGTTCCTCGTTAGGAAAAGAAAAAGAAAATTGTAATTGCAAAGGTTTTCGGGAGTCCTGAAATTGTATGTTCCAGCTGAAAAGAAAAAAAAAGATTTCGATGAAAAATGGAACTGGTTCATGGAAAATGATGGAAAGTAGTTATCTGAATTTCAAAATGAAATCTGAAATAATAATCGAGAGTTCTGTCTTCAACTTTTTCCCGTCAATGACAAAATAACGGAAAATGGTTTTGAAGAAGTATTGACAAAGGTTAGAGTGAACCACGTGTTTCTTGAAATGAAACCTATTCACCGGTTAGAGGCTCAGAGGATACTTTTGTAGTTTTTGTTGAGAAAATGGAAGTTTGAAAGGTGTTAGTTGCGTAGCCTGAAAATAGATAACTTTTCAACTTTAAAACATAACTTTTGAGTTATCGCCAGAACGTGCAATCAGAGCAATGTAGCCTTAAAAGTAGTACACTTGTTGTTCCTTTTCAGAGTTTGGGTTTTCAATTGAATTCGAAAAAAATTATACAAATAAAAAACCCTAATTTCGTTTTCAAAGAACGGTTTATCCACAGTTCTAGTTAACATTATAGTTTAATAAGTAATTGTAAAATCATCCAATGAATCCATGGTTAACAAGCACTCTTCTGATCGACTCTTGCTCAAAAAACGAACTGTCTCTTCCTCCCTGGCTTCCAATTTACTGGAGCAGCACTTCTTTGTCACATCCCAACATTTTGATTGTTTCGTGTTAGCGAACAACTTACTAAAAGTATAAACAATTGTTAATCACCTTTTGGATAGAATCAAACTCACTAAACTAGGACAGTAACTCCGATGAACGTGATCAGAAAAACTATAATTGCTGTGTGATTTGATAAGGTATCTTCCACTTTATTGTCCGCAATTTGTGGGATCTCCTTGTAAATTATTTCTTTCAACCCCGTATCTTCGTTGGTCTCAACAATGCCTATTTCTGCGAATGGAAAATCCTTGACCTGATTAAAGGTTCCATCAGTAAATATCGAGCACAATCAGTTCAACTCACTTCTCTGGATGATAAATCATATCCGTTGGCACACATAATCACATAAAAGAGGAGAAACGTAAAATTAAACTTCATTTCAGGGGAAAAAATTGTCAAGATTGCGAGAGAAGAATAGTATTGAAAATAGGGTTAAATTTTAACCAAGCATGATTCACTTCAACCAAGCCCTACATGCCAAAAAAAAAGGCGAGCAACAATGCCAAAGGCACATTTCCATCCGATTCCAAGACAAAAACCCTTCTTTCTCTCTTCTAGATGCCACATTTCCATGACAACGCTTTTGAGGTCGTTTGAATTTTTATCTTCAGAGGTAGAAAAAAGTGGAAAGAGAACACTGTGTTTTATATTGAGAACTACTAAAGTACAAAAAATTTGTGAAGCCGAATCATAACTGCTTTTGAGTTTGACCAGAAACACCATTACAACAATTGCAAGTTTTTAACAAGACAGTTTAGAAATCTGATTGAATTCTGAACAGCTTTCTTGCTCTTCAATGAAAACTATCCCAATCCGAATATATCGGGAGTGTTGATTCCCGAATAAGTATCTTTTGGGCCACTTTCCTGAAATACGTAATCAATTTATTTTATTTCAAATGATATGCAACATACGGTAGTATTGAAGGCTTCGTCGTCAATAGAGAAAAAACTTGAAAAAAATATTTTATAATTCTAAATGACCGTATGACAAAGCTCAAACGTTCATATAACTAAAAAAGAAAAAAACAAATATCTCGCAGATCTAAAAAGAGATTATCATTTAGAAAAAAAGTATTTTACCTGGTAAGTGCTATTCTATTGTATTATTGAGGTTTATCTGTGGAATTAGTGCACCACAAAGGGGTTTTACAGGATTATTCTCAGTTAAGCTTTCAGACAAGTGCACAGGTGTATTTTGTTAACTCCAAGAAATGTCGATCATTGAATTATCAAAGGTGGATATTTTTGAAAAAAATGAAAACATGATAAAGTCAACAACACAATCATTTCCAATCGAATAATTTTTATTATAAACCGAGAAAAAAAAAGAACAAACAAAGAACAAATTTCGCAAAAAGAGTTTTAGAATTTGATGAAAACTGGAAAAATTATATTAGCAGAAATGAATTTCAAATTTTATTGGGTATTTTTTCTGGTTGATTAAAACTATCATCGACGGGCTTTATTGCCAGCAGATCGGCGGTTAGAATTACGGTTCCAACTTTGCTGCATTGGTCTAGTGCGTCTTTTTAAGGCGTGTCGATATCGGAGAAGAATGTCGGACCATCTGAAAAAAAACGGAAAATTCAAAAAAAATTAAATGCATGTTATATCACTTACAGATCGACCAGAGTGATTCCTATTACACTTGCCAGCATAATGTACAGAACAAATTCAATCAGATAAAAACATCGATTTCTTTGAATGAAACCGTTACCGTCATCGGTCAGTTCCTGAAAATTCCAGAGTCTCCAATTAAATTTGAAAACTTCTCTACTCACGGTCACATGTTCACTGTATGTATCCGCCATAAAATAGCAGAAGGTTTGGAGCAGACCTCGAATGATCCGGTGCCGCTGTGAACAGATAAAAATTATTCAAAACTTGTGGTGAGATTTAAAAAAAACTATTTCTTTTTCACTGATTGAATCAGAGATGTTCGGAATGTTGAAAATTCCGAGTTTCGAAGTTTCGGAATTTCAAAATTCTATTTACCTATCATAAAAGCGCGAAAAATTGGTTGAAAAATGACAAACAGCTTTCGTGGACGCAACAAAAGTAGTGCCGTTTGAAACCCGTAGGAGAATTTTTGCGTGCGCCTTCAACATACCATACTAAAAAAGCTATAATTGCAAAAAAAGGATCGAAAATAGTTATATAGTTCAGAAAATGTTCGGAATTCCGGTGTCCGTTTCGAACATCCCAAGATTGAAAACATCCACTCACTAAGTTAGTCATGACGTTGAAAACTCTTGGCATTGAGATCATCAAGCAACGAACTTGATGACTCCTACTTCTCCACATGACATGGAACAAAACGAGGATACCTCTGAAATTGAATTAATAGGTTGATATTGAAGTTTCCAAGATCTTACATGTAAAAATCTGTGGTATAAATCAGGAAATCGAATGAAAATCGCATAACCCCTCTAAATGATCGATAGCCGCGATCGACTGTGGAATTTGGCGAAATCAAAGACATTTCGTGAGAGCATGACATTGTCTGAAATATTTTCTGAATAATAGCTATTTTGGACAACATTACCTCTATCTGTGAAGTTGAAGTTGTTTGGACGACGGTGAGAAAAAGTAAAAGAAGAAAAATGAGACGCATTCTGAAACAAAGATTCAGAATCAATGCTGAAAATGATGAGAAAACAGAAGAGAGTGAGAAGAAAACGCAAAAGTCACACGATTGGAAACAAGGAAATTCACAGAGCATGAGCTAATTCATGAAGAATTTTTTGAACTCAAATCTCCGAGAGCAACAAACAACCTACGTTTTCAGTAGGAGGAGACAAAGATAAAAACAAGGCGCACAGGAGGCGCTGAGAATCGAAGCATAATAAACCCTATAATTAGTGCTGGTCGTGGCTCCAAGAAGACGGTTACCTTTTAGTCGCGTGATCTCTTCTTGTGAGGTGTTGCATTTGATCTCGACAAAGCGATTGTGGAGCTTTATAAAAAATAAGAAGTCAATGAGGAGATTATGTCCGAACGGAATGATTTGAATGGGAAAACTGCTGGGTGTGAAGAGAGAAAAGAGCCTCCGCAATCACACTTGCACTCGTGGAGTCGCTTTTTTTACAGTTGTATTGCGATGAAACTTAATGTGAAACGATTACAGTGAAAAAAAAATTGGGAAACAATGCAAAACCAGAGCAATTTAATTATACTTTTTTGAGGTATTCCTCGAATGGAATTTGGTTCTTCTATATTAGGTTATTCAAAACGGAATTCGGAATTACAAAAAAACACAAATTTCAAAAGTTCCGAAAAAAAACTTTTGATACTCTGGAAATATCCGAAAAGGTCATTTGAACAGGATTCTGAACAAATTTTTTCTGAGAAAAACTATTCAAAAGAGGCGGCCTTGCTCTAACAAGAAACAAATAACAAGAGAAAACTTATCACTGATAATTATTAATGGCTCAAAGAAAACCAGAGAAATCTGAAAAAACAAAACATGCTACTGAGATGTAAGCCATCTGGAAACTCATTCATGCGAAAATTTCAAGATTTTTCTTCTGATGAATTTCGTTTCCCTAGAAACAGTTTGTTGTAAATGTGTCATCTAGCTGACAAACATTATTCGATTTGAAAAAGATTTTGAGTCTGATAGGTCATTGTTCTGTGAGAAAATGTAGATTTATGGTTTTCAGAACCAAGAAGAATGATTCGATTTCTTTTTTTCTGCGACTTTTTTTTCGTTTAGCATATTTTTTCAGGTTGAAAATTAAACAATTTCAAAGTACTTTACGAAAACTTACTTTTTTGGACATTTTTCAATTCCACAGATATCTAAAAGTATACGAAGATTGAATCGAAGTTGAAGTTTCTGAAAGAAGCAGATTTCATTTGAAACAAAAATATAATCATAATAAATCAAACATTGATGGAGGTATCCGAATTTCATTCTGAGAATACGGAAAAAAAGAAAAGTACCAAGAAATTTCAGAAAATTGAACAAAGATTCGGGAGAGTTGGAGAATTTTACAAATTGGATAAGTTTTAAATGTCTCGCATTTTAGGAAGAATTGTGGAAACCCGGAAAAACTTATTATAGCAGCAAGAGAACTTGTTTGAAAATTTTAAAAGTTTGAAATCAATAGATCAAACTGTTTATCTGTAAATCTTTTTATAATAACGCCGATCGTTCCAGAATTAAAAGGGATCGAAATTTTGTACTAAAGAAACATTAGATTTATTTCCTCTCATTCATTTCAGAAAACATTACATTCAAAATCAAAAATTAAAGAAATCAAAAAAGACAAAAATTAAAATTAAGAGAAATGGACACAAATGTGAGCGATATGCTTAATTGGATATCAGACTGAGCTACATCCAGAAATAACGTCTGGCAAATATCCACGTCACACTTGTTACTCTGCAAAATGAAAAAGACGGCGATCAATTAATATTTGAAATCTCATCTCCTGGTAACGAATGAATGCAAACAGTAGAAGGCTAAAAATTTGAATTTTGAATAATCGAAAATTCAGCTGAGAAACTTACACAGGCAAGAGGAATAGAGAAAACGTCAGAAAAGAGATGATATATGGAATTTCAATTTCATCAATAAAGAAATACAATTCAAAATCTTTCCATTCATCATATCTCCATGCCTTCATTGTTTGTGAAAAGTTGATCTGCAATGCAACCGAGTAAAAATTATTTCGAAAGTTGTGATAACTCACTGTAGCTTCTATTTGACCCCAAAAGAGTGAAACAAAATAAAGTTGAAATGCAGACATCATAAGGAAATCTTTCGGATCTGAAAAAAAATTGACGGGTCTTTCTTGTAACATTAATATCTATAGGTAGTATGTAGTAAATTCAATTCGTTTTCACCTTTTGAAGCTGAAAAGAAAAGACAAAACAATTTTAGGTTAGATAGAGACCAATGTCAGGCAAAAGGACTAATAAATATTAGAAACGGAAATTGAAACTGCTATTCATGTTGCCATAGATACTCTGGATTATGGATTATGAACTATGTCGCCAGAGGAACATTTATCTAAAAGGATTAATATTCTAAAAAGTCTGACAACTACGGAGAAGAATTTTCGAAATCAGATACATCTTTTCAAAATGTATTCAGATAAAATGAAACTGGTCAATTTTCGCGCTTCTTCTGATTTACCAAAAATCTTCGATTTAATGGGTTTTCAAATCTGTTTTTCCGATACGTCTTTCGAAATCTAATGTGTTTTCTGCTACCTTCAAAAGCTGAATTTCTTCCTGAATTTTTCTAGATGCCAAGGTTTTTGAAAAACTACAGAAATTTTAAAATTGGAATACAATTTTTTCCTTATTTTTTCTGTTTTTATTCAGTTTTTTTTTGAAAATTGCTATGAAACATAAATGCTGTATTATTTAGAAAATGAAATATAATTTGGAATCAGAACTCATGATAAGGGCCTTGCTTCTAGCTTTTGTTTTTTCAAAATTTCCCATCTTCTCCAGCAAAACAAAAACCCGTAAATCTGTATTTCACCTCATCTCATTTCTTCAAATTACACAAAGTTATTTTTTTCTCATACTCCTGTCTCACACTATTAAATAACCTCATTTTTCTATACTTCATTTTTTAAAATCCCTTTTTTCCCCCAACTTTTCCGATTTCCTTCTCAATAAATATGTGTTTCGATCCATTTTATTTCGCAGCAGTTCTGAAGCTTTGCTCGGCAATGCTTTTGAACTGACGCTAACACAAGACTTTCAGATCCTCTGTGTTATTTCCCTAAAAGTCGTTTTTGTGAAAATGTCAAAGATCGACGAAAATCGTAAAAAAATAACCGAAAAAATAGGTTCTGAATGTCTGCAAAAAATCTGAATATCGGAAAATATTTGAGACTAATATTCCCGCTAGTTTCTCTGGTTCTTTATCATTCCTTTTTGAACGATTACATTTCATGAACTTTTTTTTTCAAATCTATAGTTTTTAATAGTTGATTTATCATATCTAAAACGATTTTCCTTGATTAATGTTCATGCTTTATCACCCATTTCTGCGTTTTACAAATTTAAAGTATTTCAAATCAGTAATTTTATCCAGAAACTTACTTTGAAGATATAAAACTTCCACTTCCCGCTAATTTTCCGTTGGAGAGTACCTCTGGACTCATTCCTCGATCCTTGCATATTTATTTATATAAAAAGTGTTGCCATCTTTGTGGAAGTTTGTTTTGTGAGCGTTTCAGCTATTTTTCTTCAAAAAAAAATCAAAATGTATGCTAATTTTGTGTCATTGAACAAAAAAATCGAAAAAAACTTCCACTCGAGTGTCTTGATTTTTATAAAACTTGTATTAACTCCTCAGAAAACATAGATGTCTTAAAAAATGTGAGAGGCGCAGAGAAAATGCAAGCGCGCTCCGATAGACAAATTTAAAAAATTTCTCTCGAAATCCTCTTTCGGGGTGCTGTGGTGCGCCTTTTTTCTTCTCGGAGACATCACTCGCTTTGAAATAAAAAAAGCTTTGAAGAAGTTCTACGATTTCAGCTATTCTGAAAATTTGAAATCAGTCGCAATGCCTCGCAACTGATTTTACCATCCAATACAGGTATTTTTTGATAAAATGGTTTGTTATTTTTTCGAAAACTTGTCTTTTACTGCGATATTCCTTTTTTGTCGACCACATTCTGTCGTTCCTCATTTAACGTTGATCATCTGTCATCTGTCTCGTCTGTTCTATTGATTTTGTCTTTATTGATTTAACACTATTGATTTTGCCTTATAAGGGGCCCACCCTCCAATTCCTCTCTTTCAATCCATTTCGTCCTTCATTCTCTCATTCATTTCTGTCTTCCAGTCAACCGTTCAATTGACCAAATCATGCCTATCCGTCTGCTCTCACTTCCCGCCAAGGATCTTCAATATTGTGTCAATTTAATGAACGTTGGCGATCTGTGAGTTTTTTTGTTGAAAAATCAAATTCCACTCAAAACATTCCAGAATCGCCTTTTCTCTGTGCTCAAAACAAACCAAAAACCTTGTGAAGTCTTCAAATCTGGAAGAAATAAGAACCACTGCAAGATTTGGTGAAAATGACTGCATCGAATTTGAAATACTCGCATGTCAAAGACGTTTCAATAGAGAAATACACAAACAAATCACGTTTTATCTCCATAAAAATCAATGGATGCGAGTGGATCGTGGGAATGGAAAAGAGCAATGGAAATTTACGAGGAGCTATTGCATTGCTCATTTAATGAGTATTTTGAAAACTTCAATGATTACTTACCTGGATCTTATTGATCTTCACCAAATACCGTACCTGAATACTGTCAAGCAAATCTTCCCAAAATTTTATGCCCTTAGTATCGGTCGAGATTGTTCAGATGAGCTCACAAAAATGGCGATTTTAAAATTGGGACCTATTGCCGAAGAGGTGGAAGTCAATAAAATTCCTGTTATCAATGATATCTCTCAATTTTTGACATTGAATTTGAACTTTCTGCTTTTCAAAGACGAGCAGAGACCACTCAAATTGAAGTTAAGTGATTTATTGATCCTCAACGTTCGCAGCATTGCCAGTGTTAATACCGATATCACTGAGAGAGAATTGAACAGATTTCTGAAGCTATGGATGAAAGGAAATCATAGTTTCTATTGTCCAGAAAATATAGAATTGATCTCAAATAATGCATTCAAAATGGATCAAGTTTTCAAAGGAATTCAATATGAAACTGTTCTAGAGACCATTCATTCCGATTAAAACGTGGAGACGGAAAGGAACTGAGGATTATAACGGCGGGCAACATTATGTTTCAATTTTCATAATTCTTGGTTCTCTATTCTTTGGAAAATTTTCGAATAAACCCATTAATCCTAGTATCTGTCCGATTCTTGGGTCATTCTTACCATTCTGTAAGGCAATTTTGCAATTTTGCACATTCACACCGTAGCTCGAAATTTTTGCACGTATCAAAGGAATCATGTTGTTTATACAGTGCGGTCAAACGAGATTAAAAAAAAAACAAAAAATAACACAGAGGATCTGAAAGTCTTGTGTTTTTTTTCGAAAAACGGTAAACACCATTCGATTCACAATCAAATATAATTCCAGAAGACAAAGTTTACTGAATTTAGCACTTTCCCTGGCTATCCGCCGTCTAAAAAAACCCCACGCGCAAGCCGTCAATATCATAGAAACTTTCTGTTTTTTTTAAAAATATTCCAGTAATAATTTTCATGAAAAAATTGTTTTGGAAGTACCAAAAATCAATCTAAAAAATGTTTTCAGTTAGTTTCAGATAAAATAACGTCGGTTTCTGAAAGTTTTTAAATTAGAAGTTGGTGTCTGAAAATTCATCTTACAAGTGGTGCTGTTTTTTAGAGAGAGTTTCCAGGCTTTATGGAAAAATCGGGAGTTCTACTTTATGGAATTGAATCAAATTTCATTTTATCAGCAAGCTATTATTGCATATTTGATGTCTCACTCAATTGAAAGAGATTCCGGCAAAATTCATATGGATGCAAACTTTTAAAGTTAGAGTTGAGTAGTTTGAAGTTTTCTGAGGCATATGTTGAGAAAATTTGCAGACCAAATTGGGCAATTACAATGCAGTGAAATATATAGCCACTCCAAAATCTAGCTGTAATTTAAAAAAAGCAACTTTTTGATAACCTCAGAGTAGAATCGTGATCAGCAACCAAAACTACCCGAGGAAATTGATTTGGGTAATTCATAAAAATGACCGCATGCCGGAACAAAAACTGAAAAATCGGCTCCTGCAAAGGTAACATTAGTATAAAGCCACTTTAGGAATTGGTGACTGGGCAACCCGAAATTGTGGAACCGGTCAATCAAATGATCCAAGTGAAAAAATAACAAAAGAGATCGTGCGATTTCCAGAAACAAGAAAATATTAAAGCAAAGAAATGTTTTCAAATGGTATTTTTCCAAATGGTGTTTCGAATTTCAGAGTTTGCTGTTTTCCGGTAGCTTCTCCGTTTTTCGAAGTCTTCCTCGAAATTGCTTTGTGCAGCTTTCGAAAATTTTGCTTTGTCAATTGAGCATCATGAACAGATGTTTCAGCAATATTGAGAGATTTCATTTCAGAAATCATCCAGTTTAAATATTGAAGTTTCATAAAAACTGAAGTGTGTACGGGCGTCTTCTTCCTTCTCGGAATCATAACAAAGGTCCTGTTTTCGCGATGTTTTCGCGACATTTATGTTTTATTCCGTAGTGGTAAAACAGTTTCTAGAGTCTGTACGTGCTTTACAGGGCGGCCGATTAGTATAGGACGTTTCTCAACCTTTCCCATTTTTCAGAAAAACGTTGTTTAACTGTAATAATTTTATGAAAATGTTCAAAATATGTAATAATTTTAGTTTTATAACAATTAGTCATGATTAGAAACACGAGCTTCGACGGAAACCTCTAAACGGGTGATAAAACTTTTGGCTATGCGCCGACGATGGTTGACGTCAACATCGTCCCAGAACTTTTGAAATGCAAATCACAGAAAGTCCGAAACCCTGTAGGAGATTTCTGAGATCTTGCTCTTCAAAAGTCTCCACACATCAGAGTCCATCGTATTGAAATCCGTGGAGTTAGCAGACCTCAAATGTTTGCCGAGGTATCTAGGAAAATTAGCGTCTAAGACCAGAATTGTGGATCTCGATCCAGAAGACGGTGTCCAGTCTTACTGATGATTCCAAAAACGTCCGGAAAAATGCTGAGAGGTCCAGGGCAACAAATTATACATCAAAACTAGCTTTTGGTAGACCTGGGAGCTTATTTTCACGTAATAAAATGAAATTTGATTCAATTCCATAAAGTAGAACTCCCGATTTTTCCATAAAGCCTGGAAACTCTCTCTAAAAAACAGCACCACTTGTAAGATGAATTTTCAGACACCAACTTCTAATTTAAAAACTTTCAGAAACCGACGTTATTTTATCTGAAACTAACTGAAAACATTTTTTAGATTGATTTTTGGTACTTCCAAAACAATTTTTTCATGAAAATTATTACTGGAATATTTTTAAAAAAAACAGAAAGTTTCTATGATACTGACGGCTTGCGCGTGGGGTTTTTTTAGACGGCGGATAGCCAGGGAAAGTGCTAAATTCAGTAAACTTTGTCTTCTGGAATTATATTTGATTGTGAATCGAATGGTGTTTACCGTTTTTCGAAAAAAAACACAAGACTTTCAGATCCTCTGTGTTATTTTTTGTTTTTTTTTTTAATCTCGTTTGACCGCACTGTATAAACAACATGATTCCTTTGATACGTGCAAAAATTTCGAGCTACGGTGTGAATGTGCAAAATTGCAAAATTGACTTACAGAATGGTAAGAATGACCCAAGAATCGGGCAGATACTAGGATTAATGGGTTTATTCGAAAATTTTCCAAAGAATAGAGAACCAAGAATTATGAAAATTGAAACATAATGTTGCCCGCCGTTATAATCCTCAGTTCCTTTCCGTCTCCACGTTTTAATCGGAATGAATGGTCTTCTAGAACAGTTTCATATTGAATTCCTTTGAAAACTTGATCCATTTTGAATGCATTATTTGAGATCAATTCTATATTTTCTGGACAATAGAAACTATGATTTCCTTTCATCCATAGCTTCAGAAATCTGTTCAATTCTCTCTCAGTGATATCGGTATTAACACTGGCAATGCTGCGAACGTTGAGGATCAATAAATCACTTAACTTCAATTTGAGTGGTCTCTGCTCGTCTTTGAAAAGCAGAAAGTTCAAATTCAATGTCAAAAATTGAGAGATATCATTGATAACAGGAATTTTATTGACTTCCACCTCTTCGGCAATAGGTCCCAATTTTAAAATCGCCATTTTTGTGAGCTCATCTGAACAATCTCGACCGATACTAAGGGCATAAAATTTTGGGAAGATTTGCTTGACAGTATTCAGGTACGGTATTTGGTGAAGATCAATAAGATCCAGGTAAGTAATCATTGAAGTTTTCAAAATACTCATTAAATGAGCAATGCAATAGCTCCTCGTAAATTTCCATTGCTCTTTTCCATTCCCACGATCCACTCGCATCCATTGATTTTTATGGAGATAAAACGTGATTTGTTTGTGTATTTCTCTATTGAAACGTCTTTGACATGCGAGTATTTCAAATTCGATGCAGTCATTTTCACCAAATCTTGCAGTGGTTCTTATTTCTTCCAGATTTGAAGACTTCACAAGGTTTTTGGTTTGTTTTGAGCACAGAGAAAAGGCGATTCTGGAATGTTTTGAGTGGAATTTGATTTTTCAACAAAAAAACTCACAGATCGCCAACGTTCATTAAATTGACACAATATTGAAGATCCTTGGCGGGAAGTGAGAGCAGACGGATAGGCATGATTTGGTCAATTGAACGGTTGACTGGAAGACAGAAATGAATGAGAGAATGAAGGACGAAATGGATTGAAAGAGAGGAATTGGAGGGTGGGCCCCTTATAAGGCAAAATCAATAGTGTTAAATCAATAAAGACAAAATCAATAGAACAGACGAGACAGATGACAGATGATCAACGTTAAATGAGGAACGACAGAATGTGGTCGACAAAAAAGGAATATCGCAGTAAAAGACAAGTTTTCGAAAAAATAACAAACCATTTTATCAAAAAATACCTGTATTGGATGGTAAAATCAGTTGCGAGGCATTGCGACTGATTTCAAATTTTCAGAATAGCTGAAATCGTAGAACTTCTTCAAAGCTTTTTTTATTTCAAAGCGAGTGATGTCTCCGAGAAGAAAAAAGGCGCACCACAGCACCCCGAAAGAGGATTTCGAGAGAAATTTTTTAAATTTGTCTATCGGAGCGCGCTTGCATTTTCTCTGCGCCTCTCACATTTTTTAAGACATCTATGTTTTCTGAGGAGTTAATACAAGTTTTATAAAAATCAAGACACTCGAGTGGAAGTTTTTTTCGATTTTTTTGTTCAATGACACAAAATTAGCATACATTTTGATTTTTTTTTGAAGAAAAATAGCTGAAACGCTCACAAAACAAACTTCCACAAAGATGGCAACACTTTTTATATAAATAAATATGCAAGGATCGAGGAATGAGTCCAGAGGTACTCTCCAACGGAAAATTAGCGGGAAGTGGAAGTTTTATATCTTCAAAGTAAGTTTCTGGATAAAATTACTGATTTGAAATACTTTAAATTTGTAAAACGCAGAAATGGGTGATAAAGCATGAACATTAATCAAGGAAAATCGTTTTAGATATGATAAATCAACTATTAAAAACTATAGATTTGAAAAAAAAAGTTCATGAAATGTAATCGTTCAAAAAGGAATGATAAAGAACCAGAGAAACTAGCGGGAATATTAGTCTCAAATATTTTCCGATATTCAGATTTTTTGCAGACATTCAGAACCTATTTTTTCGGTTATTTTTTTACGATTTTCGTCGATCTTTGACATTTTCACAAAAACGACTTTTAGGGAAATAACACAGAGGATCTGAAAGTCTTGTGTTAGCGTCAGTTCAAAAGCATTGCCGAGCAAAGCTTCAGAACTGCTGCGAAATAAAATGGATCGAAACACATATTTATTGAGAAGGAAATCGGAAAAGTTGGGGGAAAAAAGGGATTTTAAAAAATGAAGTATAGAAAAATGAGGTTATTTAATAGTGTGAGACAGGAGTATGAGAAAAAAATAACTTTGTGTAATTTGAAGAAATGAGATGAGGTGAAATACAGATTTACGGGTTTTTGTTTTGCTGGAGAAGATGGGAAATTTTGAAAAAACAAAAGCTAGAAGCAAGGCCCTTATCACATGGAAAAGCAACTTTTGAATTTTTTTCGTAGATGTAAAAAAACCTAGCAATGTGTCCACTGACAGTATCTGTGTATCTTTGCAGAAGAAATGTCTTCTGTGGTCCTCTTGGTTTGTTTGACAGTCTCAATGAATTTTTTCTCTGCTTCTGTTCTCTTTTTACAAAGCACGCAAAAAAATTTGGGCGAATAGCCATGTGAACGGCTTCGAGTTAGGGTGCGTCACCATATGAGAGACTGTTAGCAAGTGAGAAGGGCATAAGAAATGATCCTTTTGACACGTGATGATGCAATCTGGGATTTTATGCAGAGAAAATGGAAGAATTGGGAGACTGTCAAGTTGCCATGTTGTCCGAATCTAACTAGGGAAGGTTGTTTGTGGGTAAGGGACTTCGTTATGAGACCTGTATCATTCGAAAGCTGAAAATGAGACAAGTCAGACGTATGGAAATTTGTTGGGAACATTTTCGGATGAGCATTCTCCTTGACACCTACTGATAAATTGAAGCAATGCGGAAAAATGATTTCACTTAAAACGTGTGTATTTGAGAAGACAAAATGTCCGCAGAACACTTTTGACGACGTTCTGATAAACTAAAACTTGAAATTCAGTTCAGAATATGTATCATTTTTCAGTTATCGGAAACTTTTGACCTTTACTGCATTTTTGCCAGTTTAGAAACTTTAGCTGAAAAATGTGAAACTTGATAATTTTTTTAAAACTGTAGGATGAAGAGAATTGGAAGAGTATATGAAAAATTATTAATCAAATATCCGTCTTTTCCTGCATTTTGATCCATCCCTTTTTCGCTTGCTCACATTGCATGTCCAGTAGGTCCGACCACAGCTCCTTCGTTTCTTGAGGTGAAAATTGTAGTTTATCGTAAATGTTTGAAACTTCTTTCATTCTATCTTGATCACCTTGATTCCCTATTGAGGTAAGTACAAAAAAATTCCCAATAGGACAACTTCAAAAGCTTTTGTGTCATTTCACATTAAACTAAAAAATATAATGCCTAAACTAAAACTCACCCTGTTCCCTTCTATGAATTTCCTTCTTTCTTTTCTCACTGCACTTCTTGCTGAACATAAGATCTTTGCTGTTTGCCTACTTCCTCATTTTTTGAGGCAGTTCTTGTGATCCGAATGGATCGAAGGGGTGGTGTTTCATCTCTGAAATTCTATAAAAATTCAAGCTTTTAAATGTTTATTAACTTACCAACACCATCGATATGGAAGTTATGATGACCATCGATTGGTGAAGAGACCAGGAGAAGATGGTTCAGCCACATCGAGATGTTTCAACTCATGCATTGGTTGCTTCCTCTTGCGACCTCGTTTCTTTGGTGGCGCTGGAACATGGTCTTCATCTTCTTCTAAACGGGATGTCGACGGTACTGGATCCATATTGGCTTGCCGCTTCGGTGTTCTACCTCGGCTCTCTTGGTTGTAGCTGGTGGAGAAGCATCTCCTAAATCATCTGGATTGCCAAATGCTGATCTTCTTCGAGAAATTATTAGAGGACTTCTACGATATTTTGTTCTGAAATAACTTTTGAAAGTTTTAACAAATTTTTTCAAAATTAAATTATTTTTAAATTTCTCAAAATTTTGAAATACTAGAATATCTTCTGCTGTTGACATGGGAGAGGTGTGGGTTGTCAAATTCGCTAACTCATTTTCAGAAAAATCAGAATACTCAGAAAAATAGAAACTAAAAATTTCCAAAATTAAATTCATTTATAAGATTACTTGAAAGTTTTTAGGAATAAGAAGGTATAGAAATTCAGAAAGATAAGAGAGGTCTTTCCAGAATCCACCCATTTATAGGTTTCTCTGGAAAGTTCCCGAAAATATCTTGACGTCTATTCAGTCGTAAGAAGAAGTGAAATTTGCAGATTTTAGCAATATATCGTTCTCTATTTCTCTGCGTCTTTTCTCTGCTTATTAAGCTAACAAAAGATTTTTGTCGAATCCGGCTAGACATGCGAACGTTAGGCACAATTTTCTCGATTTATCTTTTTTTTTTCAGAGACTACAGTTCTGAATTACAACTTTTTCTTTTTAAAAAGTAAGAAAAAATCAAATAATTCGTTATTGAAATCCCACTCGCCGGTTCCAAAAAAAAACCTAACTCCAAGCCTGGAAAAAGTTGCCACACTCTTGTTTTCGAGTTTCCATATGACCATAAGTTCATTACATGACAATTAGAAAATGTTTTCGAGGAAAGATAAAATATCAAGCTGATTCATTTTGAGTAACTAGCTCCAGAGAGACTTAGAGAAAAGAATATAACAAAGACACAGAGTTCTATGGATACGAAAGTGAATTTTGAAATGCAAAAATGTGAAAATATATTAGACCGAGAGAGGAAAATTCAGGAAATGCAAAAATAAAAACCTATAATTATGAGTACACACGGGACGCCTGATGGTTATCAGCTCACCTCGTGGTTTCCAAAAATACTAAGCAATTATCCGGTGCGTTTGACGTCAATAGAAAATTCCATGATCCAAAATTAGATATATTATAAGAGCGAGCTATTTTGAAGTTGGTCCTAAACAAGAACATTAGTTTTGAAAATACAACACTTACCGGATGGCCGAAGATGAAACTCAATTGCAAACCAGTGATAATAACTTGATAATACTAATATTTGAAATTTGAGCAAACTTCGTGTTACTGAATAAGGTTAAGGTTTTATTGGTTCGCGGATTGAAGATATATCTCACAGCAACTAAAACATTGAGCTCAACGTGCTCCCTTAAAGCTTTTACGGCAATCGATTGACTTCGACAATATTTCTTCCATGAAACAGCAGGGTCTGAAAACAAGTGGATATTTAACCGTTTCCAAGCTGACATTAACTTTCCTAATAATCAGCCGATCTCCTCCTAATTGCTGACCTGCTTCATACTATGGATACTCGATTCAGGTTTTTCAGTAACAGATTCATTCAAATCTCCAGTTTTTTCAAAAAATAAATTAAGGATGAGAAGAAACAGAAAAAAACAAACAATGACTGATGAAAAAAAAGAACGTGAGGGTAATTTTTGTGTTGGGTAGAAATAGGGGGAGAAGGTAAAACGTGAGATTCGCAGGTATCAGGCACCTAGGAACAGATAGACAACGCAATTAAACATCTGGAACCACTTCCTTTGGTTGGATGGATTCCTTAGGGGCTCTCTTTTTCAATTCAATTTCAATTTTCTTCTCACGATAGATTTTACCGTTGAGCTTTATATGTGTTTTGCCATGCCTTCGCTTTTTGCTTCTTCGTGCGTGATACTTGATTATCAGCCGGAAACACCATATATTCTTGACTCCGTTCTTCCGGCACCAGCACAGAAGTATACATGCTGTCAGTAATCTGAAATTTCGGGTTCAATTGATTCAAGCTGGAAAAGTTTTAAAACAAACATGAGCAAAACAAGAAGAACGATGAAGGTGATAATGAAGGTTTGAGCTGTATCCAGACTGTGGTTGAAGACAAAAATGGAGGTTGGTAGACTGATAATTCCAAAAACAGAGAAAGTGTCCGAAGAATTGTATGCGGTATTATCCATTAAAATATTTTTGTCGGTTACCTGCAAAAAGGGATTCATGGTGGAAAAAAACATGGACATTCATTATTTTTTAGAATTGCTTTCCGAACTTACGTTTAGAAGTTCTATTGTTTGATCTGGAATTGATTCGGCCTTGACCATTGAAAAGGCAATGATGAAAAAAATGCAAATCATCTGAAAAAATAAAGTAATACTTACAATTAAAAAAAAACAAAATCATTGAATTCAAAAAAGGTTATAAGTTCCGGGTGTTTGAAAAGGTGAACAAATCTGCAATTACTTTTCTATGTCACATGTCTCGGAAGTTTAATTTTTTCTGGAAATCAACAAATATCCATACTTGTAG